GACAGTTAACCTTAGAACCGATAACCATGCACTTGGTTTTGGAGCTATTTAATTTCAGTTTATTTTGACACAGCCATTCGTAGAAATACTGCATTTCGGTGTTCAGTTTGGTAGCTATTTCTTTGCAATCGTTTCCAGAGACTGAAATAAGCGTGTGATCAGCAAATAAGTTAACAAAGGAGTTTTTTAAAACCTGATGCATATCATTTATATAAATAATATATAAAAGCGGGCCCAACACGCTTCCCTGCGGTACCCCCGATCTGCTATCCCTATGACTAGAAACATTATTATTAATTGCAAGTTATTATTTAGGGACTAATTGTTGATTTGCTCTAAACTACGCTGGAGAGTAAGGCAATCCTCTGAACACAAAACGGAACGAAAATGTTGAATAATAATGGCCCCAATGTTGAGCCTTGAGGAACGCCTGAGAAAGCAATGTATTCATCAGAAGTGTGAGCATAGAGATAGACGTACTGAGCGCGGTCAGATAAGTATGAAGCAAACTAATTAACAATCAGATCGAAATCCGGATCGAATCGGATTAGGATTATGTGATCTAGGCGATCAAAGGCTTTTCAAAAATCAAGATATATGACGTCCAATCTTCATCAACAGCTTCAGAAATACATTGAGACATAGTCCTTAATTTTTTTTTTTGGTTCTTAACAACATGAAATATTTTGTCCTGTAGGAGAACTTCACAGAAATTGCAGATTAGGGAAATAGGCCCAGAGTTTTAGTTAGTTGGCGATTTGCGATTTACAGTCTTTTTTGTGTACCGGAACAAAACGATAGTCATAGTCAAATAGTCAATAGTCAAAAACAGTGTCATTAAAGTCCATATAACTGGGTACACTTTTGTTTTTGATCCAAATTTTTTAGGATCTTTTTAAATGTCACACCCAATTTTCAGTAGGTAGCTTTTATGTAGGAAAGTCGTATTTTCTATTTAAGGAATGAGGAAATTCAAGTGACAGAATAATTACAGGTTGATGATCTTGCTGAGCACCTCTATTGCACGTTCCACTAACTTAACTTTATTTCTTCTATTTCTGAGAAAATTACTTTGCGAGAGGTTCATACAGTGCATGAAATTGCTAAGCAATCTAAAACATTGATTTTCTGTACCAGCGTCTCAAAATACACATTGAAATCTCCCAAAATACATAACTTTTTGCCATACAAAGTCTCTAAAAATACAATAAAATCAAAGAGATTATCCAAAATGACTGTATTCACAGGTGGAGGCAACTATATCTCCAAAGAAAAAAGACATCATGGTCATTCGCACAGCGTAGGTTGTTGATGACTCCGCCATTTATTTTAATGCCGTCATTTATATTTTGTAAGGTTGTTTGAATATGAATTCGCCATATCCAAACAACATAAATTAATAAATAAAATAAATTTTTTGATGAATACCTAATTGATCTGTTAAACTGCTCCAAAAAGGTTCAAAATAGGTATAACACTTTCAAATCAAAACTGAATCGTTCTTTTTATTGCCGCAATAAAATACAAGACAAGAGGTGCTTTTTAAAATTCACGTTTAATTTACTTTTATATATTTTGAACAACACAGTATCAAAGCACAATAAAAATCAAAACTCGCAACATTACAACCAAAAATTTCGGTGGTGAATCAAAAACGCAATTTTATTATAGACGCTAAATATTTGTCATGTCCGTAAAATAATATTTTTAACGTAACTGACTCATAATTTCCCATAAATCTAGATAAAATTAGAAACGCTACATATACAGTGTGTCCCACTTAAGAACTGTACGTACACCTTTGTAAAATCCTTGTTTACTGTTTGATTTTGATAATTTTTTTTTGTTGCATACATCTCTCAAACACGCACTAAAATTTTATGTATCTTATTACATCAACCTGAAAGTCATACCTAACTGGGACTACTTTTAGATGTCAAATATAAAAAAAGCCTATTAGAGATTTCTTTCAGAATAGAATGTAGAATGTTTGTGGCTCAGTTTTGATAATTCTTTTTTTTTTTTTTTTGATAAATTTCAATGAAAGACATTAACCATTGGTCTAGTTTTTTTAGGTAGTCCTGAATAAGGAAGCTGCTCTCATTTTCAATTTGAAAAAAAATCTAAAAGTACTTATCGATTTTCCGCTTCAAAAAACTATGTCGGTTAGCCATGACTGCGATGCTATACATATCATCTCTCTTTAGCAAGATCCATCCAGCAAAAAATAATTATCAAAATTACACGAACTTCATGGAAAATAGTACAGTTAGGTTTTATGTAGTCCCGTTTACACTTTGTTCTTAAACAAATCCCTAATAGCCTTCTCGATATTTGACATCAAAAATTAGTCCCAGTTAGCCATGACTTCAGGTTGATGTGACACAAAACACAAACACAACCGTAATCAAAGATTTTACAAAGATGTACAACCTTAAGCGGGACGTAAAAGATATTTCATATGCCATGTAAAGAAACATTACAGAAATTATTCCTGTATACGAATTCGTTGGCAATTTATTGTTTTTTAATCCATAGTACTTCTCTCTTCTCTCTCTTTTGTTAAATAGTCCCAGTTGGCCATGATTTTAACTTGAAGCAATAGACAAAACAAGGCTTTAGTGTATTTTTCAGAGATCTATCCAACAACAAAAAATCAAAATCGATCTATAAACAAATATTTCATAAGGCTGTACAGTTCTTAAGTGCCGCTTCAAAATTTTCCATATATTATATTTTCATTTTCGTCAAAATACATAACCTCAAAAATTGTGAGGTTAAGTAACAAAGCAAGATAGTACATACAATATTTTTTATTTTTACGTTGGCAACATGTTACTCTATCAACTGCTTCTTTGTGGTGAAAGGATTTTAGGACTAGCTACGTAGCCAGAAAAAGGTTACTCCCCAGGGAGACTATAAATTTTCTATTCGATAAAAAAGTCCGTTATTATTGCGATAGATATTAATTTAAAAAAAAAACAAATTTGTAGGTTCCTGTTTTGCACTTTTCTTCTATTTCTATCATTCATGACCAATAGATTTCTTAATGGGGAGTACAAATTTTTCGACTTTCTATTCCCTAGAATTCAAGAATAGTGACCCTGTTAGAGAATTTTAATGTAATGACGAAGTGAAGAGAGATATATCAAATTGCGTGACGCGTGCCGAAAGAAAGACGTTTCTAATAGTCATTTGTTAGACCTAAACATTGTTTTTTGACGTGGAGGGTAAACAGAGCAGGGGCGCAGCTTGTATATGTTATGGTTTGCCTTCCTGTATTTTACGAGATTAGTAAGTTGTTAAAAATAGAAATCCAAGTCCTCTGCTAAATCAATATCTCTAGAACAAACGCACCAACAAAACTTGATCGTCCAATACCAGCTGATCATTGTTTTGTTTGCAAACGTTTTGCAAGAATCCTTAGTGTTCTATCGACTACATGCTCCATTCTCTTTTTACCTTTCCGCGATACTTATATAGACGTATAAAAAAGATTCTGGTTTACAGCAAAAGTTAATGACTGAGTATATGACGTATTATAACCCACTCAATTCAAATGTTAGATTGCTCTCTAATATTTTTATTACAAGTGGTAACAGATCAAGCTTGTGTTGGTTGTGTGTATAAAAAAGTAAGTATAATATTAAAAATGATCTGCATAAATAAAGACGATAGATGATCGTTTTGGTTAGTTTGCTATGTTTACTTTCCATTTTATGGAATAAAAATGGTTCTAATCATTGGGTTATTACACTAATTAATTTTCTGCACATCTTCATTTATTATTTAATAGAGAAATGTTTTTGGATTAAAAACTTCTGTCTGGAATTCTACTATTTTCTGTAGATCCACAGAAACGTTAACCATTGCTTATTAATTAAAATTCGTATGCTAATATTTCCTTGTTACGTATAAGAATAACACAACGAACATTTTGAATGGGCCAGATGACGTCACCACGGCTGGCGCAAATATATCGCCGATGATGCCTTTGGTTTACCGTTCTCGTGTCCAGACGCCCGTCAAAATAAATAAAATGCGCACAAAACGTAACTAAACCAATTTTTCGATAAGAAAGTCCAGCGCGAGAGAGATAAATCCGTGCGGCTACAAAAGTTGGACGACCTTCACACACACACACACACGTACACACACGCGCGGATCGTGCACAATCCTTTATTGCATTTTTCCGACGTTTAAAACATTCCTGTGGATGCCCGTTTCCGCAAAACGCGTCATTTGAGCAAGTATGGTCAAATACGGGCTTGCTATTAAAAAAAAAAAAGCAGCGCGAAAAATAAAACACACTAAATTATAAACTAAAAAAAGAAAAAAATATTTGTTATTCAACTTTATTCAAAATTTACTAATTTCCGATACCATTCGTTCCACTTTCGAAGGCCACAAAATAAATTTGTCTCACTCTGTAAATTTCTTTAGCACATTAGCATTAATCGTTCAAAACGGACATTAAGATTTTAATTTTAACACGTTAATACGTTGGAAAAATCATGACACGAGATATTTTATTTGCGTGTAAATATGGTTATATACACTTTCAACCATTTTACATGCACAATATCGGAAATATTTACATACAGGACTGAGCCGCTCGGGCAAAACCCCACTTTTATTCTCACGTTCACACACCTGTTGAATGCTCTTTCCGACGAAATAATTATTTAGGTAAATAGAAAAAAATCCAGGGACTGGTTTAAACGGCGATTCCTTTTCGGCAGTCGGTTAACGCGAAAGTGACCAATATAAATCTATCCGGTCTTATTGTTGTGTCCTCCCCTTAATAAAAATGTGCCATTAACTAATTTAAAAACAGATTGAACGACAAAAAAGCAATTTATTAAAATCTCACACGATATCACAGCCTAAATGGGCACTAATTATCGCTATAACGAGCCGATTAAGATTTAATGACCGCGGGTAACAAAAAAATTAAATAAAAACGACCCGAATGCCGATCTAAAAAGTTCACGACTCACCTAAAATCGCTTGAATCGCCAAATCCGCTGACAGATTATCCATTATTCCGTTAATAAACGATCATTTTCGCTGTTATTAGAGGTTTTCTTTGTCCCGCGGCACGAGCACTTTTCACATTTTCACCCAAAACTTTTAAACTTTTCGTAAGAGTAGTAAACACTTGTTTTCCACGTTATTTGACAGATCGCTCTCTGTATTCGTAGAAGTAGCGCGATCCTTGTCTTGCATATTATAACGTTTCTAGAAAACGTGACGGAATCATTTTGAACGTGTTTTTACAAACTGACAAATTGGTTAAACCTGTGTATGCACTGTAAGCTTTGCTTGTACCTAAAAACAAATTGTTGGGCAATTTTTCTTTGGACTTATCTAAAATTATGTGGGAATGTTCGGCGGGTTCGTGTGTCTCGTTTTGATCGTGTATGTCGAAGTGAAATAGACTATAAATAAATTGTCGTTTTACCTTTTTTTAACGAAAAACATTCCAATTTAATATTGAATTTCTTTAATCAAACTTTTATTACTTTTTGCAATAACAAAAAGTACAATTTGAGAAAGAACGCGGTGGGGTCAGCAACGATCTAGACTCTAAAAAGAGTACATTTATCTTGTTTATACTAAACTGTGAGAGACTTTTATTGAGGACTGAAAACTTATTCTAATATGTCCATAGACAATGGTAAAGATAATTACTTAACGTTCGAGGCCAACGATAGTTAAAAAGTGAATCGTTCGGACCAGTTACGTAAGATGTCACTGTCACATCACGTTTCCATGGTAGACAACCAACCATACGCAGTGTTTTAAAGAATATTAAAAATACCCATTTATCAATGTTTTTGATTTTAATAGCTTGCGAGTACGGTCATGTTGTACGTTTGCGTAACTCAAAGGTAAACTTTACCTTATCGAAACGGAAACCTTGTACCTCATTGATAATTTCGCGGCCCATTCATAAAACTACGATTTTATTGATTAATCATCTGACATTCTTTCAGAAATCCTAGCAAGCGTTGACCTACTCTACTAGCATCGACTGTTTACAAATTTCGAAGGAGATTCTGTGCGTTAGCGAAATCGCTCGCCTTGTTTTTCGATTATTCGGTTACTGAACGATGTAAATGTCCGTCGTGAGTGGGAAACGTCAAATAAATTTCGATGTTTCAAAAACAGCCCAAAGTAACCTACAAACGGCAGAAAAGTTTGTGTATTTGTGTAAACTTTGTTGAGCACACCCGCACGTTCGAGTTGTTTAGGTAATAAACGCATGATTTAATTAGCCTTGGGTTATTTCTGATATTTTAACGGGATTCGAAATAACTATTGCCGTTTTGTTTTAGCTGGGATACACTGTCCCGAGATGGAATTCAACGAAAGTGCACCCAATAACCGTTCTAAAAAAGAGCGCAACTTTCCCACTTTGGATTTAAAGGATCAGTCCACTCTAAATGCCAACACTCAACCAGTTTTGGTGGTTCAGTCGCCGAAAACCCCGACCTTGTCGCGCAAATTTAAGGCTGTCAGCTTGGATAGCGACCCTCAGCCCACCGCGAACACCTTGGAAGTATCTAGGGATGTATTCTCAATGCCAAATACGCCGAAACGGCAAATCAAACAGAAATTATCCTGCGATTTCGACGACGGGGCACAAAAGAGCACTTTGGCCCCAAGCTTTAGTTCAAACCTAAAGAAATTTGCGTCAAACAATAGCATATCTGGTTCACAGACACTGAAAACTCTGCCGGAGATCATGACCCTGCAAGATTTCTCAGATTGCCCGGTCCAAGAACCATTTAAGGTGCGGACTAAAGGACTGCTGGAGAGAAGAGGATCAAACGCGAGCCTGACAATTGATCTCGGTTCAAATTCGAGCATCACAGAAGTGAAACCCGTACCGTTGAACCGTCTAAATACCGCGAAAAGTGTGTCTAACCTCTATCTGTCGTCGATGGCATCGACTGAAAAATGTACCTGCATAAAAAAGTGCGACGCCAAAACTTACGAGCGGCGAAAGTCGCAAGAGACTTGCGGCAACTGCACCATATACGAATCGGTACCAAGTAAGGTTAATATGTGCAAAGTGAAATGCCAAAATTTGAAGAGGTGTAGCTGCTGCACGAAATCCCGCAGGAAATCGCTTTCCAACGAAAACCTATACGTTCCGCCCTGCGGGTTTTGCGAAACGGGCGAGACCAAAGAGTGTATGGAAATGAGGCATTGCAAGGGGCATCGAAAAGCGTTTTTTCCCAGGCAGCCCGATCTTGAAGCCGCGCAGCTGCTCTCAGATGATTTCAAGCTGCACTTGCAGAACATACAGTATTTGCAAACGGCCGGCAATGTGTTGACGATTGCAGAGCTGCAGCAAGCCTGCGAGGTTAGTTGAAGGCCTTACCTATAATGTTATATCCAAAGGAAGTATGAGTCCTTTCTGAAATATACCCAGAAAACGTTAACAACAAAAGGTTAACTCCATGAAAATTAAAATTCACAATCATAACCTTCTTGTTTCTTAAATTCTTCCCGCCATCTACACAGTCTGAACCCTTGTGATTTAATAACTGAAATGCAGTGTTACCAAAGGAAGAAAGATAAATATGCTGACAGTTCAAAAAATTAAATATTGGGTACATTAATCCAAATAGAAAGTGGGAAACTCGGACAAAAATTATTTTCATCGATTGAAAACATTCCCTTATTAGCTAAGTCTATGATAAAGAGTAAGTCTCGCCAAATTCACCTAATCTTTCATAAGTACAGCATTTTTTTGCGCTTCTATATAGACTCACAGGAACTTATTCCTTCATTTGACGTTTGACATTGTTTACTATCCCTTAAAGTATTTTCATTTACAATTTTCGTCGGATAGCTAACTATAAGTCAGCGTGTTTACCAACATATTACACTAATAAAAGTAAATTGGTTTGTTTTTAAGGTCGCTCGGGTTCCCAAACTGCATCAGGAGTTTTGGGAGGTGCCATTGAATCTGCAGGAGAAATGTTATGTTTCCGGGAGTCAGAGCAAAAATCGTTATAGAGGTGTGTTGCCTAATGAGCATAGTCGGGTTCACCTTTTGGGCGGTCAGAATTACATTCACGCCAACTATATCAAGGTATGTTGAGATTACTGGTCAACAAAAATAAAAATTGTCACACTGTTGTTATACTCTGTTAGATCGTAAGGGAGAGAAAACAAACTTTTTGTCTCTAATTAATTTATGTGTGTTCAGGTAAGATCTCCAGAAATCGCCTCTAGTCCTTATCCAGTTTTATAGCTCTAGGAGAGGCTATTTTTTTGTATAAAAACCGTTAAACTGTAGTAGTAGTGGCCCCACATAAATCAAATTTGGTGATTTCAGGGCCCCGATTATACGGAAACTGCCTACATCGCCACTCAAGGCCCGTTGTCGAATACTTGCTACGACTTCTGGGACATGGTGTGGCATTCGCAGGTAAGGTTAATACTGCTAACAAAAATTCTCAAGCCACAGAGGACTATAATAAATCAAGGGATCAAACATTAAAAGTATATATAAAAATTGTAAATATTTTAACAGTGTTTTACCCGACTCTGATTTTAATTAATTTCAATTGGAGGCACTTTCCCGCTTAAAATGCTTGCCTCTTTTTAAATTTTTTGTCTAGGGAAAGACAAAATATAATTTCCATTTCTAAAATTAAAAAAATATATATTTTTTAAGAATCATGAAGATTAGATACATGTATATAAATAGACGGTGCGATTTCTACTCCTTTGAGTCGTCCTTTCCTTCTAAATATTATTTGCTAATTTTCTGATCCATAATGGTAATTGATTTGACGCCGGTATCCATGTTTTTTTCGAGATTTTCGACTATTTTTTGGACCTTGCTATGAAACACGATAAGTATCCAAAATTTGAAGAAATCGACTTAAAGTTTGGCACGTATATGCAGCTTTGCCCCGTGACGGAATCTAGTGAAAATGGGTGGGCGTGCAAGGGTCAACAAAAAACATCATTTTTCAAAAACTGTTTACGAGACCAAAAAAATTCTTGAATCAGAAAAAGCAGGAGGTACGGCTCTATAAACTTTTATTTTTGACAAATTTTCAAAAATATACAAATTCAAAAAAACTGAAAAATGGGTCCCCCTATTATTGAAATTTGGTTATAACTGAAAGACTATGATTCGATCTCACTTCCTTTTATATTGCGATATAGCCCGCATACACAGCGAAAATTTTTGTAGTTAAGGTTTTCACCTATTATACAGGGTGTTTCCGATAGTCCTTGCTAAATGAGAAATGTGTTAAGTGTCCTAAACTTGCAGATATCAACTTCAAATTTAGCAGAGAAGTAAAAGTTCGTGTGCAAACGGCAGAAATTGGGCGCAATCAAATTTTACCAAGTATTTTTTTAAAATGTTTGACATTTTTTTTTTTTTGGTAATTTTAGCTTTCAGAAAAATATGTTTTCCTCCATAATCGTTCATCCGATTGGCAAAATTCTTTAACCAGCAGTCGCAGCAGATTCAGTGCAATAACATTTATTTCGAGTATTTTATATACAGGGTTTTCAAATTACAGGCAAAAATCTAAAAGACCCAGAAAATTGTTCTTTTACCGAGTAAATTATTAGCCGCAAGTCAAATATGGCTAATTGGTTCAAACGGTGTCGTAGGCGGCATCAAGATCTAGAATTTTTGCATTTGCGGTTTTCGTCTATCTCGGGTTATTTGGAAAAATCCATATTGAAATCATTATTCCGGGGGCTGTCAAGACGCGATGACGTCATTGGTAATACACGAAACCGCGAAGCTCTTTGCTTTTATAATAAAAAGCTGCTTCGTGCTACGCGCTACGAACTTGCCCCGCTCAGCGACGATTTTTCGAAAGCAATCTTGCGTAATTGTGTTAATATATTTTTCTGTATTTCCTTCTTCACTAATATAGCTTCCTAGGGACTTATAACTCTCTGCAATCTTTAAGTTCCGGGTTGTATGTTTGAAAGGGATCCTCTGACAACGAGATGTTCAGTTTTAGATACATACATACCTTGTACCGTCGAATTAATAATAAATTACCGTTATTGGCTGTAAGGTATAAGTTCTACACGCGAGTGCGTTGATTTTCGTGGAAAGAGCGGGCAGATTTCTCATTCATTGCACAGTCCACATCGGATATAACGTCGTTTGCAGATTGAACCTTTAAACTTGCTAAACGCCGGCCATTTTGCAGTGTAAATGCGTCGTCATGTTGACCGGTTTGGTGGAGAAGGGCCTCACCAAATGCGAACTGTATTTTCCGCTGGGCAAGAGTGCGACGGGCCCGGAAAAATCATTCCTTTACGTCAAAACGGCCAAGGTGCGCGACAAGTTCACGTTCGACTGGAAGAACGTCAACGAGGAAGAAGACGAGGTTTACGAGTTCGAAGAAGTGGACGAGGTGACGTTCGGTAAGTATAGGGTGCGTCACATCGGACGGCGCGACCTCGACGAGTGCCAGATCCGTCGACTGGAACTGCGCAGGACCGACGTGAACGTCGAGCCGCGCATCGTCCACCATTACTGGCTGTCAAACTGGCCGGATCACAAGATGGCGAAACCCGAGCAGGTGCTCAAGATCGCCGTGGACGTGTTGAATTTTATCGAATGCGAAAAAGTGGACGGCGCAGCGAGGGCGGCGTCGACGAGCCGCGCGCAGATCCCAACCTGCAAACACAAAACCGTACCGTCGCACGAACGCAAAAGATCCATGGAAAACGTTAAACTGCCCGCCATTATACACTGCAGCGCGGGTATAGGCCGTACCGGGTGTTTTCTCGCCATCTTGAACGGTATACAGCAGCTGAGGGCCAGTTCCAACGTCGACGTGTTGGCGATTTTGTGTTCGTTGAGGTTAAACCGCGGCGGCATGGTGCAGACCGCCGAGCAATACGAACTTATACACAGGGTGTTGAGTTTGTACACGCAGCAGGGCGCGTAGGGCGTTCCGTGTACGCGGTCGGGGCGGATTTGACCCCCGCCCGTGTGCGGGCGCGTCCGAAAGCGGTGGCGTACCAGAGAATAAAATTTTTCGTTGACGCAGAGTGAATAAATAGTCCGTGGGCGATGAAAACGCGCTGAGGGTCTACAGGATGTTCGGGAATGGAGTTCGGAAACTTGGATGGAAGATTCGACGTGGTGAAGTAATGGTAGTAAGTTATGTAACAAAAATTCGAAATCGTAATATTTCCCGAGGGTGAGGCTCTGATTTAGTAAAAGTCATAGTAACAAATTTTCCGCGTATTTTATTTATTTAGACTGATATTGCACAATATAACAGATTGCCTTAAGCATAATCACAAATTCTCAAAACTTGCTATTCTTGTTTTTAGTCGATGAGTGTTATCGTTTAACCACAAATCGACTTTTTTAATCTCGGCCCGAATACCCCGCACTTTTAATTTACAAAAAGGTCATATTGGATATCGCGATATTCATTTGTAATACGGAAAAGCAAGTGGAAAATATTTTAACAGTGTGATAGATAATAAATTCTAGGGCGTTAAACTTAATGATTGCACAAAAATTAAACAGTAAAAAGGGGTTTATTTGACAAAATACAAAACAACCGCTTATGCCACGCACACGCGGAGCAAGTGAATGCCCGGCGGCTGACGGGCTTCAGCGAGCGTTGTGCGTGAACGGTGGCGCCCTCTCACAGATCGTCGTTGGTCACTTGCCGAACTACGGCCCAGACTCGCGCTCCCCATTATGCAAACAGCCAGGAGAACGAGTGTTGACTGGCGATGCTAACACAGTGTTTTACCCGACTCTTATTTTAATTAATTTCAATTTGTGGGGTTCAGGGTAGTAAAGGACAAATAATTAATTCCGGCGGCGAGACACTTTCCCTCTTAAAATGCTTGGCTGTTTTAAATTTTTTGTCTAGGAAACGAAAAAAGATAATTTGTATTTTTAAAATTAAAAAATATATATATTGTAAGAATCATAAAAATTGGATACATGTATACAAATATACAGCCTTAGCCGCTTCCCGCGCTTCAATCTTCAGATTTCTCTATTGTGGCAATCCTCTTCGTTCATTACTCTCTTTCTCATGGCATCTTGAATTCCTTCTGTCCAAGATTTGCGTCCCTCTTTTCCTTCCATTTGTCAGTGAATATATATTAGGAGCCTTCTTGGACACCCGTTTCTGTCCATTTTATTTAAGTGTACATACAATATTAGTTGTCTGCGCTCTATTCTCGCTAAAATATCGTCTTTTATGACTGCTCTTTCTCTAATTGTTTCATTTCAGATATGTTCCAATCGGGATATTCTGGATGCTTGTGTCAAAAACTCCACTTCTACACCTTTGAGTCGTCTTTTCCTTCTAAATGTTATTCGCTTATTTTCTGATCCATAATGCTAATTGTTTCATTTCAAAAATCGGATTATTCTGGATGCTTGTGTCAAAAATCTCCACCTTTGAGTCGTCCTTTCCTTCTAAATGTTGTTGCTAATTTTCTGATCCATAATGGTAATTGGCCCAATAACAGCTTCGGAAATGTTTATTTTTTAGATACATACATAAGAAATACCTTGTACCGTCGAATTAATAATAAAATACCGTTATTGGCTATAAGCTATAAGTTCGTTTATTATTTTTTGAAAAAAAGAAGTCCATCGGATTAAGGTCTGGTGAGCGAGGCGGCCAAGCTAGAGGTGTAAAATGGGGCGGAGCTCCAACTTGCATTAACCACATGTTTTGTCTCTACTGCACGAGTGCCTCTTCCAGTAAAGGTGCTGGTTCCTCTCGGGGAAAGTGCAAATACCAAAATTTCCCCATTAAGCGATCCGTTAAAGAAATGAAGTCCCACAAGATTATCTCCTATAATCCCTGCAAATACATTTAAACAAAAAAAACGGCGCTGATGTTTTCTTTCAATTTTTGAATGTGGGTTTTCAATGTTTCACTGATGCACATTTCGAAAATTTATAATGCCATCGCGACTGAATGCAGGCTCGTCAGCCAACAAAAGCACATTTAAGAATTGCAGATAATTACGATTTTTTTCTAAAATTTGATTGCATAAAATTGAACCAATTGAAGCAATTTTTTCCTGAGTAGCAAGTTTTTGAAGTATTTTTTATTCTCTTACAGCGGTTCTTTTATACCTTTGTCTCCCTTCATTCATATTATCAGATTTGAATGATTCTCTTTCACCAAGTCTTCTGTATATGTTGATGAATGTCTTAGCAGATGGGACATTTCTATTGAGAGAAGCGGCCGCCATTTGGTCTTCCGCGGCTAAAATGCATATCACGTTATTCAATAATTGAATCTTCCTGATGGGGCATCACAGTAACAGTTCGATAATAAGCTCTTTTAATAGAAACTAATTTTAAAATCATAAAATTCAAGCCGAAAATAAAAAATAGATTTGTGACTAAACGACATACGTTATCGACTCAAAACGAGAGTAACAATTTTTGAGGATTTGTGATTCTGCTTAAGGGAATGTGTTCTATTTTTCAATATCAGTCTAAATAAATAAAATATAGCTATAACTCAAAAAACATTACGATTTCGAATTTCTGTTACGTGACTTATTATTTTGCCACGTTGAATCTTTCTTCCAAATTTCCCAACTCAATTTCCGTATATGTAGCCCTTTAGAAAATGTCTCCTAATAGCACGGTTTAAAATACTTAGGAACAATTTATTATTTCCGGAAACTTTCTTTATATATATGTAATTGTTGATTCCAGTTTATTAAGAAAGTTTAGATTGATGGTTAAGTTATAATACGCAAAAAATACTATTTTTATGTTCCAAGAGGTTTCAGAAAATTTATTGCTCCTGAAAGACCAGTGAAATACTCAAATCAAGGTGAACGTGACGATTGCTCTGGCTGTACCGTGACGTTATGTTGACGGTGAGTGTTGTTACCTTTTGTTTTGGTGTTGATAGGGATTCACCAAAGTTGTTTTTTTTTTTTTAATATTTGGAACACTGGTTGTATTGGGATGCGCCGGGCGTGTTCCGAATTTTGTGCGTCCAACTTGTTAGTAGAATAAGTTTTGCGTTGATTGTTGTTATGTCTCTGTGGAAAAAGGGACGCCGGTTAAGGGCGGGCATTATTTTAGAAAGTCTCCAAACCGAAACTAACCATTCGAAAATCATCTGTTGTTTTATGTGATAATTTATAGAATTAGGACAATCTAGGTAAATCAGTGTACATAGAAATTTTATATTTTTTATATTTTCGTTTGTTTTTTTTGGATATTTATTAATTGTGTGTGTGTGTTTGTTGCAGCAGTACACACACACAGGGTGTTTTCTCGCTTTCTCGCCGCAATATGGTACATGACCAACATTTGTATTTTTTAATTAAAGATTTGTTTACATTTAAAAATTGCACAATATGTGATATAGTAATATTTTTAAAACGCATTATCAAGATTGGTAATACTTTTCAAAAATATCGATTTATATGTTCAAAAAGAGTGATTTTTTACCATGACTCTTCTACATTTTAATACGATTTAGATAAAAAGAAAAAAGTGTATTTAACCTCGGTGTGTTTTTGATTAACTACCCGTAGACGTAGTTGTACGTGGATATAATTTTGTATTTCTTAGTACAAACGATGAAAAGCATGTTATTTCATGATTGAAACTAAATATGTCAGATTAGAGATTAATGTTCGAAAGAAAGTGTTAGAATATAATATCTAGGTCTAACGTTGTGCCATATTAATTTTAAAACAATAAATAACGGAGAACAATCTACGGCGTTTTTATTAAAATTTATGCTTTGTTACTAGATAGATTCTTCATTAGTGCTGCACATAAGAATATGTTAATATTTTCGCACATCAACAGAACGAGGCAGTTCACCAAAGAAAATATTTAAATCTGTAATAATAATAATAATAATAATTACTTTATTTGAACAATATATGATAAAGTTATTAGAAAGAAATAATTTCATTTATCTGGGTTGGCTACTTTAGTAATTATACCTGCGGAAATAAGTTAAAGAGAAAACAAATTATATACGTTATACGAGCCCTAACTAAATGTTCGGACGATGTAAAAAATGATAAAAAAGACATTTTTATATCTATTTAAAAATTTACATAGCAAAATAACGGAAACATGCCAAATTTGCTAAAAAATAAATATTCGGGCGCGAATGTTTATTGACAAAGAAATCAATGCTACCTATGCATTGATAGTAAAATGTAGTGTGCTTAGATTAATAAGATGTCAGTTCGGGTTGTATCTTTCAAGTTTGTTTAATAGTTGATAAGAAAATGACGCGTGGTGTTGCAACAAACAAAGAAGTGCTATAAATTATCATATCTCAGTACTGCAGAGGTAAATCAATGCAAAAAATTTCAAATGACGAGTATTTGCAAAATCAACAGTCGGGGATATTATAAAAAAGTATGGAGAGACAGCTCGTTCGTACTTCTTATTATTGTTCGATTTAAAGTAAAATTTAAATGCGTCCGAATATTTATTTGTCAGCAAATTCGGTATGTTTTTAGTATTTTGTTATGTAATTTATGTGAAATAAAAAAATAATTCATTACGATGCACTTTTTGGTATAAAAATAAGTGCGTGATTTCATTTTTCAATCGAAAAGGCAAAAAAAATCAATTTAAAGTAAGTATAAATATGTTTTCTTATTATTTCGTACATCGTCCGAACAATTAGTCGTTAGGGCTTGTAGTAACTTTTAGGTTATAACATTGGAGAAAAACTAATTGGTTTTATAACATTTTGAAACTCAGTGATGTGTAGGTACTATTAAGTCCGCTAATAGAGAGTTAAAAGATATTTTTTATATTTTATTTTGAAATTATGTAATGACATGTCAAGAAACTGTTTGGGAATCCAGTTCAAATACTTTACGGCGTTTTATGAAAATGATAGCTGAAAGATTGCAGTGTTATGACGTGGCATAGTTAGTTGGGCATTATTTCTAATATTAATATTGTGGCCAGTGTTACGAAATATTAAGCGATTTTTTATGGAAACTGGCGAATTGGGATTATTTATTATCTTAACTTCTCACTTTCCTGATGCAAACAAAACCATAAACAAAGTCACAACAATTGAAATTAGAGAGGACCAAGGATTCAAACAAACTTCGTCTCGGTTACTTAGAATATATCTATTATTATATAAAACTTTTATGTAGGCAAAGTATTTTTGAAATATTTTTTTTAGGTGTTCTTTGAATCTAAGTTTGCTGTCTGAGATAACTCCGAGATTCTTGGCACAATTTTTAAAATGAATATTTAGTTTGTTCCTTAGGAAGTTAACATTCTTATCATTCTCAAACACCATAACACATGATTTACTTGGATAAAGTTGTGGTCTTGAGACATCTGATGTAATGTATGATTGAAATTCTTTATAATTGTCAAGGCTGAAGCTACAATAAATTTGTGTGTCATCAGCAAAGGCTTGAATTTTAGAGAGTTTTAAAAATCTCAAAATGTCTGGGTCTAAAATGGATCCCTGTAGGACACCAGATAGAATTTCTATCTTCTCCGAGTATGTATCATTTGAAAAAAATGATTGAAATCTAAAAGTTAAGTATGATTTGGGAATATTAGAAGAGTCTGCATTGAAACCGTAGTATCGTAGTTTAGCCACTAACAGCTCATTTATAACGAACTGGAGTAAAATAAAGTCAGTGCAAGACATACGCTGAACATCCCACGGGCACAAACCAAATGGAATGACGGGAGATGAGTTGTCCGGGCGGTTAATGCAGGCCACCTTTTCGACTCTTCATTAAAAAAAGAATTCTCAATTCGATTCACCAATACACTGTAACTCAACTATTTCTACATTTATTATTGACGGTTTCATCAATTTTTATACTGTAATGAGGCATCCAAGAATTAATTTTTCTGTCAGTAAATCTTTGACAAAATAAAACCAGCGACTGGACAATCGAAACATCTGAATCATTTCACTGCAACCATGGCCAACGCCTTATAGGGTACAACAGCAATAATTATGTTAGCAAATTAACATTTTTGTGTTTCTGCAAATTCGTTATAACATAATCATTATTTGCGCCTCCTCTTTTAACGTTTTACTTTATCCCTTGTTTGAAGTGTGTGCACTTGATGGGAAATAACGTTTTTCCTTGTTAACAAGTTCAATTCGACCTACGACGGAGTAAGGCTTCCGTTACTAAAATTGAAACCGTAGGCGGTCTTGTCAGGTAGCAATACACGTTTGGTTATGAATTAAAAAAAAAAGATTTGACTCGAAACTTTTAAATATTTTTTGTTGACTAGTTTCTTGTTTATTCTAAAAAAACATTTAATGATTCTTACTAGATTGTGTCTATAATTCGCGCAAAAAAAAAATCTGCATCTTAAAACTTCATCAAACACATTTTTCATTGCGATAAACACATTTTTTTCTTTTAAACAAAGGAAGAAAGCCAGACCTAATCTAACTTTTTAAGGTCAAGAAAAAAGAACGTGCACAACATTTGGAATTTAAAATGACGTTAAAAATAGGTTAAGGTTAAATCCGTTGACAGTTGTTAGGCAACGCGTAATACAGGATGATCGCATTAATTTCCGCAAGAGCTTAAGAGGTGGCGTGTCTTCTGTCGTTACCGACAACAAGCTACTTCTTTACAATAAAAGCCAAATTTTAACTTTGAGAGTTATCGCTTCTCGGCCTTTTGGCTAAGATCAAAGTGTAGTATCTGTTCTTATCAGCTTAATATCTGATACGCCCCGCATGCGGGGCCAGTATATTAAACTGATTTTTGGAAATTGATGGAGAATTAGGGGCTTGCTCCGCCTCCATCGCGGGTTGGCCCGGTATTGCAGTACCGCCGGGATCGGCCCATTTAAAGCAATTAAACATATTCAAATTTATTCGGCATCCCTGACTCGAAACCGCCCGCTTCGTCACCATTGTACCGCTGAATCGGGTTTGTGCGTGGTTCTGCGAGTGATTGATCCACCCGGCGAGGCTGAAGGCGTTTAGCGCCATAAGACAAAAGGCGCTCGTGCTTCGAACCACCTGCAGAAAGCGTTTCGGTTGTACTTCTCTCCTATTGATGATTATGATCTACGATGGTCGCCCTGGTAGAACAATAATAATGCGAGTATAGGAATGAGTTTGCTCCCCTCAGAAAATTGGTACGGAGTGGGGACAACCGGTGGCTGCAAATATTTTTCGTGTCACACGTTGGCAGCATTGCATTTGTCATTTTTTGTTTATGTTCATAGAAAGGGAATCGGCTACAAACGTGAGCAGTGTTGAAGAAATTGTCCGCATATGAAGATAAAACGGATATTTTCGGATAATTCATAGCAAATTAAAATGGCCAGTGCGAAAATAATAGAGCTCGACGAAACCAATACATGCAAGATGTAAGTCCAATCTACTAGAATTCGTTTTTTGATTTACGATTATTGTAGCTGTGATAATGCCTTAGCCAAATATTCATGCCCAAAATGCAATGTTATTTATTGTTCATTAACGTGTTATCAATCGCCGGCCCATTTGCAATGTAGCGAAGAGTTTTATAAAGACAATGTAATGCGTGAAATGAATTTGAATCCCGACAACGAAGAATCGAAAGCCAAAATGATGGAGATCCTTCAGCGAACTCACGAAGGTAATGAAATTACCGTTAACGCATTTGAAGATAGCGATGGGTCCATTTTTGACATGGACGATATAGGAAATTGTTCAAAGTTTGTTGACATAGAAGATTTGGAAGAAGATTTAGACTCTGATGACGACCAGTATGTGGATATAGCAGAACGATTGGCAGGAATCGATTTAGACGACGCCGAAACTGTTTGGGATAGGCTTACAGAAGATGAGAAACAGGATTTTGTCGCGTTTTTAAAGCAAGTCCTTGAACTTACTAAAAATTCTGGAGTTAAAAATTTATTAATTCTTTCAGGACTGAAAATGTTTCAAAGTTGATCCCGTCTTGGGAACCTTGGTGGCTCTACTGCGATTCTAGCAAAGTAACTGAGGTTAATGCTGTAGAAGACTTCAAAAATAAATGCCCAGGTATCGCAGACATTAAGGCATTTTCTAGTATTACGGTAGGGATAGCAATAATTCTAATCAGGTATGATAAGTAATATGCTTTTAGTCAGCAACGCCAGCAGAGACTGTTAAACATAACCTAACAAACGTTTTATGCGCCTACGTTTTCACTGCGCGTTATTTTAACGGCGAACATTTCGATTTTCCGAAAGAAGCATCCACCTGCGTAACAACGGTATCTTTGACTCTTAAAAATGGGCAAAACTTTCACGATTTTGAGACTGCAGTGAAATCTGTTGAACAGGAATGTATAGGTGTAAGTTTCTCAAAGGAAGTGGCCCCTTGTGCCAGGCAACTTGCTTTTAATTTTTAGTGCGAGTGGATTATGACGGACTCTGAAAATTTGGATCTGATGCGGGAGGATCTTAAGAAAATCCTTGCGGGTCCAAATTCAATGGAAAAAAAGTTTTACATTCTTTGTGCTTTATCAGATCTGCAAAATTTGTTTCAAAACGCCCTCAGGCCTAGGCCCGATGAAAACGGGCGAACTTCGGGTTTCAACAGGCAGTTCCCAAACAATCATTTCCCCAACGTACAACTAGAGTCCAAAAACAAACTTAAGAATCACTTGAAAAAAGTCGACTACTTTCTGTCCTACTCGAAAGACTGTTTGGAGTTGTAAAAGCGATGTGTGTAATTTACGATTAAATACGAAATATTATCTAAGAGCTTTGTATTTTTGTTATATTTGTTTTCATTAAATTGCAATTAATTTCGATTCTAACACAGTTGTAGCTTTTTTAGAAATAACTTGAACCTTATAGTGCCCTTAAACGGATAAAAATTCCTGAAGTTGCTTGGAGCTTTATAACGATTTTTTACATAATAGAAATATTTTGTGGAGTTTTGGTCTTATTCATATAACCTATCTTTTCACATGCACCACGGGCGTATGCCTTTGAATCTGATATATTTGACCATCAACAATTTCGGTTGAAATGAATGTTAAAAAAAATCATGTTTTTTTGGAAGAATTCCTAAAAATTTATAGTAGACATTTATAAACAATATCAATATTCTTAACAGTAAAGCACCAGAGACAATGGAACGTGAAAATAGTATATTATGCAACAAGTGCGGTAAACGGCATTTGACACGAGCGGAGCGAGTGTTTAATAAACGAGTGAGTCAAAAAGTTTACCGAACGTGTTGAATACTATACTTTTTCTACGACCGTTGGTTTTTGGGTACATTTTCGCAAAACACGAATACATTCACTGACATGACTGTCAGAATTGACAAACGTCAAAATTCAAAGCGTGGGAAATATCTCCGAAACATTCCGATTGCTCCCAAACCCGTGCGGTGAAATCCCGGAAATGTCCGAAGTGGCTCGGATTCGTGGGAAACGAAACTGACGTGGTAAAGCGACGCTTCCCGCACGCTAGATCGGTGTGTAATTGGGTATTTTGCAGACGGGAGTCGAAAAACATAATAGTATATTATGCAACAAGTGCGGTAAACGGTATTTTTCCACTCCCGTCTGTAAAATGCCTAATCACGCACCAATCTAGCGTGCGGGAAGCGCCACTTTACTACGTCAGTTTCGTTTCCCACGGATCCGAGCCACATCCACATTTCCAGGATTTTTCCAAACATCCGATTGGTCCTAAACCCGTGTAAAATCCCGGAAATATCCGAAGTGGCTCGGATTCGTGGGAAACGAAACTGACGTGGTAAAGTGACGCTTCCCGCACGCTAGATCGGTGTGTATTAGGTATCTTACAGACGGGAGTAAAAAAAGGGTATTTCTGTTCATCTTTCTACAAGTTGATAATTCAAAGTAGTGTATTTGTACGTTAACTATTTTTTTTATATAAGGGGCATTTAAATATATACGCTACTTTTGTCCGGAATGTTTAAAGTCGGTAAAAGGCTATGATTTTGACCCACTTCATTTTGGTAAGTGTTGGTTTTCTTCATAATGCTATAAATTCCATTCAATTGAAATTTATTCGATAATTATGGTCTGAGGTACGTATAATAATATTTCGTTATTGGTGAAAAGTAAAATGCTGGAGAGTTGAATGTTAAAATGGCACTGCCTTCTACATTTCGTAACTTTTCCTGACCTTGATGATCTGTGGTGTTATCGTGTGTTCGCGCATCCACATACTTTAATTCAGTGTTTGGGACATATAAACATAAAGTTTAAATATGTTTATTTATAGATAACGTGCACATTTATCAAGTGAAACCGTAGAAAGTATTAAACTGAATTCGTCGTGTTAAACGTGCAGATACGATGTCGGACTTTAAGCAATTCAACAGCGTCGAGGAAATTTTGAAAAAACTCTCTGGTGGCGATTACGAGAAGGTCCGACAAGTTATTTACGGAAACGCAGTGGGGTAAGTCCCGAACGAGGGTTCGACAATTCATTTATGTGTAGTGTTTGCATGGTCTTGGATGTTAAATTGATAGGTGGAGGTGTGTATAGCTAAGTTGTGCGCCGAAATGTAGGATACTATAATGTCTATATAATTACATGAAAATAATTGGTTGTGTTATTGTTTTCATACAGCTGGCGCTTACTAATTATACAGGGTGGTCCAAATTATAATTGAGAAACTTTGACAGCATATTCAGCAGAAAAAAATGAAAGTTCTCATAAACTTATGTCGTAAAATACTTCATTTCGGAGATACAGGGTGTTTAAATGTTTCGGGAAAAACGTGTTTTTGTATTCTAAAAAAATATCTTTTTCTCCTGTCTCATTTTTTAGCCAAAATAGTGTAGACAAATTTGTTTATGTTTAACCGATGGCGTTCGAGAGGTCGTTTTAATTAATTTAAATAATGAAAAAAGTGGTACGCCAATTAGGTGCACACAAAACGTTATGTTTTCTCGATTTAGGGCGAAAACTCGAGAGGCCATTTTTGTTTAAAATTGATCAAACCTTGACGCGCAACTTTTTTGTTATTTAAATTAAATAAAACCATATAGCTGCAAGACATGATAGAGGCCCTGCCTATGCTGCCTATGTAAAAATTTTGTGCGCATGCGCGAGATTTAAAACTTCGTTTTTAACCAATGGCCATTCCAATGGCAAATTCTGACGTTGGATCCATAAGACCTTGCGGCTTTCAACAAACAACATGGCCGCTGACAGATCGTCCATGTTTGGATTCGGCAGAATTTTCGAAATCCTATTAAATTTTCGGGCATAAAAGGAGTTAAGATGTGAAAAAGCAGTGCAGAATGGCAGCACCCGCGTCGGCGTCAGTACAATTCTGTAATTAATTTGGTGTTTTTGTTCTTTAGGCTCTGTAGATAGGATGCAATTTCTAAATGTATTTCTTTATGTAAGCTATTTTTTCCGATTTTTTTTGCTTGTACATCGACGCAAAGCGTTAGTTTTCATAAACTAATAACTTTGAGAATCGTCTAAGCGGAAAAAATGTTCAACAAGCACTTGCTATAGACAGTAGTTGACAATGGGTATTTTTTATGCTTGTTCTAGTAAAAATTCAAGTTGTAGCTTAATTGTTTTTTTAGATTTCCTGTAATTTGTGTACAGTAAAACGTATTACCCAAACATTTTTCGTAGCTATTTAAGTGTACCTTAAAATGTCGGGAATTCTGTTAGGCGCAAATTATACAAGTTTGTACTTATCTCGGCGTTGCCATTTTTGTTCGAGAAATTGATGTTTCATTCTTATAAAAATTAATCAATTGTCCAGACAAATTACGTACAACTTAGACAGTTGGCGGGTGATGCATGCGCAAAAGATCCATATACCTTCTCTCCAAAAATATCACAGCCACCTGCGGCGCCAGAGGTTAAACAAAAACGAGTTTATTTAGATTTTTGAAAAGCAGGAAAAAATTTTTTTCGCGGTCTATGTGAACCATTTCATATATTTTTTTTTACTGAATACGTTGCTAAAGTTGTTCCATTACCATTGGGATTATATAATTATACGTAAAGTGGTATGGTTATTTTGCCTCTAAATTAATTGTGTTATTACACAAAAATATTGGATTGTATTATATGCAACAGGAAGATCGATGTACCCAACTCGGTAACGACCCGGGCAGAGTTGTCCAACATCGAACTACAAACGTGGAGCGTTCCTTGCCCGGAGGAACAACTTAGGCCGCCTCGTAAAATCCGATTAGGGCTGTTCCAGCACAAGATCCCTGTGCCGACAACGTCCAGAATAGACGACATGCGCAACGCGATGTACGCGCTGGCCCGCGACGCCGTCGAACTTGCCGCGGGGGGCGGGGTCAACGTTTTTTGTTTCCAGGAAGCGTGGAGTAAGATATTTTGTTCGAGATGATGAATTGTTTGCCTAGAGAAAGTCACTTTTTGCAGACATGCCGTTCGCTTTCTGTACCCGCGAAAAGTCTCCCTGGTGTGAGTATGCGGAGTCCGCCGAACACGGACCGACCACCAAATTTTTGCAAGAGGTAAATTCTATTCATAGATATAAGAAAGTGACTAACTGATACGAATTAAGGAAAGACCCGGGCGAGCTGTAAGAATGAAATCTGATCGAACAGGTCCGTACTTTGCTTAGAATTTAATTATTTGGGGTTTTGTTAGGAAAGATACTAAACAATATTTATTTATTTATGTTTAAATCTAAAATAAAATTACAAATTATTTTTATTACCCACTTAAATCACTTAAAGTTATTCACATAGTACATCAGTACATACGATTGTTCTGCTTTTTCTATATGTTTAACAGAATTTGCCCAACTTTGTGGAGGGATGTTAAAAACTTCGGTTTCTATAAATTTGAGGACATTGTAGTTAACACGGGGAAAAATATTGTTCAATGGGATTAAACATACAGTGGTAAGGTGGCCTTAAAACTGTATGCCCTAGATTTTTTGCATAATTATCACAGACGTATTCTGTCGTATTGTAGACTTTTTATAATAAAAGAGAACTCCATTACAAGTTCTTTATTTAATCTGCGTCATGAGGTTCGGACGTAAGCGCGCGAGATACCAGGCCGAGAGTCCCACATTCTTACCTCTCAAGGCCATAGAATAAGAACACCACAGACCACGGAACAAAACCATGATGCAACATATTCCTTTTGTAGGTTCAAGCTTTGTAGAACCTCAATTAATTGCTTTTTGATATAATCTTCGTGTAAATAAATGTCGTTATTATACATGTAGTTTTGGATTGTTGCTTTTGTGTCACATGAGGTTTTAGTCAACTGTCTACTGCATCGCTTCTTTTTTTCCTCGCTGAAATGGGATTATTCACAATTATCCATACAGTTGATGTTGGAATTTTCGTCGATGTGGCCGTTTCTTCTAAAGATGCTTGCTTGGTGGCACCACGTTCAATGAGAGTCAAATGAACATTGTTTATAACTTCCTTAGTCTCAATAGAATAGTGTTTTCTACATTTGGGCGGCAGCATCTCCTGAGATACACTAGACTCCCACATATTTTGCATAATTCGCACACGATTCAGCACACGCTGTATTACATACGAAATAAAAATGATTACTAATAAACTTAAACTAAGTTGTATACCAAACCAAAGAATATTAAACACAGATAGGTATAAAATTATTTTGTATTGCGGACCACAATTTTACCTGAATTTAAATTCCGAAACTTTTGTAATAATCTTATATCTATGAACAGACCATAACGAGAGTATTGACTGAATAAGGGAATCGTTGTTGGCTCTGTCGTGACTTTTAACACGTTCGGTTAGCAATTATAAAAAGCATTTTACTTACACTTATTTTTTCGTTGCGTCTAGACCTGTTATTTCTTAAAAATAATGGTAATGGTGATACTTTATTATATTATCTAACTTATGTTAATATAATGTAATGCAACGCAAACAAACAAAAATTTATGACATTCGTTCTTAAATCTACTTATTGTATTTATCAGTCGTATGTTTACAGAACATATTGTATAATGTGTAGTAAAAATATTTTTATAAAATTCGCTTCCAACACTTTATTATTAACTTTTTCCCCATTTAGAATATTTGTTGGATATAAGTAACGTTTTTTTTTTAAAAAAAAAAACTTCCACAGGGTGCTGTTATACTGTTTACAAATTTTCTGGACGTTTCGCCAATTATTCCGTTGGCTTCTTCAGAGCTTAACTGCATAGCATTCTACTCTGTGCCTGCTCTCTGCTCTCTCTTGTTTACAGAGCCATAAAACTATCTCAAACCGACTGAGTCCAGAATTAAAACACCTCACATCTGCTCTTCTCTCTAATAATTTCCACACCTAGAGATATTAAGCGCTCCATCACAAAATACACTTCACCAAAACCTTCCAAAGAAAATCAGTCCGAAAGCAACTTGCCTCTGAGGTCATTCCTTACATTCAAAACATCACTGACAACATATTAAAAGGTCTTAAGAAATATAACGTTGCTTTACCATTTGTCCAAAGATCCGATTTTCGATCTATCAAAAACATTTTGTATATTGGAGAAACAGAACGAAAAATATCAACTAAGCTAAACGAGCATGAAAGAATCTTCAAACTACGACGAATAGCAGCAATTCGACAAAATTAAAATTCTTGACTACCAAAGAAAAATCCAAGAATCTATAGAAATCTGTAAGCAATCTTAAATGTGAGTAACCAATATGGGACTGAGCAGGTTGGATTTATCAACGAATCCAGAAGAGTTGTAAATAACATAACATGCGCATGTTAAATGGACCTTCTCACTCAAAATTGTTTTCATAGTTGCTTCAAAACTTATATTATCGGCATGAGCAGAGCCTCTACATCTCTAGTAGCTATATAAAAAAGCCATATAGTTACTTTTATTTACTTTTAGAGAGAGTGAGAGAGTTTGTAGTAGTTATCCATTTCATAACTCTGTGAGGTTCGTTGATTGCCTATACTATCACAATATTCCAGCTACCAGTGCAAAACCGCATAACAGTATGAGGTAACTCTTTCCTCTATATTCAATAAAGTCAATCTCTCAATATATAGATCCAAAAGTGTCTCCTGGAAAATTGCTATTTAAAAATAGGCATTTTTACTCCCCAAGGAGCAATCTATTCTATTGGTCATGAATGATAGAAATGGGGGGAAAAGACAAGATCCTAACCTACAATTTGGAAAGTTCTTCCAGCTATTTAGACTAACAAAACCACATACATACACAACTTGTGGGTATGCCCAATATTATTTTCTGTTATATAAGGAGATCATCGGATCCTTTTATTGGACGCTAACATTTCTTGTATTAATTTTATGAGATTTTGGTAAAGCTTAATTTTTTTTCTTTTTTTCAAAAATAGGAGGAGCTTTAATATAGTATTTTTTAAATGTTTAGCTTTCGAAGCAACACAATATGGTAATAATTTCACCGATACTGGAGCGGGACGAAACCCACGGCGACACGATATGGAACGCGGCGGTGGTCATAGACAATCACGGTCGCTATTTGGGCAAACACCGTAAAAATCACATCCCCCGGGTGGGCGACTTTAACGAATCAACGTACTATTTCGAGGGAAACACGGGCCACCCCGTCTTCCAAGTAACGCCGAAAATTGGCAGTAAGCTACAATGCACAGTGCTACAATGGCGGTTAATTTGTAGACAGAGTTCGGCAGGTTGGCGATAAACATATGTTATGGCCGACATCATCCCTTAAACTGGCTAGCATTTGGGCTTAACGGGGCGGAAGTCGTGTTTAATCCGTCGGCAACCGTAAGACGATGCACACAGAGGCGAAAATCCCGGCCAAAAATCAGAAATGCCAACCTGAGCATTTCAGGCAACTAAACTACCCTAGTTACTGCTTCATTCTGAGTATTTTCAGGAATATGTCAGTTCAAAGTTAACATTTCTTTAAAGGGGTTTTATTTTATTGTGTTACATTAAAAATCTGTATTTTAAAATAATAATTTCCGACTTAACTTCTTATAAAAATTTTAAAAGTCCTTAGTGGGAAGGTAGTGTAGAAACAATCAATTTTATTTTCGTATAGTTACAAAATTTTTCAAAAAAAGTGTGTTTTCACTCTTTATAGAAAAAGTTCTATCCAATTAATTAAAATCCAGTTAATTTGCGGTCTTGCCCGAAATATTTGTTCAACAAAACTAGGGTTGCGCTAAACAAAATCCACATTTTTTGGCGGAATTTTTTTTGTACTTATTTTCTCCTTCTTTTTTGGTTAAATTGGTTATAAAGAAAACTAGGAAAAAGAAGCGCAAAATTAAAAGAGAATTCAGGACTTTTTTTTTAAATACATTGAGTTAACAATGTTGCAAACCATATCCAGTGGTTGCGGGATAAATACAGCTTTTAAAAAATTCTACCTTAAACCAACTAGGAAGTATGAGTTGTAGGTGTGGTACAATATCACAAAGCTCGGGAATCATGTAAAATTTCATCATCCCAATTGGGCAGCTGAGTGAAGAGGTTCAGGAAGCATGAAATAAAGGTGTTGAAAGGTACAGGAAATTAAGTGTTACAAACTTTTCTATAAAACAAAATATGGAAGAGATTTTTAATAATCTGCTTGTCTCTTGTGCTATTTGGGCAGTTTTAGTTGACTTTAGATATAGGTACTACTATGTACTATATTAGTAAGATTTCTTTATCCATCTTGAGTTTCAAATTGCTGTTACTTTGAATTGATCGAGTGAAGGAGATTCATACGGCGTTTTTGTGAATTGATTGTGATATAGGCAACAAGTTGTGGCCATTTTTCACAATCTGCAGTATTTTTTGTTACTACTAATGAAAAGTATTTACGAGTCACTTCGGATTACACCATCGAGTAAAATAAACGTGAAAATTTTTCGAAAAAAATCTTTGCAAGCATCTGGTTATTCACCTTTTTTTTAATTCGAATTATTGGTGCCGGATTTTTGGCCGAGATGTCGTCCACGCTCGCATGTGAGCTAGCACGGAGAATTCGGTTTCCAGGTCGGGCAGTTAAGCGAGCCGCTGTGGGGCGTGGAGGCCAGGAACGCCGCCATCGCCAACGGATACTTTACCTGCGCAATTAACAGGGTTGGCACCGAAACGTTCGAGCACGAGTTTACTTCCGGAAACGGAGAACCGGCCCATCACGATTTCGGCCATTTCTATGGCTCGAGTTATGTGGCGGCGCCCAACGGCAGTAGAACTCCCGTAAGTTGCGTGCGTCATTTTTAATGACGTTCAGGGCGAAGCACAGAAGTTATTTTAAATTTTGCGCCTAACACACTGACATATTTAAGCTGATTATTTACTTAATATACTATTATAATACCCAATATTTGCAAGATCTGAAATACACCTTAAAAACGGTAGTTAACACGACGTAAGTTCAGTTGAAACCAAAGATTTCTTTCTTTTGTATTTATTACCGCCTAAATTAGCATTTACTCCCTGGGAAGTTGGTGTAACACATAATACACGTTTGTTCTAGCTCGTTTTTAATTAATTAAAAAATAAACATAAAACGCGCATGCCCGGCGAACCTCATAAACTTGACACATTGCAGCTAGGTGTGCCAACCTTAAATTTTATTGAAAATGTAACCAACTTTTAGGGACTTTCGAGGACGAATAATGGGCTGCTAATTACCGAAGTGGATTTAAATATGTGCCGGCAAGTTAGAGACCATTGGGGTTTTCAGGTTAGGGATGCCGTTTCATAATTATGTTTATTTTATTTGGTATCTGTTTTAGATGACTCAGAGGCTGGACTTGTATGCTGAACTACTAACGAACGCTACGAAATCAGATTTTAAGCAGCAAATCATTGGAAATTATTAATGTGTCAGGTAGGGGATGAGATTATTGAACAAATAAATTTGGCTCACTCATTTATTACTTAAATTTAAGTGGTTCAGAGGAAATAATAAATATAAACCTATCTGTTGTTGTATTTTTTGCTTATCTCTAAGGCAGCCCTGTACAATTGATAGTTCGTGATACGTAGCTTCATATTCTCCTTAGTTAATTCGTCGCGCGATTTCTCCTTCTCTAGTACATTCTCGTCGTCGCTAATCTCAATGTCCTCATTCTGGATCACGGAAACTACAAACTCGTCATCGCTTATGTCCAGAGCACGATCTAAAGACTTGACAACTATGCCGGGCCTGAAGCTTTGCTCGAAAAAGTTTTTAAAATTGGCTACAAATTTTAGGTTAGTTACGGCGGCTTTGTGTTCGAATTTTTGCAAAATCTGTTTGCTATTTATTTCCCACGTGAAGACGAAATTGTCGTCGCTACCGCTGGCGAGGATGGTATTATTTATGTTTAACGCGATGCCAATAACTTTCCCCTTATGACCGATAAATTGTTCGCTAGATTTCTTGTTAATGTGGTAAGTCAATGCACGGGGCGGGTTTTTGAGATTAAATTGGTGTATCGCGCCGCTGTTGGTACCGACGTAAAGCTGCCAACATGGAGAATCAAAAATGACCGACGTTAGCGGTTCGCCAAAGACCAAGGTTAAGAGTGTTTCACCATTTGACAGAGAGTACAATCGGCATGTTTGATCTGAAGATACGGTAGCTAGACGCGAGTTACTACCAAACTGACCTAAAAGATTCCATTGTCAGCCAAATTTTCCATTTCAAATTCAGTTTCAGCCCTTACCAATGTGGATGTCCCTTATAGGCATAGAGTGATCATGTTTACTGTAAATGGGCTCAACTTGACCAATTTTGCTTTGGGTTAACAAACTGTGCTGAATCGCGATCAAGTCGGCCAAGTAATACACCACTAAAAGCCCGTCTTCACCACCCACGGCTACATATTCACTCTCTGAGGACAATTTTATACAAGTGATTGGTTGATAATGCTTCTGCTGCACAGACAGTAACTTTCCTGAACACAGCTGCCAAATGTATAGCTTCGTGTCAATCCCGATGGCCAAGTAATTGCTTTTGGGACATACTGATAGACAAGTTGCTGGTCCTGGCAGTACTAACCTAAAAATATAGACTATAATTTGTTACCACTATTTATTTCATTTTACCTGATGTTTTTATCTTGTTCCTGACCATTTGCCGGCCAGATGTGTAACAGGGGCTTATTTAATTCGCCGGTTAATAAGTAGTCGCGTCCGATGAAATCGAGAGTTTTGCAAGACACGGTGCCACCGTTTTTATAAGCTTTCAGTATATTTTTGGTATTGTAATCCCACAGACACACTGAAAATTGCTGCGACGTTTGCGATGACGTTAAAAGGAGTTCGGGGTTCTCCATATCAAAACTCGCGTTACAAAATACTCGAACAAGCCGGTTTATTTACTACCGCAATATACGATTCTTGCTTTGAGGTTAATGCCACTAAAACATGGTTCTTTTGTTTTGACCCAATACAGTGTGTGCTACTGGCTGTCTATAAAACGAAGAAGATTCGGTTATTTCTAAGGTTGTTTAGCAATGAATTTAAAAGTTTTAAACTTAATGTTTTTCCTATGAAATTTAATTTTAAAAATGAACGAGCAACAATATTGTTTATACAATAGTAGTCACGTTATTCCGGTTTATAATCAGAAAAATGGTTTGGAGGAAGAACGAAGTTTAACAATACATATTTTGGATTTAATTGATAAATTGGTAAGTGGTGTGCAATCTACTGCATATTAGATAATTCCTAATATTTTAGCAAATTAAACTTAGAGACTTGTCAGATTATTCTTTCAATTATACCGAAATAATTGATTTTGGAGACTTTGATGTTATACGAGTTAATCAAATGTTGGATATCAACTTTTCAGAGTTCAAGGTTAATATTGTTGAAATGCTTCACCAGTTTCAAAAGAAAGAAATGTAAGGCGGATATTAAATGACTTCTATATCTTACTGAAAAATTGAAGGTTTCTAAAGTGTCAGGTGGGGGATAAAAAATGTACATTAGTGTTTTTTACAAAATCCAAAATTAAATCCATGGTTTATTTAACATTGGACTTACATTTGACTGATCAAAAGATTATTGTCTCCGAAATGGTGGCCGAAATTCAAGAATTACAAGTAAGCGAGGAAATATAATGTAATAAAAATTTAAATAGGTAATTGTAGGACTCTAACGAGAAATTGAAAAAACAGTTAACCAAGAGCAGAAAACTGTGCCAAGACAAAGACGTCGAGTTGAATGAGGCGCTAATGGAGAAAAAGCGACTGAGTGCTTACTTTTTCACTGTAGGCCCTCGAAGTAGCATCTATTAAAAAAAAATAATAATTTTCATTTTTAGCATATGAAAAAAGTCGACAACTTATTTTCCAATCAAATTGCCAGAATTCAGAACCAGTTGTTAAATTCAATTTCGAATCAAGGAACAAAATTAAGCTCTTTAGAAAAAAAGGTTGTCCTATTGAAGCATGAAAATGAATTGAAAGTACATTCAAACCATCATTTAACTAAAACAATTGAAAACTTGAGGATTGAAAATGCACAAAATGCGGCTATGATCCAAGATCTGAAAAAGCAAAACAGTTCTTTAAATATAGAAAGGGTTGGTCTTGAGAAGACAGTGGCAGATTTGAAAAAATCGGTCCAGGATTTACAGATCAGTAATCAATATTTAGGCAGCAAAAAGGTAGGAGTGAATAGTGAATATGATTTTTGGAGCCCACTTTTTGGATGAACGCAAGTCATTTTGTTGCAGGGGGAGTTGGAAGAGGATTTAAACAAGATGAATTTAATATTGACGGAAAAGGATAGTAAGATCGATGAACTGTCGAAAGATTTGGTACAGGCTAATAGTATGTTGGTAAATTTCAATAACCATTACGATTCCAAAACCAAACAGGTGGGTGGTGATTAACTAACAGGATGTGGACGGAATTTTGTTACATTTGAAGGTTGTCGAGTTACTCAAAGAGGTTGAGGCTAAAGACCAACAAGTTAAAGCCCAAAAGATGCGGTACAACGAGCTTTTGAAGTCATACAAGGAGTACGAAGTGCAGTACAACTGCGAAATGTTCAAAAGGATGCAACAGGAGCTCAGTTTGTCAGGCGAAAAGATTCGCGGTCTTGAGGAGGAAATGAGGAAGCTGAGTAAAAGTAAGCTCTATTCGAATTTTCGTCGTTTTTCCTATTGTTATTTTCCCTTCTTAGTGAACGAGTTGCTCTCCCAAAGGGTCAGCCAGGGATATTTTAAATTACCCTGAACACGGAAAGTTACTTGTGAAGAGAATAATTTTGTTTTAAACGTATTGGTTCTGTTTCCTAAGTGCAAGTAAAAGTATTGTTAAATTGATAAATGATATGGTTGCTGATTAATCAAACCCAATAAGAATATAAAATATATTGTTTTCTATACCCACTTGCTTTTAATCGCTGCTTCTTGGTTTATATGGTTACCTATGTGCCGAATAATTGACATAACGCGTGACGTATCGATAGAGGGCGCGACTTGCGGTGGGCGCCGGCTGTGCATCGCATTCTTGCGTCAAAATTTACGCGATATTCAAACAAAATTTGTAATTGTAGTAAGATAGTGCGATGAGGGATTGATATTTTGTCATAGAGTAACTTTATGACCATTACGGAGTCTGAAATCGACGATTTTAGTAAACCCGAAAAATCTTGCATTCAGTGCAGTTTTTACATGGTTAACTTTTACTTATTGTATGTATACTATAAAAATTTAATCATTACGAACGTCAATTTCTACGATAATAGAAGTTATATATTTGTGTCAATCAAATGTTCAAGTGTGCGCTTCCTGATGTATTATTAGATAGATATTTGCTTAAACTTTCGGTAAGTACTTTTTTAATTTTCCATGAAATGAAAATGAAAATAAAAGCAAGAGAATTTGCATTTTAATACTGGAAATAAAGCAGTGCAATAATTGTGAAATAATATAATAAATAAATATATAATAAATATTTATTTCGTTTTGTTGTTTGTAATACCAATAATGTTGTATCTGTAAAAAATAAATTAAAAATTATAAAATCTTTTTTTTTTAATGCTTATTTGCGGAGCGTGAATTGCTGTTCTGTGACGGAGCGCTACATACCAGAGCTTGCACTACACGTGTTAGTCAAGTATTTCCGCTGATATTGCGATTCGAGTTTAAAAAGACACTTAAACAACTTAAGGTTTTATTAATTCAACATCGTTCAAATACCTTATAAAGATTTGGTAGACTGGCAATCTCCAAAAGCGCCCCGTTCTCCGTGAAACTCCGCGGAGGTATAAAATACTCCTTAATAGCAGGGTACAGAAGGTACTCTGTGACCCATTTCCAGTCTTTTCCATTCTCGTCCGTTTCGGACGACACGTGCGCGTAAAATTTGGCCGTCTCGCGGCAAAACGTGTCGAAACACGCTCGTTCCGTTTCCCAATTGACGTCAGTCGCCAGTCGGATGAGGTAAAGCGGCAAACGCGTCGCGTCCGGTATGTATCCGGCTAAAAGACGCCCACTTACGTAACAACCGACCTCGTTACGTCATTCGTACCTAGCAGTATGGGTAAAGTTCCGAGCTGGCCGTCATGTCGGATTTCCATCGAGAAATACTCGTTTAACATCTGACCTTTGTCGATTAAAATGTCGCTGACGCGTCGGGCGAGCTGCTCTTTTGGACCGTCTTCCACCGTCCAACCGGTTTCCGGCAGGTCGAGGCCGATCAGCGCCAATTCCTCAACCGTCATTGGCGTCTCGAACCTATGCGGATCAGTTGAACTCAACCTTTTGCATTTGACTAAATAGACCTAGTAGAGTAATGTGACGTATGGAAGACTTACCGTTGATTAAATTTACAAGTCGAAGAGCGAAGATTCGATTATGAAACGTCGATATGAGATTTTTTACTTCACTTAATATAACACAGCATAGCATAGCGATTTTGGTGTTTGAAAGCTGTTTGTTTATTTGTATATCTTTGGGGGGCCCTTTTTCCAAAAAACGCAATAGTTTTGCTCTATCACGTCATTTTTTTTATAGCACTCTATATCTTTCAAATATTAGGTATGATTTTTATGAAATTAAATGTGATTTGGCATCACTGGACAAGTATTAGATTTCTCTGCAAATCACGTTGGCGCAGAAACGTCAATACAACGTTGTAACATGCTTATGCGCAGTTTGGTTTTATTGGTCGTGGTGCTACTGTGTGCGTTGTTGCGTATTTCTAGTATTCTAGAACGTATAGATGTGGAAAGAAGACGTCCAAATAACTTTTGTTATATTTGTGGCAGTTATGTTGTAGTAAAGCAAAGGCCAACTATAATTTCGTTTGTTTAAAATGTAGACCACGCTTATTTTGGTGTAAAAATTGTCGACCAAGACAAGTCCTGAGCTTCCCATACCGTTTGTTCCGTTTACGTTGAAGCATTAAGAAACTGACAAAAAGACAATTTTGGTGTTATAATATGGCGAGAGCCTAGGAACCACAATTGTGATTGTTATTTTTGTTCGTGTGATGTTCAAGGATTCAACAGAAAAAATAAACAAATTGTGTATCCCAATCTTGACTCTGCTATTCGACCAGATCCTCATGAACCAGAAGTTCCCTAGAATAAGCCTTACATCTAGTAGGAAAAATGCATTGACCCCAAAAAAAGATTGATGAAGCAGTTTGTGAAAGCCCTAGACAAAAATGCGAGAAATTTTGTTGGGCCGCAGAGAAGAACATCATGAAAAGACAAGGATTTTCAAAACCCAATGACCAATGTCGAGAAAAACGCCTGGGTTTCAGTTAAAGAAAAAATTGATGTGTTTTGAGGAGTCTAAGGACGAAAACTACGACAATATTATTCAAAATATGTTACAACACTTTCATCGTCTAGGTTGGAATATGAGTTTGAAACTGCATTCCCTGTTTTGAACTATTTTCCTGAAAATCTTGGAGCAGTTAGCGAAGGACCGGGATAGAAGTTTCACCATGACATTAAGGGAAATGGAACGGCGGTACCAACGCAGATGGAGCATATGGATGATGGCGGACTACTGCTGGAGGTTAGAACGGGATATGCCATTAAAAACACATAGCCGAATGTCGGGACAAAATATTTTTTTTTAGAAATATCGTTTTCTTTATTGCATGGCATGGCATCCATAGAAATCAGCCTATCAAAATTATATAAAATCAGTTTTCAAAATAAAAACATCTGTCAAAAAGTTTAATTTTGGAGACCTGTGTAATCTTCACTTTCAAACACGTGGTAAATTTTTGGTCATATGTCAAGTGTAGTATACCTTTTCTCCTTGGGGAACTTATCTAGTGTTTTACTTACACAATCATTTTTTCAAATGTGATTTGCGAATAAATGCAGGAAAAAAACGCCACTCACACATTTTAGACTTATTCCGGAAAAATTGCGAAAATTTCGTATAAAATGCTTGTTCGCGTCACTGGATCTTTCGGCAGGATTATATGACAGCAATGAGAAAAAATCTTTCTTATTTTGTCCAATAACACCACAAAAAGATCCCAAAAAATAACTAAAACAGACATTTAAACAAGTATTTCTCGATCTTATTTATTCTTGTAATTTTGTGTGCTTTATATGATAGTTTTGTTAATGAATACACTATCACTGTTCATTTGTACATTGTTCATCTTGTACTGTGTACAAGTGTAAATACAAAAGTTTGAAAATGTTTGCAACTTTCAGAAAAAACAAACGACCATCGCAAGTTGTCAAAATGACGGCAACATCATTTTTTTTTAATGGAATGCATTATACAATATGAGCTTAAACCATAAATCTTCTTTTCCTGATTTTGAAAACCTATAGTTTATTGACATTTTAAAAATACTTATCATTCGATTTCCGGTCAGTGGCCATATTGTTTAAAAATTGTCAAGTCTGCAACTATATTATCTATATTTGCAATTGTTTTAACAATGTTCTTCTTTTGACAACTAATTAAGTAACTTAAGATATTTCAAAGGGGTTATACTGAGGAAGTAAAACGTCAAATAATTAAATTATATTATTCAAACGGACTTTTTTTCTATCTTTCAAAATTAATACTGTAGTATGTGTAGAGTGAAAACTAGACATCTTTAGAAAACTTGTCGTTATAAAGATTTGGAACCAGCATATCTTATTTATCCTCCCATTTAATAATCATTAAAGATTTTTTATTCTTTGCTACTAATTAATTGTAAATAAAACCCGAGTTTTAACAACACACATTAACAGTATGGTCGGTTAGTTTTGTACTGTTACAACGTACCATGTCCCAGATAAATAACCTAAATGGGTTGAAATTGACATGAAATATTGGCCGCAAACAAAATATTTCATCATCATCATCAACGTGTGGTCTAAATTTTCACCCCGTTATTTTTGTATGTAGCCTTTCTGGAAAATGTCACCTGAAAGTCGCGGAAAAAGTATGGAAATGTTTTTATACGTTTTGATAAGTTATGATTGTCCCCACGACATTATCTTCGCGCATGTCATTAACCCGACCCCACCCTCCCTCTACCAAACACGTGACGGTTTACCTGTAGCTGTCGAAATTCTGAAAATTATACAGCGCCAACTGATAGAAAAGCTCTTCGAGAATAGTTGCGGTGTTGCACAGCAGGAGCTGAGTACCGTACTGGATCAGTGCCTGTTTGGGGCTGATCGGCCCGACGAAAACATGCTGCGCGAACGTTTCCCTCAACGTCCGGTGGCAGTTGTCTTCTATCGACTTGCGCAATTGCAGAACGCTGGTCAGTTTTGTCTCCACCCTGCGCATGGGTTGTGGTTAGTTTAGATTATGGATCAGAACAATGCACGGAAACACCTCGTTATTTTCTTGATGAAATGTTTACTAAGTGGTACTTGGGAACGTTTCGCTTCCTGAGAAGCCAATACTTCCTCCGGACAGGAGGTGGTAGCCTTTAGTTTGGGTCGCGTCTCCTGTTCAAAATCGCCTTTAGTCTTGGATGTTCCTATTTCCTTTGGTTTTTCTTCCGCGTCTACGGTCTCGTTCAAAATCGCTTCTTCGAAACTTTCTTGTTTTTTCAAAAAGTCTTCATGTCGTTGGTTGAATTCGTCTTCCGTCATCGACGTATCGGTGACTTTATTTCCGATTTTCTCGCTTCCTATGACGGGTTCGTTTCCTTTTTCTTGTGGCCCAATTCTTGAAACGGGGGAACATTCTCCTAGGAATACATTACTTTTTTATCTAGCTAATTTATTTGTACTAATTTAACATATGAAAGAAAGAAAACTACACTAAATTGAAAATCAAGCTCCGCGTGTTCTCACGCACCATGAAAGGTCTACAATTTCAGAAAAAAAAGACTGTACAAATCTCATCACAGTCTACTTGATTGTTACCACTTATGCAACATAGCTACGGGATAATACAGTGGCCCAAAAAACGTAAAATTACAAGATGCCAGGTTTGAAATAAAAGAGCTTTTTGGTTGAAAATGATATTTCTAATATCCGCGTTTGCACATTTTGTTTAGTAGCCATACACAAAACAAATTTCAAAATATACACGTCCACTGAACTGGGGAGTGACGAGCTCTGTTGAGCTTTTAATATAGATTTTGCAATTATTTTGTCAGTGATTTTTATCTAATATTTCTTGCTCAAGTATTTCTGTGCATTTTTGAGCACATGCTTTATACTAAAAGAATTTTGGATTTAAAATACCCTACTAAAATATTTTGCACTAGTTTTGGGCCACCCCTTGCCACAAGTTACAAAATTGGCGATAAAAAAAATATTTAGGCACCTTGAACACACATCGTATTGCCGTCCAGGTCTGCTCCCTTACCATGGCATTTCAAATCACTTTTCTTAACTGTGGTGCCAAAAAATTTCTCCAATTTTTGTACGTTTGAATCTGTGCGAATCTAAATTTAAAAAAATGATAAATCAATTTATCTTAGGGCGGATTTGATGTAAATTACCGTATATTTCGGACTTTCAGTTTTGGTTGCCTTATCACGCAAATTCTCTTTCGTTTCAAAGTGCAGCGAAGGCAATTTGGCCTACCAACAAAATAACTATTTTGATTACATGCATGTTCCCTATAATTCCAAACCCAACCTATATACCTGAGTGTAAAACATTCTTGAGTTATTGGAACCTAACAATTTAGCCTCCAGTGCAGTGGAAATTGTTTCGACAATTTGGGTTTCATTTAAAAAATGCACTTCATGCTTCGTGGGATGGACATTCACGTCCACATTATTGGGATCAAGCTCCATGCTCAAATATACAAAAGGATGCGAATTTTTTGGCAAGTAGGTCTGGTAAACTGTATCTATACATTTTTTTAAACCTGTGAGAAATGTCCGAGATCACCACCCTAATCCCAAAGAGAAATCATTACTTTTACTTACTTTGACAATCAACTAATCTATGATTGATGAATAGCAAGAACTGAAACTTTTTCGTGGAATAGTTTACGTTAGTCATGAAACCCTTCACTTTAAACTTTAGCTGATCATTTTCCATATCAAACTCAATTAATTCCCTTAAAACAATTACTTATTGCAAGAAAAAAATATTACTCGCTACATCCTACCTAGCAATGCCACTTCCATATATTATTCTTATATTATCGGTGGGATTTGAACCAATAGGAGTGCGTATATCATTGCTGTCTCCAGATTTTTTCAAAGCAAACCCTAAAATAAAACCCCTACACATAAACCCATTTTCAATATTTAACTGCCTACCAACTGACGCATTATGAATGGCATATTTGCCTACAACATCTGATATCTTTTGGTACTCTTCCGCAGGGGATCTAAGTGCTTTTCTCCTAACGGTCATGTTATAAAATAAGTCCTCCACTGAAATAATCGTGCCCTGATTTCCCGCGAGCGGTTTAGGCGGCGCACATAATTTGCCGTCGCTGTATTCTGCGCTAAATTATGTATCAAAACTTGTATTTGTTTCCATAGAAAGCTACTCACTGATAAGCGCAAACATTGTCTTTGGTTTTTGATGTAATTGAAAGGTGGGCAACATGCGAAATACTCGCTAAAGCTTCCCCTCTAAATCCGTAAGTCGATATTTTATGCAAATCCTCGAATTCCCTCAATTTTGAGGTGGTGAATCTCTCGCATACAATCTCAAAATCCTCCTTCCTTATTCCCGATCCATTATCTTGAATCTATAAAATATTTGTAAATTGTTAATTCACAAGGTAACCGCTATAATCGAATACCTGTAATTGTCTCAAACCGCCGTTCTTAACTGTAACTTGAATGTTGGAAGACTTTGCGTCTAAACTGTTTTCAATCAACTCTTTTAGGGCATTTGCGGGCCTCTGAATTACTTCACCGGCCGCAATTCTGTTTATAACGTCCTGTTCTAGTTTGCGTATCGGTGCTGCTTCAGCAGTCATGTTTTACAAAGTCGTCTTTCTATTTGAATCCCTTTAAATTTTAAAAATTCAGACATAACCTGAAAAAGCAAAAGCTGTTATTCTTCTTTATATTACGTTCGGGAAACTCAAATCATCAGTGTTTTCGAGGCTCAGAGGCTGTAAAGAAGAATTGTGGTGACGTAGTTAAGATATTTTTAAATTCCATCAACAGGTGGCATTTCCGATAAATAAATAAAATATGGCAGTTTGTGTGTAGGGGAAATGGGTTGTTTGTGTCTGCGATGCAACGCGGAATAATTAATTTTAATTGCTGAGCAATTACAAATGTTACAAAACGTAAATAACGTGCGTTGGTATAACCTAAAAAACGGAGTTGGGGGCGGCAACGTTCAAACTGTTGTGAAAAAACAAACGCCAGAAAAATGTTTAGGTTCTTGAGTGGCCGAAAGACCCGAAACGCCAGCAGCAACAACAAAAACATAAATAAAAACATAAAAAATGTGATCCAGTGCAAAGTGGTCCTTTTGGACGGCACCGATTTGTCTGTAGAATTATCGGTAAGTTTTGGTTATTTCCAATTTTTATTTAGGTTTGGACATTGTGTACAAGATTTTTTTTGTTCATGGGAGCGTACGTTGTAGTGTGTAAGTAGGCGTTGAGAATATTAAATGTCAACAGGTCGTTAATTTTAATATTTTAGTATTTTTTAAACGAATTGGTAAGAACGTTAACCCAATATTGTTATATAGAACCAAGGTCAGTTCATCAAAGCAATCGTTCTTCCATTTCACACATTCACAAACACCTAATTGCGTTTGAGAAAGATTTTTTAGAAAGCATTTATTATTCTATTGTGTTCCGCGCCTTCCCATGAAAGGTCCTTATTTTGTCGTTTATACGTTACATAAATGTTGCGAATACCACTTTGTGGATTGTTTAAATTGTTAAAAAAATTGAAGTTAATGTTTTTAGCGACAATTTATAATTCAATAAAATAATTTTGTACCCGAAACTGATTGGTTAGAATCAGACATTCAATAAATTTAAACCCGAAATATTGTAACATTTTGATGCTGACACGTATTTTAGAAAAAAGCAAAAGCGAGGGACCTTTATGAGCAGGTGTTCTATTCCCTCGACCTGATCGAGAAAGACTATTTTGGTCTGCAATTCACAGACGCCAATCATGTCAAACACTGGCTGGACCCCACCAAAACTATTAAAAAACAGATTAAAAGTAAGCCCCAATGCAAACAACAACTTGGGGCGGAAAATGCATAAGAAAAGCTGTTATAATTTTCAGTTGGTCCTCCATACACACTCAGGTTGAAGGTCAAGTTTTATTCCTCGGAACCGAACAATCTTAGGGAAGAACTGACCCGCTATCAGTTCTTTTTGCAGCTCAAACAGGATATCGTCGAAGGCAAGCTTACTTGCCCTCCCGAAACGGCCGTTAAATTGGCAGCATATGCCTTACAATGTAAGCAGATAGCACTATTAATAATTATATTAATGATGTGGTTTAAAAAAACAATTAAAACTATGAACAGTGTTTGTTAGGATGAGCGACGGTTTTTGTTGTTATTTTGTTTTAATTTAAAATATTAATAAATTAACGAAATTGGGGTTGACATCATCGCCCCTCCGAATCTTGTAGTTATGTGCGTTTATGACAATCCTACGTTGATAATTTTTTTTTAATGAATCCAAGAATTTTTTATTAGTACATATTTAATTAAATTAAAGTTCACTTACCTAACACCTAGCTTTAAAGACGCTCAAATTGATTGTGCGTGATTCTTTCTGCCCATCCATACAGCCGTGTCGTAAACCTATGACTAAAGCTTCGTTTTAGTGGTTTTAACCATTTATTTGAGTTTAAATTTTGAATTTCCCGCCTTCGCCGTCATTTTTTGAAAAATAAGAATGGATCGTAGGATAAGATTAACAAGTCTATATACGTCGTAGCGGAGTTGGGAGACTATGACGAAACGCAGCACACTGCAGCCACGGTATCGGAATTCCGTTTCGTTCCGGATCAAACTGAAGAAATCGAAATTGATATCCTCGAAGAGTTTAAAAAGTGTAAAGGACTCTCGCCGGCTCACGCTGAACAAGCCTACCTTAACGAAGTGAAGTGGCTAGACATGTACGGTGTCGACATGCACACTGTTTTGGTTAGTATGTGTGAATAACCTGCACGTTTTTCTAGGGTTGAGGAATTGACCGGCCAATTTTCTTTGTGTCGATTGACCGAAATAGTTTTAATATTAGAATGAAATTTATATTTATTTATTTATATTTATTAATATAGTGCGTTACATCGCCTCGTTCTGAGACCTGAGGGTTACAGGTAAATTAGATATAACAAACGCATAATAATTTATTATAAAATACATGTTATCATTAAATAATGATAGATAATGCTGTACAATTGCAAGATGTTATTTAAAACATTTTGGTCAAATATGATTAGTCATTTAAGTGGTCAATTCATCAGTCCCAGCACTACCTTTTTCTATAGATTGTAACCTAAGTTTCTTATTAAATTTTTTTGTGGTTCTGGTTGTTGCTTTATTCGAGACCGTGGGTCCGATTAGTATTTAATCAGGCTTAGTCTGCTTTTAAAAAATATTTGTCATTAAGAAGAAACAGACACTGAGTTATTATTTTATCTGATGGGTTCATCCATGGGTTATCGCTATTATTTTTGTAAATGTCTATAGGGCAAGGACGGAATGGAATACAGACTCGGTTTGACGCCCACCGGCATTCTTGTCTTTGAGGAGCCGAACATAAAAATTGGCCTCTTCTTCTGGCCGAAAATAAGTAAACTCAATTTTAAGAAGAAGAAGCTAACGTTGGTCGTCATCGAGGACGACGACGAAGGGCGGGAACAGGAACACACCTTTGTATTCAGGTAGTCTTATTTGCGACATTTTTCAGACAGATTTTTCGACAGATTTCTTTTTTGTGTTTATTCTCATCATAATCGAAGGTTCCAGGGAAATAGGAACGTAAAGAACAAGAATGTTATCTAACTTCCCCAGCATGGGATTTTATTATATTTTCTATTGGATTTGGTTAATTTAAAGTTTTTTTTTTTTTTTGAAGATTGTGTTGAATTGCGGTTGTATAAGCAATGTATGCACATATTGTGGCTTTTGACTAATTAATGAACATATCTATAAACATTTTATTACTCCTTGTTCTAAAGGCACCGAATATATTTATTAGGCAAATTTAAGCCGGAAACAATGCGAGAGTGGATTGCGGGTTCGCGAAAACTGGTAAATCGCACTTATTCTATGCTATCTTCGTTATGGACATAGCGACATACGTAACGTATCTAGTTTTATTTATAATTTAAAGGCTTCATAACGAGAAAGCCTGTAAACATTTGTGGAAGTGTGCGGTCGAGCACCACGGATTCTTCCGGTTACGCGCGCCGGTGAAGGGCCCGTCAGCGAAACAAAATTTCTTCCGGATGGGCTCGCGGTTCCGATACTCAGGCCGGACGGAGTATCAAAGCACCTACCAGAACAGGGCTCGCAGGACCGTGCAACTCGAGCGGAAACCCAGCCAGAGGTTAATTGATAATTCGAAGTTGATATTTTAACTTATTTACATTGAGGGCGGTTGCGATGTTGCCTCTAGGTATGGGCGGAGGCAGAGCCACGTGTTAAGGGAGAGACAGAAGCAGCAGCAGGGCCAAACCAGCGAGAGTACCGAGAGTACGTCGTCCAAAACACACGATGGCTTCCAGCCGTCGTCGAGCAGATGCAGCGAACGTTCGACCAAGTCCAGCGCGACCAACACAACCGAAGAACCCCTTTATTGCCAAGTCAAGGATGATCTGACCAAGAGCCTGACACCCACCCCCTCTAGTGAGTAAAGCCAGCATTATCCCCATTTGTAATGATGTCATTTTTCAATTTAAAAAATAATTGATGTCGACTGGTTATTAATTTTTTATAAACCATTATCTAAGGTTATGTAAAATGTCCGTCACTGTCGATCGAAAACATTGGTTTGTCAACTCGTCAAAAGTTATTTCAAAAAGTTAAATACTGAGAAAAAGATTCAATAGTTATGGGTATTATGCCCTTTTTTTACATTTAGTGGGTTGCTACTGCTCCCAGCCGTGTCGCTAGACCTCTAGTTTTAGGGTCATTTGAACTATGAGTGCGACAGAAGTGTTAAACTATTTTAGAAGGTTTTTGTGCCTTATCTGTTTCAAACACAAACACAACACAAATTGCTTTGTTTAATGGAAACATTAAATAACAGTTATCCTAATCAGAACTATTGTAAAAAAATATTTTTTAAACCTTCTTACCATACTTTTGTAGAACTGCTTCTCCACCTCCCATAATATATTTGCAACTTTTCAACAAAGTAATTTTAAGAAAGAACAAAAAAATAGAGAAAAATCGTTTTAAGGGCCGTGCTCCTTGGGCGTGACCGGCCAGAATAGTTTCGGCAAGGGTTCAGTGGGGCAGAGTTCCTTCGGCAAGGGATCGTCGCGAGGTAGTTCCCATTACAGGTACGACTACAGGAAGGCGGGGAAGGCGGAACGCTGGTGACGTTCTTGGCATTTTTTTTCAGTCCTGTACCGTCCATTGGCAGCAAGAACGGAACCCTGCGGAAAAACAAGGCGGGAACGCCGACCGGGGCGGGGCCCCCCGTCAGTCCGACACCGTCTTCGAACGCGGACAGCCAGCTCGATTTTCTCCTCAAGAGTCTCGCGAAAGAGTCGCTAACCGGGGTTAGCCGCGACGAATCCAGGAATAAGTTGGGTGAGTCCCCGGGAAAAATAAAACAAAACATTTCCTTTGGATTTTTTCCACCTAGTGTAGTTTTTTCTTTATTGCTTTTATATGCGTTAAAGTTTATTTTTTTAAGAAACAGAAAATGTTAGCGGGGCTAAGTCCCTGCCCGCCGAGATCCCCAATAACATCACAAAGGCTTCCAACGTTGCCAAACCGCTCCCACCAGGGCAGATCAAGTGCAACATACTCAAAGGTAAGAAAGGACGATTCTGAACTCACTGAGCTAGTTGTAAAAAAATAAGATGTCTGGTAACCTTTTAAAAGGAAATATACACTTTAATTATAAACTTTGCAAAACGCTCCACTGAACCAATAATAAGGAGTTTTTCTGGGCTGTAAGGCCGTGCTCTATTGGTTTTGCTACCAAAGCTTTCGCGACAGCCATCCGTAGTGGACCTTAGATTGTATCGCGTTGCGGTCAAAGTCGTACCTGTGTTGTAACGCTCGGACGGACGGCGGACTGAGCGGATTTTAGTACAGCCCGCCCCCTTGCCGAGTTGTTCGTATACGGTTTCGTGTGTGTTTTATTTAAGATGTTATGCCATATTTTGTTCACTTGTAACCGTTCCTCTCTCTGGTTAAAATTGTCTATGTATTTCGACGACTTCTCGATGTAATCTTGCATAATAGTGCTTCTCCGTGGACAATACTTCCGTGTTTTCAAGTCTGATGTTATGAAGGGTTACAAGTGAGTAAAATATGACACAACATCTTAAAGAAAACACACACGAAACCGTATACGAACAACTCGGCAAGGGGGCGGGCCGTACTAACAAACGCTCAGTCTGCCGTCCGTCCGAGCGTTACAACACGGATACGACTTGAACAACCGGCCCCAGCACCACAACAGTCGTCGCGCTACAATCTACGGCTTAACAGCCCATAAAAACTTATTAATTACGATACTGGCCGTGAAAGCCTACGGAAGTATGCCAACTGATCACATTCGGTCAGCAAGACTTACATTTAGTCGATATGTAGCGCGTATGTTTTATTTTCTCCGCAGCGAGACTTGAAGAAGAACTCCAAAACTCGAAACTGACGAACCAAATGTTCGTGCAGGCCCCCAAGGACGAGGACACTTCGCTGAATGCCGCCACTTTCATATCGGTGGTAAGTCTTTGATGACGGCAAGTGATTTTAGAAAACTTAACATGGAGCCCCCATATTGAATATGTTAAATAAAAAAAAAGTCTATTCACTTATTAAGGCAGTTAAAAGTTATATCGAGATATCTGATTCCGTCTCGAGTTGTAGTGATGTTAATACATTACTACTACCACATATCTACATACTACATACGTAAAAAGGATCCATATTGAAAGGGTTCAAACAAATAAAATTTACATACAAGATGCAAAATATTTTATTAAAATCTTTATAAAGTCCCTGATTACAATGTAAAAAGTAATATATTAAAACTATTGAGCCATTGTCAATCCCTATGTATAGGGTGTTATTGAAATGACATATAATTTAATAAATGAATCCCATGGTCGAGGGACAAATGGCCAAAATACTCATTATAAGGGTCGTCTGGTATTCCCCAACAATTGCCCCAAAAATTTCATATAAACTGCTTGTCCTGCCACTGTATCATTCGGCGGGATGAAATGATGATCTCGATAAGCCAGGCAATAAGGGTCAGGTCTTGGTCGCATAAATTGAAACCCCTAAAAAATAATTTGTCTAATTATTAGGTTTAAAAAAGCGTTACTGCTAACACGACACGCTTTCTAATAAATTTTAGTACAAATTACAAAATAAAATGATTCAGCAGTGCAGCTACTTTTTGGTGCCTACAGGGTCATGTGCGTAACTTTCCCGCAATGCTCTCTAAATGACCGATGTTTTATGCCTGCCTATGTTTTTACTTTACTTGTTGGTGATTCACTCTCTAGCACCTAAACGGTGTAGCACTGTAGTAGTTTTAAACCTAATTACGCGTGTTAAATTAAATTGTATATTTTGAAATAACGTAACCGTACGTTTAATTTTATTCATTGGACAGATTTAAACTAACCAAAACTGTTCCAAAAGTACGCAACAATGCGTTCCATTTGTTTACTATTTCTTATTGTTTTAATTTAATGTATCTCATACTTTTGTTGCTAGTGCATCAACTATCACTGTTCTTTTGTTAAGGTACGTTATATGTGCAATTTGAGAAATTACGGACTAATTTAAGCGATATTTGGAATGGACATGGACACATTAGAAAATCATATCCAGCGAGTTGTAACTAATTAATTAAAATCGGCTCGAAACATACCCCGAGTCACCTATGTTCTTAAAATATTCGACTATATTAACTGTAAAACAAAAAAAAAACCGTTGTACTAGAATGTTTTGCATATGCCCTTGATGTTATTGACGGCGTATCGATTTGCGTTTAACTTCTAGTGCATTACAGAGAATGCAGTGTTAATTTTTTGTGTTCTTTTTAACTTGGTTCTCTCTTACGATTTAGTTCTGTGCTAAATATTCATCCTATTCACCAATGATCAAAATTCAACTAATTTCAGGAAAGTTTAGTGAAACAAACCACCTTATTTCTGCGAAAATAAAATACCGTCGACACTGCTTTTACTTACAATTTGATTTATATGAATATTGGCAAAAAAATAAGTATATGTATAGTGAGCATCTATGGTGCGCAGGGCGGGGACAAACTGACGCTCACTGTCAGCGGTCCGCCGAGCATCGAACCCGTGAAAGAGCCGGTCAAGCGATGCACCACGCCGATCACGGTGACGTTTTTCGGACAGGCAATGAACGACGGCAAACTGGAAGTTTGCCAGGTGAACAACACGACCGACAAGACCGAGCAACGAGGTGCGGAGGAAGAGCTTTCGCTCAACCCTTTCACCAATTATCTGTCTTCGAGCTCGCTGAACCCGTTCAGCGGCGCCAACAGCGTGATATTTAACAGAAACAACCCCTTCGTCGAGAATGGAGCCGACGAACAAGTTGACGGGTTAAAGGGGACAAGACATGATGACGAGGAGGAGGGGCACGAGAAATGTAGCGAGGTAGGCCGCCATCGATAAACGGAGCCTTTTTTAAACATTGCCCTTAAATATCCATAGATGTTCCAAGAGTCTGACTGAGCTTTAATATAAAAAAAAATTGTGGTCTACATCGTTGGCTTTTTCATATTGTCATGTGTTTTTTATCCATCGAACTATTGATGAAATAATAAATAGAATACTATGAATGACTGACGTGTCAAACTGCCATGTCTAAAAACACGACGTTTCTGCTAGATGATTTAAGTTCGAAACGCCAGTATTGACCAGAATCAATCCATGTCTACCTTTAGAGAAACAGATCGAATAATTCCCCCTCCTTGTTTCAGTAACCATGTTAATGGTTGTAAATTTGAGTACTTCTGCAGCCCCTAATCACTGATAATAATAATAGTAATATGTAATATGTTTATTCCAAATAACAAATAACAAATTGAAATTGATGAGCCGCGGGGGTGGGGGACATTTTACCTATAGAAAAACCATTAAAGTTGTTTTACTAGCAAAGTTCCTCTTGTGACAATGCTGCTTTTTTAAGAAATGAAATGCCGCTGGATTTTTCGATACGGGATAATTTTGAAAAGGTAGGACTGGTCTCCATAGTTTTACTTAAAATCAAGTTCCAGATACACACAGGATACATGTTTCGTAAATTTATGCGATTCTTACATAATTATTGGCCTGATGATGCAATTTTTTAGTATTAAATTTATGTTTTGACAAATGATACTGTAGTTGTACGCGTGTTTATTGTATTACCTTGTGTTTGTTAAGAGTATGTCTTTTAAAAATTTTATTAGGTTTGTTATGAGCTTGTTATCATATACACTTTAGTTGTCAAACAGTTATGCCCATTCATAATTATTATTTTTAATTTCTGCCTCCTCTTCCAGCAGAAGCTCATGTTAAGCCAAAATATGCAAAAAGTATTAAAAGAAATACAGCTTGTTCCATTATAAAAAAAAACAAGTTTAGTTTCAATATCAACATTTGTGTTTCAGAAAAAAAATGACTACACCATTGGGTTGCACGTAAAAAAAACCCTATTCAGAACACTTTTCACCTTTCGATAGGTTTAGTCTAAAAATGCGAAATTTCCAAAATCACCCTGTCCTGTGTCACCTTTCTTTTCATTCAAAATTAGCCATACAGCATACAGAAAAAAGTCAAAGCAAAATCAGGGGACAATTAGAACGCGAGTAACAAGTTTTTTTTAATGAAATGGCCCAGTTTAAGGCGGTGGCTGTTGTCAGGTCTGTGTTTTTACAGGAGGTGAAGGTTCAGGAGAAACCACCCACACCAATGAGCCCAAACTTGAGCAAGTTGTCGCCGTGGCTCGTCTCCCAGGAAGTGATATCGTCCCCGGTAGCTAAAGTGAATACGACCGAAACGGCTATTATTCGAAAATCGGTCGTGACTACCCAACTTTGAGTTGGTCATATTGACGAAGACCTCTTACTTGACAAAAATGTCCGTTACCGCGCGGGATATTGTGCCAAAATAGCCATATATAAGCCATACGCTAATAGCCCTCTCATAAAAAAATCATACAGGTTAAGTTAAAAAAACAAAACCATACGGGTGTACCGTGACGGACATTTTTTCGTATCTGGTCTTGCAGATCACTAATTGCTAGTATATTTGCCCTACCGGCTCAAAATATTTTGGGTGGTAGTTGTAGGACTTATAAACAGAATATCGAAGATAGGTTCGAGGGAGAGAGAAGAAGAGCTATTATGGGCAAAAGAATGTTGCAAATTTATTAAACCTCCGTTTTTGGTTGGTTTTTGTCCCTAATAGCGCAATCTTTCGCCCGCCGTCTCTATTTGTTCCGTTTAAAGGTCATTGAGGTAGTCACGCAGACCGCTATTATTATACTGTTGAATCTCTTTTAGGTGACCGTCATTTTATTCGGTACCTTGTTTTTTTTTTGTTTGTTCTCTCTACGTGCATTTTATTATGTTTAGAAGTTCTCGACTTTTTAACTTATATAATTTTTATGCAGTCTCAGTATTTAGCTAGTTAATCGCTTCATCATTTGATATAAAATTCCATTTGTGGCCGCCGGCTCATTATTTTAGGTAATCGTGGTTTCTAACGCCCAAGTGCCATTCTGCAATTTGTATGACTCTATAGACTCTATGCATCCGTCCTTAAAAATCGATATATTTCTCAATAAAGTTTATCTATGTTTTCTACCACGTTTTTCATTGTCGTTACTTCATGCCATCCTTGAAAGTAGTTAATACCTAACATTTTTTGCAGCTTAAGATTTTTTATAAGGTAACGGATACTTATAAGGAGTTTATAAGAAACCTCAGGTTTTATAACAGTTTTTAGAGTTCTATAAGATGTTACAAATTTTTTAAGACGTCCAATAAATACTTTAAGTTTTATAATATTAAATCCAAAAAATTCCTTTACTTTATTTATAAATCCTTTGGTGTTGGTTACTTCAGTTTTTTTTATGTTTTATAGCGTTGGTAAAAAACTTTATTATGAAGCTTTCACTCCACAATAGCTTCATGATTCTTAAAACACCTAATAAATATTCTACATCTATTATGAAATGGAAAGAATTTTTAAAAAATTATAAACTTTATGTAGAAGCACGCCGTTATGTTTTTGAGGTTATAACGTTTAATAATTGTTTTCATAAGCTAAGCAAAATTAGCAGCTTTTATAGCAAGTGGTAAAACAAGGGATAATATCCAAAAGAAAAATAAGACTTTCAAAGAGACGATATTATTATTTACAAATCTTCTGGATTGCTCAACAAGTTTGGTTCCAACAACAAAAAAAAACAATATATTAACAAATTCCAGAATATAGCACCGGTTTGCTATGCATATAAAGTAAAGTTATAGCTCAGAATCTGGCAATGAGGTTATGATTGTAGGTTATATTGATATTCGCGCACTAATAGTTCCCAACTGGCTTTCCGGTTACTTTCAGTGTCAAAGCGGTTGGGAAGGTTTTTATGAAAAACTTTTTGTTAACTTATAAAACTGTATCCTGACTTAGGTTTTATTGCAAGAACAATAGTGCTATAAGACACCTAGGTAAGTTTTATTAAATTTTCCAATGCGTTTGATAATACTTGAAAGTCAAAGGGAACAAGAAACAAGGGAAACCTTTTCATGTTTTTTCTTATCGACATGAACACCTTTACAAAAAGAGAAGAACGTTGCATATTAAGCAATATTGCTGAAACTTGAAGACATATTTCTATAAACATATGCGATTAAAAAACATTCTGCCGTTTAATTTTTAAAAAATGATGAGAGTGCTATAGCGGTTTTATAAGACTAACGAAAACGTTTCGCGATAATGGATAAATAAACTACGTCACGCGACGTCATTGTCTTCAGCTTGCTTACCTGAATGTGGAATGTGAAATTAAGGTATATGCATATTTTTTTAAGATATGACCAAAATCTTTATTTATCAAATGAAAATATTACAAAAAAAAGTGTAGTTAAATCGGAGTAGTAAATAAGTACTTTAAAATATTGCGATTTTGTTTTTAACTTCTACAAACTAAAGGTAATTTTAAAGCTTAAATTACCGCCCAGTATATTTACACGATAATTACATACTCTTCCTAAAAAAGTATAATATCAAACTGTTCGCCATAATACGGCGCGTCACCTAAAAAATAGTGTAGATATATTTTACATAAAATGGTAACGACATGAAGTAGAAGTAGCAGTAAGTAGGTTCACGGATATATCAAAATATCACATTTTTTGCGTTCCTAGGGAATCAGTCGCTTATTCGAATGGGTCGCGAAGGCAAGGCGATAAAATTCGACATTATCCTAAGTTTACGGTTTTGACTAAGTAGACATGACATCGCCACCCGAGTCTTTGTGACGTGGCGTGATGCGGTTGTTAACAGGTATATTTTCCGGTTATAAATGTCAATTTTAGGTTGTTCAATAACGTAACCGCAATATTTACCGGTATTTCGCTTAAAATTGCGTTAAGTACGGGTGACGAAAACATTATTAAATTTGACTAATTGCTAACGTCATTGTGCTGACGTCCTAATATGGGAGGTCAATAAAATTCGTCATCGCTTGGGTGATTGGAATTTTCGTTTTTGGCACTATTTAAATTCGATATGCTGGGCATTGACAATTTTAGGGCGAGCTGAAGTTCGGGACTGGTGGAATCCATAAGAGCGGCCGAGTCTGCAAGAAGAAAACAGGTAAGGAATAGTCACAGTCCACCATTTTTATCATTTTAATTACTTTTTTTGTTTGTTGCGCTTTTAATCGTTTTAATTTATTTATCATGAATTTTACGTACAGAGCTGTTTTTTTTTAACGTCCGTTGCCAAATTTTTGTCTTTTCGTGTATGTTTATTATTTCACTAGTATCGTTAGATCTAAAAAAACACTAAAAGACTTTAAGGCAAATAAGCCTTAGAGGATATATAAAATTGCAAAAATTAAATTCTTGGAACAATTTGGCATTTTTCACGTCCATATCATGAGTCTAAACACTGTGATTTCTATGCTTGGTTCCCAAATAACGATTGACCATTCTAGAAGTTCAAAACATAACAAAAATTTCTACTAAAATGTCTCTAAGTCTTTCATATTTTTTCTTTTGCTTTTCCCTGGGCGATATTAACCGTACCAAGTTCTATTGAGTGCTTTAAAAACAAATAAGGTTTTTCCCAGAATTTATTAAAGTATATTGCGATACTATAATTGTATAATTAGATAAATAAGGTAGCATTTTCTGAAAATATCCAGGTACCTCTTCGGACACGACGTCGTCATTGTTATCTTTGTACAATCTCTAAAATGGATATTCCAAAAAGCGCGGACCATTTTTGAAAATGATAAGCGCGGGGTGGAAGGGATTTGTAACGACGGGAACGAAACGGGCGATCGGAGTAGAAGGAGTCGAAACCACGTGGGCGTGGCAATCCGACTGTATGGTAAACATTTACGTAACTGTGCAAGGGAATTGGTATTTCGATTTAACCTTCTTCATCTCTTCGCCCCGCCCGTCGGCCGGGACCGGATCATCCCCACCGTTTTCGTCGGGCACGTCGCATATGTATGACGTGCCGAAAGTGACGCGTGTCAAAACACGTCGCTTCTCCGACAACAATTCCTTATTCACGCCCTTACGGAGCTCGTCGCTGAAACTAATATCGGCTTCGGATAGGCTCACGATCCTTTCCTTCTCGAAAAACAAGTCGGGTGGAGCGCTGGGAACGGTCGCGAGCAACTTCTTTAGACACGCCCCCAACGCGGTCGCGTCTAGGTGTTTACCGAACAGATGTTTCGTTTTGCAATCGAGACACGTCCTTTGTGCCTTGGCGCACGCGCCGCATCTCGACGTTATTTTCACGGGCTGCTTGACGGTGAGAGGGTTGAGTCGCGCTATCGAGATCGCCGTCTCGCCGTGAGACTCGTGGAGGCGTTTACCCCCCGCCCCCTTTAGTTTGACTCGGTTCGCGCCGCGTGACTTGGGCGGGAACGTTTGGGATTCGGTCGATCTGACCGGAGGTTTGGGCGGGAAATAACGGGACTGACGCGCGTCTAGGAAATTGGTACGATTTTTTCGGTTTGTTTTATTATTATGTTGATGTCTCCCGAAAAGTGTAGAGTAATAATAAATTACGATCGTTGTTAGACCATAAGTAGAATGAAGTATACAGGCATATCCAGGGCCTATTAAAGGTATATGAGGAATGGAAAATGATTTTTTGTCACTCAAACCAGACACCAACTTCATGTTTTTGAATGGAAAATATGTATTATTACATGAAAAATTCTGGAACTTTCTAGGTGACATATTCTTTTGACATATTGCGAAAAGCATCAATCACGAAAACAATTAACCATCTTTCATCTTGCAATTTCTAGCAGTACAGCTAGATGTAGTTTGGCAATTTAATATAGTATTTATATTTTACTTATTAAATTAATTTTATATTAACAGTCCAGTGCACTATAAATTTTATGGATATCTTCATGCGTCAATAAACAGTGCTATAACAACATTGTACTTAAATACACTTCAATACATCGGGATTAAAAAAAATAAATAAATAAAATGCATTTTTTTTAACCCAATGACTCCCCTCAGATTTTGATAAAATATCAAAATTTTTTTAAGACGGATTATTTAGACTGGCGAGTGTAATTTTTTTTGTTTTTTTATTTATAAATCGTTCAGATAAAAAGAAATAATTATTTTCATATGACATTTTTCACCAAATTTTCTCAAAATAATTTTTATCTCCAAAATAGCTGAACAGAGCCATAGAAAGTTTTTTAAAATTTTTATAGCATTTTAAAATATAATAATATATAGCGCATTCGATTAAAAAAAAGGTGTGTGATTGGAGTAGATGTGACAACGCCGCAATGTCTTTAAATATTAAAAATTAATAATAAACAGGGATCATAGTCTCTTAAGGCTGCAACTCAATTTTTAAAGGTCTATGTTTATTTCCTTGTAGACTATCAAGTTTGGACTATCATTTTAAATAATACAGTTATTTAAAATGATATTAAAATGGCGGTTTTGTCACATACAATGTAAAAGGAAGCGTGACATTTTAGAGAAAAGTTCATCCTATTTCTCCCTAATAATTAAAATAATATTGTTTAAGGTAATAAGCACTAATAGTGATCCTGATCCCTCAATTTAAAAAAAAAAAAAAAAGTACTTCCTTCGACTGCATTTTTAAAACTATTCTAATAATTCAGGTGTAAGCGGCTTTTTTTACTCTACACTTTAAGGAAACAGACGATAGGTATCCTTACTGTCTCGGTTGGAAGTACCCAAAAAATGGGGCAGCGCTTCCAATATGAGTGCCAGGCATCGAGCGACGTTGTAGTTCGGCGCGCAACTCAGTGCCGGTGTCAAGCCCTCGTTATCGACCGCCAGGACCGATGCCCCTTTTTTCAGCAACTCCTCGGTGACATCGATCAGACCGTTCTTCGCCGCCAGATGGAGAGGCCTGAAAAAAAAAAATTCCAGTCAAACGGCGTCGTCGTCGTCGACAATAATCATAAGCTCACGTTTTCTTTTCGCTATTGGCGATATCGATCAGGGCCCGGTCGTGGCAGTTCTCGAGGATCAACAGCGCCGTCTGGTGGTGTCTCTTGATACACGCCCAGTGTAGGGCTGTGTTGCCGAAATTATCACAGGTTGATAGCTCTATGTTACACGAGACCAGTAATTCTAAAAAGGCAACAACACTTTAAGCTGCTCTTCGTTTAAGCCTCGTGTCCACTTTTAAAAAACTTTGGCTATACAAATCTCACAAGTTACTTGCAATGAGTGCAAATTTACTTACTTGGCCCGAGAGTAAATCCTCCTGTACTTGCCAACTTGTTAAGCGCATGTAGTGCAATGTATCAAATTTTTGCAAAACTGGAGGAACACAGGTTTGCAATGGAAAGTTTGAAAACAAAAGGCACACTTCAAAAATTGGCAAAATTATTTGAGGCACGCAAGCAATGCAAAAGAAAAAGAGTGAACAGTAGACAAATGAATTTTATATTGTGGAAATTCTTTGATTCTTTAAGTTTAAATATTAATTTTTATTACAAAAAGATATTCCTAAAAAGGGAGCTTAATAACCTTAATGTGATGTGTAAGTAGTGTAAGTAATGTAACCTTTAAAATACGTATTAATTTAGTTTTAGTTTCCCAATTCTCTCCAATTCTTTTAGCATTCTAGGAACAATTGTTTCTTGTCGCCATTGGTCATTCCCGCCCGTGTAACATTTGCTTTCGACAGACAAGTTGCATAGGTTTTCTTAATATCCTTTTGTCACTTTTCTTTTTCTTTATTTGTCATTTTTTTAAAGTGCGTGTACACATTTCTGAGCAAACGAACTTGCTAAACTAATACACTAATACAGTGTGGGCACGCGGGTAGTGAAAAAACTGTAGCAGGTCACTTGCAAGTGGATCAAAGGCTTCACGCTCTTAACGTTTTACTTACCGACGACAGAGGACTGACCGTACTGCGCGGCGGCTATAAGGGGCGTTCGGCCCTCGGAATCCAACGCGTCCGATGCCGCGCCGTGTTTAAGTAGTAAAACGGCGCACTCGCCGTGACCGTGCAGCGCAGCGACGTGCAGTGGCGTTCTCTCGCGACTGTCTCGCAAATGAACGATCTCGTCGCCAAAGTAATTGAACAGCAATTCGAGGGACTCCGCGGAACCGGAAAAACTGGCGCAGTGAGCCGGAGAGAACGCGTTCCCCCCCTCCAACTGGTTGAAGTTGCGCAATAGGTGTTCGACGCAGCTCGCGTTGCCTGTAAATCAATGTGCTTGTTGAGCTGGTCACAACTGTGACGCCCCAGCGATATCTGCTGAACGTAATTTTGGTCAACATCAATTGCATCAAAGAAAAATTGACTCCTTTACTCAGAAAGATTTTTTTTCTGCTTATGTCGAGCTAGATAGTGAGTGAATTATTACAAATTACAGGTTGCTAATTGACATTTTCACTATAGAGTGTTCGTCAAAAATACCATGTTACCTTGAGAATATTAAGATATCGTTTTAGGCGCGAGTTTTAGTTTCATTTCATTTCAAACTTTTCATGCAAACAAATTTTTCCAGGTGATCCTTTTGTGTTCAGAAACAAGAACGTTTGGTGCACCGCTGAACAAGCTTAATGAGTTTCCAAACTTCATTATACGGGATTTCCCAAACTCGATGGCTTATTACAAGTATGGAGATTGGATAGATAGACCTTTACAAAATTGGGGTTATACAAGAACTATGAGCTCTTTCTTTTACATTTACATTACAGAATACCGTAACATAATCCCAATATATGTTACATAGGAAGTTTTAAAATAGGCATTTCATTTACAAAAATTAAGTTGGTATATGGTTCGAGTGGATGGGGCAACGCTGGGACGTCCCAAATATTTTAGAAATGCAGATCTGCTTCAACCCAATTTTCAAATACCTAATCTTTTTCCATTCTCCATATACATAACTTCTAATAGGCCATCGAGTTTGCGGAACCCTATATACACAATTAGAGAAACTATTTTTGTAAAGAAAACCAATCCTGGTAAGCCGTTTTCATTGTCTTATTCGATATAAAATAGGGTTTGCAAGGGAGGAAAATAGGTTATAGAAGGGTGATGATCAACGCTGTTCACACAATCAAAATAAATAAGGAATATTTTAGGTAAAAGGCCGACACATTAGCGATGAGACCTTTTTTCAATGGCAATAGAGGGAATAGTCAGACGTTTGACAATTACTAAAATGTTCATGTCAACAACTTCTCTTAAAACGATAGTCCAAGACCATTCATAAGTAAGAGACACCGAAAATCCTGACTTTGGGAAGTAAATTATACTGAACCACAACAACAAAAGGGCAAAGAGAGTAGTCGACGGAGTTTTATCGGGTTTCCTAAGCGTATAACGTGCGAATCACCAACCATTGTAGCACGCCCAGTGCAGTGCAGTACAATCCTGCTCGTCCCTGATACGCATTTCTTCATCAGTCATGTGTTCCGCGATCAGTTGCAAGCACGCCAGATAGCCGCACGCCGCTGCCAAATGCAACGCCGTTTTGCCGTTCGTGTCCCTGATGCCGGCGTCGGCCTTACTGTCCAGCAACATTTTCACTATACCGTTTCGTCCTTGACTGTTGACTACCTGTCAAAGTATTGTAGGAAGTTGCTTGGCCGCAAGTCAGCGTTTTTTTGATTGAATATGCAAAATATCAAAATTATCATTTTTTCAAAGAAACTTCCACAGGCTACTGTAATACATTTTACAAAATTTCCGGATCCCTCCTGCGTCGGTTTTTGCTGGGTCGCACTTGCTGACGTTTCGCCAATAATCCTGTTGCCTTCTTCAGAGCTTGACTGAAACTGGCTCGCATTTTAATCTGTCCCTGCTTATATATTGTTTGAGGGGCATAAACACCGTCTCAGATGACTGATCTCCATATTGGTGACAGGTAGAGAACTGAGTCGCGGTTAAGATTGTTAGGTTGTTTATAGATTTCTATAGACTCTCGGATTTTTCGTTGGCAAAAGACCTGATTACATGCAATAATTTGAACCCAGAATTAAACCGCTTACCTCACTTGCCACTGTGGCCCTTGCTTACATTCAAAACATCACTGACCACATATCAAAAGTTCTAAAGAAGTATAACGTCAAAACCAGATTACCACTTGTCCAAAAATCCGTCAATATCTTCGGTCTGTCACAAACAAAATTCCATTTGAGATGCTAGGAGGTTACAGCGTTCCAGGCATATGCGGCAAAGAATATATTGGAGAGACCGGACGTAAAATATCAACTAGGCTCAAAGAATATGAAAGAGCCTTAAGACTAAGGCAACTAAACTCATCAGTAGTTGCCGAACACAATCATGAAACACGAATTTTATTCGATCAAACTAAATTTCTTGCATGTAATCAATTCTTCTACCAACGAAAAATCCAAGTGTTTAGAAATCTACAAGCAACCTAACCTCGACTCAGGTCTCTACCTGTCTCCAATATGGAAATCAATCATCCGAGACGGTGTTTATGCCCGTCATTTAGCTCCGCCCCTCAAACAATATTATAAGCAAGTACAGAGTAAAATACGAGCCAGTTTCAGTCAAGCTCTGAAGAAGCCAACAGGATGATTGGCGAAACGTCAGCAAATTCGACCCAAAAAAAACCGACAGAAGTTTTGTAAAAAGTATCAAAATTATCGTCAAACTTGTGTATTTCTGAATTTAAATGAATATTCTACCCGTTTGTCAGATATAAATTTTGGGACATGATCCACATTTCACACATTGAGTTTTTCATAATTTAGTTTTATTGCTCTTTAATAAATGCCTTATGGTGTTTTCAGTTTAGGAAGCAATCTTAAGACCAAGTTTAGATAGACCTTTCGAAATTTTCTTGCTAGGTTCTCCTATGTATTTTATTGTTTTATAAATTTTGGGTTCGGTGTTTAATACTGATAGATAGAGTTAAGAGTTATTTGAAACTGCCTTTTAGTTATAACCTTATCTATCAAAGAGGGGTCGTAACCATTGTTAAAAGTTATTTGACTTATAATATTGAGGATTTATGGCAAATGGAAACATCCAATTTGTTCTGTAGTTTAGTTATAGTTAAGTCCATATCAAATGGAGTTAAGTTAAAAAGGACTGCAGTTGTCTTTCTGGTCCAGTGAAACAAGCAAAAACATCATGTACGTATCTATGCCACCAGAGAAATCTTTTACTCAGAGGATGTTTATGTATATTTTCTAAATTATCCATGAAAATTTCTGCAAGTAGTGAACTAAGGGCGTTTCCCATAATTAATCCTTCTTTAGCAATATAAAATTGACCATTAAACTCAAAATAATTTTGGTCTATACAAACTATTAAACTATCTAGCAAGTCTTGTTTTATTCATTTGTTCATTACGTCAATTGGTGGAGTGCTAGGAAATAGATTTTGGACGTCAAATGAAACTAGAATTGCCTTAGGAGGAATTTTAACCTTGTTAATTAGTTCAAACGAATTTTTGATCACATATTCTAGGTTTAAAGGGGCAATATGATTTTCTAAAATCTTTATTCATCTTGTTAAAAGTTTAACTGATAGTGCTGTTACAAAAAAAAACTATAGGCCCATTTGGCATATCCTGCATTGGTAATTTAATTAAAGAATTATAATTTTTAGGAGGTTGTGGATTCATAATTATAAGTTGGTATTTTCCCTTGTTATTAAAAAGTAATGAATCTGTAATTACACTTATTTATTTTTGGTATAACTCAGTGGGATTATATTATATACTTTGGTAAATGTCTGGTTTCAGAAACTGTTCCTTTATCTGCTCTCTATATTATTTTGGGAAGCCTTATTTTTAATTTATTCCTAGATGTAAGTTGAGACTTCATTAAATTAGCTAATACGTGTTTTAGAAATTATTTTTGCTAAAGTTATAGTTAGTTCTCTTCGAGTATGAGCAATTTGTTTTATTTTATTTTCAAAAATAATTGATGACGTGACATTATTTATTTAAACGACCATCATAAACGCAGGAGTTTAAGTGCAGCGAACTTAAAAACAATTGTGATTGTTACTGTTTTAATAAATGTAATTTAAGCTTAGGTCGACTTACGGCTCGAAACAGACACGAGTGGTTGTCGGCGTCCACTATGTTTGGATTCGCGCCCGCCTTTAGCAGGGCCTGGACGCATTCGACGTGATTGCCAGACGCTGCGAGCATCAGTGCCGTCCTCTGTTTCCTGCAACAGAGAAAAACGACCAGAGTCAAACGCGCCCGGACTTGAGACGCGCAGGCGGTCATCCAACAACCTATCCACCATGTCGACCACGTGGGAATCTTCGGCGTTGTGGAGCAACAGCGATAAGCACTGCCAGTGGCCATTTTTCGCAGTATAATGCACAGCCGTCATCAGGTTCGTCTTGTCGGGCGTGCCCACTTTCGCGCCCGCCCTAAGCAGGTAGTGGACGCATTGTATGTGACCTTGGGTCGCGGCCACGACGAGGGGTGTGACGTCTATAACCTCAATGTATATTATTTCTACTTTATATGACGCAAGCGTACTCACTCTGTTCTGTTTGCACGTTGACGTCCTTGTATTTAGTCAGTACCAGGGCCAAGACGTCGGCGTTTCCAGATTTCGCCTGTAATTTCGTTCATTTTTGCAGGAAAAGTATACTTTGTCTCGAAGTATATCGACATGGTTTTCGACGGTAATTATAGAAATAACCTGCCGACGACAATAAAACATCTGACAGAGCATCGGGAACGGACTTTTAACGTGTCACATTAATGAAAATTAAACAAAAAATTACATTGAATATACAAAAATTTTCAATAGTTACCTAAATAAGAGCGCTTTTATTGAAAATTTAATTCTGGTTCGCTCTCAGAGGCACCATTAATGTTAATTGCAATGGGCTCTATATTATTTTTGCTGTACTGCATTTTTCCAACTCTCAACAGGTTTACTATTAACTATATTTTTAATTAAATTTATTATACTCAGACTTAAAAGTGGGAGTAACATTTGAATTCACTTCCTACCACAAATGTTTTGTGTTTTTGTAGCATGAGCGCTATCTATTACAATGACATTGTTATCCGGATCATTTTTTAAAAGAGAATGTGAAACCATTTTTCAAAAAGTCCTGCACTTGCATCAACCAATCTTTTCTGCATCGTGTGTATCGAACCAGTTTTCATCCAGGTAAACTATACATCTGGATCTATTTATACTTTTTAATTTCCCGTAGACAATTAAAGCTCCAAGCGCGCAATCTGTGCGATTCCATTGTCACTTATTTTTTGTCCATTTACTGATATTTAAATCCCATTTTACAAATAACTCTATGGGGGTTGGTACCGCTAGTAATTATATTGGTTTCATATTTTTCTAGTTTCATTTCATCTTGTTCATTATTATCGAGACCGTAAGGTTGAAAATAATTACGTTTTCTTTGTAAGTAGACAGATTTCTTTTAGCCTCTTGTTTAATGAATCCTTCACTTATTAACACATTTTTCGCATTTTGTTTATTATCTAATGGCAAGTGATTTCGACCTGACAAATGGAAAATTAGATTTTTAAAACGCACGAAACGGCATCCACATGAATGACGACCGTCTTGTCTCTTACCTATAAATTATTGGCCGTCGGGTTTGCTCAGTAATAATAAGTATAAAGGTCGTAATTATTTTTTGGGGGAGGGTCCTTCAAAAGCCAAGACGATATACCTCCAGACACACTTTACACCCATCATTATTGGATGCGTGAAAAATTGGATATGCATCCCGACGTTTTAATACAATCTACTGCAGCAACAAATTAGGGAGAAGGAGACAAAGCTCAAATTTTTCTTATGGCCAGGTCTGCAGCATTACCACGCCTCAGATTACCAATTCCATATGCCAACAACAATTTTTAATGCCGGATAATATTTTTTTTGCGTCAATGAAAAACGCATTAAATTGTAGTGCAAGGTTGATGATTATTGCGAAAAACCCCGCTCACCGCCAAATGCAGCGGCGTGACGTCCGGCGACCCCGCCTCGCTCTTGAACGCCGCCTCTTCCGTAACGTCTATAAGCTGTCGCAATGTGTCCAGTCTGCCGCACGCGACCGCGTAATGCAACGGGTAAAAACCTGCGACGAAAAATTAATTTCACCTCCCCCTCACTGAATGCAGTGAGCTCGAAAATAGTCGAACCTCGGTTATCCCTAATGTTCGGATCGGCTCTGTGGTTAAGTAAGTATTCTATGCACCCATAGTCACGCGCGCAAGTAGCATTGAGATGGAGGGGCGTGCAACCGTCGCAATCGCGACTGTTAATAGGACTCCCGATGCCGATCAATGTGAACACGCAATGGAAATGAGCCTCAGCGGCGGCGTAGTGCAACGGAAGCCGTCCATAGTTGTCGGCTAGCTTGAAGTCTGCTCCATTGCTCGTGAGCAGATCAAGGCACTCGATCGATCTGAATAACCACCGAATTTAAACATTTAACAAAGCAGGAGTGGGATGAAATGGCCTTCAGGTATAAGTGCCAGATGAAACATTCGTCTGTGATATTTAATATGAGAAAGAAGCTCAGACATTGTAAAGGGCTGTCTTTAAGAACGGGATAGTGTTTACTGCAAGTTCCAGAAAAAGAGCTCTTTGCTCACGTTTAATAGGCCCTTATGAGATAATTAGCACGTCAATTTTGACTTTTAACATTCACCTCTGATATTTAATCTGAAAAATAAGTTTCGAAATTGTAGGTGTCCCCTTTAAAGAATACATCACGTTTGAATTTTAATATTTAATCAAATCAGAAGTGGGATATGTTTACTGCAGGTTCAAGAAAAACAGTTCTTTGCTGACGTTTACTCGGACCTGAACATTTGAATTTTGGCGTTTAACCAAACAGGAGTGGGATGAATATATAGGACATATAAAAAAATAGTCACCCCCTGTATGCTGCACAATGAGAGGGTGTTCGGCCGCTATTGTCGCGATCATTCAAATCGACCCCGGTCTGCACAAACTTCCGACAGCACTCGACGTGACCCGAAAAGCAGCACATGTGTAGCGGCGTCCGGCCCTCGTACCCCTTTGCGCTCGGATTGGCTCCGAAATGCAACAAAGTGTTTGCCAAAATATCGTGACCGTTTTGGGCAGCTATATGCAGAGGCGTTAGGCCGTTTTTGTCGGGACAGTCTATTAAAGCACCTATACAAAAAAAAAACATTTTCATCTTTGGGAGAAGGAGACAGTCGATAAATATATCGACCTTTATCGATCAGAGTTTTACTGCTGATAAACCTCCCATATATCGCGGTCATGTGTAGAGGAGTACGCCCGTCCATACTCCTCCGGTTTATGTCGGCCCCTTTCTGCAGGAGGAACATCATACAATTCTCGCTATGAGCCGAGGCGGCAGCGAAATGGAGAGGCGTCTGGCCCCGGAAATTGACGGCCTCGATGTCCGCTCCTGCCTCAATCAAATCCTGATAGCATGAATAAGAACTGTTGGCACAAGCCACATGTAATGGTGTGTTGCCGAATGAGTTTTGGGCGTTAACATCAGCACCCGCGGACAACAGAAGGCGAATTACGTTTCCTATACCTACAACAAAAAAGCCACAATCCTATTGCTTTTAAACTCATAATGTGTATTAAGATATACAGGGTGTTTCAAAAATATTGAAAGAAACTTACGGGGGTCATTCCATGTTTAAAATAAAGAGTGCTTCATTGTCGACAAAGGTGATATACAATCACACAACCAATGTCTAAATATTTCACCATAACATATAGATACTTAACGAATTTAAAAATAATAATTAAAATTCAAATGTAAATACAGATATACCTAAAGACAGCCATCGATAGAGAACACAAAGACACAGGTTAGGTAAAATAACAAAGTAAGAAAAAGCAAAAAAATTAAAAGCAATAAAAAGATAGAGTTTTAAATATGTAACCATAGTCTATCTCTCAACCTCCTAATTGGAACACAAGCGTTGGGTTTTTCTTTAAATTTAGTTGGGAAGAATTATTTTAAGAAATATACAGAAAATGTGTTTTTTTAATAGTAATACTTCCTGTAATAACATTATTTTTCAACCATATTTGTAGAAGGATATCTGCCTAATGGTTGGCTGTTGACCCAAGGTTTATATAACAAACCACCCTTTATTTTAAACAACTAATCACCCGCTTAAGTTTTTCGCATTAGTTTTGAAACAACCCGGATGAATGATTTGAGTTGATATAAGCTCTCAAATAATGTTGACTATCTTCAAATTTACTTACTATTACTTGCCGCGGCAAGATGCAAGGGAGTATACTGATTATGGTCTGTTACAGCCACATCTGCACCACATGTTATCAATGTTTCCACCGTCTCAGGATGTTCTGCTTCTACAGCAAAATGCAAGGGCCTAAATTACCATATTAAAAGCATTTAACCTTGAATAAACATTTCGTGTAATACCTGCAATCCCGTTTATCGCTCACATTTACAAAACAACCTCTATTAATCAACAGTTCTACCATGGAAGCATCAGAATTCATAGCAGCATGGTGTAAGGCGGTTTTTCCATATCTATCTGTCACATTGGGATTGGGTATGACATTCAGCAACTTCTCTGCGCAAGTGTAGGCGTTTTTAGCCGCCGCTATATGCAGAGGAGTCTGCCAAAGTCTGTTTCGGGCGCACACAAGAGCTTGATACTCTAACAAAACATCTACAGTTTCTCCGGAATCTACTGCACAAGCTTGGTGAAGCGGTGTTATCCATCTGCTGTCTTTGGCGTCGACTATTGCCCCGTGCTCTAATAAAATACGGGCGATTTGCGCGTCCCCTTTAAAACAAGCGGCGTGTAGTGGGGTTCGCTTCTCGCAATCTGAAAGTAAGGTTATGAAAACATCGAATTCATGCATGTTGTGCGAAATTCGTGTCACACACCTACGTAATTCAAAGAATCCTTGGATGCTGCTAGTTGACCGACCTCAATAATATCTCCTTCAAAAATTGCTCGTATAATACTTGGCTGCAAATAAATGTGGGTGTTAATTCAAACTGAGGCGAATACGCGCACGACTTACTTGTTCCTTCAGTTGCAAAATTACCATTTTATTAATTGTGCGTTATAAAAGTATAAAAATAGAATTATTTATTGCATTATTTTTTCGATAGGGGAAATGTCAAAAAAATAAAGTTTTTTACTTCTTCTTCCTTTGCTAATTTTGTTCTGCATTCATAAATTTCTTCTTCAATGTTTAATACCTTCACTAAGAAGAAGAATTCTCTGTTATGTTGCATTTTATGTTTGCTAGTTAATGACACGAACTTAAGGGAATGTAAGTAACGGTAAAACCACAAGTTTTGTTTATCACAAAATAAGAACAAACAATACACGTTTCCTTTTATGACCAATTTTTTGCTTGTTGTTGCTACGTATAGCACAAATAATTTTCCATCGTTCATTCATAAATCCAAAATTAAAAATTTAGTTCGTAATTGAATTCCAATTTTTTGTAAATATCGAAATAAGCATTTTTCTAAAAATAAAAATGTTTCTGTGGTTTAACTAGCTTCGGAGCCACCGGTCCCATAGAAACGAAGAGGTAATCTTGTGTTTGTCAATAAGATCAAATAAAGTTTTCGCAACTACATAATCAAAATGGTAAATGTTATGAAAGGAGTTTTGGTTAAATGGTAGGTAAACAGCTAAACCAATATCTACGAAATTAATAACCGCTTCCTCCTTATTTGTAGCGACCAAGCGATGAAACAATTTCTGCTCCATTTGGATGAAACTATGAAGCTTGGAAGAAAATTTATAATTCAAGATTTAGACGAGTACCACCTATTCGTTTCAGCAGATATTTTAGACGTGCTGCAAGCCAAAATTGACGACTTAATGGACCAAATTAGTTTTCCACTTGCCGAAAAAGGAAACTAAAAGCAATGCTGCAGCGACTCCTACTCCATCATTTTAAGATTGAGGACCACCTAGGAAGATAATCCTCTCATTCTGGGTGATATATGGTGCGGATTAGTTTTGGTTAGGTTGAAAAGAACTCCAATAATGAGCTATAAAAATGAAGTAATTTTTTTTATGTAAATATGTGTAAATAAAAACAACTGTTTAAATTTTTAATTGGCTTGAATATCTACAATGTGTATTGTACAATAATGCAAAATTAACTAACTACACTCTAAAATTTGGTGCATTCTTTTAACTTTGAATAATACTTTCTTTTAAATGTGGAATAAATTTGTGATTGCAATTTCCCAAGTGCTTGATCCTCTGCTAATTTTCTACGTTTTTATTGTCTATTTTATACTCTGCAGGATGTTTCTGTATTCTGTGTATCTAACCTCTGCAAATTTAATGATGTTTCAGTGTTTGCTTTAAAAAGAATTTACAGGGCAATTATCTATTGACTATGGATGATATATCCGATGTTTATTTAACCGATTATATACCAAGTATTTATACGACACCATTGTCACTTCACTACAAGCATAACGGTAAAGACAGGCAAGGGGACGTATTCGCAGAAAGGAATGGAGTTGTTATCATTCTATATAACGTCAGCAAAGACGCCTTAGTCCTTGTGAAACAGTTTCGTGCACCCGTTTATATGCAGAACATTCCTGAAACGGAAAGACACTCGCAATTTGATACCATGAAATACCCTGTAGGACTGGGAATTACCCTGGAATTTTGTGCTGGGCTTGAAGATAAGGATATTCAAACAGATAAGGTAGCACAGGAAGAAATTTTGGAAGAATGCGGATATGAAGTCCCTGTGGATAAGCTCGAGAGAATTGCTAATATTTGCAATTTATCTGATACCACAGGTGCTAGAAGCACATTTTATTACTGTGAAGTAACAGAAGACATGAGAGTTCATGGCGGCGGGGGTGTTGAAGGGGAGAATATAGAATTAGTTGAAATGTCTGTTGAGGATGTTGTTAAATATGCTAGTAAAAGTTATGTTTGTTCACCTATGAACTTTATGTTTGGGTTGCAATGGTTTTTATATAATAAATATAAAAAATATTTTTTTTTTACTGTTGACCATTGTTAGTTCTCTTTGCCGAAAGAAAAATGGAGCTAACTATTTTTATAATGAACCTTGAAAGAATTTTCAAATAAGTAAAAATACCAGTTTAATCATTTTATAATTCATGTAATTAATTAATTGTACCTTAATTGTACCATTCCGACATCTGTTACCTACCAAGCAAGTTATGATATAAAATGTGACCGATAATAAAAAAGATGGCGCCACAGGACGCCTCACAACGTCAAGGACCGTCAATCTGACGTTTGTCGCAGAACATTACGTCACTCGTTCAATATGGAGGATGTGTAAGGTAGTTTCGTGTGGAACTTCGAAACAAAAAACCGCGTCTTGCACGTCGTAAAAATGGGTGACGGTGTAACAGCAAAAACAAACTCTTCCCAGCAAAACGAACCGACGAAGAAAGGGTGGCTCTTCAAGTGGACTAATTATTTGAAAGGTTATCAAAGAAGGTGGTTCGTGCTTCAGAATGGACATTTGTCCTACTACAGGTTGGTTTCGATTTTAACAAATCGGTTAATTAGCATATTGTCGCGTTTTGTAAGCAGTTTTTGTTTTGAATGTAATATTAAGAGGTTTTAAAATATGATGCGTCGTTAATTTGTCTGAATATTTACAAAACGTAGTTTACCCGGAACTGATAGGAATTGAATCCTGAAATAAACTTGTTTTGCTCATAGGGAATCCAAATATATGGGCATTGAAAAAAGTACTACGCAGACCCAAAATTTTTAATATTTCAGTTATTTTCAACACGCTACTTTGTAATAAATTTAACTTTCAAATTGTTCCACTAACATCCTTGCATTCTTGTCATTTTAATACTTTAATGCAAACTCAAATTTCAACAAAATTAATATTTTATATTGTCATTGATTCGGGCTCAATGTCTTTCATTATCAGCCATTATAAAACATTCAATGACCGTACACGACTTTGTCAATGTTTTTTGCATGATTATATTAATTCCGTTTCTTTTTGACTATTTAAGTGCTTGTGTTAATAATTACCACAATTAAATGTTATTAAGTAGCCATTAATAAATTTATTGTGCTATCAACAATGAACAATAATACCAGAGTAAATAAATACCTAGCGACCTTCGCACATTTACTTTTCTCCGCAAGAATAGGCTATTGTTTGATTTGGTTGCCTTCAAAAAATTAAATAAATCGTTAACATTTAAAAGAAAACAACGTTTTGGCGCCCATATAAATTTATTTTATTTTTGCCAGAGAATTTATTAATATAGGCAAACTGGTTTGCCAATTTAAAAACTAGCACTAGAATCTTTTAACGCGTACTTGGTTTCTGTTTTAGTAAATGAATCGCCAGCTTGTTTTATTGAATATTCATTCTTACGGTAACTTTTAACTTAGGAATTAAGAAAAATTGCATAAATGTACCTAATTGTTTTGGCCAGTTCAAATATAAATATAAAGTCAATTTAACATGGTTCATAGAATAATATAATGAAAGTAGTATACTTTTTATTTTTTCCCTCTGCGTTATTACAGAATTAATTTAAGCAGTTATTGTGCTGGTTATTACATAATTATTTATTATAAAATCAATTAGCAGGCTCGATGTCCAGCAATGTAAAGCCACTTTTTTTCCCAACATACATCTATCAAATTAAATTAATATTAATAGGCTGTTTGGTCAGGTTTCTGGAAATTATCTCAGGGTATTTGCGGTTACTTAGATTGTTAATATTAACGTAAGTCACTGTCTCAAGATTATAATAAACATTGTATAATTTTTTTCGTCAAATGGCGTATTGTTAAAGTATGGTAACGTATGGTAGTGAGAATGGATATTTGGCAATCGGCTTCCGACGTCGTACAGGTGGGTATTTAAAAGAAATTTTTATATTATCCGTTAAGTGCTTCTTTGCAGTTTTGTAAATGTTATTGAACCTTCGAGTCATTGAGCTAAAAAAAATACCACCGTCTTTTTGGCTTAATTGAGGCCACCTTTAGCTTTAGTGAAAAGAATTGAACCGAACTTATCTCTTATTAGAATTTTTATTTTAATGTTGTTGTGCAGGGCCGAAAACAACGGAGGTGTTCCCACCCTATCGATACGTAGGCGCAGAAGATTCAGACAGGGGTGAGTAAGCAAAAATTAAGAACAAAATAAAAAAAAGAACCTATCATGGGAAAAAAAGGCCCTGCACAACAGTGGTGCTTTGTCTGCGGCGGGATGTATTAAACGCTTTAACATTGATCATGTGTCCTAACCCTGTAACGGTAACGGGCCGCAGCGTCCTTATATGTCTGTGGTCTGAGCGTGTCTTTGTGTCATCTCGTCCCAGTGTAAAGAGTTTACGGTAGTACTTTTCTTGCAAAACCAAAGAAAGAAAAAATATTTTTAGGTTGTTATTATTAGATTATATTAAATTCCATTTGCTAGGGCTGATTGGTCAATTGGTCAATTTAATTATTCTTACAATTTTTATAGTTTGGATTGAAATATGATAACATTTTTGCAACAAATTAAGCTCTAGCTGTCATAAGTCACGGGTTGTCATTACCGTAAACTGATTATTCTGTGCCCTAACAAACATATGGTTAGTTTGTGAGGTTAATTCATCATCACCCGCATTAAGGCCCTTAGTTTTCCTCTATTTAAATATAAATAATGTAAGGTTTGTAATTAAATTTTAATTTTTCGTGGTGTTAAATACTTTTAGTGCCCAGAATTAACATTTACCCATTTTTGGTTTGCTCCTTTCACATCCGTAACCGCAATGTGGAGTCGTGCTTTTTAGGTCCAGGTTGTAAGCTTTGTTTGTCAGTAAACGAAGGCCGGACATACTAATAATTCTTCTAATGAGTGGTTTATTTTTTTTAATTTCAGATTTTTTCGCAAGAGGTAAGTATAGGGGGCCCCCAATTGAATACCCTAAACGGAAGCGGAAAGATGCCGAATGTGTGTATATGTCTGTTTGCGTGTTGGAGTAAAAATATTTAAGTGTGGATGCCGTTATCATTTGTACATTATTTATTTAATTATTGATTTTTTTGCTTCTAACCTTGTAGTTTCGATTTCATTATTGTCATTTTAAAACCAATATGTAGGTTAATAGTAGTTTTTCTCAGGCAAACTAACCGATTTGGCTTTGCACAAATCGCGGTTACGTCATGTGCAGGTAACATTGTAAATTTAAAAAAGAGAACGCGACCATATAGGAACATTACCGATAATTTACCCTCATTAATTGCGACTGTCGAACGCGACAATCCCGTAGATCACACGCAATTGCCGTTTGAACTTACAAGGCAATTGATAGGTCTATGTGTGCCCGCATTAATTTCGACGGGCAGTAATTGAATTTTCCATAATTATTAACGATGCCTACTTGAATGATTACGTTTGATTTATTGTACTCGGCGGCTAAATTTTTTTCTTCGCTCGACCCGGATACAAAATTATTGCTATTTCATGGAAAATTACACAAAACTCTACTTCCGCGACGACGTAATTGTGATAATAGCAGCGGACGTTGGGAAAAAGAGTGGCATTTTCGGCTTGGTTATCGAAAATGCACGTTTGTTATCGATTGTTTTGTAATTTCCTACGGCAGGAAGGTCGAAATTGTACCCTTGATGTTGGAGTTCTGTTGTAAAACGTACACGACCATAATGGAAATCTTGAATAAACAATAACTTCGGAACAAATTAAACACGTGATTGTAAGGTTGGTTGCCTGCACATTAGTCAGCCTCTTGACTAGTCGATTGCGTTGTATCTGCTGATAATCCGTTGCAAATTTAAGCTCATGTTTTTGTGTATTTGTGTAACTCTTAATCACAACTTTCGTTCATAATCTGTGATAAGAGAATCTCAGAACTTTATACGTTGCGAGAGAAAGACCTCGGTGCTTTTTTTATGCACAAACAAGGATCGAATTCGGTGAGATGGCCATCGAACCCATTTTTTCGTGCGTTATTAATTATTAATCAACCGTAGGGTCAATACGAACACCGCCCTGTTATTATTACCACAGGCATTGAATATTTTAGAGGTTTTGTCAATTGATTCCGGTAATTTGTCTAACGAGAGACACCCTTAACCTTGGGGTATTATCACGCTACGCATGTTACCCGAATAGCCTGCCTGCTATTGCGAGTGTTATTTATTATAGGACTAAACGTTCTGTAAACGTTTGTTCTAAATTGCTGGCTATTAAGCAAAAAACAAATCGTCATATTTAAACTATCGCGGCAGATTCATGTATATTTACTGCATTGTGGCAGGACAGCCCAATTGTTGTATAATGTGCAACCCTTTTGCGGGGTACTTCGCTTAGAGCATGGATAAAACTGATTTTAACGCTGCTCAAGTGCTTCAAATACAATTTTCAACTTGTTACTTTCGAAAATCGAAAGTATACGCGTTTGGCAACGAAACTTATATCTCGGCAACGGTAGGTCCTACCGGACCGCCATTGATTCAGAAATGATCAGCGTCGGAAAAAAATACTTTTTTTTTTGTTCTCCGTTCTCCGTTTCTCTGTAGACCTGGCATTAATTGGCCATATCTTTTGAACGGTTTGCAACATGGGCTTCAAATTTGGCTCCTTTTAAGCCGTGCACGAGCTACACAAACCAGTAAAAAATGAGTCTGATCAAAGCAACGCGTCCATCCTTTTTTTTAGATTTTCGACTGTTTTTTGGACATTGCTATGAAACACGACAAGTATCCGAAATTCGAAGCCATCCACTTGAAATTTGACAGATATATAGTGCTTAGCTTCGCAACGAAGCCTATTGAAACGGGGGGGGGGGGGGGGGGTCGGGAAGTATTTTTAAAAATTTAAAAACCGCACTTGCGATCTTATTCTTGATGATTTTTTAAAAATGTACAGGGTGCGTCGGTAATTTGCAAAAAACTGAAAATTGAGCTCCCTTTATATTGATAATTGACTAGAAGACTGTGATTCCGTTGTCAGTTTCTTTCACATATCTATATAGCCCGTATGGACAGCTAAAACTTTTGTATTTAAGGTTTTCACATATTGTTTTCGTCTATCACATACGCTGTTCGACATATTTGAACAAATCCATATGAAAATCGCTGATTCTCGCCCCCAACCTAGACGCGATGACGTCATTTACTATTACCAAGTACCGCATGATTTCAGAAAACCAGTATTTTCTTGAAAACCACTTACTCCATTGAAGAAAATCAAATACCAGGAAACGTGGAAGATCCAGGGCTATAACCAACCCCTATTTCGAACATTGTTTGAGTCAAATGCAGGGTGTGGCGTTTATGGGCAAAAATATCAACAATATCCTAAAAATTTCCGTTTTTACTGGTAAATTACTGGGGATAAATGAAAGGCTGCTAAAAATCCGTTAATTTGATTTGAACAGTATCGTAAACTGTGTCGAGAGAGAGTTTTAGGTTTCGTCAATTATATTTGAAAGAATATCATTCGACAACACTATTATGTGTACACATTTGAATATTTAACAAAGTTTGCTGAAACTTTGAAGTTCGGCGAGGCTTGAAAGACTCTTTATACAGGGTGTATGCACAATAAAATTACATCTATTTTGAGAAAGTTCCTCCGTAGTGGTCCGCAGGAGCACGATAAATAAAAAGTTGCTTCGCGCTACGCGCCACAAACTTGCCCCACCCAGCGAGGATTATTCGAAAGCAATCTTGTTAATAATTATTATAAATATGTTAAATTAAAGAACACGGACAGACTGTATGACGAACTTATATTTCTAGGTTTAGTATTATATTGGAGTTTGAAGAAGATCAATTAATTTACAAAATATTAAATAAAACACAAAAATCCAAGGTAATTATTATGACTGCTAACGATATACATAATTTTCAATTTCAATTTTTCAAAGAAACTTCCACAGGCTACTGTTATACTATTTACAAAACTTCTGGATTCTTCCTTGTCTCGGATGACTAAATCCCATATTGGTGGCAGGTAAACACCTGAGTCGCGGTTAAGATTGCCGGGTTGCTTATAGATTGCTATAGATTCTCGTAATTTTCGTTGGTAGAAAAATTGATTGCATGCAAGAATTTTACTTTTATCGAATAAAATTTTAGGTCCGGACTCGTGATTCTGTTCGACAACTGCTGAGTTTTTGAGTCTAGTTGATATTTTTTATCCGGTCTCTCCAATGTATTCTTTGTCGCATATGCATGGAATGTTGTAAACTCTTGGCATCTCAGACTCATTGCTATTGGAAGGTTATGGTGAAGTGTATTTTGTGATGGAACTCTTAATATCTTTAATGGGGAAATTATTGGTACAGTGACTCGGGCTGAGGTAGTTTTACGGCACTGTAAACAATTGATAGTGATGTGATAATGCACTAAGGTATGGGTCTGTATGCGTAGGTTTTCTTTAAATACAATGACCCAATGTTAGGTTATTATTAGTTTCTAATTCAATGGTAAGACGTATGTTAGGGTGTATAGAGAAGTGAAGAAGCCAACGGGATGATTGGCGAAATGTTAGCAAGTTCGACCCAACAACTGACGCAAGAGTAATCCAGAAGTTTTGTAAATAGTGTCTCTAAGTAATATTTATAAAATATGTACACACTCAAATATCGGACTTAACCCTTTTCTTCTAGTCAGGAACAAACACATACATAGAGGTTCCAGGAAAGTCGAGAAATATTAAAAAACTTTAGGGCTGTTTTTCAAGCAAATTAAAATATATTTTGGTATCGTTATAATTAAGCGAATCTCTCCATCGCTGTGATAAACAATTTGAAGTACTTTCGTGCCATTAAGCGCTGTTCAAAGATTTTGTTACATTACTGTACTGAGTTAGGAAAAACAAAGAGATATAAAAAAAAATCTTGAAAAATAGAATGATGCGGTTTTTGTAATGGTTTGCAGGCCACTTTTTCATTAAACGCAGAAAGATGCACTTTTCGTCCTAGATCACAAAGTTATGTTCACTCGGTTAGATGGCAACTGATGCGGTCCCCTCTTTCATTTTTTTAAAGTTATTTTCTGTCATTTGGTTGGTCATGGTAAGATGTGAAAACGAACGACCAAAAAAATTGCCTGCCACTTGACCGGTTCGATTTCGTTTTGCAGGAACCAGGCGGAAATGGCGCACACCTGCAGGGGTAGCATCTCGCTGTACGGCGCGGTCATTCACTCGGTCGACTCCTGCACGTTCGTCATCTCAAACGGGGGCACCCAGACGTTCCACATCAAGGCCAATTCGGAAAAAGAACGCCAAGCGTGGCTCAACGCGCTAGAGTTGGCCAAGGCCAAAGCGATGTAAGTCGTCAGCTTACAGCAAAATAGCTAAATTTTTTGTAACTTTTTTTTCAAGGAAAAATTTTTCTCGCCAGGGAGATTTTAAAATTTTTATCCCCTAACAACGGAAAAGAAAAACATTTCCGCCAATTCAACAAACTTTTTTTATAAGGTTTTCGCACATCATATGCCAAAATATAGTCACTATATTAAAGTAAAGAAAATGTGCCCAAAATTTGCAATTATCACGTTAAAATTTGGCACTGGCCGGAAGTCTACCTACTATGTTCCAATTGGATTTCGCGAATTATATATTTTTTAAATTTATTTATTTATTTTTTTGGGTTATTTTGGGTTCCAGAATCCAAAATCTCTCGAACATGATTTACCTGATTGTGTCCGGGGTGTGTTGATTCAAACCAAAAACGAAAAACTGAAAATTGCCTCTCGAGCATAATTTGATGCCGTAAAAGAAAAAGCGTTAAAAAGGGAGCAGTTTGATTTAGGTAGTAATATAGCCATATCGAGAGCAACAATTTTTTTATTCACATTTTTCGTCGAGGTTTTCGCTTATTCAAACAAACATGCGTATATCTAACACAGACAAAAATGCAAATAGAAATAAAAGGATGCATTTGATGTTAAGAACAGCAAGAAATAAAAAAATGGGCTTTCCATTTGTTAAAATCAAGATGTTATTATATTCTGAAACTACTTCATTTTTCCCTAACAACAATGCAGGGTTTCTGCCAAAAATCACAATTCTGAATGAAATGTTGTTAACAAATGTTTATTAATTAACACCCGAATGAAATTATTGGTTCGTATCCTACAGAAGGTGTTCACTGTCAAAAATAGTAAAATATATCTCGAGCACTTAGTTCGAATAAAAATTCACGATTGAAATGATTTCACAAAGTACCCGTTAACATAGTAATTCGCCTCGGAAAGTTTAAACCGATTGAAAAATTGAGAAATAATCAATTTCAATTAATTTCACTGATCTGCGATTAGTATTGTGTTTGTGAAAAAGCAAAGAGTGATATTCAAAATGAAGCACGGATTTTAAACGCCTTCGGTGGGGTACTTCCGAATTTGACTGAAGACAAGGCACGTTCTCTGTTTGCTTCGTAAAATTCGAAGATTTCTCATTGTAAATCGGGTTTTTAGTCGTCGCGGAATTATTTTGACAGGCGCGTGAGAACCTAACCTAAACTGTCGCTTTGCTTGCCTTGAGTCTTTTTAAAGCAAAAAACACGTTTGAGTTGGACCTTTGAGGCGCCCACCTAGAAGGAAGTTTTAATCTTTCGTAGCGCGATCGCGGAATCGGAGGACGAGGAGGCCGAGGTCGAGGAACTGGGACCGTCTGAGGAGGCCGCAATCGTCGGCAAAATGGCGGCGCAGCTGAGCGCCATGGAGAAATGCGGCGAGCGGCTCGGCAAAAGCTGGAGTAATCTGGCAACGCCGCTCGCGGATATCGAGCAGCCCCCGGACGGGGAAACCGCCCAACTCCCCAGATACAAAGAACTGTCAGAGAAGGCGGCGCTGTTCAGGATTGCCGCCAACTCCATGATCAACGTAAGTACGATTAAACCACTAGTTGCCGTTGCGACACTTTTGATTAGTTTCGGTCATTTTAAATCTTATCGCCAGTTGACACGCCGCTGCGCATCGTTGCCAAACTGTTATATTCGGTTGATTTAACCAAAAAATTATATGAAACTATACAATTGTGGTTATTACTTTCGAAAAATTGATGAAACGAAAGTATTTTAAAAAAATTGAAAAATCGCTTTTTTAGGAGTTGAAAAAAAACGTCGTAGCACTTGAACCGTTTGCCTGAAGGAAAAAAAATCTTGAACGAAATTCCGGGCCATAAATTTTTTTATACCTGTTGTAAAAAATGTACATGATGTGTCGGTTATGGGCGAAAAAATGATAATTAAAAAAGGATTCTTTCATTCCGCTATTGGCCAACGTGTCGCGGGCTAAAACTTTGTTTATTAAGTTTTTGCACATCATATGGTAAGATATATTAGAGTAATGAAAATATTCCCGAAATTTGTAGCTATCAACTTAAAATTTGGCACTGGACCGCAAAAACTTCGCAAATTATATATTTTTGATTATTTTTTTGGGTTCCAGAAAAAAAACATCTCGAGAACCATTTACCTGACTGTGTGTGTCGATTCTAAGCAAAAACAAAAGACTGAAAATTGCCCCTCCCAGGGTAAATTGTACCCGTTAAAGAAAAAACGCAAAAAAACTTAGCAATTTGATTTAGGCAGTAATATAGCCATATCATATAAGCATATGGCTAGCTTATAATAAAAGTCATTGCATTTGATGTTAGGAACAGCAAGAAACAAAAAAATGGGCATCCAATTTATCAAAACTAACATTTTATCATGTTCTAACATAATTCTGCATCAAAAACCACATCGCATAAGAAAAAGATTTTACATCCTGCGTACATGAAAATAATTTTAGGTTATTGCGTCCGCTGCACCCGTCCAAGTTTTAATTTCTTTTTATTTTCTACACTTTTCGGCTTTGCCTCGCAAACTCTCAAAACAAAGTGGCGTTGTTGCAGGCCTGCGCGGAGTATCAGAAAACGGCGCAGGAACACGGCCACAAGCTGGTCAAGTTGCTTCAGCACGAGCGCGAGCAGCGGCAGAGGCTGCAGGAAATGGTGGAAACGTTGGCCGAGCAGCATTCGAAGTTGGAAAAAGCGGCCAACGCGCACACGCACAGACCCACAGGTAGGTAGTTTACAATTCAACGAGACATCATACTGTGTTCAACTTTAAACTAAAAGCTTGCGGGTTTGAAATACCGTCACAAAACAAAATTACTTTGGTGATGGATGTCGAGAAATATTAAACAGTAAAACATTTTATTCGTTGTTTGCAACAAACAATTAACGCGATTTATGGATACTTGGTAGGAAGTGCTTTTAATTTTGCCAGTTTTGCATTTGCATTGCTGTCGACTAAGTCAAATTTTTCCATCGGAATTTGTGCAAAATCCTTGACTTAAACCAAACCTAACCGTCGGAGTTGGGAACGGGTATATTTTATGACCGAGAAGTGATTTTTTTTGTTTCGGCGGTTTACGTTTCGCATTAGAAGCGTTTTAATTAGTTTCACGGACCATAAAAATGGCCGTTGTTGACAATTTGAAGATGATATTTCAACACGATACGACTCTAGCGCTCGAGTTGCTTGGAAAATACATGTTTTGAACGGATATTTTTCAATTTTATTTATTCTGAGTCGATAAATTTGTCTAAGTAGCGATTTGTTTTTTTTTTTTATAAATCTTGGTTCGTCGAATACACGCTTAAGACCATTTTTTGACATCATCAAGATTATAAGAGATTTTCTGTGATTACAGAGTTAATACTTCTAGAAGATAGATAGTATACTCACACTGTTGTTAAATAAAGGCAAAATGGTTAGAAACCAAAACTATTTATCTATGGAGGGTCACATTTTCATTATTGACGGATTCCCCCTGCCTTGTTGTTGAATCGAACTTGCTAATGTTACGCCAAACATCCTGTTGGCTTCTTCAAAGCTCGTTGGCAGAAGAATCGATTACATGCAAGAATTTTAGTTCTATCGAATAAAATTTTATGTCCGGTTTCGTGATCGTGTTCGGAAACTGCTGATGAGTTTATTTGGAATTTTGTCTTTGACGGATCGAATATGTTGAGAGATTTTTGGACAAGTGGCAAATCTTTTGATATGTTATCGGTCATATTTGGAATGTGAGGAAGGAGAACAGTGACAAGTGTGGTAATTGCTTTCCGCCTCATTGCTATTGGAAGGGTGTGATGAAGTGTAACTGTTATTTTGTTGTTTGTTCAGTATTCATGGTTTTTTGCGATCTGCACATTTTCGATAGCAGAGGTTAGGTGTCCCCTAAAATGATGACACTTCGATAAGCGTCGAGAATCATTGGAAATTAGAGCGCGAGAAAATCTCAATATCTCGTGACAAATCGCGAAACGTGGCAACGCCGCGTTTAAGCAACGCTTTCTCGGCAGACTTCATGTGCCGTCGCCGGGACGCTGTCCTCGCGACGAATTTTTTAAGTTTGTGGATAACGATAACAGCGGGCCGCCAAGAGAGTCGCTCGTATTTACGCGTCGCTTATCACAGACGCCACGTCGAAAATTAATCGATATCAAATTTCGAATCATGGGCGGCTGCGGCGATCACTACCAATAGCCGCGTTCCGTAGGTGTTTAACCTTGAGGTTTCGGTCGACGCGAGACCCGTTCTCACGGCAATAAATAAATTAATTTTATCGTAAACTGTTTTTCGTACAAGCGCGAAAGCCGACGCGACACGGCGACGTTCTCCGAGAGAGCGGGTCAGAACGTCGACCGCGATAATACTTAGTTATCAGTCGTCGAAAATTACGAGTGGAGAGAGCGTCGAATGTGCAATTATTTCGTCGGATATGCGGTTATAATTGTCTCGTACGTCCGGTCGCCGGATTCGGTTGCGATGAAACGATTCAAACCGAAGTTTCTGCGACGCAAATGTAAGATTCGGCGCGTACGTAACATAGAACCGAGGCCGCGAATCGCGTAGGCTTTGGATTCGAAATTGGCACGCGGCAAGAACGTCAAACCGGAGAGGACGGTTACTATTCGACAAGGTCGATGACGAATGTGTGACGTATTGCGGCCCTCCCGATAGATTTGGTATAATCGATTTTTTACGCGTTGTACGCAGTCAAATTTGTGTGTTCGCGTATGGTACACGTTGCCATGGTTCGACACACTCATAATTGTTAAATGGACTGACTACAGGCCTATAATTTGAATTCAATAATTTCCTATTAGCCAGGTTGGCAGTTGAAGTGCTTTGTCGCACTATAAAATCCGTCGAAATTGATGGGATTAAACGCCAAAGTAACAGTAAGGACAAGTTGGACTGTGTTTTCACTGGAAATTCAAGCAACGCGTGCAAACTTGTTTCGGTGGGTCAGATGACGTCTTTTAAGGCAGTAGAGGGTGTGACTATCCTCTCCGGTTTGTCGTTCTTGGACACTCGGCGTTGTCAGTGGCCGCTGTCACTTAACCTACAAAATTTACCCAGTGCAAGGAAGGTGGAGTGACGGAGGTGAGATTCTGTGTGGTTTGCAGTTAGCGAGAACGAGGAGGAAGACGACAACGAGTTCTACGACGCGGTAGCGGAAAGCGGCGGCCCCCAGCCCTCCGACGAACATTTCACGTTAGACATTCGTACACGCACGGGGGTGAGACGGAACAGTTCGGATAGTTCGAGCGAGGCGGAAGAAACGCAAGAAACCAAGCAGGTGGGTTTTGGTTATTTCTCGATTCGACCTTGGTGTTAAACTCATGCCGTGATAATTTCCTATTTAAATATTTGTCCGTTAAAAACATTAACGGCCCGGTTTTGTTATAAAAATTACATGGTGTAATTAGCGGTCGACAGATAAGGATTACGGATATGGATTGTTGCGGGTTTTCGTTGTACACAAATTGAAACGTGTTTTCAAAAAAAATTGTACGTATCGCGACAATTGAACGGCGAGGTTATTTGACACGTTCCTGGAAACTTCTGTGATTATTAATTTCTATTATTCCTTTGTAAAAAAAGTAAATAAAACATCAAACTGTGTTGCAATGTTGGTAAACATTGTTTCATTATTTTTGAAAATTTCATTGTTAAGATTAGATTATAAATTTTCTGTGTTACTCATCTGTCTAAGGTTAGGATCTCGATTAAAATTCGTTCTTGGTGTACCTATTGAAACAGTTTTTTTTTATCAACTGTCGTTACAGATCGCAATTTTTGAAGTACTGTGTGGATCCTACTAGTTCAAATAAACATTTTGCTTCTTACTAAATTATCAAATTTATTTCTAATCAGCACAGCCAGTGTTTCGCATGTTTATGTGGGAATTTACTTGGAAACTTTAAAAATCATTGAATTCCCGAAGCCACCCACAACCAACATTACAATATTTCTGTGATGGCACATTCGAAAAATTTTAAAGTTCGGTTAATTTGGTGACTGTGGCGAGAACTATTTGCGAAGGTTTTGTAAGGTCCAGTGGTTTTAACTGTCTCTACTTTGTCAGATTGTAAATAAAACAAAAAATTACACCGAATCACATTTTTACTATGTTTGTGATGCAGATAAAAATAGACGCTTTTTATACCGAAACATAACAGATAAGAATCAATATATTCTTTTGATTCGAACTTAATGGTATAATTCACGTAATTGCTTTCTTGGTGGATTGTTTTTTTAGACTATAATAATAGTATATTATGCAACAAGTGCGGTAAACGGCGTTTGACTCACGAGTTTGTTTGACACGATTGGAGCGATGGTTTAATAAACGAGTTAGTTAAAAAAGTTTACCGAACGTGTTGCATACTATACTTTTTCTACGACCGTTAGTTTTTGGGTACATTTTCGCAAAACAACACGAATACATTCACTGACATGACTGTCAGAATTGACAAACGTCAAAATTCAAACCGTGGGAAATATCTACGAAAACATCCGATTGCTACCAAATCCGTGCGGTAAAATCCCGGAAATGTTCGAAGTGGCTCGGATCCGTGGTAAACGAAACTGACGTGGTAAAGTGACGCTTCCCGCACGCTATATCGGTAGGTAATTAGGTATTTTACAGACGGGAGTAGAAAAAATTCTATTTATCGTTTGCCCGTATTGTTTTTTGGTCATGTGATGGCCGCAAATATATAGTTCATATTCGGGGGTCTAAAAAATGCATTTTAAGTAGGCTCTGAAATTGTAAAATAAAATATATTTTTTTGTTCAATTGCGTTATACTCGAGATATTCCGCACTGGTTTCAATGTTTTTTTTTTTTAATCGGTTTAGAAGCAATAAGCGTCAAGTAAACACGCTTAGTTAAACTCGCCTAAGGATAATTTTGTATTTAAATATTTACCGTTTATAATAATTAACTTGGCGGCGAAAATTCTGGAACGTAAATTTGAATAGCGATATTAGTCGGAAGGTTTTCTTCGTCGTGTCAAAATTGAACTGCGGCAAGTAGTGAAAAAGCCGCGTTTCAGGTGGTGGTGGTGACCGGCGGGAAACATCCGCAGTACCTGCACAAGGACGTCGGCAGTAATGAAAATAACGTTTCGACCGCGGTGGCGCACCTCAAAAGCAGCAACAGGAGCAGGCGGCAGAGGCGGACCCGCGTGCCGGAGAAACCGAACTATCCGCTGAACTTGTGGAGTATCATGAAAAATTGCATCGGCAAGGACCTGTCGAAGATACCGATGCCGGTCAACTTCAACGAGCCGCTGTCCATGTTGCAGCGCCTGACCGAGGACTACGAGTACGCGGACATATTGGACCGCGCGGCGAGGTAAGTGAACAGTGTATTGTATAATAATAATATTTATTTTCCCAAAGGCAACTACAAAATTGTATAGGAATATTCAAAATACATAATACTCAAGAAAATTCGTCTAGACCATAGTCCAATGACAGGTTGTTAAAAATATGGACACCTAAACCTACGATAAATGGTTAAAGACATACAATGACATTTCAAAAATCTATAGACCCGCCGGTGTGAGAATTTTATGCTGGACAAATAAACCCCTACAAGATGTAAATTTGGTAATATGCGCAATAGCACTTATTTTAATTTTTTGAGCGAAACATACTTTATGGACATTTACAGATGCTCCACACAAATTGATTCCATAACGTAATTAAGCAACTGTTGCCTAGATAAAATCTGACTAAGATTTATAACAAGATAATTTACACTGTTTATTCAGTATATTAAAATTGTCAATACTGAACCGACAATCGTTCCAAATCACCCTCCGAGCAGCACTATAATGATCGATAGAATCCAAAATTAGTCGCGTGTGCTCCGAAGAAAATTTTGCTCCTGGTTATTAGTTGCTGTATTGATATAGCTGGCCAGGTTTTTTTCCAACAAAATATCAATTTGTCGTGAAATCGGCGGGAAACAAAGATAAATGGCGGAATATCTTAATTTCTTAATTAATAAAGGGGTGGCCGGTGCGTATGTGCTGCGGTGTTGCAGAGTTCCTAAAAAATTAAGAACATACAGAAAAAAATCATAATTAAATGGTTTAGCTAAAACATTTTATTCAACGTTTTTTTTTTTAATAAAAACACGTCAATCTACTCGCAAAGAACCTATGTTTCCAACTACTGACCCATACAAAACATGAAATTAATTATTCTTCTGTAATAAACCCTCCCAACAACCCTTCTTTGTCGACAGGCTGTAAAGTAACAGTAACAGTAAAGTAAAATTCATATTTCGCATTCGCATCGTTACAATGACAAAAAAAACTGTAATGAAGACGGAGTAACAAATACAGAGATATTAAGGCGAATGGATAACACAGCAAAGATAGTGAAGACTGTAAAGACAAGAAAACTTGCTTACTTGGATCACGTTATGCGCGGAGAAAGGTACCACATGCAACAACTTATAATACAGGGAGTAATACAAGACACGAGAAGCGTGGGGAGAAGACGCACTTCATGGCTGAAAAGCTTAAGAGAGTACATAAATATAATTGCTCGGAACAGCCGCGTCGAAAATAAGAATCACCAATGATAGCCAACCTTCTTAAATAGAAATAAAATAAATAGAAGAGTACGTGTGATTCTGTTTTTTTGTATTGCTGACAATTTATATTCTGAGGTATGAGGTAGTCTTTTGTGGAAGTAATCCAAAGAGACTTCTTAAATATTCATACGAAAAAAAGTTATAATTAAAAGCAAAAGGATGGCATACCTTTTGTTTTTACGTGGATTTTGCGATTGAAAAAGCTGGTGCAAGTAGAGGAAAAAGTAATACGTGGCAATTTAATGTAATAAAAAAATGCTATATGCTGTTTTTCCAACTGTCACTCGTTTTCTTGTCGTTTTCAAAATCGCGCCGGCTAAAACAACAGCATCATTTACAGTGTCAATTTTTCAACATAAATATAAAAGGAATCTCTTCTATTCTCCTAGAATCGAGTGAGTAGGATCAGCCATGTTATATGAACTAATTCGATGAATATGTTTACTATCACCTCAATGTAAGGAAAGGCTTATTGTTAAACCTCGAAAGTTCACTTAATGACTGACAAGAATCGCGTCCAGCCAAAATAGTTTATCGGTAGAGGGATTTTTGCATGTCGTGAGTAATTCAACGTTGTAACCTAAAGCACAAAATAAAGTACTGTGTCTCGAAATTCGCGTTATATTCCAAAGGAGTTTTTTTTAAACAAAAAAAAATCTATAATTGGTATTAAAAAAAAAAGGAATAGCTCACTTTTAGCATTAAAAAGATTAACGAAATATTTGCCCAAACGCCAATGATTTTGAAATTATTTTTATTAATTATAGGTGTAGAGTAATAAAACCCCATTAGATATGCAGATGGGCCTATTGGATACTTTGCCACTTTCATTGTTTGGCATTGATTCCCCTGCAAAATTCCCTTCCCTTCAAAAAAGACACTAACTGGGAAAGAATTACTTGATCATTAACATAAAAAGTTAACTTTTTCAAATCAATACAATCACTGAGTGACATGTTGCATGACTATCCGAATTGACAAACGTCAAAATCGAAGCCGTGGGTATGAATGACGTTCCTTTTTGAACACTCCTTCGCGAGAAGCGAGAACTCCCACTGCGCAATTCATGGTATAAATATTACGTTATGTAATAGCTCCTCTTTTATCAAATTCGCATTTTTGCGAGCAGAAACAGTTGGTTTTATTACTCTCCTTAGATTCACGATCTTAATTGGTCGAGTTTGATTACACCATATTTAGGACGATGTTAGGTTTAAATTTTATAATTTTAGTTTTGTGCTCCAAAAAGTAATTTAGATTTCACTGAAAATCCGTTTCCGAATAAGCTAATACAATAATAGTGCTGTACATTTTTGGGGAGAAAGCAAATGCACACTGGGCTTCCGTAACTCTATCTGCGATATCTGCTTAACGTCGTATTGGACCTTAGTTGCAGCGATCCTTGCGAGCAGCTCGCTTACGTCGCTGCCTTCACTATATCGTCCTATTCGACGACCGCCAATCGTACCGGTAAACCGTTCAACCCGCTACTGGGTGAGACGTACGAGTGCGACCGGATCGACGATTTGGGTTGGCGTTGCTTCAGCGAGCAGGTTTCCCATCACCCGCCGATCGTCGCGCAGTACTGCGAGGGCAGCGAGTGGAACTGCTGGCAGGAGTTCACAATGACCAGCAAGTTTAGGGGCAAATACTTGCAGGTACTAAGTCAAAACTATGAATTTTGCAATATTGACCCGATGGTAGTACAAGGTATATAAGCGGTTTTAATTAATTTCGACAACTTTAATATGGGGTTGTGGTTTTTTGATTCGACACACAAAAACTAGTTACTAGTTATCTCTAGAGAATACTTACCACGTATGAGCTCTTAATATTAACGGGAAGATTGTCCTCATTACAGTTTTGCGTTTTATATTTAGTTTCATATGTAAATAATCATAACTTATCATCAACAGATCATTAAGCCAATTTTATTAATATTTTTTATAGGAAATGGAATGTTCTACAAAAATGGTATTTTATACTTTTTCGTTAAATCGAACCATTTCAAAGATATTCGAGGTCAATGATTGAAGAATTTAAAGAAAAATAACTTTTCGTTTTCAATTTTGAAAAATTTAATGCTCTACAAAAAAGGTGTCTGTCTTGTGGTTTACCTATTACGCATCGGAATCCCAATGGGTACTTATATTCATAGTTTTTAATAGATATTTTCAATTTATTTTTTATGATCTATTTCAGAAAAAAAAAGTTCTTTATTCACGAAATATCAATGAATGCAATGATAGAAAAAAAATCTGTTCCACCAAATGAAATTTTATATCTTAATACAGTATTAATAGGAAAATAGATTTTTTTTTTTAGATTTATACAAAAGTTGTCAAGCACATGTTTAGACTTTTCTTCGTTTTTCGTTCATTCTCTGATTATATTCAGATACCAACGCTGCTCCACGCTCAGCTGCGTCATTTACAGCTTTCATTTGTTTGAATTGAAATACTTTTCATTTTCCTTATAACTCTCATTTGAAGCCCACATCAAGGAAATCATATGGTAGGTCAAAGATTTTGAATAAATTCAATGATTTTTGAAAACCATCTCGAATTTTTATAGCTTCGACTACCTTTTTTTTCATGTCGAGTGGAATAGTATCATCAAACAGTGATAAATTATCAATAAAATTGGCTTATTGATCGATTGGTGATAAGATGTGATTATTTAAATATGAGACTAAATCGAAAATGCATAACTTAATATTAAGAGTTCAATAGTTGTTGTTTTTGTGTCAGATCCGAAAAAAAATCGTTTTTTTTTACCCACCCTATTGTTCATATCCACCGGTTTAACTATACAAATTTTACAAAATGCTGCAGTTTTCCTAAGGACAAAGTATGACAAAATATGCTGCAGTATATTAGGGTATAATATTATGGTATTATCGCATTTTTCACTTTTATTTGTGTACTTTCTGTTAATTTAATATATTCTGGGAATTAGTTTATAAATTTAAATAATTTGGAAGAAAATGGTAATGTGTGAAGAGGATATTAAATCATAACAAAGACGTCAGAAATTGTTAAATTAGTTGCCTGAAGCTCAATCACATGCCCATTTGAAAAATATCAACAAGAAGCAAAATGCCGGTATAAATTTTAACTTATGACAAACGGAATAAACATTTATTTTTCAAAAACACTTCCACAGGCTACTGTAATACTATTTACAAATCTTATCGAAACCAGCCAACTTAGTTTTTGCTGACAACGGCATAGTCATATTTTTTATTACCACAAAACATATTTTTATATTTTCAATATTTCATTACATTAATCCCAGTGACATAAATCAATGCGATTGCTGTGTGAACTTTGTTTTACTTTATTTGTTCTTGACGCTGAGACGTCCATTTGTCTCGAGCTGGACGACTTAAACTGTGAATATTTATAATCTCAATCGTATGCAAGGCCGTTTAAATGCAAGCCGTAGTTTGTATATCATTATTTTTGGAAGCCAAAATCAAAACGTATCATTGAATATAATCGGTTTAGCCGGCCAGTTTTGTTTTGCCTTTTAATATGCCATGAGACTGGGTAGCTGAATCAAAACATTTCAAATATCAAAAATGACTTAGTAAACCAGTGTTAAAAACACAACATAAATTGAATGGACTTAAGTTTAAAGAAAAATGTTTTAACAAAAGATTACTTTTGACAACATGTCATATTTAGTGATGAAAAGAAGGTCAATCTTAATAGTCCTGATGGATGGCTTGACTTGAGATTTGATAGAAAAATTGTGTCTCGAAGAATTAAAGGAGGAGGTTCAGTTACTCTCTGGGCTGGTAAATGTGCCTCCTTAAAAACAGAATTGGCGTTTATCGATGGACATATGATTGCTGATAGCTATCAAGCAATATTACATGATTACCTTCTACCATTCATTGCCCTGGCTGAAGGCGAAAACAAAATTTTTCAACAGAACAACGCACCCATTCCTATAGCTGCAACCCCAAAATAGTGGTTTCAAGGCTTCAGTATCTAGTTATTAGAATGGCCAGCAGTTAATCCAGATCTAAATCCGATAGAGAACGTCTGGGGAATATAAACAAGGAAATTATATGATCAGGACAAGCAAAAAATAAATAACGTCAATGAACTCAAAAACTAATGACACTTTTATTTGCGTGTACTATTTATGTACCTAAACTATTTTCAGAAATATCCAATTGGTTTTACAAGAAATCCTTAAATACGTATGAGCTTATACTTTTTCACAGGTCTGTAGTTCATATTGTTTTTCTGCGTTCAATTTTATTAAAATATGCATAATTGGAATATCGTCGGGCTTAACCCAATCGGAAAAAGAAATAGTTTTCTTCAATTAGATCAGTTTTAATAATTGTATAACTTTTTAAATTTATTTTGCTAACATAAATGGTAATAAGTGAACACAATTGTGATTAGGGGCCATATTAGCAACTTAAACGCTATTAGTCACTTTATTTGAAGATATTTCGAAAGTCTAAAGTAGTAAAATAGAGTGACTTTTTAAAAATCGAATTTAGTACTGAACGCTCCCCACAGTGGAGCTGAGCGAATGAAAATGGTTCATTCTCTCCCGGCTTTCAGGTTATCCCGTTGGGCAGCGCCAGCGTCGAGTTTCGTGGCAACGGGCACCGGTTCTCGTGGCGCAAAGTGACCACCACCGTTCACAACATCATCGTCGGTAAACTGTGGGTGGATCAGCACGGTGACATGGAGATAACCGGCAAGGGCGCTGCCAAGGGCCTCAACTGTCAGCTAAAATTTATACCGTACTCGTACTTTACGCGGGACTCGCAGCGTCGCGTCAAAGGCGTCGTCATGGACAACGGTAACGTCAAATGGGTGATCAACGGCACTTGGGACAACGAGGTGGAGATCGCGCCCGTGACGGGTAACACCGGCACCCCGAACAACCCCGTGTATCAGACGGGGGCGCCGGTACTGGCGTGGAAACGTAACCCCGTGCCCGACGACTCTGAACGCATGTACAACTTTACGTACCTCGCGTGTCAACTGAACGAACCGGAAGAGGGCGTGGCGCCGACGGACTCGCGGCTCCGCCCCGACCAGCGTCTGATGGAGAACGGACGGTGGGACGAGGCGAACAAGGAGAAGCTGCGCATCGAGGAGAAGCAACGGTCGGTGAGGCGGAGAAGGGAGGCAGACGCGGAAAGGGCGGCGGCCGAAGGTGAGTGATATTTTGCTTTTGAGGCGGCAACGAGTTAAAGGAGGGTTCCGCTTGATAAGGAAAATACATATATTGTTGATTGGTTCTGGAATGACGTTATTTTGGATTTTTTTTAGTCTGTCTTTTGACAGAGACAAAAAAAATTAAAGAAATCGTTGTCGTTTCTTTATAATAGTCAATGTCGGTTTTGGTTGTGTGTCTGTCAAAATATATTCGTTAGAATTGACGTTTTCATAAACTTTCGTTGCTAATAGTTTTAAATACTTTGCCTTTTTTTTTTTTTTTTCAAGCCAAGCCAAAAATTGAATCCTTTCCGCAAATTGATAATGATGATATTGAACTCGCTTTAAAAGCAACACAACGCAGCCATACAACAATCATAAATATCAAGAAAAGAGGAAAAGCAGCGATGAATCCTCCAGAATGGCTCAAAAGCACAAAAAATGTAAAAACAAAAATGACGGGTTACTTACAGAACAAAATAATAAATATAATATAAATAATATATAATATAAATACGGATTTTGCTCAAAAACCTAAAAGAGTCAAATTAATATTTTAAGTTTTCCCTCAACTTGCTAAGAAAATACTTAAAAAGTAAAAGAAAAAGTGGAAGAAATGAAGTAATTGAAAATACTTTATGGATTTACCTCACATTGTCTACAAGAGAATCAATTTCTTCATCATTGATATAAAAGCAATTATTAATAAACACTGTTGGAAGAGCTTAGCTTGCTAGATTTAAAGAGTAATTTTGAATTTTTAAAAACTATAACCAGGTACTTGCAGAAGATGAAAATATATAAAGATTGAAAGTACTGGCATTATTCCAAGACTAGAAAAATAAGGTTGACATGATTCTCGCTTCATAGAATTCTAATTGCCTTTTTTGGAATCTAAAAGCGCTTATTGCGTGGCTAGAATTTCCTCATAGTGTAACTGCATAATATATTTTCGAGTGTGAGTGTTACATAAAACATCAATTTGAGCACAAGATTATAGTCCAAGGTGACACCAAGGAGAGTGACGCTATCACCCTTAGTAAGAGATGCATTGGTTGAAATAAAAAGTGTTTGTGTTTTATGATCATTTACAAATAAAATGTGCCACGAAAACCAAGACTGAACCTTCAGCTCAACTCCATAAGTCTGTTCATCAAATCTGGTTAAAGAATAGCTCCTGCATATTATTATCGTATCGTCAGCGAAAGGTGAACATTTGATGGGACTAATGCATGAGAGAAAATAAATTATGTAAATAATGAAGAAAAGTGGCCGTAGGACAGAACCTTGAGGGACCCCATGTTTTAGATTTAAATAAGATGAATCATTCCCATTTACGTCATTTTGTGTATGCGCGAAAGAAACTATTAAGTCGGTGTGATTTAAAACGTTGGCGTTTTCGATTGCAGGCCGTCCGTACGAGCCGTACAAGCCGTTGTGGTTCGAGCAGAAGACGGAGGGTGACTCTGACGTGATAACGCACGTATACAAGGGCACGTACTGGAAGTGCAAGGAGGAGCAAAATTGGTCGGCGTGTCCAGACATCTTCTAAACTATGTAATGAAAAAAAAAAGTTCCATTTGTTGACAATTTAGGTACAGGTTAATAATTTAATCAATAATAATTATCTCGAACTGTGAACCGTTTTTTGTAAAGTACAGTTGATACTTTTGAGGTTAAGCGTAATAAATATAGATACCGTTAGAGGGGGCAGTTATACAATTCGGTACCTAAGTTTCGCCGGTTGAAATTATCATTATTTTTCTGATTGATTTAATCGTTTGCTCCCGAAAGGCCGTAGGAGGTTGGTTTTTCGCGTTGTTTTATTCTTTGTTAGCTGATCATCGCCATTGGAGACGGTGGTAAAGGTTTCTTTAGGCAACGGGTGGACGGTCCATGTACCATCGGTTTTCTTTTTAAGGAATGTGATTTATTGTAATAACCACAGTATGTTGTAACCCTTATTCCGTTTCAGTTTCTTTTGTATATATTGCGAGATATATGAAAGTTATAGCGCTTTTCCTAATGTGATAATGTAAATAAACGTACATTGCTTAAACTGAAGTTTTTTTGGTTAGAGAAGGGAGTAATTCGGCTCTTGACAAATGTTTTAAGCACAAGCTGCCCCGCTTTTACCTCCCAAGTATGAGCCCTAAGAACTAATTCTTCGGACGATGTACGAAATAATAAAACATATTTAAACTTATTTTAAATTGATTTTTTTTGCCTTTTCCATTGAAAAGTGAAATCACGCACTTATTTTTATACCAAAAAGTGCTATCGTAATGAATTATTTTCTTATTTCACATAAATTACATAAAAAAATAACAAAAACATACCGAATTTGCTGACAAATAAATATTCGGACGCATTTAAATCTTTTACTTTAAATCGAACATTAATAAGAAGTAACATCACCTTTCGCGCCAACAGCTTTTATGCGTTTTGGTATGGAATCTACCAGTCTTGCAATATTTGGGAGAAAAAGTGTTCCAAATTTCGGTGACTTTTGCCTTTGCCTTGTCTTTTTCACCCAATGCCATAAAGTTTCAATAATATTCAAATAGGGGTTACTTGATGGCCACGATAAAACTTTCATATTATGGCCCCCAAATCACTTTTTTTTGTTGTTTTCGCAGTATGGCAGGACGCACCGTCTTGTTGAAATATAAAATGTTCATTTCCAAAAGTTCGTTCTATTGATGGAATCGAACTTCTTGATAAAATTTGTTGGTATTTATCTGCATTTACAGTACCATCAATGAACTCGTAGTTGCCAACCCCTTTACCACTCAAACACCCCCAAATCATAACACCCTGCGGAAATTTTACCGTACGCTTTCTTGACCAATCCAAACGTTTTTTCTTTTGAATAGACGTTGATAATGGTTTTTTCTTTGCCTTTAACAAAAGTAGATCATAGAATATTAATAATTTTTATATTGAAACAGTAAGAATTGTAAACTTACCTTGTCAATTGAATTTTTTTGTATTGATTTACCTCTGCAGTACTGAGATATGATAATTTCTCGCACTTTTTTGTTTGTTGCAAAACCACGCGTCATTTTCTTAGCAACTATTATACAAACTTGAAAAATACCACCCGAACTGACATCTCATTTATCTAAGCAAACTACCTTTTACCATCAATGCACGGGAAGCATTGATTTTTTGGTCGATAAACATTCGCGTACGAATATTTATTTGTCAGCAAATTTGGTACGTTTTCGTTATTTTGCTACGTAATTCATGTGAAATAAAAAATAATTCATTACGATAGCACTTTCTGTGCTATCGTAATGTGCGTAAATTGATTTTTCAATCGACAAAGCAAAAATTTTTTTTAAATAGATATAAAAATCTCTATCATTTTTTACATCTTCCGCCGAACATTTAGTTGTTAGGGCTCGTACAATAAGCTTAAGTAGCCGGCTGCTTATGGGATTGCTTCGCAAACGTGCCAGGCTCGGTGGGGCTAAGCGATACGGTAGTTCCTTGCGGACCTCCTAGATGGCGCGGCAGAGGCTACTAACATGATGCTGAGCGCTAACCATGTCGCATCGGGAGTCCAGCGTGCCCGTGTGATACGGTTGATTCGCTGCCGTGAAATAACTTTGATGACGATAACATTAAGTTTCATCAGGATTTCTATATTTGTTATGGGTGGTAATTCATTTGACAAATTCACCAGCGGGAGGGAATTAAAACAAAGCATTTTTTTTATAATAATACATCAATTCTTTATATCAATCTACACAGCATTGTTTACATTCATACATAAAAAAAAGAGAAAAACGCAAACCGCGGGCAGCCGACAGATGGCGTCGGCGGGGCCACGCCTGCGCTGTCGAGATTCCGACGCGGCCCCCAACACACCCCGGTTACTCCGCGACCAGCGCCCTCCTGGCCTATTTTTTTTTCGAACACCATTCGCGCAAAGCCTGACTCTGCATACTATTAAGTACAAACGAAGAAACGAATTTTAAAAGATAATGAAAAACGACGCAAATGCTAAAAGGAATGCCGATACCCCGTCTTTACACACCGCCAGACTTCCATTTCGAATATATGAAAAAAAGAAGAGGAAAACGTAGCAATAAAAATACTGAAAGGAACGCGGAGGCGGGAAGGAGACAAAAGAACGCCGCTCTCGTACGAAATATAGAAACGGGTTTTTTAATTCTAGTTATTACTTCAAAGTGAGGCGACTCCTATGCTATCGCTGTCCCCCTTTCCCGAGTCCCATAGACGCGCGACAGTTTTGAAAGGTTCGTTGCTGTAAAGCGCGAGCAGCTCGGGGCTTCCAGAGGAAAGACAAAAGTTTGCATAAATAAACTGCCGCACACACGAAAAGCTAACCAAAAAAAAGTGCGGATTATTTTCATTACGACCGATTTTTAAATCCAACATCTAATATTTTCTCAAATTTCGACCTACCAACCTCGAGGCCAGTGTTCTTAATGTGTTTTAGGCTCAAAAAAATTAAAAAACATCTGTTCAAAAATACTGAGAAAAGGAAAACGACAGACATCCCCACCGAGATTTGCAGATACCAACGCATCTCTAAAAATGGCAATTCTTTGTTCACCTCTTTCGAGCGTGGGGCAGTTCACACCTCTTGTACTTGTAGCAAGCGAGACGACGACGACGACGAGAGAAAAAATCAGAAAGAATCGAAAAGATTAAATAAAAACGGCCACATTCGCTCCGCCCATTCGCGCATGCGCTCACTCACCCATTCGGCCACGCCCAAACCGTGCGCGACGCGGCCGGTCCGGTCTCCGCTCTACCCTTGCGCCATCTGTCGTCGTCGCCGTCGGACCTACGCGTAGGGCAGGTGGGGACGGGGCCGGCGCCTCTAATAAGTAAAATAGATTATTACAGCTATTAATAATATTAATAATAATAATAATAATACAGTATGTACTGGGAGGGGGAGGCTTCGGGGGCGGCGAAGTTATTCGTCGTGCCCTCCGAGCTCCCGCCCGCGTTCCAACGTCCGAGAAGGGGGGGGTGGGGGCGCACGGGGCGAGACGACCCCCCCGGCGCTTACGCGTCACTCGAAACAGTTCCGTTTACTGATACGCGTTTAACGACGACGATATTACACACACCGCCCTATTAAAGTTATGACACGTCTTGGTCCTCGACGTCCTGCAGCTGCTCTTTGGGTTCGGCCTCGCCTGCAAATAATACATTTATTTGCATCTTCAAAAGTAAAATAACACATACAAAATCAATAATTATTACATAATGCAAAAAGGAGCTGGGAGCTGTTCAAGTCTCAGCCCCCAAATCTTACCTAACTTACAAACTAAAAAGCACAATATCACAGAGGAGAGATTTAAAACGGTTTAATCTTTAAATTTTGTAACTTCGGGGAGAAAACTGACGAGGTTAATGATAACATAAAAACAACAGCTTCAACCATAGTGGGAAATGTACAGAGCAATTTTTTTTTTAATACTAATCGTCATGTACTGGTTTAAGGAGGAGCAATTAACATAATGTGCGGGAATCTATTTTTCACCAAGCAATAGTTTCTTTGGTTGCCTTTTAAATCTTTGTATGTTTAGTTTTTTTTTAGTGTTAGGAGAAGTCCGTGGTACAGGCTATACACGTTGTAGGAGGAGAAGCTTCTTTTAAACAATGTCCTAGTGTTGTCGTGGGGTTATCAGACCTTGAAATTTCAGATTCAGGCTATGAATATCAGTTCTCTATTAAATATGAATAACCTTATGAAAAGAGTGGAGTTTTTTTCATTGCCATGCCATAAACGAATCTCAAACGGGATTTTTGAACTTTCTGAAAGAATTGTGATAAGCGTTCCGGTGTACACTAAGACGATTTTATGAAACATTTCATTTCATTTCGTCACTTCCTATTTTAATATAATTATTTATTGTGTTTCACTTTTCAACTTGATATTCATATATTGGTGTTAGTTTTGCTTGGTGTTAACATAACTCTATCGCGGCGATGCAATAGAATACACCCTCAACTAAAAGAACATATCGGTGAAACAAATAGAATTCAGGAATCGCCTTGGTACCAGAGAAGTATTATTGGGAATTCAAGTATTGATCCAAAGGGCTCGCGACGTGTTTCTTTGCTTTATTCATTTTGAAATGGGGTTTGACAAAGTCCGGTATAAAATGCTCCTCGAAATATTACCGTCATCAGGAATAAAAGATGCAGACAGGCAAAATAATCTCAGATATGCGGATAAAACAACGCAGAACAGAATCGTAAATATATGCGAAGAATATGACATGAGCCTAAACACAAAGAAGACCAAGATTAAAATTAGAAAAAGTAGAACTAATTCTGTATTTTGATTGCAGCTTAAACAAAAGGTGGGATCATTCATGGGAAATTATTACTCGTATAGAAAAAAGCACGCTCAGTGACCCCTTCAGAAACATTCTCTGTAATCCAAACTGTAATGGTGTATAGGCCTGGACTCTTAAAGAAGCTGCAGAAAAGCGAGTGGGGCATTTGAGATATGGTGCTTTCATAGAATGATGCACGTCTCAGGGACGCACCATGTAACAGAATAAATAAAAATAAAGAACTGTTAAAGACAATCAAGGAGAGAAAAATTACATTCTTCGGGCACATTATGAGGAATGAAAAATATCGAAAACTCCAACTTATAACACAGTTCAGAATCTCATGGTTACACTATCTTAGGCAATGGACAGGGAAAACATCTGTCGAACTGTTCAGGACCAATATAATCACCAACGTCAACTAGGTAAGGTAAGGTACTAGAAGAAGAAGAAGAATGAAGAAAATCTTAAGCTGGATTTTCACGTTGCGACAAATTGCTACAATTTAAAGCTGCGACTTGCAGCCCATTCTACCTCCTGCAATTTCTTACATAAGTATTTATATGCTGAGATTCTTCGCAAATAAAAACAAGGTTCCAGTGACAACCTCTAAAGAATGACTTCACAAGTAAGTCCAGTCTCTAACCCAAAAAATCGTTTTTTATAATTAATTCCAAAACGGTCGCATACATAACTTTTTAATCGAAAATAATATTTTGCTTCCATAAAGTAAAAAAAAAAAAAACTGGTTTCGGGAGTTATATGAGGTTTTAGCAAGTAAATTTTCATACGTGAGAACGAATTATCTCAGGCAAACAACGATTGTTTCAGAAACATCCATAAAATGAAAATATTGGAAATTTTGAACTTATATTTTGCCAGCGGTAGCTTTCATGACGAAATAAAAAGTATTTATTTATGGTCGAATTTCCATGTAATTATCTTAAACCGTTTCCAAAACAATAAACAAAAAATCGTTTTTGTGACCCCTTTGGGTCTTCTGACACATGCGTCTATTAACCAAAATAACGCAATTTTTTAATATATTAGAAATTAGCGAAGCTATATGGAAAATCGATAAAAACTTTAAAACTGGGGGGAGAAAAACTCACCGTCGCCCTGCATGTCGCTCGTCCACAGCGTCAGATTGTCCCTTAGCAGCTGCATGATCAGTGTGCTGTCCTTGTAGCTTTCCTCCGACAGTGTGTCCAGTTCGGCAATGGCGTCGTCGAACGCTGCCTTGGCCAGCCGACACGCCCTGTCCGGACTGTTTAGGATTTCGTAATAGAAGACGGAAAAGTTGAGGGCGAGGCCGAGCCTGATGGGGTGCGTGGGCGGCAGCTCGACCATCGCGATGTCGCTGGCCGACTTGTAGGCCACCAGGGAGTGTTCGGCGGCCTCCTTGCGGTCGACGCCGGTCGCGAACTCGGCAAGGTAGCGGTGATAGTCGCCCTGGACAAGGAGGAACGTGTCAGCGTGAGCTAGCGCGGATGGGTTCGCGAGGGGGTCGCACGGCTAAATCAGCGGATTCAAAAAATTTTCGACACCGAAACCCTTCGGACGCAAATTACCTCAATGACATCATAATTTTTTATTATTCAAAATTGTTTAAATTTATTCCAGAGTCGGAGAATTTCAAAGAGTACAAAACAAAGCAACGCTGAAATGCAATAGATAGAGATAGATAAATAAATAGATATCACAGAAAACATTTAATGCTATTTTAAATCTAACATTAAATATACGGTACCGCCGAGTCGTTAACCTTATTATTTGAATGTTAATTCAATGTATTTCGCGTTTTGTTGCTGAGTTGTTAATTTCTGTATCCATTTGCATTGTAGATTTTATTATTTTTCTTCCTTCGCTTTCCTTGGCCACGACCGCCAAGATCATTCAACTTAAGCAACACTACTATCTGATTGGAAAACTCTTGCGACGTTTTTTTCTTCTGCGAATTTTGTAAATGACGTTTTTTTTTCCTTTTTCTTCTTCATTTCTTTCTACTTACTGGCTGCAATCGTCAAAAGATCATTGTGCGCATTAGTCGGCAAATCTCAAATGCAACGAATATCGCCCACTGACGTTAGTCATGCGAACATTGCCAAAAACTTCTTAGCTACACTCGATGATAGTTCTACGAAGGCGTAAAGAGAAAGGCATTGCTAACAACTCGCACCGCGTTTAATAAAACGCAATAAAAAAAACATGAATCATTTCGAGAACTAAAAAATTATGCAAGCCACCTACGTACTTACTACAGTGAATCACCGAGTAAAGTCAGAGAAAAGAGTAACATTAACTAGCAAACCAAGCCGGGTGGCTAAAAAATTGGCAATAAACGACACCACATTTCGAGGTTAAATCACGCACCCACCTTCATTTTGTAGTAGAACACCTTCGATTCGCCTGTCGACGCGGACGGTATCAGGTGCTTGTCCAGTACGCTCAGTATGTCCGAGCAGATGTCGCGCAGCTCCTTCTCCACCTGTTGCCTGTATGGCCGGATCATTTCGAGCTTCTCGTCCCTCCCTTGCGCTTCCTCTTTCTGTTCGATCGACGAAATTATCCGCCAGGAAGCGCGCCGCGCGCCGATCACGTTTTTATAGGCCACAGAGAGGAGGTTGCGCTCCTCCACCGTCAGATCCACGTCCAAATTCGCCACCTTTTTCATCGCCTCGACCATTTCTGCAAAACACACAGAATCAAGACTAAACGAGCTACATGCTGTGGGTATAAGTCAGCTTGCGGTTTGGGAAATGTAGATCAGGCCATCTGTCTCCAAATCCTTGTTCAATACCTTCATAATTTGGATCAAAACAATAAAACCGTTTCAACAAAAACACATGCTGACGTAATGAAAATGTGACTCGGATGTTTTGCCCCATTTTACTCGAAAATAACGACTGACGCATGCACTGTTATCAAGGCTACCAAGTCACTTATATCCACCCATCTAATTTCATCAAATTTCAAAAACGACCCTGTCCATGAGGCGGCTCCTCTACATGTACCCTCCAATCACAAATTTCCTCCCTGACACCAATAAACGGGGTGATTCGAAAACTGGGCTTATTAGTTGCGTTATTAAAGCCGATAAAACGTTATCACCGACTATATTTAGAAAAACACGTCCACTTTTGACTATTTGCCGACAACATTTTCACTGCTTATAATTCAATAATAGTGACGTGGGGTAGAAAGGATTTTAAACGGCTAATTTAAAACGTTTGAACTGACTCTTTACGACGGGATCAAATGAACAGGAATAAAATAATGGAAATAAAAACGTGTCAAAGTTCCGGTGTGGTTCTCTATTTGTCGAAGACTCGAGTAACGAACTAGACGCCATTTCACTTATCAGCGGTTGCATTCCACGGCCAATAATCACGGCACCGGATCTCATGACAAATTGCAAATAAAAATGTATGCCACGGACAAAATGAAAGTACCATATATTATATCTGTACAGTGTGTCAACACATAAAAGTTGCAAGACCCGTTAATTAGCTGGTTACCTGGCTAGTACACCCTACCATACCCCTAGCAGCACTCAATGACATGATCCCTACCCTAATTCCTATTTTATTATGAATATTTTTCACAAATATGTCAGTTCAAAATTGACATTTTTTGTAACGGATGTTATTCTGCGTATTTTAAATTATGTATATTAAACCTTTTACTCAATGAATCCCTAGAAAGATTGGATTTTTGTACTTATTGTTTCCTTCTTTTCAGAAAATTTTCAGGAAACCAGCCCAACCAAATTAGGGATGATGAAAAAGAATTTGAAAAAAATAAAAACTTTGTTTTTCAAACGATATGAATTAGTGATGATATAACATTTTCATGACTTTATGATTGAGACTTCAAACGACAGGTGTTTTTTTAAAAATTGGGATATTCCTGCGAGAACAACAGCCAGATACTTATATTAAAAAAAAATATCCAGTGTTTTCGAGGCAAGCACGGAGGGAGCTTTTCAAAAAATTCTGCCTTGACACAGCTAAAAAGTACGAGTTACACGCGCAGTACCTATTCCAACTTCTGTTCACAAAAATATTTTTCTTCACTCGGATATTATATCAAATTTCATAAATATCATAATTAAGTTTTTAATAAATTATTTTTTTAATGATAATTTAAAATTGCCGTTTTCATTGTAGCTCGCAATGATAATCGGTTGTTTGAAATTTTAGTAATATTCTTAATAGAATGTGTGTTACGGTTATGTTGCCGAGGACGGACAATAACAAGATTTTGTAATATATATCTGCTTAGTTTCGGAGTTGAACTGAAATTTTAAATATTCCAAAAACAAAAAATGAAAAGTTTTATTTTAAAATTTATTATGATATCTTTTTAGTATTTTTTGTTACTACCAACGGTCTACTTCAAATGGCACTATCCAGTGAAATAAAATATACAAATTTTTTGAACAAAAATCTTTGAAAGTGTATGGTCGTTCATTATCTACATTTTTCATATTTTACCAATTTTTTTAAACTTGAATTATTGGCGATGGATTTTTACCCCATGTGCGATGCTTGCGGACGCCCGCTTTACCGTTCAACGCGTGACGTCACCGCGTTACCACATCACCACGGTCGGGACCATTGTAGTAGCCCCAAGTATATTATTATTAGCAGTAACCCCGAGCGGCCTCTCCAAAACGAGATTGCAGCACAACTTCAGCACTCCGGTCGCCCCCAACCCCCCTCTATTAATTAATCCGTTTATTTTCCGACCCGAGCAAAGTTGTCCCGCATCTCGCCCGGATTCCCCCTCGCTCGAGTTTGGCGAACGGCTCGTCGGGCGCGTAATCGAATCTCGACCCGATCGGCGGCGGCAGCGCTCAAAGAACGCCGCCGGCGGTTGGGGGCGGCTAGACCTACCCCGTCCGGGGACGCAATTTTGGGACGATGTCGACGGCACCAGCCCGCCACCACCTCTTTATATCCCGTCGTCCGTACACGTGTCCCGTCCCGCTCAACTGTTGCTGAGGGAATTGGGGGGGGGGGGGGGGGAAATAGATAACCCGTTTTAATTATAGGCTCACGTGAGGGACGGAACGGTCGTCAAAGTCTGTGCAAAAAAAAAAAAAAACAAATCCCTGGCCCCCACGACAACAGTAAAAATCACATCAAATAGGTAATACAATTTCACTAATTAGAAACAAATAAAACCCGCCAAAACAAAAATAGGTAAGGAGCGTTAGTAAAAAAATGTAATAAAAAAAAAGTAAATATAAAACACAAGAAATGGGAACAAAACCGTAACATTAGTTTCCTTCCATTAAATAAAAAGTATTAATATATACGGACATCACACAGGTGCAGCGTCTTATTTTTTTTTTCATCCTAAACCGTAATCAATCGATTTAAACGCTTTTAACTGTGATTTAAAAGAAGTCTTTTATTTTAAAACCGAGGTTTAACATTAGCGTTTTCTACACCCTATAATTTGAATGCAATCAACATCGACTGAGTGACACAGCGGCTACAAATCCCAAAGTTCCGGCAAATTCATGTTTTTAGTTTTATTTATAGGTTTAAGAAAACACATACCGCACTGATTAATAACTATCAACTAGTATGTACTTTGGCAATGATCGTAAGCCGCTACTTGACGACATTTGAATAACAGGGAAATTACTTAACATATTTTTTTTAGACTTCGTCCACTTTAAAAAGCGAAACGCGAGTATACTGTTAAAATTAATAACGGCAAAAAATCACTTGGCCCTAAAATAACTATGTTTGATAAATTTTAAGAATTTTAATATGAACAGATCGACTTCCAGTGCCTTCCAGTTACACGCTTCACACCTACGTAACATGTAAATTTTACAAACGAAGACCCAGTCGAGCATTATTTCGAAAAAAACAACACACGGGTCGAGCGGATCTTATAAACATCTTCTCTATTTGTAATGTTGATTTACACACCAGCACATGTCCGAACTCACGGATATACCGCCCGATTGACGTCAATTAAACCGTTAAACCGTTTTGTAACGTCAACGGCCAAAAATTTAGCCAGGAGGTACTCCGTAATATTAAAAATTAAAATTTCCCCGACATTTCCAGATCAAGCTGCTAGAACACAGAAAAAACCAATTACTTAAATGGTATGCGTAAAACTTGATAACACCTTTTTGAGACAATAACGAAAATTAATCAAAATTCCCAGACATTTCCGTGTTATGTAAGGATTATTTTAAATTCAATGACATTTCCAGATTTTTCCGTGTTGTAGTCTGAAAAACTAGGTCACTCTGATAAAATCAAAACCCTCGTTCACGTGGATCAATACAATAATAACAAAAACATATATAGATATATAGAATTTAAAATAGTAAGAAATTAAGTAAACTTTAGGTAAAAACGTTTATTGCAAGCTATACATACATCAAGAACTATTAAAAATGATTCATTGTAATGCGGAAAAACGGAAAACTCCACAGCTTCCTGCGTTTTTACCGATCGCGTTTACTGCCTTAATAGGTTATGTCGGTACCTATCAAACGTCACAAACGATGGGCAACAATTTTCCGCAGCGCCTTCTCAGCGATATTTTTATAGAGTTCAAGGTCGCCGTCTGCCCAAATCCATATCCAGCATAAAGCAGAAACAAAAAAAGGGCCATCTAAACAAACCCGAAACGACGCGCTGTTGTTTTGGAGCCGCCCGGTAGTATAATTAATCCTTATCTGTCACATAGTCACGCATCGTTAACCGATACCGAAAAATCAAATGAAAAAAAAACTATAGATGACGTTACGCGGGGCGTTCACCGATTTAACACGAATAATAATTCCGCAAACGGATAGAAACGCCGGAAACGGACCATTTAAATTTCAACATTTTAGTCACCTACAAAAACGAATAATTGCCGCATCGTATTAGAATACGCCTTCATTTCACCAGCCGGGCGTAGGATTGGAATTTCTCGGACGGGACACCCGGCCAAATGCTGGTTTTTCTTTTACCGCACGATTTCTGCCGGTTTCGATTGCGATTTCTCGCAAATTCGCCCCCAAAATGGCACGTTGAGACTTGACCACACTCCCGATCGATTATTTTCACTTTGCACGGTAATGGTTAATTTTCAATAGCGCTTTCAGTAAACTCGGAATAAAAGGCGTTCGTGCTACGATTTTCGCCGGGGGTCTACGTGGAAAACCTCCCTGAAAAATCCATAAATTCAAACGTTTAAAATCGCGGTTCGTGAAATGGCAAAATCGATACTCGGGTAGTAGATCCGGGGCAGGCAGCATCGCGCTTAGAACGAATTCTTACAATTTCGGCGTGAATTAAACATAAAAGCATGACCGTTCGGCGTAATTTTTATCCAACTGTCACAAATGTCAATAATGGTGGTAGCGTCTATTAGCCGATAATAAAAAAGCGGCTTCCCAAAAGATCATCGTCCCGGGGGATACGATTTAACAAAAATACACATACCATCGTATCGCTCCGCTTGTTCGGCCAGTTTAGCCTTGTACACATTATCCTCCCTTTCAGACATTTTCGGATGATTTTGGATTCTTCTTTACGGCACTTATTCACACAATTCGGTTCCCTCTTTCACGTACTACCAATATGGCCGCGCCCGCCACACTGAACAAACGAACGAGCGTCCGCGAAGATTGTTCGTGGTTTTCCGAAACGCGACGCCGAGCGCCAAATTTAAACTCGCGGGGCTTTAAAAGTATGCCGCAGCTATTTTTCAAAACGTTTTACGAACTCCGCGTGTTCGAAATTATGACAAAACCTGACAGAAGCGAGGATTGATTGGACGACACCAATTGTTTTAAACGGCTCACTTAATTGTTGAATGAACCACTTTTTGCAAAAAAGGTATTATTTTCGCATTAACATGTTACAACTGAAGAGCGCGTTAATGTAGTTTATTTCGTTTTAGCTTGTAACTACAGTAGAAATTGGAAATTTAAATTACATTAATTACAATATTTATTCGGCAGCACGGAAAGAAGCAAATTTGGTCGGTTCAGCAAATTCACGTGCGATGAATCGCAATTTCGAATTTCAACAATGAATGTAAATGCAAGTGACACATAAAACCAAACTGAAATTAACACTGATTTTGATTTCGTACCGTTATTATAAAGTAAAAATATACCCGTACGTGTTGTGGAGATTATATAATATATTTCTGTCCCGTACCTTTTCAACATTAAAAAAAGGGATGATGTGCCATAGATGTTCTGATACTTCGCACTGGGCAATTTCTTTATATTTGTTCTATTCTATGGATTTAATTGATATCCATAGATTTTGGATATTTACAAGATTTTTGACCTTTATCAAACATTTGATAAAGACACAGTGTTGTCGAAACAATTGTCATGTCAAAATATATAATTTCGTGAAAATCTTAACTTTTAGTTCCTATTTATTTTGATAAATGGATTTTCATCAAGTAAAAGTTTCCTCAGTTCAAATAATACCTGAATTATTCATCAGTATTATCCTAAGCAGCAAAAATACAAATTCCTAGATTCTTTTTGTCCCAACATCAATGCGGAAAGGAAAAATGTACAAAATTTACGCAAAACTTGCTACTTCTTTAAAAATTGCGTGTGTTGGCAAGGATAGAGGGGAATTCTAAAAGAAAATGAACTTTATTTCCAAAAAAAAAGGAAACAATAAAACGTTTAACATATTCGGAAATAAACAACAACACTTTTCTTTTTTGCTTAAAACGTCGCAATAAATATATTAAATAACCGGCAAATGAAAGAACCACGTAGGAAAATTATTCGGAAGCTGGAACGGCGAAAGTTACGTTCTGGTACCGCCCACAATCGTCTTATGTGATGACGGTCGGTTCCTCCCGCCCCGTAAACTTCTTCAGCTGGGATATTTGCAAGCCGATGTCGACCAACGGCTTCAACATAACCTAAAAAAGAAACGTCTCTCTCGTAAGCGCGAACACGAGTTGGGCGTCTTATTTATTGAATGGGCACTAAAATTTTATGGGATACTAGTATCGGGATAATTAGAAAAAACCTAAAATATTTTACCCTCAAAATTGAGGGTTCAGGAGTTGATGGGAGGCACGGCGAAACGGTAGCACCTACGGGGAAACCGATTTCGGCATCGTGTTCGGGACGAAAAATTATATACGATTCGACCTCAAAAAACTCTCCCTTTGAGTTTTTCGGTTTTTTTTTTTGAGCAGGCGGGTGCTTCAATCGAGACGCGGTTCGCTGCGTTCGATTCCGGGGGGCCCTGTACTACGTCTGGGGGAGGAAAAAAATAATCGGCCCGAGGTAGAAGTGCCTATACTTGGGCATGTTTCTGAACCTCGATGCCGATAACCCCGTCTGTGGATTTTTTTTTGAGTTGAAGTTGAAAAAGTTTGCTATCTCCGAAGTGTTTGGGCCGAATCGGTTCGAATTCTATTTGTTGGAGGGGTTTTTCGGATCGATCAAGAATCGCGACTCCTCAAAAACTTAAAAATAGCTCGTTCTTTAGGGCCGGGCTTGGATGCTCGCTGACGAGGCGTCGTTGATTCTAGGAGGTTCGCATTGATACCGAAGGTAGTCGACTTCGCGTCCTTTCGGCCCCTAGCGAAAAATTCCTCCTCCTCCCAAAAGGGCGGGGGGGGCGTTGAGAAGGTCGAAAAGAAGACGTGCCTTTTTTATTTTATCGGATTGCGCGTTGCGCGACCTCCTCAAAGAACCTCAATATTCAATCAATATTCCCCCCATCAGGCTTTCTGAAGGACTGTTTCCCAACCGGCCACCGCGACTCACGTCTCTTTACCTGAGCGTCGGATAACACGTTCTCCTTCTCGTAGCATTCGATGTAAACCCTAACCGTGGCGCCGCTGCTACCTGTGCCCGACAACCTATAAATCAACCTGGAACCGTCCTCGAACAGTATCCTTATACCCTAAAACGTGACTGGTTATATGCCGATCGAATCCTCGGTCCCGCTAATACTAATACTTGATTCTTGGCGACGGAATTGTCGATCGGGTCGACGTAGGAGAAGTTGTCCGCCTTCTCGACCTTGTACGTTTTGTTACCGGCCGAGTAGCTCTTACCGACGAGGGTACCGCTCGCAATCAACCCCTCCAACTGTTTCATCATCTCGTTGGCCGGTTGCGTCTCGCACTCCTCGTAATCGTACCGCGTGAAGTAGTTTCGACCGTAAATTTTCCAATGCTCCTTGAGTATTTCCTCGACGCTCATGCGTTTGTGTTCGATGACCGAGAGCCACGCGAGCACCGCCCATATACCGTCCTTTTCGCGGATATGGTCGGACCCCGTACCGAAGCTTTCTTCGCCGCACAGGGACAGCCGTCCCGCGTCCATCAGGTTTCCGAAATACTTCCAACCGGTCGGCACCTCGAATATTTCTTTACCGAGTTTAGCGGCCACCCTGTTTATTTACAATTGATCTTTATATTTTAACTGCTAATAAACCAGAATATAAACACTAAATGGAATAATTGTAACGGACGTATTTTGATAAGTAATGTGTGAATCCAAATAATAAAATATAAAAAAAGTTTATAATTTCTGTTATTGTTATTACTGCAGACATATCTCACGTACAATAATTTCCCAAAGCCCTATAGGAAATCCTCTATAATATTAATTACGTAACTTAACATAACCTAACATAGTTGAAACGGGTGAAATATTTTTTTAGAACTTTAAGCAAAGCTTTAGTGTTACAAATGTTGTAATCTTTTGCACCAGCTTGTATTAATAACTATCAAAATTGCTAACTACAGATAACTGACATAACTGACCGGCCAAGTCAAAACAGCAGCTTAATGATTATAGTTTTCTCAAAAGTAACTTTACCCACAGGTGTGTACTTTTATTTGAGTAAAAATTTTATTTTTGAAGATGATGGATTTTTTTGGTTGTGAAGGATATCGAAACTTGGTTCTCATTTCTTGTTTTTCTAAACCTGTTTTAATTTATCCGCAATTCTTATTACCTTATCAAGTTTGTTTAAAAAAAAAAAAAAAAAACATGCGCCAACCTGTAAGTTCGTCCCCCAATAAAAAAAAAAGGCAAAAAAGTTCGTATTTATTTGGTTGGGAAATGCTTAGATTAGAAGAAAGGAGAAATAAATATTAAAAAAAACATTATTTTTTTTAGGACCAAGTATTATAATGCTTTATAAAATATGTTTTGTCAATTTTCATGATTTTTATTCGTTCGCTCGAAAACGAGATTAAAAAAAGTTCTAGTTGCTTATTCAAAGTAAATATCAAACAATCCAAAAAAGTCAGTGCTCCCTACCTGTCGACTGCAGCAGCTGTGGGCATGGACCTAGCGAAGCCGTGTATACCGTGCTTCTTAAAGTACGGTATACACTCCAGGTTGTTGGCTAGCACTGCCAAACTGTCGCTCGGGGTGACGAAGAATGCGTTCTTGCCGAGGATCATGTTGCGGTCCTTAAAACAGACAAATCGACACATGATACTGAGAGCTTCGTAATTTACATGATACAAATTAACGAGCAAATCTTTATCTATTAAGGCGAATTCAAATTTTCCAATAATTATTAATTACCTAAATAATGATAATTAATTAATTACTGACCTTATTTAACTAATAATAACTGCAAAAACCTTTGACAGATATTAGACAACCCGGATACTATAACATCTGGTCCGACTAATGACGTGCCATTCGAACGGACAGAAAACTGCTGCCAAAATACAACACTTTTGAAAAGTTTCATCTTTCATATATTATTATACAATAAACTCCCTCAAACATCTGATCAACTAGTTTTAAACAAAACTTGGGCAACACATTTCCTATTTAGAATTTTTCTTTTTAAATTTTACTTGTTACTTTCGAAAAATCGATGAAATCTCGTTGATTTTTTAAAAATGTACAGGTAATTTGCAAAAAAACGAGAATGAGAAAATAGCTAAACCGTTCGAATTGAAGGTTTTTACATGTTGTACAGGATGTACAAGACATTAAGTGCTATATTAAGAAATGTAACAGGTGATCTAAATTTGCAGCTATCCACTTCAAGTTAGGCAGAGAGGTAGTAGTCCACACCGAAATTTAAACAGTTGAAACTGGACGGATCGAAATTTGTTTTAGGTAATTTTGACTCCCAGCAAAAAATTATTTTCTCGAAAACTGTATACCCGATTTGCAAAATCTTTAACTAGGAGACGGGAAAGAACATTTTTTCGATTATATACAGGGTTTTAAAGGTCCCTAAAAATTGCTCTTTTCCAGAGCAAATTATTTGTCTAAATTAAAATTTCAACAATTTTTGAGTTATATACAGCGTCTGTTGTTTTGGGACAAAAATTCTAAAATATCCTGAAAATATGTTTTTTTATTTTTGGATAAATTATTGGACGTGACTTTGAAGTTTGAAAATCCCTAGTATGAAATATTATAGTTTGTTCCAAAAATGCTAAAGTCGTTTAAGGTCGAAGTTGTTTAATTACCGTTTGGTTTGTAATTCAATCGTTCTAACGAATATTTTTGAGATTCGCTCATCAAATTATATCGATTCAACAATTCCCTGTATGAAATGAAAAGTCGACTCACCCCGTCGCCGTCGAACGCGGCCCCGAAGTCGTAATTGTTGTCTGCTTGGAGCTTGTCGACCAAATCCTTAGCGTAGGTCAGGTTAGGATCCGGATGGATCTCGCCGAAGTTGTCCAAGGGGACGATCCGGCAGACGTTGTTGTCGGGCGAAGCGCCCAACTCGTCAACAAAAATGGCGCGGACGTAGACCCCGGTCACTGAAAACGAAACACCCAGAAATAAAACGCAAACTATAGCGCTCTCTGATTAGTTGCTCATCAAGAATGATTAATGTTGATTACTGCTTCACAGAACGGAGAAACAAGCAGAAGAATAAGTCTTTGCGGGAGAAACTTTTCCTAACCTAAAAATCCTCCGATGCAACGCTGGGAGCGATTAATTCATTTTAAGTTTTGGTCATGTTCAGTGGCTGTTTGTATATTTGTAGTTCCACAGAAAATATTTATAAAATTATACAGTTATGCACTCAATCAACATAAATGTTATATTTTGCTAACCAAAACCAAAGAAACACTTTAACTCAACAACCAAATCATTTTATGTATTTGTGCAAAATAAAAAGGGAACAGAATGTATTAGCAGAATGTTTAGTAGAAATGGAAATAAATAGAAAACAAAAAAAGAACTTCAACTCGGTAACACCTTAACTCATCCTTTTTATATAATTATTAAAAAAAAGATTAATGAAAGATAAAGGCAAAAGTTAGTCAGAAGGATTGATTTTTATGTATTGGTGCATTTTTTAGGTTTTAGTTTTGCGTAATCAGATCTAGTTTAATAAGTAATGACAACCTTTCAAATTTTTTTCATCACATTTAGTCGGGACAAGTTTTTTCTAAATTCCAAAAATAACTTGCTCAAAAAAAATTGGGTGAGATAATAACACATACGCACCTGTAGTCTGTGAGAGGCATTTTTATGTTTTTTTCGAGTATTTCAATGATTATGAGCCCCTTTTTATATATGAAAATCTTAAAAAGCTTTATTCAACCAAAGATTAAGATTTTTCAAATATAAGTGAAAAAAAAAAGTCCCATGCACAAAATGATACTTCCAACTGGAAATATTCTATGCATAAAGTCAATACATTTCAATGGAGAATGCTGCCAACTGATAAAAAAGAGTTTTTGAGTTGTTTGCAGTACTTGCAGTTTCAGTTTCTGCCAAGTGAAAGGACTACTATATGCATTTCGGCGATATTTCATAGTTCTGAGGCGGAAATTCTTACACTCCAGTTTATTTATTCAATTTCTCTGTATATTTCACCTTCAACTGGCTTTCCAGTACTTCAAAAAGCTGAAGAAATCAGGAAAATGCAGGATCAGGCTTGTTACACTGATACATATTGCAGAGTCCTCTTTTTTAAAGATCTAAATATATATTTTTGTTATTTTTCTTTTTATAAAAGACATTTATTTTTTCTTTTGCAGTTTTTACATGTAGATATGTAACCACTTTTATACCTATTACTTACCGCCATTCATTGAATCGAGGAGGATGTTGAACGGGGGCGTCGACTCGGTACCGCGGATCAGCGCTCTGAGCTTGTTGAAGTCAAAAATCTCCTTCATGAGGTTCACGTAGTTCTTGGTTGAATCGATTATTTCTACTGTGAAGTCTCTGCCCTCAACCTAAGCGACCAACGCTATTTTACACAATAGTTTTAGGTATGAAGTGAAAAATTTTCCACCAAGAAATTTCTCAATCATTCAGAAGAGACATTTTTTTTTTCTCTTCCGATTGGTTGTATTTCTTTATGGCTGTTTAGTTGTGTTGTTAGTGTGACTTAATCCTAAAACTCAGTTTTTCTTGTGTGAATTGCCCTAACTCCGAAGTCTATTTGTGATTTAACATAATATCAGGTTTGTTTTAGTTGGGGCGTTCAATTGAATTTTGAACAATACCCATTTTAAGAATTAATTCAAAAGTTTAGTCAATTTAAAGGACAAATATTACCACAAAAGGCACACATGTACTAAAACAGGTACCTGTAAATAATCAAATTCTAATTTGAGCTCTGACACTTCACAACAAAAGTTTGATTCTTAGGTTATAAAGCACAGTAACGGGCACAAAGAAATAATATCACACGTACGTTAAATTTACTAGTTCCCAAAACATCGATAATCCGATCAGTTTCCAGTGCGGGCGTAATTTTGTACTGTTTTATTTTTCTGGTCAAGTCGTAGATCCTATCGGTGATGTAGTCGGGGGCGGGACCCCCGTTCTCGATGTTATACTTGATCCCGAAGTCATGTCGAATACCGCCGGGGTTGTGGGACGCTGTTAGCACGATACCACCTGAAAAAATCACCCCGAGCGGTTTAAATACAAATCACGCCTAAATGACTGTCTCTCCGTATACCTAAAACTTTTTGTTGCCTAATGATCGCCGACACCGCGGGCGTCGAATATATTCCCAAATGTCCGATTATCAATTTGCTGACCTGCAAAAAAATGTCATTTGACAATTTTTCTTTACAAACAAGATATAAATCTTCCGATCCAAGGTTAAATCATGAACTATGGGTAGGCATAAAACTAAAGTTTCGCTATTATCTGTGACCTCAAATCAAAAATAGTCAGCAGAGAATTTTCGAAATGGATGGGGATCATAAAAGCTATTACCTGAATTTTGTAGAATTGTTATCTAAGACCATAAACTATATTGGCACTTATTTTGTTGTCTTTGGTTAACAATATAAAATAATAATTGAAATATAAGTTAAGTTAATTAGGTACAGCAACTTTTGTACAGATGATTTTCAATTCGACGTCGATGTCAGTTCGTCGAGTTGAACAAATAGTTAGGACTCGTAGCATCACCAAACATTACCAGCCTACGACGTAACAGCTGATTTAATCAGGGTGAATTTTTTATTTTGCCATCTATTGTTATTGATAACTCTCTAAACATCGATTGGACAAAGTTATCTCTCTTTGTGCGAAAAGCAAAGTTAAACCTTTGTTCCAGAAAATAGACGATTGACTTTTAAGTTAATATAAGCCAGCATATCAATTTGAAGTTATTGAGAGAAACCAATCAGAAAGTACCAAGGTAAGAAACAGGCATTAAGTACATTATTTTAGCGGCTTCCCAACAAATAATAATCAAGCTGACAATTTTCCAGTCACGTCCCTCATTTTTACATATGAATTCTTTATCACTGACAGAAAATCCCATGATTTGTCGGGTGACCATAAAAAGCAACGTTGTTTAGGTAAAACCCAAATACACATTCATTGTATTTCAATTTCCACACCTAACAAAGATACCAGTGGAAAAAACATTTCTCATAAAATAGTTACACAATATTGCAAGATCTACCTTTCACTCATTTATTTTTTAAAAAATGTCACTTGATTTTATGAATATCTTAAACGTTAGAATTTACTAATACTGTTTCACGCATGTAGCTGCTAGATATACAGAGACCCTGCCTATGCCGATAATACATAAATTTTTGAGGCGACGATAAAAAAAGATGAAACGTCTTCATATGCGCATGCGCGGTGATTTGAAATCTCGTTTTCGACCAGTAAGACTCCGCGATAACCAACATGGCTGCTGACAGTTCGTCAATTGGACAGGTTTCAGTATAGATGTTTAGACGTAGCAGTATTTTTTAAAAATATGCCCAGATCTCGTTAAATGTTCTGGCAAATATGAGTTACGAGTGTGGAGATCGCTGTTTGGAAAGGAGATAGTGCAAAAAGCAGGTTAGTTCGTGAAATTTAGTGCATGCGCAGATGATTATTCCCATCTTTACAAAAAAACATCATTGCCGCGCCAGGCGCGTCAATTTTTAGGATATTCTAATAGCTGTGAGGATTCACAAATAGGTCAATATTCAACATAGAATTTCCGTGAAATGCACAGACTTTTTTTATGCGTCTGATATAATACATCATTTTTTTATGATACATTTGAGCTGGTATAGCATGTTTTTCTTAATATTGAGTATTTTTTTAAATGTTTTCCCAGTCATCTGATAGTAGGTGTATCCAGAATAAATTGATTTCAATTAATTTCAATTTTAACTAATTTTTGACAATATGGCGATTGTATTCTGTTTTCTAAAATAGGTAATTTACTGACTGTTCACTTTTACTTCTTAAAAGCTCGCAACGAACTCTTATCAAATAAGGTCAAATGTTACTGTTGATAATAAGAGAACTATATCTATTTTTGCAGTCCCTATTTACATAACAAAATAAATTAGTTTGTTTATTTATTAACATTTGGTGAAAGAAAACTGATTTTAAAGTCTAACAAGTAACAGTACATAAATTTCAACTAACTAAACGATGGACTTTAGAATTAATGCAAATAAGGAAATTAATTGATTTTTAATTGAATTTTACAAGCAGTTTTTAAACTCAAACTGGAATTAAAAATGAATCCATAAATCGATACTATTGTATGCAAAAAAAAGATTATATGCCTAAAAACTTTTATATCAATAAGAAAAATTGATATTTTATTTGTACATAAAATTATATACATACATGATGGTTAAATTGACCTACCTCATTGGCAGAAGCAATTCTTATGATGGTATTAATCGCGGGTTTGGAAAAGTAGCGACCATCTCCTCCAACTACCAAGGTAGCGCCCTTAACTTTATCTCCCAGAGCATCGAGAATGCACTGGATAAAGTTCTCCGTATAATTTTTTTCCATAAACACTTTTACTTTTTTTCGCAAACCGCTGGTGCCCGGCTTTTGATCGTCGAACGGGGTCGTCTCGACGACTACCGACTGTAGGGCCGCCATCCCGCTGTAGAAATAAGTTCAGCAAATATTTGGATTTAAAAAATAATGTGCTAACTAGTTAGCAGAGTAAATCATATGAAGTGCGACTAACCTACAACCAGCTGACTTTCGGCGACGATTAAGAGATAAATTGATATAAATTGAAGTCAACTAATCCCGCACTTTGAAGATAAATTTCGAAAAAACACGGACAGTGTACGATTTGAAGGTTATATTTCGCAGTGAAGAAATTTATCACAGGACGGTGTAATCTGCGTCTTGCGACCGTCCCGCTCGCTTACGTCGCGCAACTAGCCTCTTATCAGATGGGTAATTTCTATAAATTTCTTAAAGAATACGACAAAAATCGGTACCCGTTTCAAACTTCTCAATGACATGGAAGGTCAATCTACGCGCATTTCATTCGAGTTGGCCACGAACACCCCGTCGCGCCATCACACGTAGGAGCCTGAAACTACGTTTTTTTTGAATGTGTTGTGTTGCAGACTTCTTTATGGTGATAACGGCTGGCGCATACACCATTCTTTCACAGACAATCTACGCTCAGAAGTAATGAATCACCAATGCTTAATAAATGTCTAAGCGCGCAAGATGTGATTAATTTCTCGTACAACCGTATCGTGTTTTCGAACGCTATCGGTAGCGTTTTCTTATATCGTAAAACCACATGTTCGCCACATTACGCTAATAGCTCTGTCTCAATTTTACGCGCCTCCTGTAGACATTCACACATTAGGCTCTATGTTTGTTTCTTTTTACCATGCGATTCTGCGCGTACCAGTGCCGTACCCTTTGGGTCTTCGAAATCGATTGCGTTGTTTCGAACTATACGTATCTTAAAATCGCCTGGCAAGCGGTGTGATTATATTTTGAAAAGGAAGGCACTCACAAAAATAAGCACACGCAGACAAAGTGTTGCTTCCGTAGACTGAAATCGTTAAGGGTTGCGATTCTGTTTCGGACGCCGCCACTGACTATTTTTTGTAAACCCGATCTCCAAATGCTCTGGAAAGACAAGTACCAAATATTAAAATCTGTTTCAAACGGTTTAAAAAATTTGGTTAGTTGGTTGGTCGGTCCGTAATGTTGAAATGTCGATTTAGACTTAAGTCGAAAAGTCGAAGCTACGTATTTACGTGTACGGGAGAGAAGGAAGGAAGACTTGAAGAAACGTGAGTGTTTTGACAGATTTTGTTTTTACCCCACGCTCCCACGATCCCTGTTAAATGCAGGGTGCCATCAAAATGGTGTAAAGAACTCCTCAAAAAAGTCCCTATATCTACGGATGCATCGTATCCCGATTTCAAGCTTAGGTCAATAGACGCCGACGCGTTTGTTTTAAACAAAACACCCTGTATATAATTGCTTTTTTCATTTTTTTATTATGATTACTTTACCTTGACTGGAGAGTACTTGTTAAAATGCATAGAAATAATTACTTTTAAGAAGACCGCAAAGTTCATACGCTCATAATTTATACCTATTTAGTATATCGAACTCAAAAATAGTGATACCGAATCGTAAGAGTTCCGCAAATTCACTCAGTTTTTTTGGGTCAAAAGTTGTTTTCTTCATATCCAGTCGCTACAGACCAATGGTAGCCACTTTTTCGATGGCCATTTTGTGGGTAACTTTTAACTCTTAATAGGATGGTAGTTGTGAACTTAGGTTCACAATGTCTCGAAGCTACCAAAAAAAAGCACGCCCCTTAATTCTATAGATATTAAAGAACGAATCTGTTTTTACATTTTAGGTATACCTATTTTTTTTTTTGGTACTATCTACTACTGGAAAAATTAGGACGTCAATGAGAAAACCCAATCTTGAAGTACGTTGACAAAATAAAAAAATATCAGACTCAAGCAATTACTATGATATTTGATTTTGATTTGATTTTTCTTGGTTAGTTTATGTACATTAATAATTGCAAATAATTAAATTTACGGAAGTTTTTAAACATTTACCTTTACCTGTAAAAAAAACATTTTTTTATAAAAAATATTAAAAAATTAGGTTATTTTTGAAAACATTTTAAAATTTTATGGGCAAAAAGTTGTTTCTTTTTCAGTTTCCTACAAATGCGCATGTTTTCAATAGAATCAAGTGTTTTACTTTAAATTTATTTTAAACACTCAATTAAAAAGAAACTTCAAATGCATTTATAGCAATAGTCTAGTTCAATTTAAAAAAATCCTCTTTAAATTGTAATATAAGCGGTTTGATATACTAAAAAAATAGAATTTAAAAAAAATATGAGAAAAAATAAATTTGTAGAAAACCGAAAAAAAAACAACTTTTTCGGATAAATTTTCTTAATGTTTTCAAAAATAATATAAGTTTTTCATGTTCTTTTACAAAAAATGTCAGTTGTGACAGGTGAAGGCAAATGTTTATAAATTTGCTAAATTAATAATAATAATAATAATAATAATAATAATTAATAATAATAATTAATAATAATAATAATAATAATAATAATTAATAATAATAATTAATAATAATAATAATAAAAATAATAATAATAATAATAAACGACTTTTATTTTAAATAATAGCATAACAAACCTACAATACAGAGACCAATTAGTTGTTGACGTTAGTTGACGTCCTATCCCAGGTACCAATTTTTAAAGCATAGTTATAACAAATGCATGAGAAAAACTTAAACGAAAACGGATAAAATCTCTAAAGCAAATTCTGTAGACGCAGTAATTCTTTCTTATATTTAATTTTAAACATATTACAATTTAAATTTACCAGGTTCTTAGGTATTGAATTATAATGTTTTACGGCGTTACGCGAAAAACTGCTACGAAAGATGGCATTCCGATGATGAGGAATTGTTTAGCCCTTACATTCGTGTGATATATTTCGCACCTAAACACTATTCGTTTCCGAATCGATCGTTTATAGTCTTTGTTAAAAAAGTACAGAAATGTAGTCTTCTATGAGACTCCATCTTAAGCCACTCAATCTGTTTATAAAAATTAGAAATATGATCACATTTTCTTAAACCATACACAAGAGTGAACACACTGGTTTTGAATTTTTTGAAATGGTCACTCACTTTCATTATCTAAACAAAAGCCATATACAAATTTACAATAATTAAAATTTGACACGACAAGGACTCGAACTAGTTTTTCTTAAAATTTGTCTACTACTGTATAATTTTTTTTTGCCGTATATGTCCTTTGAAATATGCTTTTTAAATGTTCTTTAAATGTTAGCTCGCTATTTAAACGAATACGAATTAAGGACAGACCCGGGCGAGGGCAAGCTGTAAGAATGAAATATTTCCGAACAGGTCCGTACTTTGCTTAGAATTTAATTATTTGGGTTTTGTTAGGAAAGAGACAATATTTATTTATGTATTTATGTTTAAATCTAAAATAAAATTACAAATTATTTTTATTACCTACTTAAATTACTTAAAATTATTCACATAATATATCAGTATCACTATCGCTATCATTGCCTGTTCTAATTATTATTTGTTCTATATTATTTGCAATATGGGTATACGATTGTTCTGCTTTTTCTATATGTTTAACAAAATTTGCCCAACTTTGTGGAGGGATGTTAAAAACTTCGGTTTCTATAAGTTTGAGGACATTGGATTTAACACATTGTTACGAGGAATGCCAGATTTGGGATTAAATATACAAGGTGGAAGCCTTAAAATTGTACGCCCTAAATTATTTTGCATAATTATCACAAAGAACCTCAATTAATTGCTTGTTGGTATAATCTTCGTGAAAATAAATGTGTTATTATACATGTAGTTTTGGATTGTTGGTTTTGTGTCACATGAGGAAGGGGTTTTAATCAACTGTGTACTGTGATAACTTGCATTGTCCATTACTATTAGTCAGCATCGCTTCTTTTTTTCCTCGATGAAATGGGATTATCCACAATTTTCCATACAGTTGATGTTGGAATTTTCGTCAATGTGACCGTTTCTTCTAAAGTTGCTTGCTTGCTGAAATGAAAAAAAAAAACATTGAGAAGTTACAGAGCGCAGGAAGGATCTAACCAATGTGCACTGCTAGAATTCTTTAAAAATTTGTGGTACTTACAGTACTTTCGCTAATAGTTTTTTTATTTACAGAGGTAGGTTTAGGTTTTTCATTCTGTTATATCATTAAGTGGGTACTTAACGCAATTGTAAACATTAATTAAAACCATGGTGTGATGTTATGTGTAAGAATAAGTATAGAAATCAGCAACCAGATTCGTCTGGGCGCTGCACTCTTGCCTTTTCTTGTAATTTTTCTTGTCGAAATTATCAGAATAAAGTATATTATTATTATTATTATTATTATTATATTATTACCGACCACCTGAATTTAAATTCCGAAAATTTTGTTGCATTTTTTTATATCTTATATCTATGAACACACCATACCTTTTGCGCTAAGCGATTGATTTCGGCATGCAATGAGTGTGAAGATGGCAAAGCAAGCCTTATTTTGTATTACGTTTTTCATGGTCTATCTATAATATGTATCCATCCCCAAGTGTTTATACCGTTTCTAAGGTTATCGAGCGAACGAATGTTATGCTTAAATATTCAAATAAAATAATAATCCTGTTATTACAAGTGTTTCGAAGTTTCGGATAAAAGCAAAGGCGTTCCCGCACGAAACATGGGACACCACTTCCTCTATTTATCAGCAAGATATGAGAAACGCTTATCGCATTTCGCGCCTGCCCAAAGGAATTCGTTGCGGTGGTCTTTATTTTTGCTCGATTTTAATTGCGGTTCGAAAAAAAAAATGCTTGATTTTTAGACGTTTTCCCGGAGTTTCCACAACACCGACGAGGTAGTGAAAATTCTAGACTTTCTGTTCATTTTATTGTCACCTTTTTTTTTTTCTAAAACTTATCGGTAGTTTGTTTTAATGAATTCCGGTGTTATTCCGAAATGATCTAAACGCGTTTGTAGTTGCCGAGGTTTTAATACAAACGAAAATAATATAGACCTCGATTTAAAAGCCTAGAATTTTTCCTTGGTGTTTGTTTCGATCATTTTTCATCATTTTAATATTTAATTGAGTTTTGTTTACATTTTAAAAATATTCGAGAAGTGTGCATTATCTCAGATGCGGTTTTAGTGCGTTAACTTTTTTTTTGTTTTTCAGATACAGGGCTTTTTCGAAATTTTGCATTTTAAGGTACCTTCGGTGCTTTTTTTTATAATTAGGTTATAATAAACTTACCATTGAGGTACATTCCGTATAAGAGAAAAGGTTTGAAAGTCATCGGACCCTATAGTGTCCATTTTTCGTTATTATTGCCGGGTATCTCAGTTATTATAACAGATAGAGCGATGTGGTTTTCGAAATACTGTGTTCGAATTTCGTGAAACAAAAGATAGGGGTTTTAAAACAATTCTACCGGGCTTTGTATAGAGTAAAACAGAAAATTTGGCCATTTTAGTTACCTTTTGTATTTTAAACACCCCGATGATAAAACGTAATCTTATAGATCTTTTTACGTAGAACCTATTGGCGTACTCAGATTTTTTGCAATTTTGATGATATGAGCTGTTTTTTTAAATGAAACGATCTGTATATTTTTAAGAACATTCTAGAAAATACTTATATTCTATCCTAATTTATTATTTATTTTTATTTTTTCTATTTATTATTATTACGATTATTATTATTAGAAAAAATTAAAACAGAATATAAAAAAATTTAAACATTAAAAGACTTGCACAAATTGATTTTCATCAGCTTTCAGACATTTTTCGCATCTTTCATTTTTGAAATTTATTGTAGAATGTTAGGGTAGCCAATCAACAGGTGCAAATATATACACTGTTTTTTTTTATATTCCCTTACTATTATACATTTTTAGAAGCCATTGCAAGGTTGTATCTCAAAACTTACACTACGTGGTAGACCAGTCATCCTCGTCTAAAGAAGAATTCGTTAATTATTCGAAAACTGTCTGGCAGCTGGTGGAAATCCATTTTCTTCCCGTGCATCCCTGTCCCTTAATGCCCATTCAGACATTTCGATTCATTATGCCCACTCGTCTTCACATCCTCCCCTAAAAGAGCCATTGTACTTTCGAGGGAATACAGTACAGTCAGCAGAGCTCTTGATGGTGGTAACTGGTTAGGAGATGAATTGGAGAGAACTCCAATTCATCTCCTAACCAGTTACCACCATCAATCAGTTTGAAATCAGTTTGAGCATAAGATTCCGTTTTCATACATGTTTTCAACAAACAAAGGGGAAATGAAATGGTCAAATTTGCAGTTTCAAAAACAAAGGCAGCTTGCAGATGCATCGTTTTCAAACATCTATTTCGTTTTTAAATTTATAGGGATAGTGGGCTATGACTTATTATTACAGTGTTTGTTTTCAAAAACAAAGGCAGCTTGCCTTAATTTTGATCGTTCTCAAACATCTATTTCGTTTTTGAATTTATAGGGATAGTGGGCTACGACTTATTATTACAGTGCTTGTTTTCATAATCGATTCAAAAATGATTTTTTTTCTTGTCAACGTTCTCCTCGCGAGCAAAACGACAGCGATAAAAGCGACGTTATCATCAGAAACCATACATCCTCTTTGGACAGCGTTTGGTGCGTTGCCTATATTCCTGATATAAATACATACGCTGCCAGTACCGCCTTTTCACTTATTTCCCGGGGTCGTAGTTGGTGGACTTGGTGCGTGGATTTGTGGTGGATTTCGTCGATTTTCCACTTTTCCAAGGTGAGTTTTATGAAAAGGGCGACGCTTTAAAAAGTAAAAAATGTACCGTTATTTTTTACGAACCATTTTGATAATTTTATACTCTGGCCTGTTTTCTATTTTCTGAAACCAACTAAAACGCACCATACATAACAATAAAATTGATAATATAAATTCATACAAAAATTAACCACATAGCAACAAAATAGCACGGTATAAGTACAACAAGCAATTATTATAAAATAGCCAGAACAAAAATTTCAGATAATGTATAGAATTATATATTTATTTTTGATCTTATGAAAGCATTAAATGTTATGTTGTGCCTTACAGAAAATATTTGCCTTGGCAATATTACATTTCAGAGTTACAGCCTTGCAGTGTTTTGTACTATCTCAAATTCTCTTCCTGTACAGTTGGACATTCTGAACAATGAAGTTGCACAATACTGCAAATAGTAAAGTAAAAATTTTTGTATAATTGTAAAAATTTTATCTATTCTCGATGTAAAACCCCCTTTGTGCGAAAATATTCTCATTGCATAATCATTGCGATTATTTTAAATATGTTGCTAATATTATACAACTAAATTATTATTGACTTAAATCTTATATCTAAATTATATATATATATATATATATATATATATATATATATATATATATATATATATATATATATATATATATATATATATATATATATATATATATATATATATATATATATATATATATATATATATATATATATATATATATATATATATATATATATATATATATATATATATATATATATATATATATATATATATATATATATATATATATATATATATATATATATATATATATATATATATATATATATATATATATATATATATATATATATATATATATATATATATATATATATATATATATATATATGTGTGTGTGTGTGTGTGTGTATTTAGATATAAATTTAATAAAACCTACTAGGAACGTATAGTTTTGAATGCTGTTTAAAGTATTTTTTGAAAATAAATTTTATACATCCGTTCATTATTATTTAAATCGTTGTTATTTAATATAATAATATTTCTTCAAAAATAAATGTTGTTTTGTTCATGCACTTCGATCTACATAAAATTTAAATATGTATATCGATATTTCTTTAAAAATAAGTACTAATATTAGTGCATTACAAGATAAAATGTTTTTAAAGAAATGATTGCCACTTATATCTCCAGGTTTTTTTCAAATAAATATGCAACATCAAATAGAAGTTTCATTTAAGATCGCGCATCAAGTCCAGTTTCTTTCTTGTGATATTTGCAAGAGTCGCGTTTTTATTTTTTAACTTTGCTTACAGAGCGGACAATGGCGTTGCAGAGCGATGGCGTAAAATAAATGCGACAGGGCTCTTCACGAGGCAGATTAGCGTGCGATTGACTTTGGCTAGCTGCCTGCTGAAGACTCTACCGCAAAAACGACCACCCAACAGAATACGCCACCCCCTTCGACTCTATGGACGTACAGGAACCTGTCGCTGTAGGGCTCATCATTGGGCGGCTTTCCGTATTTTTAACCGGCAGCTGCCTTTTGAAGAGCGTTGCTGCGAGGTTCAAAAGATCCGAGAAACCATCGTTATCTATTAATTTATTTATCAGAACGACGAAAACGTCTTGATGTTCTTTTGTTTTCTTGATCTTGATAATTTTTCTGCTTCAACCATGCATGTAGTTCGCATTTCAAAAAATATTTTTGAGACAAAAAAAAGTTACGCCTTCGGCAACAAAACTCCCGATATGTCGGCAATATTGTAATCCAGTTTAATAAAAATAAATATGTGAAAATTTCAGATAAAAATGGTTATTTAAAGAGAAAAAATGTTTTTTTTTTGTTTAATGCTAATTTAACTTTATTTAAGCGTGCGCGTGTTCTTTAATGTGTCAGTACTGAGGGGCGTAATTTTTAAGATCATTTTAAGAATAAAGTTTCATCTCCTAAACCTCTTAAATTTCTTGAGCGGTAAAGTAAAGTAAAAGTAAAGCTTGACTAAAATAATTGCAATGAACGGGCTGACTAGTTAATTATTTTTAAACATGCAAATCTAATCAATTTAGAGTAAATTATAGGTTATAAACGTCATTGTCAAATCACTTTTTGTTAATGGTCTCTCATTTCTAGTGTTTCGTTAGATGAATTTAATTTTTTGCAATTTAGTTTTTAAATTTTCTGTTTATTTGATGAGTTAGTAACTAGGTGCACTTGTCACGTGTCTTGCTCGATAGACCGGCGATGAGGTATTATACCTAAATAAATATAATATAATAATATAATATATAATATATCGATAATGGCCATCAAACTCCAGACTTTGAGACAGACAATACCTTCAGCACATTACACTAAATCATTTTTTTAGAAACTATACTGTAACTGTCTATAAATCATTTTGACACTGTAGATCCTAACGTTTTTTTCACAGCGTTTGCCAATGATGTTTCATATTTTATTTCGGATATCTCTGATACAGTTCTTCAAAGTGTTAAGTTTATTTAAAAAACTTAATATGTAGTTGGATCATTGGTCAGTTTCTTTAACTCATCAAAAACGGCGCTCATACGATTTTATGACACACAAAAGAGTGTTAGTGAATCGGAAATTAAATTGGATAACGAAAAGATCCCTTTTAGCGATAATATATATATATATATATATATATATATATATATATATATATATATATATATATATATATATATATATATATATATATATATATATATATATATATATATATATATATATATATATATATATATATATATATACAGTATATGCTTTACTGCGAAACATATTGTGAATATCTTATACCTAGAGTCGATTATCAATTTTCGAACACCTAATTCAGGTTTATTTTGCAAGTGTCGAGGTAACGTAAGGTAAAGGTGTTTGTTTTTGGGCTTTTACCACACTAAGGTTGATTTTTGTGGCTCAAAAAAGGTGCACACGTGCATTTAAATGGAAGAAGTTCTTCGTAAATTTAATCACGAAATAGAACTTTGTTCTTTCAACTCATCAATGTCAACTTGCAATTATACCATGGGTTACCATCTCAAAAATGTCTATTCAGTTCGTCTATCTTATCAAAACTTTCTGCTGATAGCCTCGAAAATTATTTAAACAGTTCAAAGTCCTTTGCAAATTTGTTTTTTATCAATTTTAACCCCCCTTATTATTATTTTCTAGCTTTCAGCAATAAGAGCAAGGGCAGTCTAATTCTTGTATAGTTTTTACTTTTCCTTAGAACAGATTGGGGCTTAAACATTTCCAAATGAGGACAGTTATGAATAACCACTGATCCAAACAACAAAAAAGTCAAATACTATGGAGTCTGTTGAAAAAATTTATTGTCAGTGTAAAAATAGGCTAGTATTAAGAAATTTTACATGTCCTATGTCACCGTTCGATCGAAATAGAAGTACTGTATTGTATATTGAATATGCCATTTCAGATAAAGATGCAGCAGTCAGTAAATTAAATTTATCGCTTCAGGGTATTTCATAAGTAATCGTCTAGACTCGATAGGCGGGGGCATTTCGGATCAAAAAGTCCCCAAAATGTGTTCCGGCCCTAACTTTAGTATATTCGATATAATATGGCCGTTTAATTTTAAAAAATACCAACAGTTTTGTGGACCTGATAGCCCGCCGCTGCATCTCGCATTGCTGTATGAGTAATAATAATCTACGAGTAAAGGAGCCTCGAAACTTTTGTTTATAAAAACGGATAAGATAAGATAAATCTTAAATGCAAAAAATCGTGATTATCCGTGACAAGTTTAGGCGTATAGGTGCTCGACAATGGCTGTGGTTTCCTTCAGAATCATTCCCCTTTGTTTGGTGATGTTTTACTTTTGCTGGGCATACGCGGTATGTACCGAGAGGTTATATTTTTCTCGGGTTTACATTTCCAATCGCGGTTTTTGCTCAATGCAAAATTTAGGTAGAAAATTCGGCGATCACTGACGACGACGAAGACACGAGTGAAACCAGCGTGTGGTACCAGTTAATGACGACGCTGGAGGGGGTAACGGGTTTGAATAGTTTAATTCCCTCCTATACGGTGACACTTGCCTGCGAAAATATAACGAAATGCACAATCGATCCCAAGGGTGACTTGATTTGGGAAGCCAGGTAAAAACTAACTACTATATCTATTTCAGGGATGTATAGAATACCGGGCGCCCCATTTTGGATTTATCTTCACATTGCGCTACTTTTTCGAAAGACAAGGTTGCCGTTTACAACAATTTCATAGCCATTGTAGTTTTTAAGATACATTTTTGAAAATGTAGTATTTTGCGACCCCCTGCTCGAAAAAGTTAAAAAAACATCCTTATAGATTTTTTTTAAACTCTTTTTATGTACATCATAATATAAATTTAATAAGTCTAATTAGTTGGCAACTCACTGTTCTCTGCCTTTAAAAGATGACAGACGAAAGTGTCCCTTAACCTCAATTTGCAACAGTAGAGGAAGTTGATGGGAACGACCCAAATGACAGATGTTCAAGCTCATTAAAAATGTTTTTCATTCATTTTGTACAGGCAGGAATTATACGACAGTTTCTTCTCGTTCAACCTTCCCGATGAACAAGCCAGTTCGAGTATCGACGGTTGTCTAACGACGAACACTGAAAAAGAGGCCTACCAATCGTGCATGAATGACGTCCGAATGCGGATGAACACGTACGTGGTCCTCAACTTCGAGAAATATCTGACAGATCGGCTCAACGCTGGCTGCGACCTAACCGAAACGAATTGCTACGAGTTGCGAAAATCTGCAGTATAATTAAATTGATCAATAAATATTCAGATTAAAGATTTTTGTTTAGCAACATGTGTAAAAAGTCGCTATACTTTTCCAGGTCTAGCAATAATTGTTTTAAATTTGTTTTAATAGTGTATTATGGCGAAAAATTTAAGTTAAGTTAAAGTTTAGAAGATACACGCCATTTAGTCACGAGTTTGCGCACATTTTTATTTTTATTTTTATTTATTATTTTTATTATTTATTATTGTTTATTACATGAGCAAACTGTCAACATTTAAAAATAAAGATCTAATACACTGTTTCAGGCGTTTATTAAGCACGTCATTTTATAACAACACGTAGTCTATAACCACGCGTCAAGTGCGGTCTGCCAATCACAGGCGTCAAATGTTACTATTACAACTGCACAAAACACATACAGGGTGGCCGGTTTAATAGGGAGCATACTCGAAATCTATGAGTGTTATAAAAAAAATGATGTTTGTATTTTTCTATGTTTTTTGAAGTTTCACTCAATTAGATACAGGAAGGTGAAATAAAGTTACTTTTTTTTTTTTAAAAAAGGACGCCATATATTGTATATGTTTATTATATTTTATAATTATCATTTGCGAACAACGAAGACGAATGCACCGTTGTTAGTGAATATTTTCGCAATTCAGGTTATATTGGAAAGGTTTTTGATATTGAAATTTGTACTGGTAATTGCAATTTAAAATTATATTTTTTCAAATATTTCGCGGGCTCTGTATTATAGACAAAACCTTAAACTCTCTCTCGACACGGTTTACGATACTGTTCATATCAAATCATCACATCTTTAAAAGTTTTTCATTTATCGCCAATAATTCACCTACAAAAGCGGAAATTTCTAGGATCTATTCGAATTTTTTGCCTACAAACGAGGTACCCTGTATCTAACTGTAATGTACGAAATAGAGGCTATAGCCCTGGATCTCCTCGGTATCCTGGAATCCGTCAAGGGCCAAAGTTGCAAATATGTGCCAAATATGAAGTCGATCGCTTCAAATTTCGGATACTTATCGTGTTTCATAGCAAGGTCCAAAAAACAGTCGAAAATCGCGAAAAAAAGATGAATACCGGAGTCGGATCAGGGCCTTTTCTTATAAGCTTATGTGCCTCGTGGAGGGTTAGAAAGGAGGCAAATTTCAATTATGTAGCTTCAACGGTTCCAAAGTTATTCAGGAAAAACCAAAAGACGAGAACGGAGAACGGACAAACAGACAAAAAAAATTTTTTTCGGCGGTGATCATGTCTGTACCAACGGCGATCCCATAGGACTTATCGTTATCGAGATATACAATTTTTATACGAGTAACAAGATTGCTTTCGAAAAATCTTCACTGGGCGGGGTAAGTTCGTAGCGCGTAGCGCGAAGCAACTTTTTATTTATCGTGCTCCTGCGGACCACTATGGAACTTTCGCAAAATCGATGTAATTTAATTGTGCATGCACCCCGTATAAAATGACCTTCACATCTCGTGGAACTTCAAAGTTACAGCAAACATCGATAAATATCAAAATTTGCACAAATAATACCGTTGTCGAATGATATTTTTTCAAATATCTCGCGCCCTGTATCATTGACGAATCCTGAAACTGTTCAAATAAAATTATCCCATCTTTAACGGTTTTTCATTTATCGCCACTAATTTTGCCACAAAAACGGAAATTATTAGGATATTTTAGATTTTTTGCCCATAAACGACACACCGCGTATGTGATACAATCATTGTTCGAAGTAGAGGTTATAGCCCTGGCTTTTTTACGCGTCCTGGTTCAAGAATCTTTTAAAAATAGTAAATGGTTTTCGAGAAAATAAGTTTTTTCTGAAACCATCCAGTACGCCGTAATAATCACTGACGTCATGGCGTCTTGACAGCTCCCGAAATAGCGATTTCAATGTGGATTTTTTCAAATATCCCGCGCGGCGTATGTGATAGACGCAAACCGCAAATACAAAAATTGTAGCTCTTGATGCGGCCTTTGACACCATTTGAACCAATTAGCCATATTTTTTACGATTCTTGATTTGCGGCTAATCATTTACTCTGTAAAAAAGCAATTTTCTAGGTCTTTCAGATTTTGCCTATAATTTGAAAACCTTTTATATAATCGAAAAAATACCTGAAATAAATGTTATTGCACTGGATCTTCTGCATCTGTCGGTTCTTTTATATTTTATATTCATAAGAAAATATAAATATAAATATAAAATATAAATATAAAACTGTTATTTTTGTTTTCTTCACATCAATAAATTTTGAGATGATTGTTTTTAAATGAATTGGGAGCATATAAACTATTTCGTATTTCAGAACGTTTTAATCGTTAATTGTTCAGCATAACCAATTTGACATTTCCTTTGGGTAATAACATTAAAAATTAGTGCGCCTCAGGTGGCTATGTTTTTTTCTTAACAATTCCTCGCATGCCTCTAAATTTCGCTCACTTTGCGCCTTTCTTTGTAAACAGCGTTATACATACACTTAACTTATTTTTAATATTGCCGTAAAAATTCCGCATCCAAAATTATTGACGATCTGTCAGCGGCCATGTTGGGCGTTGACTGCCGAAAGTTCATTGGATGAAAACTGAATCTTCTCAAAATTCCTTTTCAAAGTTGTTTCTATATCTCTAGTAGCTATTAGCAAATTAACATTAACATTTAATTTAACATTAATATTATTAAATTAGGAAATATTGGCAGCTGAATCTTTAATAATCCTCTAGATAGGTTTATTTGGCGCTGTTCAGAATCCATTGTTTCTATTTTAACTTACCAAAAGGTCTCTAACCCGACTTTAGTGAGTTAAAAGGACTATTGAAAATAGAAACAATGAATTCTGAACATTCCCCCACTATAAAAATACAAATTTTTATACAAAATGTTTTATAAAAAAAAAAGAAAACCAAATGTAACAAATAAGAAGAAACTAAACGAAATTCTCTTTGCACTGTTTTGCAACAAACACTCCTGTATCCCTAGCGGAGCGGAATAAGTGACAATTGGTTCAATGGAATCAATTGTCTCATTTAAAAACATGTATGTAGGACGAAACACGGATGGGAAGTTGGCTAGTTGGCTGGTAAAGGGCACAAATGACGCAATGTGCTATCACACTGCGAATGACACGCTTAATGGACAATATCCAGAATTGCTGGGCTAGCAAATGTTCTAGTAGGCGAGGACCTGGATGTCCGTGGGTTTTATGGAATTTCTCTATTATTAATGTGGTGATTCTATAAACCCGGGGTAACAATATAGGATGCTTGACTTCGTATTCAAGGTCCGTGTAACGCAACCTTCGCCCCATTCTGAGAACGCCCAGAGTGTCCAAGCATAGGTCCAGTTTACGAAGGGGTTTGGAACAAGGTTTGTTCTTCAGAATCCTCCTCAATTCTTCAGAGAAAACCTCTTGTTGCACCATTCTAACGATGACACAAAGAGAAAAATATAACTCTTTGAAACAGAGGGATTTGGAAGAGTATGAAAAGGAAGAGTCGCGCTTTCTAATCCCCGTTGAAGGGTGGTACGTTTACCTTTTGAATTTCCAAACCGGTGGTATGGCCTTGTCTGTTCATCGGCGATAATGAAGAATTTTGTGGGAATGTATCAGGAAGAAGATCGCGAGCAATGGATTTTATGGAATATTTTATCTCGTCAAATGAAACTACCAGTGCTTCCTGTTCGCTTTCCTGCTGCTCGTTTAAATCTAACCTGCAAACTTGACAGTGCAAATCGTCAAATTCAGTAATGAGAGGGTCCAAATCCGATAGACGCAGTTGAAAAACTTTCATGTCTTTCGTGTCAGCATGTGCATCTTACGCCATTTGCGCTTTTGTGAGCGTATTCTCACAACGGGTTAGGATGGACTTCTGCTGTCTAGTAAGGCCTGTGTATTCACTCATTTTTAAATGTAATGTAAAGGCTTCTGCAAAAGTAAACAAGCAAATTCGTATTTTCAAAAGGTTCGTGAAATTCGACGCGGCGGCAATTTCCAATCCAAAAATGGTAAAACAAATGGTTAGGCAATAAATCCAAAAGGAGGTGATTCAATTTATTTGAACGCGAAACTTGGAATACGAGACGCGAAAACGTAAACAAACAAATTCGTGGTATGCGAGTGTCAAACGAATGTGGTTAGGTTCAATTGTCCTGTGGCCAACGAGCCAAATTCCGAACGCGATCCTGCAAGCTGCGAAGTGCGTGATACACTGAGCAAAAAACGATATCCGGAGAGTGCAAAAAAACGGTTAGCAACAGAGATAAAAAACGTGATTGCTGCAAAAGAAGGTGCAAATACGTGCAAAATGGTAACAATATCTAAATAGACTGCATTTTCCAGGCGCTTTTTCAGATAATCCGGCTCGAAGGACGAGAATATTAAGGGCCCGAATAGGGTCGAACAATAATATCTAACGTCAGCAAGTTCGACTCAGCAAAAACCAACGCAGGAAGAATCCAAAAGTGTTGTAAAACGTATTGCAGTAGCCTGTGGAAGTTTCTTTGAAAAATTAATATAGAAATAGCTTTTAAGAATAATAATTATTAATCTACAATATAGAAATAATTCACCAACTCTATTGTTGGATATTCGAAAAACATGTTTTTTTTTATACCGATTAATATTATCAAAGAATTGTTGTTGCAATGCCATGCCATGCAACGTCGACATGCACCAAGACGGAATTTGAAAAAAAATCCACCCGTATTTCTGCGGTTCGCTCGGTATATAAAGCAGAAAACGAGAAAAGGCGCGCATGATTTCTTGAAAATCAATAATTTCCCCCGAATTGTGTGGTGTCGGATTTCATTCATGAATCCGGCGTCGCTCCCTCCATCCCGTTACGCAATCCACCCTAATCATTTGCGTGAGAAACGGTGTCCTGCGGGATGCTCCATCTCGGACCGCGACTCTTCCGGATTTTTTTTTAAACTGACACCGGCTGATTTCCGAGACGCGATGGCGACGAGAGGCGTCGTCGGTGAAAATAGTTATATTTTGGACGCGAGACGGCAGTTTTCCGAAGATAGGGTGAGTCGAGGGGGGTGATAGGCTCTTTTATCCTTGTCATTCCGCCTTCCAAGTACCTACAGGGTGTTCCGCGCTTTCTAAATAAAAATGCCAACCAGTCAATACCAAAAAAAATTTTTTTTTTCTTATTTTACCAATGGAACTTGTTTTATTGAGTCTTAACGTTTTTGCTTGTTTCTAAAATAATATATATATATATATATATATATATATATATATATATATATATATATATATATATATATATATATATATATATATATATATATATATATATATATATATATATATATATATATATATTTACTTTTTAAGCTATCACAATTATGTTTATGAGTAGCCTACATTAAGTTGCTTTTCTGTTATAATACGACCAAAAATATAATGCATTTATTGCTTTGACTTTTTAAGTATTTCACAGTACCTTAACCGCAGGGCTTCGCAGGCCCCATCCAACAGATGTTTATTCTGCATTAAGTAGTTCTTGTTTTGAGATAAACCGTAACGAATGTTTGTAGAAACATGAAAGTTTTATTTGAAACGTAAATGGACTGTTTTAGATTTGATTAAGCATTGATGCTGTGGGGTATTTTCGTTTATTTTAACATCAGGTGATAAACATAGTTCTTAAGAGTTTAATCTGAATTGCAATATGTTCGTATTTATACTGGACTCTATTTATCTTACAAGTAAGTTTGAAAATACGAAGAATTTGAAGACGAAGTGGAGATGGTAGTCGAACTACCTCAACAAATAAAAAAAAACGCATCCAATTTGTTCTCGGATACTAAACAAATTGTATTGAATGTTTACAATTTTATAAGAGATGAAAAAATTCAGAAGGGGAAGTAGGAGCAACAATACAAACAAGTGACTTGACTAATGTTATGGAGTCAACTGTAACTGTAACTGGAAAGTGATGCGAGTTTTTAAAAAGCCACACGCAGATCTAACGCTAGAAGAATTGCATAAAAAGGTACTTACAGACTTAAACATTACTTGTACCCAACAGTCTTGCATACTTTTTCGAAGAAAATCGTTTTTCAGTTCCAAACAATTAATAACCGTGACGATTTTTTAAGTAACTGATACTTTATTATTATTATATTTAATATTTTGTATATTAATAATGATACTCTGTAGAAATGTAATGAAATGCAACGTAATAAATTGTTTCTTTGTACTAATTTTTTTATGTACATGCTTCAAGAATAGCGAAAAAGATTGAAAACTTATTTACACTCCGCTTGTTAGTGTAAGTAGATAAATTCCTAGGACGGTTCTGGAATGGTTACGGATAAGGGTCTGCTCGGCAGTGTGCTCTATAAACAGTGGGCACGGAGTCTGTTGTCAAAGCACTATATTTCTGGTCCACGTGTACCCCTTTTTATCACTCCTTTTCTTCACAAAAATTGAAATAATTTCAATTACACTTTAAATGTTACCAGTAGGACTATAATTTAAAAAAAAAACTGAAAAATTCATCCATTTTCTCAGATACTGGGGTAAATATATATAATACAAGAAAGCCACTAAACCTAGAGTATCATTCGTGAAAACACAAATTTAATATAAAAAAAATTCGCTAAGGATCGCATCAACAGTCCCGGTCGGTGTAGAAAATCACCAATATGGATAATAAAATTTGAGATATGTTTTCAACATTTTTATGTATCTGATGACGCCGTTTTGGACGAAACATGTCGCCCGAAACATGTTTCTTGTCTTACCTATTGAACATACTTTTATTTCGGTTGATATGAAATGCTGGCGAACTATGACACTGATACAACTGGGATTCAGCCAAATCATTATTATTTACCAACCAGTTGCGCATACCTACAGACACGGCAGTTCGCGTGATCCGTTAAATTGGTCGGCGCGAAAACTTTGAACACGCGAGGAAATACCATTTTTCCAATTACGTGCTTAATCCAAACGTAACGTATTTGGGGCACTTGTAATTGCCACCTGGTGCGAGGACAGTGGCAGCAATAAATCGCTGGCTAATGTTTCATGTTAAAAGTCTTCGGAGTTTCGATCGCATTATTTTCCTGTTAATTATTCTGTTTGTTTATAAGAAGAATATGAACTGTAACTCTGATATTGCTAGAATAAGCATAAGAAAAAAATTGAATCTTTTTACTTGAACTTTCCAGGGTTTGTTTTATGGCTATGTGTATGAAACTTATTCAGTATGGTCTGGTATGGTATGGTTTGGTTTATTAACAATTAAAAAACAGCCGTTTTAGAAGGTATTTTGCCATAACTTTTTGTTTGTGAAGCGATTCACTCAAACCCCAGCCCATTTTGTAGGTGTTTTCGAGGCGCACAAGTTAAGAAACTTTTTTTTTGAAAAACTAAAGCTTCACTCAAAAAAAGTTCAGTAAAAACTACCATAACTGTTTGTCCGCTCATTAGAGGTGCATGAGAAAAAAAAAACAACATAAATCGTAAATATGTATTACATATATTTGTTTAAAAACATACAAAAAAAACTATAGAAAAAAATGTAGGTGAATTAATTTTATTTATTTACAAACTCCAAGATACTAGCCTGACGCGTATTTATTGTTTTTTGCTTTAACAAACTTGACTGAAAATGATCTTCTAAATTTTTAAGGTGTTGAAATGCACTGGTCCTCTTTAACAAAAAAATTTTAGATAGGTAATTATTTTTAAGATCGCTGTCTGCTTCCGGTTCAGGTTCTTTCATGTTGTCAATTCAATCTTCAAAGTTCAAACGAGTCTCCTCCGTGGCTGTAATATTGTCGATTCCAATATTTTCGAAGAGTTTCTTGCGTTATGTTCATTTCTCTAACACATTGTTCAATTATCTTGTTCAATTATCTTAGATAGTGGTATATTATCTTCTGGATCCGATTCCATTGATGTAGAAAAATCATTATTTTTTGAAAACCAGCTTTGTTGAAACAATTTTGTATAGTTTCCAACGAAACTTTATTCCAGGCTGATTTAATAAAATAACGTGCTCAAATCTACAGGCTTTGAAAATCTGACGCGGACATTGACTTTGATAAAATGTGCTTCACAATGAGTCCACGATAATAAAATTTAACATTCTGTATGATGCCCTGATCTAGAGGCTGACATACTGATGTCGTATTTGGAGGCAAGAAGATAACTTTTGTTTTATAATTTGCGATGCTTTTGTAGGGCCATTTTTCTATCAAATTGTAACAGCCATTCATTCATAATGTCTCGTGTCATCCATGCTTTATTGTTACTTTCGAAAAATCTATGAAATTTTGGCAACGAGCATCGTACAGCGTCACCGTTGGTACCGATGGAAACGTTTTAATTTTTTGTCTGTTCTCCGTTCTCTGCTGTCTGTTCTCTGTCGACGCTCCATAGAAACGCGAATAACTTCCGAACGGTTTGATAGAGGGAGCTGAAGTTTTGCTCTTTTTAAACTCTCCACGAGACACATAAGCCCATAGGAAATGGCCGCGATTGGAAATTGGCATCTGTCTTTTTTTAGCGATTTTCTTCTGTTTTTCGTACATCGCTATGAAACACGATAAGTGTCCGAGATTTGGAGCAGCGATTTCAAAATTGGCACACATATAGAGTTTAGTCCCCTAACAGAACCTATTAAAACTGGGGGGCTGGGGGGTATAATTTCTTAAAAACGGTATACGGGATCGAAAAAATTCTTAATGCAGAAGACGCGCGAGATCCTGACCAAAAACATTTATTCCTGGTGATTTTTTAAAAATGTATAGGTTGCGCCTGCAAATTGCAAAAAACTGAAAATGTGGTTCCCCTTATAACGATAATTGACGACAACGAAAACTGTTAACTTGATCAGCAAAATTATTTTACCAGGAGGCGCGGAAGATTCGGTACTATAACTTCTATTTCAAGCATTTTTTCGATTATGTACAGGGTTTTTCGAATATAGACAAAAATCTAAAAGACCCTGAAAATCATTCTGTTCGCTATGAAATTATTAGCCTTAAAACAAAATTCGTGAAAAATATGGTTAACTGGTTTAAACAGTGTTACAGACCACATAGACAGGTACAACTTTTGTCTTTACGGTTTTCGTCTATCACATGCACTGTTCGAAAAAATACAAATGAAAACATCATTTCACGCCCTGAATCTAAACGCGATGACGTCATCAACAAGCATTTTTTTCAAAACCAGTTGCTCTACTATTGGAAAAATTCATATACCAGGAGAAATGGGAGATCCAGGGCTATTACCTCTATCTCGAACATTGTTTGGATTATATGCAGGGTGTGTCGTTTATGGGCAAAAAATCTAAAATGCTAAAAATTTAAAATTCATAAATTTCCACATTTTAATTGCTACATTTTTAAATGCCCTAGGTCGGGCAGCCTTTCCGATCACGAGCAAATTTTCTTTTTGTCCTGTCATGTTAGCACAAAATAAAATTGTAAGCCCTTGGAAAGGTTGCCGCCACTACATTTTTAGGATTTCAAAGCAAGTGTTTTGTTAGGTAAGATTCGAAAGAAAAGACGAGTATCATCGGCATTGTAAACATCGTGTGGCTGATATCCGAGGAGTAGTGCGGACAACTTATCTTTAAACATTAAGTTTTTCAGTTATTTCTTGAGCCTTGGCCTTTACTAAGTGCCCCGATATTGGAATGTTTTGATCTCGCAACCGAGAAAACCAATCACTTTGTCAATTTGAAGACGCTCAGTTTTTACAAAATTTCTTTTTTGATCAATGTTGCTTCCCGACTTCCACTGTACACGAATTCGGTCTTTATTTTTCACAATTTCCGCCGCTTGAGTTTTCCCGATTTCAAATTTTTCTGCGACAAATTGTCCTTTTCCGAAAAGTTAACAATTTACATTTTTTCTCGCAAAGTAAAAAATTGTGGAATCAACTTACTGCATTTGCTTGCAAAATAAAACTGCAAGTCTCAACTTGATGATATGAAAAATGAAAAAGGTAATTCCCCTATAACAATTATTTGAAATTGAATACGGGCAAAACTTAAAATATATTCTTTTCGCTAGATAAATACAACAACAACATTGCACTACACTTGATAGTAGACGATCTTCCAGCATATTCGTCCTTAGAAAAATTAGGGAGAGCCTAGACCAAAATGCCCTAATGACAGTGCTTTATTTCATTCTCACATATCATATGGCACGATATTATGGGGAAACTCTGTCAATGTTGTTCAAATATTCAGGATGCAGAAAAGGGCTATAAGAATTCTTGCTAGGGCTAAGCATGATGAACACTGTTCTCCATATTTTAAAAAATATAAGATAATGACACTGCCCTGTATCTATATCTCCACAATCTTTTAGAAATGAACAAACATACTAATATATTTCAAGGTGTGTCTCATATAATTATCCAACACGTGAAAAAAAATTAACTTGTATAATATGCTGCCAGATATGGCTTTTGAGGTGTTCAAAACTAATATCAAAGTGTTGCTTATTGAAAATTCTTTCTATAGTGTGGACGATTACTCCAACAAAATAAAAAACTAAATTAAAATCCTTGGCTTACTAAAATGTGTGATAGCATATTATCTTGCACTATCTGTGCGATTTTTATACTCCGTGTTAGTGTTGTTAACCTTTACATTTGTTAAAAAATACGTTTTTTTTTTCGTCCCAAAAAACATGTCCGTTTAAAGAGGAGTGTCCGCCTATTGAGAAGTTTCACTGTATTTTTCACATCTTTATTGTTAATAAACTAACCAAAACTGACTTTCAAAATGAAATATCGTCGAACAAATCATTCCTTCCGGTTGTCGTCAAACCTCGACTAGACTCTAATTCGTTAACCGGAGGTTTTTTAGGGTAGCAGCATAGATTCGCACGAAAATGCCTTCGACGACATGAAGCAGCTAATAAACGTAAGTATTCAGGTATTTGATTTATTTAGTTATTGTGTTGTATTTTTTAAAACTGCATGTCTTCTTAATCAAACCGTAATGACGCTTACTGTCATTCTAGGTATTTATGTTTAATATAGACAAAATAATCAAATCTGGTTGATTATTAAGCAATACATTTGAATATTTCAGTTTGTTAATCTCCATAGGTTCTACTAGGTTCAATTCTCTACTTTTCAAAACTGAATTTAAGTGAGTGACGTAATTAGATATTACTCTCATATAAATTTTAAAGGTATGATCAGCACGTTAACCCCTATATTCAGTTGTGTTATCTATTTTAAATGCAGTCTTTACACCAAACTTCGATATATACTTTGAAATATTTCCCAATTAATATGGTTTTATGGGTTAATTTTAGACCTACTCGTTTTTTTTTTTCAAAAAGTATGGAAAATACCTATTATTGAGTTACATACTGACGCAGTTCCGATTTTTGATTTTTTGGCACAAAATTGCTATCGATAGGGATTGTTGTCTTTCTCTTGGGATAATAGGGGTATTCTTGTTTGGTTAATTTATTTCCCTATAAAAATAAAATCAGATCATGTAATATGCAACAGGTATACTAAGAAAAGAAACTTTTCTTTGTTGATTATAATACGCATTCACACATAGTTAAAACATATCATAATCCACTTAGTTCAAAGGATAAACGATTTAAATGATTCCACAAAGTAAGTAAACGGGTGGAAGTATTGTTGTCTACCATTAATATTAACGTATATGACAAAGAACACAATGCAATATAGGAACCATATAGCTATTAGATAAGATAGTGACTAGAGGCCCCACTACGGAGAAAAATGTAGGGAAGATAATGATTTTCGGCATATGCCTCTATATGTCACCCACTAAGCTGCATTTTGCTCATTTTCTGTCTAGACAGCGAGTTCTACACACTTAGGTCGTTTTCAAAAAACATTTTAATGAGAAAACACTGTAGTTAAAATGCCGCATCCAAGCTTACTGACGATCTGTCAGCGGCCATGTTGGTTGTTGACTGCCGCGAGGTCATTGGTTAAAACGCAGTTTTAAATCTTGCGCATGCGCAATTACAATTAATCATCTGATTTTTTTTTTCATAAATGCTTTTTAAGTTGCTGTATTTTCGACATAGCTAGGGTTTCTATATCTCTAGTAGCTATATGGCGGCAACCATTCCAGTTCGATAAATGGAGTCCGCTGATGATTAAAACCGGCAATTATTGATTGGCATTTGTAGGAGGACGAGAACGAGCAGAAATCTTCCTTACCATCGGCCAGCTTTAACTTCATCAATTCAATTATCGGCAGCGGAGTAATAGGTAATAAAACGGAAACTCTTTAAGGCGCCATAATTAATGACATCGACTCTTGATATTTTTATAGGCGGCGCTTAACGCATTTCATAACGCAGTGCTTAATTTCATAGAGTTTACACTCCTAATGTTATTCTAGAAAGCGTTTGGATTCGCCAGGTCAATAATTTTATTCGCTTCCTAATTACAACAATTATATTCGCGCCTTTTCTATAAGCCAGTGGGTGGCTACCTGCATGTATTTGACCAGACCTGGATTTTTGCTCAAAATGCTCAAAAAAATAGAATTTTGAAAGTATTTGACCAGATCTGCCATTGAGATATATTATTCGTTATAGTCTTAAAAGCTTATATTAATAACGGCAGACGTTTTTATTGAGTACACTCCTCAGTGGATAACAAAATCTTTACTATTACCCGGTCAGATGTATCATGATCGCTGTTTTACATAAATTTAACTCACTTGTAATTAATTTTATCACTATATGTATAAAATTAATACTTTTTTTGTACTTTATATACTAAAATTTATAAGATTGATGATAAATGAAGTAGATATATTACGAAATAATCTGAAATCTTGTGGTATAATGCAAGTAACATAAAACAATTCAAATCTGTATTTTTTTTTTATTCATTTAAGACAAAATTTGAAAGGTGTGGGAGTCATCTTCCATTGAATCTGACTCTGTAAAAATAAACCGTAAATTGTAAAATATAGAATATATTTGATAAAGAATTAATTTTTATCAACTTGCAAGGGACATTGGTAATTAAGTCGATAACAAAAGATGGAAGTTGATATCTCTCAACTCAAGCCAACCAACCATACTCCGATGGGTCCAAGGTTGAAGATTGCTTTTTGTAAGCGTTTTTCCAAATAGTTGAAATGCAATGGGCTCTCAGAAGTTGTTCACTCTTACATGGTGGTATTGAGGTTGCGTCAAAATTTTGTATTTTTTTACTAAAGTTTACTAAAGTTTTGTAACTACTGACGGTACTACAGAGGGTCCCTCCTCCAACGACCGATTTAAATCAGCCCCAATATCTTTTTCTACGACTTCATCTGTCTCAGAAACGTTTACGTCTATTGTATCATCATCAGTTATTAAGCTATCCGCTAATGTTGATGGTTGCTCAGTTGCAGACGACGACGTAGTGGGTTGTAATACAGCTTCTTTGTTGAGATCGGTTGCATTTTTTTCTTAAGCCGTAAACGCTTTGTAACAACTACTGTGATATACAGAATCAAAAATTTCGACCAGTAGAATTATTTCATTGTATTTTAATTTATAATGTTTTCTTAACCTCAAAATTTGTCGACATTATTCCATCTCTCTCTTTTGAAAATGTCAATAATTTCTCAGTCTTTGCTGTGGAACAAAAAACACTCTTCACTAGTTTAATTAAAGAAAAATAACATAAAGCAACACTGTGTATTTTATTAAATTCACTAAACACGAGGCATCTGTATCGAGATTCACAAACATACTGAAAACATCTGACAAAAACCGTTAGGTTGGAATTATAACAGAGCCATCTCAGTTATAAACCCTAAATTATTTAAGTGGTAGTAGCTATAAAATAAAATACTATAAGCTGGAATGAGCAGAATAGTAATAAATAGGAGAGAGAAAAAAGATAGCTATCTGCAGTGTAAGCATACATCTGTCCGGGTAGTAGTACAGATTTTGTTACCTACTGAGGAGTGTACTCAATAAAAACGTCTGCCGTTATTAATATAAGTTTTTAAGACTATAACGAATAATATATATATATATATATATATATATATATATATATATATATATATATATATATATATATATATATATATATATATATATATATATATATATATATATATATATAAATAATATCTCAATGGTAGATCTGGTCAAATACTTTTAAAATTTTAATTTTTTGAGCATTTTCAAAACTGTCTGTCTGTCTGTCTGTCTTATTATTTTTCGATAATAATAATAATATATTTTAAGATTTCAAAACGGCAGCCGTGGTCAAATATATTTAAAATTCTCCAAAAATAAATACCTGTCTCACCTGCGCAGTACCTGGGTCCGCCGCTTTGGGCTTAGTGGGTCCCCACATCATATATAGTAGGTATAGGGGCCTCGATGTACAAAAACCCAGGTCTGGTCAAAGACATGCAGGTAGCCGCGCACTGGCTCTTCGACTAGTAGTCACACCGATAGTTTACAATTTTAAAAATTTCATTCGAAAATTTTCGGTATCGATTCGGTCTCTGTACTCTTACCTGTAATAAATAAATGTAAAACATCTGGTGTTTTCTAGTTTGTTTGGTTCTTTGGATGCAGTTCTCAGAAAAAACGTTTAAATTTATACACTAAACGAAGTGAAGTTCGATCGTAGTTATTTGAAGCGCATTTTCGTCCAAATTGATACCGAAAATTTATAGAGTTGATTGAATCATTGGGCAAATTTTAAAAGTTGAATATCTGACTAATTTTATAAAAACGTTTAACTAGGAATCCCGTACGCGCTCCACGAAGCGGGGTTCGGTTTCGGCCTGTTTCTTTTGGTATTCGTCGCCTACGTCACAGACTACTCCCTAATTCTGATGATCAAAGCGGGTCACATAAGCGGCAGATTTTCCTATCAGGGAATCATGGAGGCTGCATTCGGAAGACCCGGGTATTACTTACTGGGCGCGTTGCAGTTTTTCTACCCCTTTATCGGTAAGAATTGAAGAAATAATTTAAAAAAAGTATTTTCAGACTTTTGCAACGCAAAATAAAAGAATAAATTATTTGGTTAATGCGCTTTAAGGTAGTCAATTACCTCATAACATTCACTTCATGTACCGGGTAGCTTGTTAATTATGGGATGACACATTATAAAAAAAAGATTTTTTCATTTAAATTTTTAGTTTTATTCAAAAAAGGTGGTAAAAGTGGTTAAAATCCATAGATTTATAAACACTTGCAAATCTCACTTGGACATAAAATTTTAAATATGTCAATCCGAAACGGTTAGATATCCCTAGAAAGTTCCGAGAAACAAAAAAGAAATGAATTTACAGGCTGTTCTATTATTTAAAATAAGAAAATTGTTACTTGACCATGAAAATGCAGACTTCCTGGATATATAAAAATAAGAGATAAGTTGTCACCCCATAATAACCAGGACGCCTTTTAAAACTATTCAAATCACGGAAAACAGATTCTGTTTTCTGTGGTTTAAATGCGAATTGATAACACAGATATAAACTCTTATATCTATGGGTGGGAAACATGTATAATATGGTGGCCCCATATAGCTACTAGAGATGTAGAGGCCCTGCCTATGTCGATAATAGAGGAACTTTTGTGGCAACTATGAAAAGAATTTTGATGATGACCTTCAAAAACCAATGCGGGTGCGGAATGTCCAAAGCACATTAAATCTTCAGGCAAGTTAATTCATTAGGTATATATCGCTATTTAGAAAGAATATGAGGCAAACTGTAGGTTAGTAGGTAAAAATGTAGAGGCATGCGCGGAAAATCATTTCCATCTCTACGAAAATATCATTGCAGTATCGATTTTTACTGTACTAGGGTCATTATATTATTATCTAGTAGCTATATGGTTTCGGCGATCTCGAAATCATTATACCGGCGAGCCTGTACGGCAACATTGTTGTAGCTATGGTATCGTACAACGTGGTGGTGGGGGACACGGTGACCAAAGTAATAATAAGACTAGTTGGTTTGTCGCCGCACAACATCTTCGCCAAACGGCAAGTGATAGTTTTGATAGCGACCGTTTTCATTACCGTCCCGTTGTGTTTGTACCGGGACATCAGCAAGTTGGCCAAAATATCCTTCTTCAGTCTGGTCTGTATCGGATTCATCCTGTTTTCCATCCTGCTGCGGATCGGGAAGATGAGCGAGATCGTGTGAGTATCATCTTGAATCGTGCATACCAAACAAAATTATCGGTCAGCTTTCAGCCCAAAGCACCAGGAATCCTGGAGGTTTTTCAACCAGGATATCATCCCGGCGATAGGGATCATGGCGTTCGGTAAGCCTAGGGGTGGGGAGGGCGAGACTAACCAATTCACTTAATCGAATCTTCTTTTGAAGCGTTTATGTGCCACCACAACACGTTCCTCATCTACAGCTCGATAGCCGATGCCTCGCAGAAAAAATGGGAGACTGTGACTCACGCGTCCATCTTGACCAGTCTGGTGGTCGCATGCCTATTCGGGATCGCGGGGTACGCCACGTTTAAAGCGCACTCACAAGGTAACCCAAGCCAACCAACTTGACCATTTTTTTTTCTCAGGATAAAAATTGTTTTGCGAGTCGATGCGCGTTGTAATTTAGAGCTTAAACCCTTACGTTCTACGCACTACGCGTTACGTAAGCGCTTACGTAATTGCGTAATTTCGCAGGCGATTTGCTGGAAAACTACTGCTGGGATGACGACTTGATGAACGTCAGCCGCCTGCTGTTCAGCGTCCAAATCCTGCTTACGTATCCGATAGAATGTTTCGTCTCACGGGAGGTGATCGAAAACACGGTGTTGGGCAGGGATCCTAACGTGCCAATCTCCGAAAAAGTCCACTACGGCCTAACCCTATCAATAATCGTTACGACCTATTTGATATCCATGGCCACAGACTGTCTCGGAGTAGTGTTGGAGTTAAACGTGAGTTATTTCCGGAACCCGCCAGGGCGGATGTGGCTGAAGTTAGATTTGGATTTTGATTTGCGAATATTACAGTGGACCAGTTCGTTATTTCCAGTAATTAAAAAAATGTATTCCTGCGGAAATGCCGGCAAATTAAGGACGGAAATAATGTAAGGGAACTCCCAAAAGCCATATTCAATGTAACTATACAGAAAATAACACCTTTTCCGCTCCTATCAGAGCGAATAATAATTGAACTAATATTTCGCAATCTTGAAAAAATCTGAAAATATCCCAGATGTTTAACCAGACCATTGAAGAGATACTTTGTGGAGCTTCAAAATAATGTATTACTCAACACCTTGAAACTGTCGGCAATATAAAAAACTACCTCCAATTATGAAATACCAAAAAGTTTGTCATATTTATTTAGCAATCTGAAAAAAATCTGACGTTGTCCTAGATATTGAATTAGACCATTGAAGAGCCACTTAGCAGAGCTTCAAAATGATGTACTACTCAACCACCTTGAAGCGGTCGGGAGGGTATAAAACTAACCCCAATCATGTAATAACCAAATGTTCGTTTTATTTATTTCGGAATCGCAAAAAAACGGGACGTTATCCCAGATATTAAATTAGAGCATTGAAGAGCCACTTAAGAGAGCTTCAAAATGATGTACTACTCAACCACCTTGAAGCGGTCGGGAGGGTATAAAACTATCCCAATCATGTAATAACCAAATGTTCGTTTTATTTATTTCGGAATCGCAAAAAAAACGGGACGTTATCCCAGATATTAAATTAGAGCATTGAAGAGCCACTTAGGAGAGCTTCAAATTGATGTACTACTCAACCACCTTGAAGCGGGAGGGTATAAAACTATCCCAATCATGTAATAACCAAATGTTCGTTTTATTTATTTCGGAATCGCAAAAAAACGGGACGTTATCCCAGATATTAAATTAGAGCATTGAAGAGCCACTTAGGAGAGCTTCAAAATGATGTACTACTCAACCACCTTGAAGCGGTCGGGAGGGTATAAAACTATCCCAATCATGTAATAACCAAATATTCGTTTTATTTATTTCGGAATCTCAAAAAAATCTATCTTTGCCCCAGATATTGAATTAGACAATTAAAGAGCCACTTAGAAGAGCTTCACAATGATGTACTTCTCAACTACCTTGAAGAGGTCGGGAAGGCATAAAACTACCCCCAATAATGAAACACCAAATGTTCGTTTTATTTATTTCGGAATCTCAAAAAAATCTGACGTTGTCCCAGCTACTGAATTAGAGAGTTAAAGAGCCACTTACAAGAGCTTCACAATGATGTACTACTCAACCACCTTGAAGCGGTTGGAAAGGTATAAAACTACCCCCAAAAATGAAATAAGCAAATATTCGTTTTATTTATTTCGAAATCTCAAAAAAACCTGACGTTGTCCCAGATATTGAATTAGACCATTAAAGAGCCACTTAAGAGAGCTTCAAAATGATGTACTACTCAACCACCTTGAAGCGGTCGGGAAGGTATAAAACTACCCCAATAATGAAATAACCAAATATTTGTTTTATTTAATTCGCAATCTCAAAAAATCTGACCTTGTCCCAGAGATTCAATTAGACTATTAAAGAGCTTCACAATGATGTACTACTCAACCACCTTGAAGCAACATTTGAAGAAACATATATTGAGGGTAGTTTTATATCTTCCCGACTGCTTCAAGGTGGTTGAGTAGTACATCATTGTGAAGCTCTTTAATTGTCTAATACAATAGCTGGAACAACCTTAGATTTTTTTTGAGATTCCGAAATAAATAAAACGCACATTTGGTTATTTCATTATTGGGGGTCGTTTTATACCTTTCCGACCGCCCCGACCCGAGTAATACATCATTTTGAAGCTCTCTTAAGGCTCTTTAATGGTATAATTCAATATCTGGGACAACGTCAGATTTTTTTGAGATTGCGAAATAAATATAACGAATTATTTGGGGTGATGCGAGCGGAAAAGAGGTTATTAGCTGTATAGCAACATTGAACATGGTTTTTGGAAGTTCCCTTACAATATTTCCTTGCTTAATTTCCCAGCATTTCCACAGGAATACGTTTTTTAAATTAAGGTAAATACCGAACTGGTCCACTGTAATATTCGCAAATCCGAAGCCAAATCCAAATCTAACTTCAACCACATCCAGGGCGGTAAGGTCAAACGGATATTTTCACGAGCAGGGGGTGCTGGCGGCGGTACCATTAGCCTACGTGTTGCCCGCCCTTTGTTATCTCCGTCTCGAGGAAGGTTTCGTCCTGAACCGGAACAAGCTGCCTGCCCTCGGAGTGGCCATTTTCGGAACGACGGTCGCCGCTTTGGGCGTCATTTTTCTCTTTCTCGATATCGACAAAGTGAACGAATGCTCGCACGATAGCGAGATGCCTTACTGCGCCATCGCCGAGGCTGTTAACAATACCGCTTCCGACAATATATTGAGTACCGTTACTACACATATGTAATTTCACTCACAAATCAAAAATCGACGCCTCTTATATGTCGTTTGAAAGTGGGCGGCGAGATCACACCGAGCGCCATCTGTGGGTTAAAGAATGAAACCACCTGCGTCAAGCGACCAAAGCAACGGACGAATTCCACTGAAAACTCTCTTCATTTTCGAATCATAAGTGGTCGCTAGTCGTCAGTGGTCCGAAAAACACGTTAAAAAGAGTACGTCTTATTAACATCACAAAAATGACTTTCGAATGTCGTCATCAAATGACTCGCTTAATTCCCGATATGGACTTTAAACTTAATAATTAATTTAAGCCGTTGTCAAATTCTTCTGTTTAAAACCAGAGGGTCTCCAGATAGTGTGTCAAAGAAATGTGTCTCGTTTATTATTTAATAATTTAAAATTATTTTCAAATAAGTACGTGGGAAATCAAATTTATATATTTGTGTATTATGGCATTAATAAATTCTCTCTTTTATACTCAATCACCCAATGTAGGGTTGTTATGGTCTATACTCAGTTTTTTCGGATTTATGACCATTTTCCATACTTCCGTTATTTAAAAGAAAGGCCCATCTTTAGTCATTCCCTATAATTCTCCAATTTCCGCAACCGTAACAGACTATGTGATTAAAACCGCAGTTTCTGCGCGATTTACTTTCGATTTTCCCCACGCCGAAAAGAAAAAACCATTTTAAAGAATTTTTTATATTTCGGCGGTAATAGCTAATGTCTGACTTTAAATTGACGTAAAAAAGACGTCACTTAAATGAAAAAAATTGACAACATTGACATTAAAGAGAAGTCACTTGAATGACGTCATTCGTCTGAGACAATAGGACGTGGATTTGACACGTCCTGTTGACGTCATATATAAAGTCATTTTCTTCATTTGGTGACTAATTAATGACGTCATTTTGACGGCTCTCCGCTACATGGGATGATTTTCATGGTCAATCCAATAAGTCATATACTTTTGTTTAGAAATCTCGCTCGAAACTTACTGTATTACCCACAGAATACTAAGGTCCGCGCAAATTTAAAAAAAATCGGTTATTGTCGGGATAATTTTAGATTTTGATTATAGATGAAACACCCAACCTCACTGATAAAAATATTTCGGAGCCAGCACGATAAATAAATTACAATAAATTACAAACTATCACATAAGAGGCGTTGATCGACTGTGAGAGGTCATCTCAGCAATTTATTAGTTACTATATGTTAGGCGAACATGTTTTTGACGAATACCGTCAAATTTATATAAAAATTTGCAATATCCGCATCGCGGTGAATTTAATAATTTTTCGCGAGACACGCACGTAGATAATGATTATTATTATTTTTATGTCGGTGGGGGCCTGCACATAATGGAGGTTATGTATTGCAGTATTACGTCATTGCATTGCCGGCAACTGCGCGAATTTGCATAAATGATATAATTGATAAATTACTTTGAGCAACTAGTGCTAACTACACTAGAACTAGGGAACTTTCTATTGGAGATCGCGAGTACCAAAAATTAATTCAAACAAAATTACCACAAGAAATGTACGTAACTGCTCCCCCACTGTAACATTTTATTTTACTTGTTAAACGGATGGGTGGTATAAATACAAATATAACAATATAACATAAACAATCAAAATACAGAGCTTAAAACTCGCATTAAAATATATATATAAATAAAACTTTGTTAAGCCCATTAAAAAAAATCGTTTCTGAAGTTTAAACTATATAATAATGTAAAGTATATATTTCTAGATATTTTAATAGGAATTAAAAATTGCGGCCAAAGTTTTGTGATGTACGTTGTAGATAGCGAAAATGGTGGTTGTTGGTTAAATTTTTTTGTTGATTTTGATAAAAGCCCGGTATGTGACACACGCCAAGATTTTAAAAAATTGAAAATATTTTTAAATACTTCGAGCTCTATTTTATTATTGTATAATTAGACTTAAATTTTATTTTTTATAATTCATACGGACTGTCCGCGTTCTAACAGCGAATCCGGCCGAGTAAATAAATAACGCAGCCATTGTTTATTTACTTTGGATGTAAATTAAGTATCTCAAAATGGACAATTACATTCTGAAATACGCAGTACAACTTGCCTACCGTACAAAATAATTTAGGGAGATGTCCACATTTGAAGCCGAGGGTCAGGTAGTACTGTCCTCTATTATGCTAACTTTCAGTATTTTTATATTAAGTATATTTTTTGGGATCTTGTATATCAGTATTAAAGCATATTTCTTATATATTATTATTATTAAGCATATTTTATAAGAGTTGTGATACGGAAATAATTTTGCCTTATAAGTGAGAAAAAAAGTCTATTTAAGCGTAATTTTCATTAAATGGCTCTTCAAATTGCTGAATCGTTGTTCAGTGCACCTAAAATAAAATCGTTCGATATTTCACACACTTCTGTCATCTATATATATATTGTATTAAATTATAAGCACTGTTGAAATTTTTCAAACATGTGTACACTTTTCCGCACCAAATTGCATTTCAAACTCTAGTGCACTTAAATAAACCTCAGCATTGTATTTAAACTATATACTTTATGTTCAAATGTTATTCTTTTTGTGGACCTATATAAAAAATATAAATATATATATATATTTCGCGATAAAAAAATGCCTATTATTGCACCCACAAGTCAGTACATAGTTAGACAACCAACACCACACAATGAATAAACGCGTCACGTGCGAACGTGAAAGCGATAGCTCAAAGGAGGGATAACAGAGACAGAAAAAGGAACGTATGGAGTGGATAAAACCGCACCACGTCCGTCGAAATCATTCTATTCATCTGCAATTTAGTGACATTCAGATACACGAATCGTTCGGAGTGTTTGATTCAGTACTGTTTGCAGACCGCTTTTTCGACAAAAAACATCAAAATGGTTACTCACATTAAAGACAAGGTAAGTGGTTGAGATCGAACTGGAAATAATCAGGTTATACGTGTCGCGCTGTCAATGCGGCAGTCGATGTTAACCACGCTATCGCCGCAAGGTTTAGAAAACGTTATTTTATCGGGTGGCAATCGAATCGGTGCGGTGGATTGGTTTTCTTCGCCTAGAGAACCAGCAGAGACGTTTCTTATGGTGAAAAAAACGCCCCAAGGCCGTGCCGACCATTATCACCGTATGCTTGGTTAATGGTAAAATACTTTCAGGCGTTTTGATGTCGCGACGGTCCGCGGTTATCGGGAACGATTTATAGATTTCGAGAATGTTACGCGGGAGAAGGTCTCTTATCGCGGCGTAGGATTTTCTGTCGCGGTGATATCCACATTTTCGGTTTGTCATTCGGTGTGAATTCACTATGAACGGTGACGTCATCACCGGGAAGGATTAGCAGTGTAATCCGCCCGTACTGCGTCACGGTTATTATTGCGAACATTGCATGTCAATGCAAAAATTCTCTGCCATTCTTGGAATTGCGGCGAGGACGGGCGTTTTACGCCGTGGAATTTATGTTGCGAAGTTTGCAGCTTACTAATTTCGAATAGTAAGCTGCGTTTGATCCGTTAATTGAGACAAATGAGGCCGATCCGGATTCGTTCAGACGCGATCGCAATCTCTCCGACAAATAATTTGTCATTTCTATGTTAATAACCTTATGGGGCCACTCGAAATATGTATATCTCTCAATGCGATATTGTTATGATGAAGTTACAGTATTTTTCAAGTGTCGATAACAGCCATGTAACACGAAAATCTACTCTCGGTTAATTATGTGCGATAAATGATACTTCGGTCGCGGTTGGTTCTGGATTCACATGACGTAGTGTGCCGAATAAGTAGAAGGCCACAAAAAAGAACAGAACACCGCTATAAAACTCGTCATTACATTATATTAACCAAAAGTGTCAAAATAAAATAAACAAATAAAATGAAAATGAATGATTAAGGTTTCTTTTATTGGAAAATATAGAAAAACCATATTTGTCTAGAAGGGGGTTACAATGTTTCCCTCACTAGTCCCCTACGCTTTATTTTTCCGACGTTAATTCTTTATTATACAATCGACGGGATCAATATATAATGGAGACATATATCCTTATTCCATTGGCGTACGCGTTAAATACACTCAATGTAAAAAAAGAGTTGTTCAGTACATCTTCTAAATAGTAAAAATATACTTAAATGATTTAAAGCATCTTTAAATCCAAATTCATTAATCAAAAACAAAAACATGAACTATTTTCCAAACCACCATAGAATAGGGATTTTTTATATGTCAATGCCGGCCAACATTTATCAATTAAATTTTAGCAGTACGCAGCATTTTTGTGTGAGATAGGTTCCCAATGGCGTTCATTTTACTGTTTTTAGGACGATCTGGAATCGAAACTGAACGACGCGGGCAGCCAGCTGGTCGTTATCGATTTCTTCGCAACCTGGTGCGGACCATGCCGCGTAATCGCTCCAAAACTCGAAGAATTGGCCAACGAGTACACCAACATACTCATCCTGAAGGTAAAAATAAGTTTATATCTCTATCTCTAACAATGTTTAAAAATGTGAAATGTCATATGCTCCAGCCCAGGTACCAGAAATCTTCACATCATCTGATGGCGAAATGTATTAACTTCGCATTTCACTCACTAACATGCACTTTTGCGCCATTTTCTTTCCAACCAACGATTTCCACACACCCACAACATTTAACGAGATCTATGCATATTTTGGGAAAATACTTTGGTAAAAATGCCGCATCCAAGCTTATCGACGATCTGTCAGCGGCCATGTTAGTTGTAAAATGCCTCAAGGTGCCTCTTTTTTTTCCCAATGTGGCATTTTTGTGGTAGTATTTTTACAAATATGTTCAAATAGAGCTGGATGTTCAAAGAAAAACTAGTTCCGTTAGTGCAGAATGGAGAACCAAAATTTATAAACAAAATTTTTACTGTTCTCATGGTTTCTTTTTTTTATACTCGAACATGTTTCACCTAGTTTTATTTTCCAAATAGAGCACTCATTTATATTTCATTTTCATTTCCGTTAAAAGCTTGGTTTTACTTTTAACCTAGATCGGCATTACAAATACATACCCAATCAAGGAAATGCATTGTCCGAGGGTGCGGTAATCAGGAAATTGAGAGAGAATTTCATTGCCGTGCTGACATGAAAATTGATTGTCAATGACTTATTAAACTACTTTACACATTCACGCTCTGCAAGTAGTCGTAAACTTGCGCCAAATAAAATGCAATGGTGTAATGTCTGACCTTGGTGAGTGTAACAGAACCACACTACTCAACTTGTATTCTGTGATAGAGCGTATCTTCTTTTTCCGTTTAATGAATGGGTGTGAAAAATCTAAATTAACGTTTTTGATGTAAAGAAAATTGGGTTTAATCTGGGTTTTGTATCGTAGGTCGACGTCGACGAGTGTGAAGAGCTAGCCATGGAATATAATATTTCGTCGATGCCTACATTCGTCTTCATCAAAAACAAGACCGTCATTCAAACGTTCTCGGGAGCCAACTATGATAAGTTGAAGGCCACCATTTTAGATAACAAGTAAATTGTCTAACTCACAGGATTCATATACTTAAAAAAAAACTGTAATTTTAATAGGTTTCATACCTGACTTTAGGGTTTGTCATGTTTTAATCTAGACTTAAATAAATTAATTTTTTTTTTTTAATTTAGTGTGTCCCATTTTCCACCCAGGCCAGAATTATTTTTGTCGCCCTTCTCAATTTAGCAAATCTGTTACTGTTTTCCTTGCGCATAGTGTGGAATTTCACAGATATATATTTACACAAATAGTTGTATTTTATTACTATGCCTGCATTAGTGCCTAAGTGTTTTTACACGTATCGGCTGTACTAAATAAAAGAAAAACTACACCGCATTTAATAAAGAAGTTGTAAATTAGCTCGCTTTTTTATTTATTGACTGTTGGTCGCGCTGCTCTTTCACTGCGAGATCGCAAAAAAATTAAAATACTGTCACAAGTTCTCATTGATTGATTTCATTGATCATTTAAGGTGAGCCTTGTAGTTCACATAGTGGGAAATTGTTTTGAGCTTTAACCAAAAACGTTAAAGAAGAAGAATATAATGAACACAGTTGTCAACCAGTTCTGTGTAATTGAGGTTAATTTTTTGTTAGAAGGTTTTTTGGTTTAGTGGTTGTTGACATGTTTTGAAGTGAGCTTTGTGTTTTAAAAACAGGAAAATAATACTTTAATGTCTACCTAGGGAAAAATTATTATTAAATGCTTTAGATTTTGAAGTTAGAACTCTGCAAGATGGTATATTGCGCCGAGTGCAAATTGAGCTTTTCGAAAATGTCCAATCTAAGAGCTCACGTGAAAAAAAAGCATCCAGGTAAGTAACTAATTTCTTGTTTTGATTACAGTGGCGGAACCCACAGTCTTTTAGGAAAAATTGATATACTGGCTCCAAAGCTCAAGGGGAGACATGGAACTCTTATATGCCAAGGATGTAGGGCTACATTTGTGAGGATTGGCAGCTTAAGAACTCATGTACGACGGAAACATGCAGGTAGGTTATAATTTATAGGTTTTTGTTCCGCTATTTGCTCGTTTAATGCTTTGGTTAATTTTTAGATAAACTGCAAGAATTGGTTCCTGCCAAAAAAACGTTTAACTGCAAACAATGTAATTCTGAGTTTGACATGTTAAAAAAATTAGTTTTGCACAGAAGATCACAACATGAGATTAGAAACAAGATGCTAAAATGCCCATTGTGCCAATTTACAGGACCATCTTCCAAACATTTAATTGGCCATTACCGAACAGGACATTCCTTGACAGTTGATTGTGAGACAGTTGAATTTAAAACATTTGAGGAATTTCAGGATTGGAAAATCACTACCGAAAAGCAGACTTTTTCCTCATTTGTAAATATGCATGGGTTTAGAAAAGGTGTAAATTGTGAAAAAATAAAGTACACATGCCATAGGTCGGGCACTATCAGAAAAAGGGGGAATAATATCAGGTCACGGAAAAGCAACAAAATGAATGGATATTGCCCTGCAGAAATGTGGGTGACAATTGAACCTACGAAATGTGCCGTCAAGTTTTGTAATACTCATGTAGGTCATAAATTAGAAGAAAATATAGGAAGAAATAAAAAATATATAACTAAAGGTAAAAGAATACTTTTATAGTTTTCAGTGGTCTATCTGTACATGTGTTTCTTGCACTTTGATGTTGATTATAAAAACCGTATGTACAATTTTTTTAGAAAATTTTATCACTGATGTACATGAAGGAATGGAAGACACTGTTATGGCAGCAAGCCCTGAGGAAGAGAACCTACAGCTTCTATTTGAAAAACAAGCACTGGCTGAAACCGTTCAGAAACTTCTTTTTAGCGTTGAAACATTGGAGGAAATTGAGGCCGTTAAAAAGATAGTTTCACGGATTCAACCGGCACTGGAACAAATTCGAAATAGTTGATAAAAAATCAATCAAATATTGTGATAAAAAAATTAAGTATAAGAGAATGGTTAGCAAATCTTTAATTATATTAAACTTTATTTTGAATTGTTTAGGTGATTTTTGGTATTTAATCATGCCTGCGCAAACACAAACTGCTCTTAAGCTATGATGTATTTAAAAATGGATGAGTAAATCAAAATTCTCTATTTTCTATTTTTAACACCCAGTCCAGTCTACTAGGGATAATGCCTATTGCAGAATCCAATTCGACATAAGAGAAAACAGACTACAGAAAATGCAAATTAACTATAATAAAAATATTTATATTTATTTTTTAGTATTTCTCCAGTACTAAAAATAGTAATCAAAGACCGCTCGTTAGAAACAAGACGTTTATTTACGGAAACTGTTTCAATAAATTAGGAAATCCCCTCCGACATCGACGTATAGGAAATCACAAGTCGTCATAGTCCCTTTCCAACGAAAAGTCCAGCACTTCATCGGCCGTCAAAAACCTTACGTCACTCTGACTGTCCCCGTTGCCTGATGACGCGGCTATCCTTTTTCTGTAACACTTGACACACTTGCGTCGCGCGAGCACCGACACCGCCACGATTATCAAAACGGCAACGCCGCAACACGATGTCACAACCGCGAGTATCGTTTTCACGTCTGACGGTTCGTCTTGTCTCTGCGCGAACTCCTTATTGTGGATCGGGTCGAGGGCGCGCACGCGCGGCACTTCAAACTCCTTCGCCAATTCCTCGACGTACTCGTCCCTGTCAACAAAAGAAATAGAACAACGGTTGTGCGTGTTTGTCAAACTTGCAATAAAAAATAGCTTAGGTGGTTGGCCAATAGTACCTTTATTTTGGAAAATGTACATGCCAATTATAAAGTTTTAGCCATTCATATAGACACGGGAGGACATATTTTCAGATATGCAGGGTGATCCATAAAGTTCTAAACTGGAGGTATCAGACACCAAAATTGAGCTCAAAATGTCTCATGCAACTGTAGCTGGTTCAAAATGTACTTTATTCTGAATTCTCACGTTAATTGGAATAGTATATTATGCAACGGCATTTGACTCACGAGTTTATTTGGCACGAGCGGAGCGAGTGTTTAATACACGAGCAACTTAAAAAGTTTACCGAACGTATTGCATACTATACTTTTTCTACGAACGTTAGTTTATGGGCACATTTTCACAAAACACAAATACATTCACTGACATGACCGTCAGAATTCACAAACGTCAAAATTCAAGGCGTGGGAAATATCTCCGAATGCTCCCAATCCCGTGTGGTAAAATCCCGGAAATATCCGAAGTGGCTCGGATCCGTGAGAAACGAAACTGACGTCGTAAAGTGACGCTTCCCGCACGCTAGATCGATTTGTAATTAGGTATTTTACAGAAGGGAGTAGAAAAAAGTTTTTATAGTTTTAGGTTTTTTGATTTTAATTTGAAACTTATTTGGACGTAGGTCCCAGAGGACGCCAGCTTTACCATATTATTTAGTTATATCGAATGATTTTTTTTCTGTCGAGTTACGGTTAAAACACAATAAAAATTTGAAACAATTTTTTATTTTTCATGTTTTTCACGTTTAGGCCTCCTAACTCTGTCGGTTTTGGACTTATCTGCATTTCAAAAGTTCGATGTATTTTTCGCATTTTTTTTATAAAGTTTTTTATTATTATTTACAAAATAAGTAATAGAAACGTAACCGTTACCAATATAAAACAAAATTAGTTTGGTAATGTTCCCTCCTTTAATATCTACAGGTTGGGAGTATTATATTGACGTCGGCAGCTAACTTTGATACATGCAGGCAAAAGCCAACACGATAAGGCAAACTATATTTATATTATATATTATTTAGATAATTGCCGTCAAAAACCAAGACCCTACACTATGACACAAAGAATACTACTTCCTATTTAGCACTAGTTGTACCTGTTGTTAAATTTCTGGAATTATTATAATTAAAATTTGGTTAATCTTGCGGTTTAGTTCACATAGCTACTAGAGATGTAGAAGCCCTGTTATGCCGATAATACACGAACTTATGAAGCAACTATAAAAAAAATGAGGTCTATTCAACATGCGCATGGACGAAGTTTGAAATCTTGCTTTTAAGCAATGATCTTGCGGCATTTAACAACCAACATGGTCACTGACAGATCGTCAATAAGTTTGGATGCGGCAAAACGAGTGAAGTCAACAAAAGAAATAGGACAACGGTTGTGCGCGTTTGTCATACTTGCAATAAAAAATGACTCAGGTGGTTGGCCAAGTTTTAGCCATATCATATAGAAATAGACTTGATATAATATTAAAACATGAGGACATATTTTCAGATATACAGGGTGATCCATAAAGTTCTAAATTGGAGGTATCCGACACCCAACAGATGTTTATCCTGCATTAAGTAGGTCTTGCCTGAGATGGACCGCAACGAATATTTGTAGAAACTTGAAATTTTTATTTGAAACTTAAATAGTAGTAGCGTTTATTTTAATGAGGTGATAAGTATTTTTTTAAGAGTTTAATCTAAATTGCAAAAAATATTGACAACATACTTATATTATATATTATAATAAACAGTAGGCAAAGTTAATCACGGAGACGGTTGCAAAATCACTATATTTCTGGTCCAAGTATACCAATATAACACAAAAAATATTAGTTTAATACCTACAGGTCGGGAGAATTATATTGACGTCGGCCGCTAACTTCGATAAAAAACCAACACGATCTACTAAACACGTATTACGCCCCGACCCTACCTGTCAAACGCAGAGTTGTCTTCGTCGTCGGCAAGAGGCGTCGTCGCCGTAGCAACGACCGCGACGTTGCCGTTGTCGTCGTCGTCGTTCGTTGAAGGCGGCGGCAAGTCGATCACGTCGTTCGTTTCGACGTTTTGAACGGGTTTCGCGGTATGCGGGAACCGTAAGGGCGGCCATTTCGGGTTTACTTTCTCGACGTATTCCGGAACCGGTGGTGGGGTGAGTAAAACGATAGGTCTCCTTGTGACGTTCGGAACCGCGACCGCCGGTCGTTTACGAATCGTAGGAGGCTTGTATTGGGTGGTCGCGTCCGTAGTTTCGGTTTGCGCAGAAGTCTCGCGGGCGGCGCTGCCGTCCGTCGTCGTAGGGTACACATCGGACGTCGAAGACGCAACTGTCAAATCGACGGCGGTATTAAATAGTGTTGCTCAATTGAACCGTGAATTGAGCATTTCTTAATTGTCTACTCAAATTCGATGCAATTTTAGAGTGTTACCTATCATTATTTAATAATAATATGTATTTTATAATGAATTATTATGCCGAATGATATACCATTTTTACTACATAATTCGGTATTTAACTTGTAACCTTACCGTACTTCGTGCATACAAATGCTGAAAGCCGACGGATTTGTGTAGAGTTTCGTAGGTGAGAGAAAAAACCATTCTTACTTTAACATGTTTATTACGAATATAAATGAATGAGTAAATTTCGCTATAAAACCAACATAATATAATATAAATAATAAAAAAAGTTATTCTACATGAAAATAATCATTATCGTCACTGGACTCGTCCCCAACATTTGTAATTAATTAAACATTTCTTCTTCGATGACATGTTCTACACATTTTTTCCATCTAGAAGCAGATATTTTTTCTATTTCACTTCTAATTAATTCTATTGCCCCAGAACTAAATTTCGACGAGGTGTTGGTTCTTCTTAAACTTGGTTTCAGCTGGCCCGATGTCAGTTCTATCCGATTAAAATTGCAGTGATATGGTGGAAGACGGACAACTTTGAATCGCCGCTGTATGGCCAACTTGTCCACCTTATTGCGTCTTAAGAACTTTCAATAACTGCTTCCTTGTGTAGCAATTTTCATAATACATATCATTTTGCAGGGAAAAAATTTGAAATCACTTCTTTAGTCGTTGATGAATTCAGTATTTTTTCCGCTTGTGCAGAATGGTAGCAGACGTTGTCCATCACGACAACACTGTTTGGTGAAACATTGGGAAGCAATTTTTCAGAAAACCATTTTCTAAAGATGTCTGCTATCATGTTTTCGTCGCAGTCAACCTTTGCTTCTTTGACATCTTTTGCAGAAAGCAACAAACCGTTATCTACTCAACCAGTTTCAAAGTCCGCATCTAGTATGATAATTCGTTCCCCCGCGAAACTGACACAGTCAATGTTCAAAACATGACGCAACTATTTATGTAAAGTTTGAATTGCTAAAACAATATTCTTCCGATACGCATCATACATCAACGTCAAGTAGACTCTTTGGGGCCCTACGATCTTTCCGCGCTTCTCTTTCTTGGACACCATTTACAACTATGTCACATACTGTGGCATACGGTGTTTTAGTCATCTCGAACGTCAATTTTACATTTTTCTCAGATGTCGATTTTAGAAACAGAAACACATTTAAAATTATAATTTTGGCAGCAACCGGCAAATGTGACCGAGTCTTTGATCCATTTCAATTTGACGGATGTTCATCAATGTCAAAACCTTCGTCATCACACATCGCATCATCGCAACTAACAAAATTGAATAATGCTATTATTTGGTAAGAAATATTGGGTTGTTCGGAAAGTCATTTCGTTTTTTTTGGGGAACATGAAAGACAGTTTTCGTATAATGAATAAATATTTTATTAAATTATATATTGGCCATTCTGGTCCGACACCTTTTGCCATCTTTCTGGCAGTAACATAATTCCCCTCTCATAAAAGTTTTGGTCCTTGCTGGCAAAAAACTGGTTCAGGTGGTTTTTGACATCTTCATTTGAGGTAAAGGTTTTGCCATCCAAAAAATTTTGCAGGGACCGGAACAAATAGTAGTCGGAAGGCGCCAGATCTGGAGAATATGGTGGATGTTGCAGTACGTCCCATTCAAGCCGTAAAAGTTTTTGGCGAGTGAATAAACTTGGGTGAGATCTCGCATTATCCTGGTGGAACACTACACCCTTCCTGTTGATTAATTCGGGCCTCTTCTCTTTAAGTGAATCATTCAATTTGTCCAGTTGATGACAATAGACTTCTGAATTAATCGTTGTATTGTCCGGCAAAAGCTCAAAAAAAACGATTCCTTTGACATCCCACCAAACGGAGAGCATCACCTTTTTTTGGTGAATGTTGGCTTTTGACACGCTTTGAGCCGGTTCATCTTTTCTGCTCCATGACCTCTTGCGTTTAACATTGTTGTATACAACGCATTTTTCGTCCCCAGTAATAATCCGCTTCAAAAATGGATCATTTTCTTGACGTTTGAGGAGCGAATCACACACGTCAACGCGACGACACAAATTTCGCTCCGTAAGGACATGGGGCACCCACACATCGAGCTTCGAGGTTAAGCCCATGCCTTTCAAATGGCCATAAACAGTCGAATTCGACAAATTTAATCTCTCACCGATCTCTCGTGTGGTTATTCGCCGATTTGCATCAACTAATGCCTTTATCGCATCTTTGTCAGCTTCGACCGGCCTTCCAGACCGTGGTGCATCTTCGACATCAAAATTGCCGGATCGAAATTTTGCAAACCAGTTCTGGCACTGGCGTACTGTTAACACGCCTTCTCCATACACATCCGTCTATTTTTTTCTCGCTTGGACAGCATTTTTAACTTTTCTGAAGTAAAAAAGTAAAATATGACAAAAATGCTGCTTATTGCTCTCCATATTTAAAAGGGCATCAACCAAAAACTACTGCGTAGAATTAATAGAACTTTTTCACACACAAGCCTTGCAATATCAGCTCTCAAGACATATAATGGTTATGCGGCTTAAGTGTGAAGTTGGTTTCGAAAAAACGTAATTAAGTCCTCTGACGGGAAAAAACGAAATGACTTTCCGAACAACCTTATAAATTGTAATAAAATGTATATAGTACCTCAATAAAAATGGCACACTGAGCCTTGAAAAACAATTGAATAACAGGACGTTGGTAATTACTATCGACAAACACGAGACGGAATAGAAATTAGTTTTAAGATTTATAAAAAGTACACTAATGTGAATTAATATAACAGTTTAATAAAAAAAAATCCCTACTCTTAAAATACAACAGTCCGCACGGCACAGTTCTTGTCGGCTAACAATCTTAAATACGGCCCTGGCTTGTGGTACACGTGCTGAAAAGAATGGTCCCTTCCCCTTTACGACAGGCGGGTCTTAAAATCGTACCGAAGTCAAAATCATTAATGTTTGTAAAAACGGTATATCGTTCGCTAAACTTTATCTATAACCCTCGTCAAAGAATACCCGAATACGATACTTAGCGATATATAAATAAATAAAAATAAATTGTATTTTTTTACTGGTCAATTGACATAAAAAAATTTAGCACAGCAAAAAATTGGATAGGGAAAAATATAATTTTCTGGTCTGTGTTAAGTGTTTATACAATAGAATGTAGAGAGATCCACAAGTATAGTGTATCTCACAGCATATCGCCTTGACTTTTGATGTACACTTCCTCAAAAAATACATACGTATTGTTACTGGGTAACAATACGTATGGAGCAACCGACAATTTATTTAAAGGTAAGAGACACGACAGGGGCGAGTCAGGTAGATATCGATCATGTGTCGGCTGATCGGCAATAATAACTATTCTGTTATACTTTTTATAGAATTGTCATGAGTGATAATGTCGTCACAACAATTTCGAAAGGCGTTATTTCCCTAAAATAAACACATTTTTGTTAGAATGAAAAAATATTTATTTGTCCTTTGAACAAATTAGCAGTGTTTCCCTTATTTGCATGCTCTAAAAACGCATTTGAAAATTTCTTGCAATTTTTATAGCGAAACTTCGGGAAAAAAACTTAATTGAGTTTAGCTAACTTTATGGAGTTGCAACTTGCAATTTTACAGTTTAAAAAAATTTCTTGGTTAAATCACGGTTAAAATTTCCCCATCTACTAAGCACGTCGTAAACTACAGAATTACCAAAATTTGATTAAGTTATTCCCTTACTTTCGAAAAAATAAATAAGAAATTGTTTCGCGCAGACTAATCACTAATACTACCACATCATTCCTTTTTCGGTTGGTATGCTTTTAGTCATGTAGGGTTTTTTGTTTATACAAATCACCACCCCACTTACCGGCTAAGCACACGTCGAAGTAGTCAGGACAGCAACGGTTTCGGTCGAAACAATTGTCATTGCAGTCGCAAGCGATCATAGTGTTTCCGTCGTTGCCTGAAGCGACGAGTCCGCACCTGTTTGCGCACGATTCGACGGTTTTTGGCGTTTCGTTTTCGGTTACCGGTTCTTCGCTTAAATGGAAGATCGCCGCAATCACAAATTTAAATTGCATATGCCCGAATTACATACATTTAAAACGGAAAACGGTCACAAACCTACCTAAATGCGGCCCTGGCATCGTCAGGACATGTGTCAAGAATACTTCTAATTTGCCTGCTTTTCACTGCGAGTTATTAAACATTTTGTGCGGTTCACTCGCTCAATTATAGGTTATTATCCAGATAACTCAGTGGGCTTACTGCACGCACACTTTTTTCCAAGAATAAACACCATACAGAAGCGACAAAACGATGCGGTCAAAAATTTTTTTCTAACCAAAACTGACTTACCTGTTCTCAAAGTTTCAAGCTTGACGGAACGGCTTTATAATGACAATGATAAAGTCTTTTATAAATTGATTTTTAACTCGGAACAAAAATAATATCTCAAACGTGACGTACGAAATCCTGTATCCATAAAAGCGATGCTATTCTGAGCTTTTTGTTGCTTCTTTCTGTCGTATGATGCTTATTTTTAGCTTTAATCGTTAATTTGTCTAGTAACGTGACGTCAAAGTTAACCAATTTCACAATTGTTTTAGTTATGTTCTTTGAGATGCAATGAGCCCAAAATAAAGTTAGTTTAATTGAAAATAACGGTTCGAAGTTATGAAAAACTCCAAATTAAAAATGTTTTAGAAAATTTTGAGATTACGTTCTCAATGCATCCGGGAATGATTTTACGCGAATTTTTACTCACGTGGTGGTGTAGACATAATCGTCCGGATCGCAATTTTCGATGATTCTAACGTCGTCGATGGCGATGTCGCTCACGTACCCCGGGCCCCTCACCCCCTCCATAACCACCTGAAAGTCGTCGTCTATGGTACCGAGATTGTGAAACGACCTATACCACATGTCGCCCTGGTTGCCGCTTTTGCTGAATATTGCGCTTTGGGGGGAGAGAGGCCACGGGTCTTTGACTTTTTTCACGTAGGCGCGCAGAGTGCCGGTCGTTTTGCCGAACATGTGGTACCAAAACTCCAAACAGGTGTTGTTGGTGGCCATCTTATCGAATACGGGCGAAATCAGTCGCGCAGTGTCGTTTTCCCACCTCGAGGACGATTCGATATACATGTAGTGACCTGAATTGACGTTTCGTTTTGATAAAATGCCAATTTAGGAAGGGAAAGATCTTTAAAATTTGAGCAAGTCCCACCCTGTCCGATACAATAGGCGACAATGTTGAATTTGTATGTTTTATGTGATATTATGACGTCAGATTTTGCGGTGGCAGTATTAAATAGAGTATTCGTACCATTTTTGCCTTTTGCTCCTTTGGTGTGATCGAAACTGGGCCCCGTTCCTATCGACCCGCTGGGCGTCTGATAACTTTCTCGTTTCCAATCGAAGTGGTGGTTTAGATCGTGAGTCCAACTGCAGATGTCGTTGTCTTCGAAATCGCAAAACAGTTTCGGCTTCCTGTCAGTGGCTGTAAGACCGCATGCGCGTACTGAGTTTTATGCAAATGCGCGAGGTACAACTTACGGAAACATGTGGGCGGCACGTTATCCCACTTAAGGCCGTCGCAATAAGCGACAGAGGTGCCTCGCAATTCGTAGCCCGCTTTGCAATAAAAATTTAAAACGCCGCCTCCGTGCGAAGGAAATATCAGCCCGTTTTCAGGCGCTTTCGCTTTATTTTGGCAGGTTGGACCTAAAAACTTTTGGTATACAGTACAGAACACTTTAAATATAGAAAAAAATCAAAACAAATCGAGCAACAAATAATTACACAGCATAAGCATAGTTCGGCATAATTGCAAAACAAAATAACATATACTTACGAACGCACTTTGGGGGTGGCAGATCCCATCTACCGTGCGTACAGATGCTGTATTTCTCTCCAGCTAAAAGATATCCTGCGTTGCATATGAATTTAAGGAACCTTCCTCTCTGTCTAGACCTTATTCTACCATTCTTCAAACTTACGGCAGGACAAGCCGCTAGAAAACCATAGAAAAAAAAATTTGCAACAGCACCATCTATGTACGTATTGTCTAAGGATATTGTTATTGTAATTACTTATAGATGGAGCGATGTCTAGTTCGAAATTGCCAGTGATTTAAACGAAAAAAAGCCTTATTCGATTTACGTAAAAGAGGCACCACAAGAAAATATCCATAGCGAATAAGAATAAATTGTGAATCGCACAAAAACTGGAAAGATAAGTAAATATATACAGCAAAAAATGCGAGTAATCGATTTTTTTCTCCCGTAGCCATTTGGTATAGGTACCTGCCGATCTTTCAAACGCTATGTCAACTAGGCACAAACAAACTAACAAGAACAACCGCATTTCTGCAAAACCATATATTCGAAAACGCTCTCAAAAACCGAACATAATCCGATATCCCACTGGGCACTAAACCGAAAAATCTACAGTTCGTGCTTAAACTTGAACAGTTCTATCGGCGGAACGGATATGCCGAGACGAGATAAGTCTCAAAAAGGAAGTCGCAATCTCTCTTTAAAATATTTTCATTGCTGCAAAGCGCCAGCTTGATAAAACCCTATTTCACGGCTTCAGCAAAAAAAGTGTCCTCGATGTTTAGTTTTGTTACACGTAGAATGGCGAATCTGGGGGCTGAAAAAATATTCGTGATTAATACACTACCAAAATTTTCATAGTGTTTGGTAACATTCATTCCGTTGATGTCCGGATGGTTTAGGTGAGACTAATTATTTTAACTTGCATTTCACTGTCTTTTATAAAACTGAATAAAAAAACGAAGTTTTTTTGCAATAGCAAAACGCATAGTGCTGTTCATAGATAATAGAATGTGGTTGGTTAGTGCAGTTACGTATATGAAGCCAATATTTTTCATTGGATTTGCTAATCGCAGCACAATACAACAATACCTACATACAGTTTCAGATTAATAAAGATTTGGGTTTCTGTTTAGGTTTTGATTTACCAGCTTTAACTTTCCTGCACATAAACTTTTAATTTGGCCTCCACTCGGTTCGGTTCGCTATCATCGCGCCAGGTGGCGCGCAAAGAAGATAGGTTAATGAATTCTATTTATAACTCTTCAGTTTTCTTATGTTTATTACAAAGCGCAAATGTCTCCTTAAAAGTGCCTTTCTTTTCTGTGAAGTAGCCAGCTCGAATTATTTTTCTTTGAATTTTACGGGTTTCGCGTCTGTCGTCTAGTTTTTTGCCAGTGTTTTGTGCTATATTTTTTGTCAGAATGCCTGTGTTTCACACCAAAACAATCGAATCTATTTTGGAACCCGTTGCACAACAGGTAACTTGATTTGTTTATTATTCAAAAATAAATTGTTACTCAAACGTCTCAGTTTTCTCGTTTTTTAACATGAATTTCTAAAAAATATATATAAAAACTCTTTGGCAAGTTGACAGTTGTTTTATTTGTACCTATCAAATCGCCCGTATTGTATTTTGTTTCGCGCGAGATCTTAATTTTACGGGCAAAATCAGGAGAATGACTAATTAAAAATAGGCGTTGTCACATTTTCAGACGACCGAATATTTCCATGCCTGTCCTTCTGGCAAATATAAAATACGTTTTATTTTTAAAGTGTTAAAATAAACAATGTATCGTATCGAGTTTGTTTAATCTTTTACGGTTTATTTATAGTTTATACATGCAATTGGCCCCATTTAAGGCACAATTTGATCAGCTGTGCGAACTTTGACGTAACCAAAAAAGGTTATGTGCTACTTTTGTTTTGTTAATGAAAATTTCCAATGCCCACTATGCAGATGTCACGAAATTGTAGCAGGTTGACACCTACAGGAAAGAAAACGTCACGGCAGTAGATATATTTTACTAATTTTATTAGCAAACGGATTAATTAATGGTTATGATCATAATAAAATTATAATGTCGCCTTGTTTGGCATAATGCGAATATTCAAATAGAATGAATGAATGAAAATAGAGGAACTTGGGTTTACGGCGACTATTTCAAGATATACAGCGTGTCCAGAATGAGGTAGAATGTATAGGAAAGTTTAAATGAATTTTATGAGAAACTTAAATGCGCCCCCTTAAATCGTTTCTGGAAAGTTTGAGATAATATAAAAAGTTGGATTTTCTATTTTTGTCTGTAAATGCCGAAATACGGCAAACAGTGTAAGAATAGGATGAGTTGTTTTCTAGGTATACTATAGATTTTTTATTTTTTTTATGAACGCTATATTTAATATTTTCATTATTAGATAGAGCATAAAAAAAATTATGTGCATTTAAGGCCTCTTCAGGTCACGGTGATCGACATGATAGCTGTCGACTGGTATTCGCAAAATCGCATACAGTGAAGTAGTATTAAATTTACTGTTTATTCAAAATTGAATTGAATTGAATGTAATTACATTGGAATAAATTAGAATTACTTGCTACTTACGTTGGAATAAATAAATAATAATTTAAATTTATGAAATGTAATTTAATAATTAAGGCATATTGTTGATTAATTAATATTGTTAATGGTAATATATAGAGCCTCGATTACAAAACATGTTCGTTTATGTCAGAATTACGTTGGTGCACAAAATTTTTGAAATACACCAAAGACAAAAGTCGGAAGGAGTTAGAACTCGCGGGCCAGGAAACCGCTGAATATATCTTTGTTCATTTGCCATTTGGCACAAAATGTAGGACAAGACGTCGAACTTCTTCTCAAAAGAAAATTTCTATTCCATTTTTTAAATAAATTAAAAAGACAAATAGCTAATTATCTGTATTGAAGCCGAAGTTAAGCTGTCGATAATAGTATATTATGCAACAAGTGCGGTAAATGGCATTCGGACACGAGCGGAGCGACCCTGTATCTTCTATGGTTCCAAATATATCCATGGTTATATTGGACACGCAGGATACACCTTGTTTCATTAAAAATGTGGTTTTAAACGTAAAAAATGGAATGAAAGTTTTCCATCTCTACGTTTAGGTTTCCAAACTAGTGATTCTTCATGAAGAGGCGGAAGATGGGATCCCCATGCCCGACCTCGAACAGCCAGTGCGGTCCGTCAGTAACGCCGTATCGAACTTGGTTAAGGTTGGTCGGGATACTATTAACAGTTCGGATGATCCTATCTTGCGTCAAGATATGCCCACTGCCCTGGTTAGAGTCGAACGGTCGTCGAAATTGCTGGAAGAGGCGAGTGCTAGACTGAAAGATGATCCTTATTCCGCTCCAGCTAGGAAATTGCTGATAGAAGGCAGTGGCGGAATTCTTCAGGTAAACGAATTTTTTTTTGCCGTGTGAATTTATTAGGCACGCGTGTCGTTTCTAGGCAACCTCTGCCCTTTTGTTGTGCTTCGACGAATCGGAAGTGAGGAAGATCATCAGGGAGTGCCACAGGGTGCTCGATTACCTCGCGGTAGCTGAAGTGATTGAAACTTTGGACGAACTTGTTCAGTTTTTGAGAGATCTGAGCCCATGTCTGAGTCGGGTGTCCAGGGAAGTGAGCGACAGAGAGAAGGAACTCACTCACCAGGTAATCGCTTTTCGTTCAGAGTGGAACGGATTTCGTTTAAAAATACCTCGTTTATATCGTAGCTCAAATTAAAATTTAACGACCGCATAAAATCGTTATTTTTCGCGGACGTGATTCATTGTGCGCTTTACTTGGTTGGTTACTTTTGATTGGTACCATACATTATTGTTAAATTGTTGGAAATTAATTTAAAACACATTTATTCTACTGAATGCATATTGAATTATGATTTTAAAGGAAAAGGATTGAATTTTTTTGGGTTTTATGTAGATAATATTGATTTATGATATTATCACAAAGGTACACTCAGAGATCCTGGTGAGATGTCTCGAACAAGTGAAAACGCTGGCTCCCATCCTCATATGCTCGATGAAAATCTATATCCACATAGTGTCGCAAGGCGGCAAGGGGGCGGAAGAGGCGGCCGAGAATCGCAACTACCTCGGTCAGCGGATGACCGACGAGATCAACGAAATCATAAGGGTGTTGCAGTTGACCAGCTACGACGAAGAACAGAGTGATTTAGACAACCTAACCGTGTTGAAAAAGTTACAAAACGCGATTCAGAATAAAATCAACGCTGCAAACGATTGGTTATTGGTTAGTCCGGTGGCGTTTTGATTACTCGGGGGCGGTAGAATGTTGAGCAATATTTTTCAGGACCCTAACGCAGTGAGAGGCGGTGTAGGCGAGAAATCTCTCAGGCAGATAATTGAGGACGCTGAAAAGGTAGCTCAAAGGTATGATGGGGAAGCATGAACTGTGGTAGGCAGGTTGGCAGATTTTTATATTAGGTTGATATAATCAGAAATTTGTATAAAAGTGTATAATTGGTAGGAAGTGTGCTGCATAAACCAAATATGAGCGGAAATTTTAAAATTGTTTTTTATTGTCTTTATTTATTTGTTTAATGGTCATAACATTAAAGATTGCATTTTCGTTGTTTTAAATAGGGGTAAATACAACAAGGTACAAATGTTCAAGACAGGGAAAGAGCGAGAGGGTATAGTAAAAAAAAATTATCCTCACTTCCTCTTAGAATAATTTTTCAATTTAAAAATGCGGGAAAAAACTAGTTGTGGGTCGGGATGGGGTATTGCTTTGGTTAAATAGATTAGGGGACACGAGTTGCGATTACAGGTGTCTGCCCCACGACGCAAACGTCATCAACAAACTGTGTTCCGATCTGACCACCATGACGGATGCTCTATGCGAATTGCGTCAGGACGGCAAGGGGGCGACTCCGCAGGCCGAGTCCCTGGCGCGCGGCATAAAAGAGAAGCTCGGCGACCTCCAGCAGGCAGTTATCAATGCGGTGGTGGCGGTCGACAAGGCCGGGTTGCAACAGACTGCGCACACAGTACAGGGAAGGTAACAGTAATGGGGTTGGTGGCGAGGAGCCGGGTTTTTAAAGCCCGATATTTGGGTTGTAGGCTGGAGCAGGCTAGGAAGTGGCTGTCGAATCCGGGCCGCGATGACAAGGGGCTCGGCCGTAGGGCCATAAATGCCATCGTTGAAGAAGGGCGCAAGGTACATCTGGGATAATCACATTCCCCATTTCCTTGTCTTCTTGGCATTTCCTTTCGAGATGTGGATGTGCACCTAATTTCTTCATCTTGTCTTTGTTCTATCTCATTTATCCTCAGTAATATATTCATGGGTTTTATATGGTTTATCTCTTTCCAGGCAAACCAAACTTGTTTTAAACTTTCGATAATTTGGACTGTTTTCTATTAGGTGGCGGACGGGTTGCCGGGTGTCCAGAAAGCTGAAATTCTGCAGCTGTGCGACGAGGTAGACAGTTTAAGCAGGCAACTGTCTGACCTGTGCGCGCAGGGCAAAGGCGACACGCCCCAAGCGCAGGAGATAGCGCGCAGGTATTGATATAAAGTCACTTGATAGTTCAAAGGAATAGGAATTTGGATTAGGTGGATAGTGGCCCTACTACGGTAAAAAGTGATGCGCCCCAGGTGGCTATGATATTTTCGTAGAGAAGGGGTGGATCTTTTGCGCATGCGTCACGCCCCAACTAACAACAATTTTTCTTAAAAAATTGTCTAGTTTTCATAAGAACGCAAATCCGAATATAATTGGCAACGCCGAAATAGGAACTGCTATTGGCAGAGACTATTAATAGTCTTCTCTCCGTACCTTTTTCTTGTTTTTGCGAAAAACTTGTGTTTAGTGTCAAAACTGTAAGGAAAAGAATGTGCCTTAATTTAAAATATTTAAAAGTGGTTTACCTTTTCAATAGAAGTTAAACCAATAAGTTTATTAAAACACACTGTTTGCTCCCATTTATCGGCACAAATTCGGGAAAAATTAGTTCATATCGTGTCTATAGCGCTTAAAGAACCAAAACACTAAAATACTTACAGAATTATACTAAAGACGCCGATCCGCGTACTCTAATTCAGGTTAATATTAACTCTGCTCTTGTCGCTTTATTTTTTAACAACACTTTCTACACCTTAATTCCATTTTTGCCTGAAAATTTAATGGGATTTCGACATATTTTGAGAAATTACTGCATCAAAACTTTGACGACTTGTCAGCGGCCATGTGGGTTGTTGGAAGCCGCAAGGCCTTATGGGTAGAACGTCAGAAAATGGAGTTAGAGCTGCCATTGGTTAAAAATGAAATTTCAAATCTTGCGCACGCGCACATTGACCAGACCTCAAAATTTCGTTACATAGTTGCTTCACAAGTTCCTGTACTATTAGCATAGTTAGGCTCTCTATATGTCTAGTAGCTATATGGGTATGCCGATAGTATTGCAAAGAGATAGGCTTTGAAAAACAAATATGCTTGCAAACAAAGAAAAGGAAGGAAAATTCTGAGAAATTTCGGTTTTCAGAAAGAGTTGTCAGCGTTAACATTTATTTTATTAAATATATTTTTTTTACAAATAATATCCAGGATATTTATCAAGTGTATCAATAATGAACGGGATTATTATTTTATATATTATTGCAAAATTTGGTAAATACATTCTTATGCTTCAACCGTTTTCAGGTGCACTTTTTTCCTTTCCGCCAGTGCTGTTTATTTTTTACATTTTTTTTTGGTGAATATTTTTATTTGGTTTTCATTATTTTATTGAAAAGCAACATAAAACGTTATTCTTGGGCAGGTAATAACTAGGCTATCCTAAGAAAATATTCATCTAAAAAAATGTCAGTGGCTTACAATTTTTTTTTAAATACATATATAAATATAAAATATAAAAAAATATAAATTTGAAAAATAGCGGACGTTCGTCACTTCTAGAATTATAAAAAAAAAGCTTGTGAAGAAATACCTTTTTTAAATTCAGCTTAGGAATTATAAGACATTACTTGTATACTGATAGTGTACTGGTTGTTTAGCCAGGAAGAACTTTAACCAATTAAGGTAAACTATAACTAGTAAAATATTGGTATTATTCTAATTTTAGTAAAGGTTGAAATTTCGAAAAAATATATTTTCTTATTAATAGTATACTATTTATTAGCAAACTTACTTGAGCCCATTAATTGACTCATATCTTGGAAATTTTTTGGCTGTCACGCTGTTGGCTTGTGAAACCATTGTTTAAAAAGACAATATTTTACATACAACAATAAAGTCTCACTTCATTTTTGGTTAGTTTGGTTAAAAATAGAAGATTGCATTGTTGATGTTGTACCTTATATTGTTTAATAAATTTTTCCTTACACAAAAGCGAATTTCGATCTGATTTAAAGAATTTAAATAATTTTAGTACAAAAATCTTTAGTTACGTCTTTAATTCGTTCCAACAAGTCCTGTGTACATGGTATGCACTTCAGTGAGAGCAGTTCACATCGAAATTCATAGAGATTCATTAGGAAAGAAATAAAACATGAAAATATTGGCAAAAAAATAGTTGATTTCTGCAAACAAAAGCAAATTACCTGGACCACGTCACTGCTTTTGAAATAATTTTTGTGAAATTCATTTTGTTCCTACAGAAATGGTTTTCGTACTGTTGGTTATTAACGCAACACCCAACCCCTCTTTTTTGATGATCAGTACTACACAGAGTTCACATTGAAAAAACACATAAACGTAGCAGAATTTACTATATATAGAAAGCAGAAGTTATATTTAGGATCCAAAATATCCAAGTGTATAAAAAGTTATACTATTTAAATATTTGATCAATAAAATATTTTTTTATAATAATATTTTATTGTTGTTCATTTGATTGTAAATAAAACTAAAAATAAACTAAATCAAAACTGTTGAGCCTAGTCCAGGTAACTCTTTTTTTATTCTATTATATGATTTGACTCTTAGTTCAGGAGGCAGAGCATTGACCACTTTTGGCCCAATACAGTATATATCTTTCTGACACGCTACATGTTTGGGCTTCAGTAGAGCCACATTGTGCTTTTTTCTTAATGCATTGTTTTTATAATCTATTTTTGAGCCATCTACAACCCCAGCACATGCGTCCCATTGGCATTACCCACCATTTTAGTCCCTCCAAAGATAACATCTACATAACTCATAGAACTTATATATTATTTAGTTTAGTAATAATATTTTTAACAATTTGTACTGAATAAATAAGTTAGAAAGAAATAAAGGCCGTTGTCCCACAGCCCAATCTCTACAGTTTTCAAACAGTTGGGTTAAACAGATATTTCGAGTTATTTCATAGAGGTATAGGTTATCCATAGAAGTTATAAGAATTTCAAGAAGGTCTTACACGAAGTACTTTTCCTTGATTCCCCGTGCATATTTCTAATCATCCTGAGTTCGGGCGTTCAGGTTGTCGCAGAAACTGCACGAGCTCAAAGAGAAAATCAACCAGGCGGTGGTGAACCGTGTCGTCGAGGACTTCATTGACATCGTGACGCCGCTAAAGCAGTTCACGGAGGCGGCGCTCGCGCCCGAAGGCACCCCGAACCGCGATCAAAACTTCCACGACAAAGCGGCCAACCTGCAGAACTTTTCTGTTCGCGCGGTCAAGACCGCGAGGATGGTGGCGGCAGGCGGCAGCGGCGGCAACAAGAAACTGGCGGAGGCGTTGCAGAGCGCCGCCAACCAAGTGGAAAGCCTGACGCCGCAGCTCGTGTCCGCCGGCAGCATCCGGATGAACTATCCGACGTCGAAGGCGGCGGACGAGCACTTTGAGAACCTGAGGCAGCAGTACGCCGATACGGTGACGAAAATGCGAAACCTCTGCGACGAGGCCACCGACTCGGCCGATTTCATCAAAGCATCCGGTAATATCCTAATTCGGCAACATACAGGGTTACTTACCCTATACCAGTGGCGGCTCGTCCTTAGGTTTGCAGGTTTGCGCAACCTCCAAAAACTGTAGGTAAAATGCAAGAATCGTAATCTTAACCTACGATTGCCTAATCCGCCAAATCTATCCGCAAGTAAAATGCGAAAACTCTCGCTGGCTGTGACGCAGTCGAAGTCCTATTTGGCGCGTTTACTATGTAAATGCATGGAAATAATCCGAACCTGAGCCGAGTTTTGATGACTTTGAGTATTTTGGAGTAGCTAAAATCGTTTTAGTACTTATTTAATAATTATTGGGAAGTAACGTAGGGTAGGGTCTCAGTGCAATTAAGTGTATTATCCTGAACATATATTAATTAAAAATTGTTACACATACATACATAAAACTAGCGAACAAACCGATTTAATTGTAAAACTTTGTATTTTACGGCTTTCTACCATTTTAAATATACAAAAATCAACAAATACTTAATAACTAGAAATTCCTATTTTTGGATATATTAAAGAACATATTAAAAAACAAAAAATATATTAGGCATACATAACAACTATTTATAGGTGGTAGGTTATGGTACCCTCGTATGTAAATAATATAAAAAATACATATTACTACATATACTTAAATCTTTATTTTACAATTTTACCATAGTTTCTAATTTTTTTTTCTGGGGCTATCATCTTGGTTCTAGATATGGATTTTTCTCTAGAATTTCACTTGCGGCTTTCGATGTTGTTGCTAAAAGCTCAGACAATATCTGCTGAGCTTTTTTTTTGCATTTTTGGAAGTCTTTTTGATCTAGATAATCCTGCTTCTGTTGATGGCTTCTTGTTAAATAATAATAGGGTGGGAACAGCAGTTTTTTTTAGAATCTTTTTTAAAGGTAAACCTAAAATTTGAATTTAATGTGTTACTCAAGACAAAAAAAAATACCCATTTTGTAAGTCTCTTTCGCGTTCCGAATAGTTCGGGATACTAGGATCTTTCCCTTTGGGAAAGCGATGAAAACTGCATTGTCGAGAACTTGCTTTTTCATCTCTTTCCAGGCATACCTAACTATTTTTTGATGTAACTTATCCCACTGAAAAAGGTAAAAGAAATGTATTTCTTACCTTTACCTATATTATTATGTGTAATATTTTGAGCTTACCTCCTAACTAATAACACCGCTAATAAGCAGCACGAACACAAAACTTTTAAGTCTTTATTTAAGGTTACAAATACTGTTTTTCTCAGTTCTCGCCACTCAAGCACATACATACAATTTTAAAGTATTTGGAAAAGCTTAAAAACACTGTTTTGTCCAAGTTGTTTTTACAGAAACACAACACAGACATAAGCGCACTAATCACTAGTTTAAATTATTTTAATTGTTCAAAGAACACAAAAACAACGGTTTAATACGCCATCAAACGTATTGACAGAATGCACAAAAACCGTTAGAGGACTTCGCTGACGTCACAAGCGACCAGGTGCGATCGATAATTTTGGCGAACGTATGTCTTATGGGATTAGGCAGTCCTATTGGTTTGCGATTCTTGGGTAAAATGCTAATAATTTTTTTTTTAATTCTTAGTCATGCCAAAAGTCTGTATCAATGCCAACACGCGAGAAATAGTCAATTATTAGATGATTAGATAATTAAATCGCTTTTTTATGTGTTAGTTTGTGTTTTAAAATATGAATTCAGTTGAAATTTTACTTTCAAATCCGTTCTGTGGTCGATCATTAATCGAAAAGGCTAAAATAAAGCGACTTGGGAGGCCTATCCACATTTAAAAATAGCACAATCTGTGTCTAGCAAAAAACGGACTTTTAACGGAACATTTATTCCAGAACTTATAATAAACAAACATGGTTTGTGGTTGTGAAATTAAAAATGCCCTTTTTCGTTTTCCTTGTTTGTTTCCACGGAGAAGATTCATGGACAAAAAATGGTTTTACACACTTAAATCGTTCAGAGGACCGCATCAATAATCCATACATCGTCGGCAAAACACATGAAGAATGTTTTACAATATTTACTTTTTGGAACAGTAGGCGTAGCTGCTCAGTCGAGCACCGGTTATCGGCGTGATATTGAGTTGCACAAGTGAGACATAATCGATATATTTTAAAAATTATCCCGGGGTTTTTCAAGGACTAATTGACTTTAGTGTTGACGGTGCTCTTAAACAACACCTAGAAAAAGCAACGATATTTAAAGGTCAAAAAGCATCCGAAATGAAATTTTACAGACAATGTTTCATGTATGTGAAGAAGAAATTTCTAAAGAAATAGAACAAGCCGATTATTTGTCTATAATTGCTGATGAAACTAATGACATATCAAATCAATTCCAAATGGCAATTGTATTTCGATATGTTGTAAAAGGTAAGCAATTTTGGGATTTTTTATTGTCGTTATATTATGACCCCAAAGCTTTGTCTTCAGCTATTCTCACGGAACTTGAAAAGCACGTAAAAAACAACAAAAGCAAACTTATTGCACAAACATATCACGGTGCTTCAGTTATGAGCGGATCATCTAACGGGGCGCAAGCAATTATTAAAAAGACTTACGAACACGCTGCATACGTGCATTGTTATGCAAATCAATTAAATTTGATAATGTTAAACGCCGCAGACAAGAATGTCTCAATTCTTTTTGCCAATTTACAAGGAATTTGTACATTTTTTTCAAGTAGCCCTCAGAGATCCGCAGTACTAGACCAAATTATTAAAAAACGCTCACCACGATCCGCGTCGACCAGATGGAATTTTAATTCCAGGGTTGTTTGTACCGTATATGAACATAGAGCCGGTATTCTGGAGACAATGGAAAAAATCCAAAATGAGATTAGAAACTTTAGCACTACCACCCAAGCTTCAGGATATGTCAAAATTTATTTAAATTTTGCAATTATTTTACAAGATAATGCCACATATTGACTTGTTAAGTTTCAAAAAAGAGAAATTGACGCTGTTATCGCAAAAAATAGTATATTATGCAACACGTGTGGTAAACGGCATTTGACTCACGAGTTTTAATAAACTCAAAATACTAAGTGAAACTTTTAGTGAAACTTTAAAACTCATTAAAATTTTAACAGCAATCCCATTGGCTTCAGCTGAAGCAGAACGGTGCTTTTCAACCCTTAAACTGGATAAAAACATTTTTAAAAATACCACGGGAAAAGAAAGATTTTCGGCATTGACAATGTATCAAATTATTGAAAGCATACCTGATTTCAATCGGGATTATCGATAAGTTTGCGTCTGGATTTTCTTTTTAAATAAATCCCAATTATTAGGTGTTCATTTTTAAAAATTATTATGTAAGTATTATTAAAGTTTGTTAGTTTATATATTTTAAATCATTTTGAATCCACTGCTTCTAGACTTTTTGGATTAAAAAAAAATTGGCCTCATTCTATAACCGGGGCCTGCAACCCCCACCTTTTTATTGTACGAGCCGCCACTGCCCTATACGACGCGGAATATCGTGGCCAAAATAAAAGTTCTTTTTTTTTAAATTACTGCAGTTAAATCATTTCAATATTTTGGGAAAGTCAAATCCCAAGGCAGTTTTGAATTTCGCTTTTCTGTCCATTTTTACAGCTTCGTATATTCAACACAATCAAAAGCAGTGAGGTGAAATACGAGAATGAACGAGGAATAGAAGGGACAAAACAGAAATTGATAACCGATATTAAAATTTCACGTTATACCTCGAAATTGGTTGTCGTATTAGTTCCAGTTGTCTAGAAATTTGAAACTACACAAAACTAGCAATATTTTGAATGTTTGCAAAATATGCTGTAAAATTCTTCGAAGTGTTGGTTTATACCTTAATCTATCTTGCCATAAAAGATCAGCTGTCCTTTAATCAGCATGTTTAGAGATTGCGGATAAAGTAGGGAAAATGGACGCGTATACCCACTTCTTTAAGCGTTTTGACCACATAGATCATATCATTTTATCAAAACTAGACAAATAGGTTTTAGTACTAAAAAAACTAGACCATATGATTTTATTATATCTAGACAAAATAGATTTTGGAACACATTTTTGAATTCTATGATTTAAGTAGGTTTAGGTTTTAATCAATAACGTTTTTCTACTCCCGTCTGTAAAATACCTAATTACCCACCGATCTAGCGTGCGGGAAGCGTCACTTTACCACGTCAGTTTCGTTTCCCATGAATCCCAGCCACTTCGGACATTTCCGGGATTTGTCAATTCTGACAGTCGTGTCAGTGAATATATTCTTGTTGTTTTGCGAAAATGTACCCAAAAACTAACGGTCGTAGAAAAAGTATAGTATGCAACACGTTCGGTAAACTTTTTAACTAACTTGTTTATTAAACACTCGCTCCGTTGCGCTCCGCTCGTGTCAAATAAACTCGTGAGTCGAATGCCGTTTACCGCACTTGTTGCATAATATACCATTATGATACATAAATTTATAAAAAAATAAAATTTATCAGAACTATTTAATACCTATCTAATACCTAGCCAGTCAAAATTGTATTGATGTGGCTTTTACTTGATGGAAAATCCATTTAACAAGATAAAAGAGAAGCATGGTTCAGATTTTCTCAAAATATTTAACTTTGTAAATATAAGAATGGGTAATCAATTCTTAATTACTGTTATTGAGAAATTTTATATTTAGATTTAACAAACTAACCACAAATCAATAATAATAATTGAATTTATTAACCAGAGAACCTATATTTGAGCCGTGAGGTACACCGGATTTTGAAATGTAGGAATTCGATTCAAACGCATTATAAAAAAGGGACTGTGTTCGAGACTCTTAAATAAGCAATAAGTTCGTGAATCACTAAACTAATTCTAAATTTTTGACATTTTCGTGTTGTACTAGCAGTCAAACGTTGAGAGTTGGTCAATTTTTGTTTAAACCAGTCAGTTTCTTATAAAATTTGAGCACCAGAGTCATCCGAAAACAACTTGTTTAACCCCACTTATCAGTAGAATTCTACATGCCACTTTTGTTGTGCACCGACAGAGGAGCAGATGAAAAAGCACACATTCCTGTGCGAAGAGGCGATCAAGAACCGTCAGCCGCAGAAGATGGTGGACAACACGTCAGCGATCGCACGCCTCGCCAACCGTGTCCTCCTGGTGGCGAAACAGGAAAGCGACAACTCCGAGGACCCTAACTTTATCGAGGAGGTGACCAGGGCCGCAGAAGCGCTGCAGGGATGTGAGTTCGGTCGATTAGCGTGCTCATCTTGCTATAAAAAATGTGTTTTCGTAAATTTGAAGGTGTGCCGCCGATGGTTCAGGATGCCAAAGCGGTTGCCGTGAAACCTGCCGACGGTCTGGCCGTGTCGCGGTGGCGCGAATCTAACAAACACGTGAGTCCAAATGTATTTCCAGTTACTGCAAGTTTTTCAATAAGGCGCGTCGCGATAAGATTAACTTTTTATGTCTGTTCCATAATGGTTATAATGAGACTTAATTAATTTTTCAAAGAAACTTCCATTTGGCATTCATTTAATTGCTTTTTTTTCCATCAAGTGCAAAGGTGTTACCACCATATAGGTACTAAATATATAAATGCCACTAGATACCTCTAATAACTCTAATAAGATAGTACAAAAAAGGTCAGCACCGAACAAAGAGATTTGATGATTTTGAAAAGCCTCACCTGTTAACGGCCACACCCACAAGTTGTTAATCTAAAGTGCTGAATTACCTTCAGAACCTCCTCAAAATCTGCATTGTACGCAAGTTTGTGAAAGTCCTCTATTATTACACACAAAAAATGCAAATTTATAGGTTATAATCTTGACCTTTTCCCTATTTCTGTCATTCATGGCCATGTTTCTCCTGGGGAAATAAAAATTTCTCTGTTATTTTGTTAGAAATTTTTTAAGAATACTGAATTTAAATACTTTAAGACTAGTGTTGACTATTTCCCACATTTCCATTCCCTAAAATTATACATTATTTTCGAATTTTAATAATACTTCAATTTCGTCGTGACTTGTGTAGCTCCTCAACGCTGTGGGTCACGTGAGGAACGCGGTCCAGGTCAATCCAGAGCTGCCACCATTACCGGACATGAACGACCTTCACCTGGGTGAGTGTTACAAGAAAAAAAAAAGTAGCTATAGCGTTAAAAGGTTGCAGGTCGACTAATATCGTCGGCCGAGCGAAGTGACGTAGTTTTTGTAAATCGTTTTTTATTTGTTTGCCAGTTTGAATTTTGTGTTCCTTCACTCGGCACGACACGGCGGGCACAAACATCTACTAATTGCTAACGTCTCTTTCAGAAGCCACCCCGAACAGATACTTTGTCGAGAAAGGTATTTTTCTCCCGCTTTGCGTGTTCAAACTTGCAGGCAATAATAAAAAATTCGAACTCGGGCCCGTACTAAACGCTGAACGGATATTATACAGGGGGAAATATTTTTAAAAAGTGTTTTTTATATAATTGGTCATTAGTTTTTATATTTTTTATTTTTGGGATTAGTTACTGTTCATTTTTTTTTTAGAAAACCCTGTCTAAATACAACAATTTAACTACGTGTACCATAATATTCGCCATCGTTATGTATAGGCCCGCTGTCGAAAAAGTATTTGGATCCGGGGCGAATCATTAATATTGCACGGAAATTACTTGTAATTCAAAAAACGTTTTAAATTTAAAAAAATCTGCTTTCAAATATTTTCCGTGCATCGTTACGATGGATCGCCCTGTTCAAAATACGTGTACATAATGCCACTTTACACGCGCTACGCGTCTAGTCAAAAACGAGAAACCACGCCCCTTTAACACGGCTATTATAACCGACCTTGTAGTGGGGGCGTCGCTGCGAAACACCCCAACACCCGGCAGGGAGTACGAAGGGGCCGTGAGTCCCACGCAGCACCCACAAGGCTTGAGGCCCGTAAGCCCGTTGCCCAAATGGGCCAGAGGTAGACAATGCCCGACTATTTGCGCGTTAGGCGAAAGTGGGCGGAGACTTGCAGAGGCGACGGGCGAATTTTTTTTAACCCTGCGGAAAATCGTTTTACAGATTTGAAATATGGCAGGTATGAGGTCTGTAAATTATGTAATGAGACTGGCAATGTAGCGTTCTATCTGGCAACACCTGTGAAACAGTTTTTTCTATTGTGGTCTGTGTGCTATCAGAAATTGGAGACGAGAACTTTCGTTAAACTTGGGCAAGTCTACGGAGATAGTGTTTAGTCAAGAGCCCAGGTTTTTCAGTGGTTCAAGGCGTTTTCAGAATGAAGAGAGTCATTTGAAGATGCACCATGAAGCGAAACAAATCTTCAAGAACCGATGAAAATGTCAATAGAGTCTGGGATCTGTTAGTTTACAGTCAGAATGGTTGGGGAAGAATTGAGTTTGACCCAGACCACCCTTCAGATTTTGACAAATATGATAAGAAAAATCTGCACAAAAATGATCGCAATGACAGCCAATCAGCAGAAAAAACATTCCTGTGGCTTTCAACTTCAGTTGAAAAATAACTTCAAGCGACGTCATTCTAAGACAGCCGAAAACAAAACAAACCAAAGAGTATCAGAAATAAATAAAAATTCAGTCTCATTAATTTCCAGACCTTGTATGTCTTTTAAAAGATTTTATACCGGGGTAAGTCATTTTATTTGATGGGCATATTTTATTTGGTGTCAATAGTCGGATTCAAATTTTTATCACAAATCAAAAATAACAAAAAAAATATATTATTATTATCTATGCAAGACGTGGGAGTTGGCTGGAACTAACCATGATGTTGCAAATAGATAAAACAATTTTTTTGTAAATAAAATTTCCGTTCTCCCTTAAGACAAAGCCTAAAAAATTGCTGCGCATTCGTATAATCGAAAGTGCTCTTAGAAGGTCGTATAAAGGGTTTGGTGCCCTTATTCCTCGGCAAGTCTCCCCTTTCCGACACATCCGCAAGGTCGTTACAACGAAATCGCTTTCAGGCGACAATTCCGATCTGCTCTGTCGGGAGCTGCTACCTAATAACGTATATCAATCGTCAGGTAAAAAATAGATATTTCTGTTTAGTCATTTTGGAACGAAATGGGAATGTCACCTCTGTTGAATGTTCATTTACATACCCCTGGCTATCATCGGGCATGGATTTTTCCTTACAGTGCCGGAACAATAGTCCCGTTCTAGTGTTGACACGGAGATTTGTTTGCACTAAGACGCGACTGTGTAGCTCAGTTCGTCGCCGAGATAATGTGAACATAACCGCTTTTGCTTCGATAGTATGCTAACTATAGTTGCTCGCCGCATTTCGAATACACGAACCGCCGTATTTATACCGATTGTTGTACAAAGCAATCAGCATTTACTAGGTAGGGGGCGCCACATACAAAGTCAATGCAGTGATATTAAGGGTGTATAAGGGCCCCGATTATTTTTGCTGATTGTTTTGTCTATTTTTACCACTTGACGTGCTCTGACCGGTTTTTGTGCACATTTTTTTCACGCCGCCAAGGATATTACAGCTTTATCCCCGAATACATCATCGAAGATGGTAATAATAAACGCAGTATACTAACTGATAATGTCGGATTCGCTGCTATCTGCCCTATTTGCTCGTTGCCGCCCTAACCTCGCGTGTCTATGGGCTTAAATGTGTGTTCGGCAATTTGTTGCACGCAAACTAGAGCGAAGTCAATATGGGGCCAATTCGCCGCGTTTAGGGGAATCACTGGGTCGATTTTATTTGATTACGTCTTACGTACAGAGTGGGTAAGAAGTTGCATCAATCAGTGAACGTGCTATTCTCGAAGTTGACTGGTTTGGCAACGACGCCTTCGAACTTAAAAAAAATGTTGCCCAACGTAGCATTATTCCTATATTTGTTCAATATCTACAAAAGCATTTGTTTCGGAATTTCATTTAAATTACTTATTATTTTATATTTTATTCCTTTCAACAAAAAGAAAAAAGTTTACCCGAATTTCTCAATTTTATATATTTTTCGACCCATCCTGTACAGTTTGTCCCATTTTTTATGGTTTTACGGCGTATCTCTCTTATTTATAAAGCCAGCGTGTTACTTTTTCGCGAAATGAAAGGGGATGCAACAAATATGTCAGGATGATTTAGAAAATGTCTTGTAGCTCAGTTTTATCTAAAATACAGCTTTTTTACACAAATTACATAATTTATTGTAAACAGTTAGTTCAATCAATGTCTCATATTTATTATATTTTGAGTAAATATAAGCCATAGCAGAAGGAAGAGGCCGAAATTAAAAAAATATATATATTAGCAAATGTCATGACGGTTGTTCCATGACAACTAAACAAACATGACCTAGATATAACAAAAAATATAAATTAAATGTATGGGCTTTGTATTTCAAATACCACTTATGTGTTACATATTTTTAAAAAGCATAATAAAATTGATTAAGGCATACAGGATGTTCAATTAAAAAACACAAGTTTAGTGTGTATTTCATAATTTGTGAGTTTTAAAACGCCGCTGGATCCTCAGTAAAAACCCCTATATAGTCTAGTTTTCGCTTTTCGAACGCACAACAGCGTTGCAAAGGCTAAGATAGCTACGATATTTCTGTTTGTGGCACCTTGGATTTGACACAAAAGCAGCTATGAGTCACGGAAACCGCAACATAGCTTTATTAATAATGGGACATACACCGTGTTTTTTTGGTCAAGCTGCTAAAAAGTGACATACTTAAATGACAGCCCTCAGTGTACCGGGTGACACAGAAAGTGGAAACACTTTATAACTTTTAAACTGCTTGAGATAGCGATTTCAAATTTGGAATGGTTAATATAGGCTGAATGTCCAATTTTTTGAAAATATGTAGTCAATGGTTGCACTTCCGGTTTGAGCGGAGACGACAGTAACTTTCAAATTTTAAATGGGACGGCCTGTATTTTTTGCATTTTTAGATTCAGGAGACCATTCTACGTAGGATAGGGCGGTTTTTCTCTCTTTTTTTTTTGTTTTTTTTTTTAATTTTTATTTAATTTTTGAAAATTATCTACCGGATCACCTGATCAGGGAAAAAATTGTAAATGAAACTTTTCTTTACTTGTCTAGTGGCAAATAGTATTTAACGTAATGAACTATTAACTTTTTAGAATAACCTAGTTTTCTCAAATTGCACCCTAGTGGAAACAAAAACATTTTAAAACCGGTACTTTTTTTGCAACATTTTGAAACCAAAATTTTCAAAATCCGTTAAAAAATAAGCTCACAGGAAGGAAAAACCAGATAAGTAATAGCATATTATACAACAAGTGCGGAAAACGGCATTTGAATCACGAGTTTTTAATAAACGAGTGAGTTAAAAAGTTTACCGAACGTGTTGCATACTATACTTTTTCTACGACCGTTAGTTTTTGGGTCCATTTTCGCAAAACAACACGAATACATTCACTGACATGATCGTCAGAATTGACAAACGTCAAAATTCAAAGCGTGGGAAATATCTCCGAAAACATCCAATTGCTCCCAAATCCGTGCGGTAAAATCCCGGAAATGTCCGAAGTGGCTCAGATTCATTGGAAACGAAAGTGACGTGGTAAAGTGACGCTTCCCGCACATTAGATCGGTGGGTAATTAGGTATTTCCTGTGGGATTATTTTTTAACGGATTTTGAAAATTTTGGTGTCAAAAACTTTTTATTCCCACTAGGATGCTGTTTGAAAAAACTAGGTTATCCTAAAAAATTAATTAAATTAATTAAAAATTAATTAACCAAAATTAAAGTTTCATTTATGATGGTCACAGAGTCCTAGACACAATTTTCGAAAATTAAATAAAAATTTAAAAAAACGAAAAAAAGAAGAAGAAAACCGTCCTATCTCCTGTTGTGCCATTTAAAATTCGAAAGTGACTGTTGTTTCCGCTCAAACCGGAAGTGCAACCATTGAGTACATATTGTCAAAAAAATGGATATTCAGGCAATGTTAACCCTTCCAAATTTCAAGCTGTTTAAAAGTTGTAGAGTGTTCTCACTTTCTTGTGTTACCCGGATAGAGACGGGCGGAACACGTTGGTTTAAGTAATCTAATACAGATTCTCCATGGTTGTTTTTAAAAACGTTGGACGGTTAACAGAGCAGGCTCCGCCGCGTCCGCCGCTGCCTTACGACGGGGCCCCGATGCGGCCTCCGCCACCGGAAACCGACGACGAGGACGAGGTGTTCAAGACCGCTCCGAGCGCGAGCCAACCCATCATGGTGAGAACACTTGGGGAATCGCTGACAAAATCGGAGTCACGCATGTTTGTTTTTTCAAGGTCGCCGCGCACAACCTGCACCGCGAGGTGCGCCAATGGTCCGCGAAGGACAACGAGCTCATCGCCGCCGCGCAAAGGATGGCCAAGCTGATGGCGCGGCTGTCGGAACTCGTCCACAACGACGACAAAGGTACGTTTGACGTCCGACAGCGGACGGACCTATCCTTGTGCTGGTGTTGACATAAATAAATTACAGAGATTACCGAACAAATCAATAAAAACTATCTTTTCGATGAACTACTTCTTAGAGTCAGTGAATTAAAAAGGTTTCAACAAAAAAAATCAGTTATAGATTTAAAACTTACTAAGTAAGTCCATCACTACCATGTGAGAAACAAAGGCATAACTATTCAGAAGAAAAATGAGCCTTAACCTCAAAAAGTATTTAAGTAAAAACCGATAAAAATTAATTGAACATTTTTATTGATAAATTTTCTGGTTATTTTTAAGATCGTAATTGATGAAATAACAAAACAAGTTCGCAAACTAAGTGGATACAAAATGGGAAATAGGGTAGTGAAAATTGTGTGCTATGCAGTTGACGCGGTTCTTGTGGCGGAGAACGAAGGTTCAATAAAACTCCGAAACAATTTAATATCACCGATCAGACAGATACAAACTTAAGGTTGAGGACAAAATAATACGACAGAAAATAAAATTCAAATATTTAGGAATTGAAATATCTGGATACAGAGACATTAGGACAGAAGTTAGTAACTGAAGCAATAACCCTGATATATAAAACTGCTATTAGACCTATGCAGCAAAAACCCGATCTGGGACCTCGAAAACAAATGGAATATTAGAGACCACGGGAATGAAAATAGTTCCAAGAATAGCGTGAAAAACGCTTGTGGATAGGGAAAGAAGGCGAGTGTGCATAGTAGATAACATCAATGACTGGGTGTTGGATCGACAGATAAAATGGAACGCACACATTGGTTCTATGGGAGAAGAACAAATAGTGAAAATATTGAGGGACAAATCACCAGTAGGACGAAGGAGCCTTGGAAGACCTAGGAAAAGATGTGGAGAAAAACAGGCAGTCATGCAGTAGGAAGAAGAAGAAGAAATATAGCGTTAGATATAAATTTTTGTGTGCTATAATAATATTACCTTAATGTATACGTAATTACTAATGTCAAGAATAGGATTGTTAAGGCGTGGGTGCTAGTTCTTTTGTAACTATTTTGGCTCCTGCATTAAAAAAAAATATATATATATATATATATATATATATATATATATATATATATATATATATATATATATATATATATATATATATATATATATATATATATATATATATATATATATATATATATATATATATATATATATATATATATATATATATATATATATATATATATATATATATATATATATATATATATATATATATATATATATATATATATATATATATATATATATATATATATATATATATATATATATATATATATATATTATGCCAACTGCGATGATGTATGTCCGCAGGCTCGAAGAGGGAACTGATCGCGACAGCCAAGGCTATCGCGGACGCCAGCGCAGATGTCACCAGGATCGCCAAGCAGCTGGCCCGAGAGTGCACGGATAAGAGGATCCGCACCAATTTGCTGCAGGTGTGCGAGCGCATCCCCACGATAGCGACTCAGTTAAAGATTCTCAGCACGGTCAAGGCCACAATGCTAGGATCTCAAGGTAACCAAACGAATTACCTTCGAAGACATCATTAATAATAATAAATTCGGGGTAAAAAAAAAATTAGTATGCATGAGTAAAATTTTCCATAAATCAGTGGCAGCCAAAACGACAATGGAATATTCTATTTGGGCGCAGTCGCATATAGGCGTGGCGGATATAATTTTCGTCAGCGGCGTGCCTCTCGTGATTTTTTTAATACGGACGAAATTAAATTATCTGGCGCTATTTTGACTGGCAAGGCACTTCCTCTACTCCGCTCTCGATTTCCAGAAATTTCGGATTTATTCGTATCAATTCGTTGTGGAAATACTATCCAATGCCCCTGCACGCCGCTGACTTTTATATCATACCTCCAGTTATACATTATCGATTCGAATAATGCTGTAAATTTGCTTTTTTCGTCGCATTTACGCACAACTGGACTAAAGTTAAAGGTACGTATGCACCGGCCTTATTAATTTTTTTAATATGGAATTTTTGGCTTAAAAAAATTAAGGTTTAATTTTCATCATCGGCGAAGCGTTTAAGCATCGTAATCAATTTTGGGGCGAGGCTTAGTTCGTTTTAAGAGATTTCTCATCTCCACCAAGTAAACCACGAAACCGGAAAAAAGTTGGTGATCCATCTTTTTAACTTGTATGGTGCGTTATCCTCTCTTTATGATTATTTATTATTGATTGCGTTCCCCATGATATCTTAATATAAACTTAATGCAATACGTCTCTAACCGAACTCATTATTCAAGATTTTATTTCTGGGACCTTTGCTGTTTATCATTTTTATTAATGATTTATGCATATACACACCTACTTAGTTACGTCACGTAATGGTCAGTTTATTTGAAAAATATTTCCGATAGCAATGTAGTGAAAACCGGGGAGTGGTTCACGGCTAACGCATTTCTTTTGAATACAACAAAAACCCAAACGTTGATCATTCCAAAGGATAATCTTTGTCAACAAAAAACCAAAAAAGCTATCGATGATAGTTTAAACTGGTCGGCTCAAGTGGATCACTAGATTTTTCTGCTTATAGGGCTTAACTTGTGGCAAAAAGGACTTTTTATAATGCAAAAAAGAGCCCTTCATATTTTCATCAATACAAAATTAGCTCTCAGCATGCATATGAGGGGGTACCCATAAAAAACCGGAATTGAATTGCCGCGCACAGAGCTTGAAAAGTACACCTTTCTCTCGCTAAGTTGTGGATAGTAAAACTTATTATTGCGAGTTAAATTTAACTTGTTTTGTTCACTTGCAGTGCTATTTTTTGGTAACGCCGTTTTTTTGTTATTTCGTTTTTTTCGATGGCAAGTTTAAAAGAACAACGTGCAGCTGTGAAATTTTGTTTTCTGCTCGGTAAAAGTGGTGCTGAAACAGTTTCAATATTAAAAACGGCTTATAAAGATGATGCGATGGGAAAAACTCAAGTGTACCAGTGGTTTGTTCTGGACGTCCATCAACTGCTCGAATCGACGAAAATCTACAGACAATTGAACAATTATCAAAGATTAGTGGGTTGTCTTGGAGCATGGTTCGGCGAATTTTAACCGAAGATTTTGCACCTTACTCGCCTGATCTCGCTCCGTGTGACTTCTTCTTATTTCCATGTATGAAAGGGGACATGAAAGGACGGCAATTTGACAACATTGAAGAGGTCAAGAAAAAAACGAGGGACGAGCTGTCGGCTATAGCCAAAGATGAATATAAAAAATGTTTCGAACAGTGGAAGCGCCGCTGGGACAAATGTATTAGTTGTAAGAGTATTTTGAAGGGGAGGAGGTCGTTCTGTGATTTTCGAAACAATATATAGTTTATAAAAAATGATTCCGGTTTTTTTTGGGTACCGGCTCGTATGTTTTGTGAGTTGTTTAAGTTTTAAGATTTTTAACTGTTTCCTGGACAAACTTCAAGAAAACTTTTAAGTTATATCTTCTTGGCCAACGTTTCTACATTGTAAAAGAATACTTGAGATCCAATTTTAAGCTGTAAGTGTGTTGCTTACATTTTATTTTTTGGTAAATTAATTTTTGTCTGTGGTGTCTCATGTCATTATTGTTTTGCTTTGACTGCTACCACAATCGTAAACATATATTAAATAAACTTAGTCAAATAAAAGCCTATTCTATTCTAAAGGTTCGGAAGAGGACAGGGAAGCGACCGAAATGCTCGAGGGCAACGCCCAGAACTTGATGCAGAGCGTGAAGGAGACGGTACGCGCGGCCGAGAGCGCAAGCGTCAAGATACATGCGCAAACGCACGGCAAGCTGCGATGGGTGCGCAGGCAGCCGTGGTACGCATACGCCTAAGGCTTGGGGAAATTTAACATGCTGGTCTAAGCCCTAAAAAACGAACGTCATAGTGGACATTGTTGGTTTTTTTCAACCTAATCTCAAATTGAAACCGGTTGGGAGGTGACCAACGGGGTGTCCTGAGGTGCAGCTAAGAGCCATATAAAATAATGGGAACGGGGTGTAGCATTTTGTCACGCCGTAGTTTCAGGCAACTCAGACAATCGGGTAGATTTTCTTGCTTTTCCAGTATCCAGTCACGTGTCAGCTACAACTAGTTTAGACCAGCGTGTTTATAATCGACGGCAGTTTAATCATGAGGCTCCCTCTTGGTTTGCTCGTTATTTATTTAGGTCGGAATATTTGTGTTCACTACGCCATTAATTTATTAATCTTACGTTAATATTAATTAGTAACTAAAATAATTACATATTATTGTAGTCGGTTCTGTTATTTTTTCGTCCAGATCATGCAATATTACCCACTAAGTGGCGTCTCATATTTTTTTGAGCTTCTTTTATGTTCGTCACTAGTGATAAGGGTATACTTTAAATTGTCAGTGATGTAGACTTGCCTTGCCGAGATAGAGTTATTTTTATATAATGCTTGTTACATGTTATAGAAGTTTCACTGTAGGGTGTCCGTGCAATGGTGCCAAATTTATGGTATTTCGTTGTGGCCGATAAAATTTCGCATTTCGACGAAGGGTTGTGTATTTAATAAATGAATAAAACTTTGGTAAGTGAAATTTGATCGGCGTTTTTCAGGTAAATCGTCAACGAAGCAATAATAGGAATGTACGTTAAGTTTTCGTTGGTGTCTTAACTCGGTTTTCCTAATTTTTCTAACTGTCCGGGCGTCATTTTGTTTTTGGGAATGAACTCGACTGTAACAAAACCCAATGTAATCGTCGTATTCTTTATTTTAGAAAAATGTTTGCCGGTTATTAAAGACTTTAATATTGAATGTCTTTGTTTTGTTTTGTTTGTTGATTATTATGACCAATTTTGATTGATCATATCAATCACCTCAAACTACAAATTACGCAAAGAAGGGTTCTGTACCTATTCTAAAGAAATAAAAATACAATCCCAGGAAATAATAAAATGAAGTATTATTTTATGATGAACAGGGTATGGATTAATTAAATTAATTACAAAAACAAATTTATAAATACTTTTGCTCACTGGTTTACAATGTTAAAATCTCACTGGCCTTTTCTTCCAGCAATTTCTCCATGGTGTTGACGTACTTGCACCACTCGTTCAGTCTTTCTACCATAATAGATATCTGGGGCCTGTCAAGGACCCTCGGCTGTACCCATGTCATGTTTACAGTGTTTGCGACCTACAAAATTAGTTCCATATCCGCAATTTCAGCTCCAATTTATAACAATGTACCTGATCGATTGCGCCCTTGACTAAACCTTGAGAAAGTGCTTTCATAACCAGCAGTTCAATTTCATTTATGGGCAGTTTGGTTTCTTTCGCGATTTCTGCAAATGTAAGCTGTCTATCGTGAGAAGGTCTCTTAAATGTCATCTGAAATCATTTAAGTATCCTCCAAACCAACCCATATTTTTAAAAATAATCCAGCTTTACCTCCATTAGGCACAGTAGCGAAATCTTCTGTCTCAGGAATAATTCATGAGCTGCCAAATCAGCAATTGTGCTCCATTTTGGTTTCATCTGCTCGAATTTGTTGATATCGCCAGAATTAAAAGCGTATAACAATTCGACCAACCAACCATTTTCTGTTGACTTCAAAGTTTCTAACACAGGATGAGCCAAAAGTTCTCCCAAATTGTAAACTCCTTCCCCTAATAATGCAGCGAGTCCCAGGAAAAACGCCTGCTGAATTTTAGTGTCTTCTGTTAAGCTGTCCAATTCAATGCAACCCAAATAACGTAGAGCGGTTCTATAGTATTGAGCATGATCCCCTTGTATCCTAAATGAATTAAAAAAAATTGCGGATTATTTAGAGAGAGTGTTGAGGCTAGGTTACCTGTAATATTGCGAGGCAAGCAAATAAAATCGACCGTGCACGGGAGTTACGCCATCGGCATTATCCAACGTCGCCTCAACTTCTTCGATTATTTTTTTGGTTGCGTTCAGATCTTTTAATTTTTCAAGGTGCAATTGTCCAGCGAGAACTTTACACAAATTCTGCGCGTCTGGGCTTATTTTCACCTTGGGTTCGGTTTTTTCAAGGAAAGATATGGCCTCTTTGGGATCTTTAAACTGTTCGATAACCACAGCGATTATTTCGACAAGCGACAAAGGGTTTATTCTAAAATCAGCGAAAATCGGTTTTGAGGTTATGTTCCACGTAATGACTTACTTGTTTTCAAATGTTTGGATAAAGTTGTTGTACAACTGTATTAAGATTTCATCTTTCCGCAATTCCGGGTTCTTAATAAGGCTGAGTAATTTTAAAGTGAGTTGATGCCATAATCTATAAAACGGATACACTGCTTACGATATTGTCAAATTTTAAGATCAAGTTCTACCTTTTATTATGAAGTTCTTCCAGTTGAGCCCATTCTGTAACCAATTCTTTTGAACTCTCTTTTTGTTTTTTGGATAAATAATCGCTTATATTTTGTTGTTGAACATTTACGGTTGCCATTTCTAAAGCGAGTTTTGATAAATCTTCAAAAAATGATAAATCAAAAATTTCATAGCATAAACTGTCATATTGAAAAAGAACTCGCGGAACAAAAAAGGTATTGGTAAAACGAGGTTAATATAAGATGGATTATTTTTATTTTATTTTCCTTTCGGATTTTTATGAAATTAATGCCGGTTCGCCTCAATGCGATATAATAAATAAATTTATTTGAATTAAAGTGAACTAAAGGTACCTTTTATTAAAATTTAACTTTTGTGGTCCATGATTGTTTATCCTTGGTGCTGCCATCTATCAGATGACGCTGACACGTATGTCAACTTCCATGGTGGCAGAAATCCGTGTAAACGCGTGCCCCACCTAGTCGCGTTTCACCGAAGAAAAACCGTTAAAACGCCGCTTGCCGCTCCCCTAATCATCGCCGAAAATAGTTTGGTTACCTCGGTGAGAGACCTCGACCGATTTTCTGTTGGTTTGTGCGGCATTCGCGTGGTCAGTCTCGATCTTAACCACTTATCGAGTGTTTTGGTGACGCGATAGTTTTTCAAATTCGTCATGGCTTCCAAAACGAAGAAGTCGTCTACGCCGGCTTCGAATCCCCCCAGGCCCGCTAGCCCGCTGAGTCCGACGCGTCATTCCAGATTGCAGGAAAAAGCGGACCTACAAAATTTGAATGATCGGCTGGCTTGCTACATCGAAAAAGTGCGGTATTTGGAGGCCGAAAATAACAGGTTAACCCGTGAAATACAAACATCGCAAGAAACAGTCACCAGAGAGGTGTCCAATATCAAGTCTATGTACGATCATGAGCTTTCTGACGCCAGAAAGCTTCTCGACGAGACGCATCGCGAAAAAGCGCGTTTAGAGATCGACGTTAAACGTCTTTTGGATGAAAATGATGAACTTAAACAGGACCTTGCGAAAAGGAGCAAGGATTTGGTGCTGGCTGAAAACTCGGCGCGCATATACGAGACCAGATGCAACGAGTTACAGCTGAAATATAACCAGGCCAACGCGGATGCTAAGAAAGCGACCGCCGATCTCAGAGATCTGGAAAAAGAGCGCGACAAACTTAAGAAGTTACTTGATGAACATCGCAAGCAACTCGAGGAAGAATCTCTCGCTCGGGTTGAAGTTGAGAACGCAAACCAGAGCCTAAGAGAAGAATTATCGTTTAAGGACCAGGTAAGGTCGCCTTAAATTGCGATTTACTAAAAATATATTAAATTTGAAGTGGCGGCGGATAGGGTCAGTAGATTTTAAATTTCGAATAGTTGAGATGTTTCATAGCACATTGCCGTCATCGACCAAATTGATAAAACACGGTGAGCCAAAAATTCCGCAACTCCTAAGCGAATTGTGTATAATATATCTCGGTACGCGTCATCGCTAAAAATTCACCTATCCGGGCGAGCCAAAAATTTAGATTGCAAATTAAAAAAAAAAACAATCCATAAATTAGCATGCGGTCAGAACTGCAGGCCAAGATTATATTAACTTGTTTCTAAAAACTACAAACTCAGTGTATATAATATACAGTGTGCAAAACGTAACTTTTAACTTTGGATCGATGACGTAATGTAACTATTTTTAGGAGCTGTCGAAAATAGAGGTGATATCGCGCTTATAGGGTGCGTCAAAAAAGAACACGAGTTGGTTTGTCGATTTTATTTGAATATTTTGGAGGAATAATCAGTGAACCCTGCTATGGGTTTTGGAAAACAAATAATAAATAAAATAATGATAATAATAATCCAACACGGGCTGGTCGTTGAGCATATATTATTTATGTATATATTTTTAATAAAGATTCTCGAATAAACAAATGGCGTAACGACCGAAACCAGATTTGAATTGCTAATGAGGTTGCCGCATTTACGACATTTTTTGGTAAACGCGAAGATGACATCATGGGCTTTAATCGAAATTTTTCTGTCCTCGTCCTTTATTATCGCCGGTTCCGCCTTGAAGACCCGCGCGAAACAGATATTTCGCCATTTATTTTTTTTTCTGGGTCAGCCAAACTAAAACGATAACATTTTTTTTTTTCGAAAATAGTTCGAATTGTTAATATTTTCGTGTGATGACGTCATTGGTATAAATATACGTCACGGCCTTCACACGGTTATCGATTTAACCCACATAAGAGTACGTCGCCATAAAAAGACCGGACATTTCAAGTTCCTCATGATGTATTCATAATAAAAACACTTTTATTGCCTAAGCTAATAATTTTTTTTTTCTCTTTTGCTGTGTGTATTAGACGTTGGAAAAGTATTTTCTCCGTGGCAATGTGAACGGCGCATGCCTTTTAACTTTAGATTAGAGCTATAAAGTTAGTAACAAAAATAGACAATTAGCGTTTGGCCCCCTTGCGCGTATGCGATGAACCGGAAACACATTGGACTAGTTGTTTAGCAGTTTCTTATTGACTTTGCTTCTTTCGAGATTTTAAGGCGAGGTCTTGTTGAGGATAAAATTAATAAATTAAAAAAATAAAATTAAGGTGACTGTCAAAACTGACGTCGAAACATTCCGCGTTAATTTAAAATTTTAATTGGTTATATGGGGGATGGCAGTTGAAGCAAATTCATGTCAGTATTATAGCGCAATGTTGTTTTGGTGGTATCGGGATTCCTCTGGCACACGCGAACTATGTTGATGGTTTGTTGAAATACCTAAATTTGGAAACCAGAAAATGTGGGACGAAATTACGAATGATTTTATCCACAGTTCGTGTCGAGGGGTAATAAAAAAAAATTGCGGTGGCAGGTCGGAGTTAAATTAATATCCCCCGTTTCTGTTGTTTGCTTACTTATCGCGTGGGTTTTATCTGACGGATAGGAAAAGGTAGATCGATAGTTGCGCGAAGCGGGGTCAGTGTCGTACTATTCTTTTTTTTTTTTCGACACGTTCAGCCAAAATCACATGAACAAAGCGCGGGTACGTTTAAAATAATGATTAGTATAAATAATTGATTTTTTTTTCGGTCATTTTAAAAACGTTAAGAATATCCTTATATGGGTATTGAACAGTACATAAAAAGTTGCAAAAAAAAAGATACGGGGAAAAACAGAAAGTGTATTTGTTGAATGTGTATCGCCCTATGTAGGGTCCAACTATGTAATAGAAAAAACATTAGTATATCGGCAGCGCTGAAAGTTTCGATAACTTTTCGAAAAAAAAGTTGGAAAATTTAAAGCTTGGATAAAGATTGGAAGTAGGGTTGCGGAATTGACCCGTCGATTTTTTTTTGTGTCAATTGTCCGAAATAATTTTAAAAATACCAAGAAATTTATATTTATTTATTTATTTATATTGTGCGCTACGTCGCCGTCGCGTCGTTCTGGCGACCAAACAGAGTCTATGTTAATATTATTATTATTATTATTGGAGATCACAAACTCGTACTCATAATAACTTATTATAAAATATAAGTGATTATTAAATAATTGTAGATAATACTCTATATATAATATATAATTGGAAGATTCTGAATTGAAAGTTTTATTATTTTTAACTACCACGTTTCCTTCCCTAGAAACCATCGTTAACTTTAATATTTTAAATAATTGCCCAGTATACCAATTTAGCGAAAAAAAAATGCGCCACGATAATAAAACTAGCCAAAAAGATTGAACTGAGGCGGCTTTTACTTGATGAAAATCCATTTATCAAAATAAATAAGAACTAAAAGTTTAGATTTTCACGAACAAAATATGCCCATTAGACCGGTGGTATCTTATGTAACAGCTCCAGCAGTTAAACTCTCTACAAAATTAGTAAATATTTTAAAGTTCCACACAGATTTTAAACCAAAATATGCAATAAATAATACTTTTGAATTAATCAACAAAATTGAAGATATCAGAATACCTTCTAACGCAACTCTATTGTCTTTTGATGTACAAAACTTATTTCCCAGTATTCCACCTATGGATGTGATAGATTTAGTCGATTTCACCCTAACTCGGAAACAGGTTAACCCATTGGTGAAACAAGATTTATTAGATTGCTTAATAGTATCTTTAGACCACAATTGTTTTGAATTTAATGGACAGATTTACATCTCTAAGGAAGGTTTGATTATGGGAAACCCACTTAGTCCTTTGTTAGCCGAGATTTTTATGGATAATTTGGAAAATATCATACTAGAACATCCTTTAAGTAAATGCCTTTGCTTGCTTTGTTGGAACGGACAGACAATTGAATTCTTTTTTAAATTACATTAACTCAATACATAATCGTATAAAATTCACTATCGAGATTGAACAGGATAACTCTATTAATGTTTTAGACTTAACTATTACGAAAGTGCAGAATAAATTAGATTTTTCAATATATCATAAACCTTCACATACGGACACAGTCATACATAACAGCTCAAATCACCCTTATACACACAAAATGGCTGCATTTAACTCTTTTATACACAGACTTCTTAATACGCCACTCTCAACAGAAAATTACAACAAAGAACAAAACAAAACAAATAGCACTGAACAACGGCTACAATCCGTCCATTATAGATAAAATTATAAATAAAAAACAAATACAGACAACATTAAACTCTATTTATCCGAAACCAAATACAGACAACGAACAATTTCAAACAATTACATACTTAGGAGAACCTAGCGAAAAAGTTTCAAAACATTTGTCAAAATGTGGTTTAAAAATAGCAATACATTTGAATGAGACATTCAAATGTATTGCTTAACGATCAATTAGATTTAAATACCTCTCCTTTACTGAACTTAAATTCTCGCAACAACATTAATTAAGATTTTATGGTCATTTTTCGGTATATATAGTAAAAGGTAGTTTGTAGATATTACATTTGATAAAGACACCGTGTTGTCGAAACAATTGTCATGTCATAATATATAATTTCATGAAAATTTGAACTTTTAGTTCTTATTTATTTTGATTTAGCCAAAAAGAATTGGTAAGTTAATCAGCGGCGTAACATAATTTTATTTTTACAAAGCATATAATAAAATCTAACGAGTTTTGGTTGACACTGTGCCAAATCTGATGGAAATAGCTTAGAGCAATTATTTGTTGTGTGAGTGTTTAAAAAAAATCAACTATCTAATATAACCAATGACGTACCATAATATTTTGTATATGTACAATACTGTAATACGGGTTGCGTTTGTTAAGGTGTTCCAGCAGCAGCTCACCGAGACCCGTACCAAACGTCAGGTGGAGATCAGCGAGATCGATGGCCGCCTCGCCGAGAAATACGAGGCGAAGCTCCAGGAGGCACTGCAAGATCTCCGTGATCAGTACGAGACCCAGATGGCGAACAATCGCGCCGAAATTGAGCTCCTCTACGAAAACAAAATCAAAGTAGGCGCGCTACATCTCCCCTTAGTCGTCTGGCTAACGAATTTTCTTCTATTATCTTAAGAATCTGCAGTCGGCCGCAAACAGGCACAACAACGCGGCCGCGGCCGCCATCGACGAGGCCCGCTCGGTTCGCACGAGGATCGACACTCTGACGTCACGGGTAACGCAGCTGGAGAACGAGAACGCGGGACTCGTCGCCAGAGCACGCGATCTCGAGAAGCTGCTCGAGGTAAGATCCGTCTTGATCAACATTAACTTAAATTCCAAAAATTTGCAAGACTTTTCCGAAGATTTTGCTTTTCTCTTCCGTTTACGTTCTCCGACTGTTTTTTTCATTGTAAAATATTTTTTTATTTATTTGATCGTAATTGTGGTAATCATTTTTATTTTTGTTCCTTCTTCTTCGTTTATCACATCGTCTGCATCACCTGTATTTCACCTAGTAACTCCGAGAACCAATTTTTTGATCTCTATCAGTTGATGAAATTATTGATTAAACAATAAAGATGGGGTTTTTGGGTAGGATCCAATGAAGTAATTTGTTTTCTTCTGACATTCACTAATGTTGATGTATAAACTGCAATTATGTTTTTTAACGGATCACCCTGTATGTACGTCTTATTACGCCTATTAGCTTTTCAAAAATATGACACATAGAGGCAAATCCAAATACGAATATCTTTCATTGTATTTTTTTTTATGAATTGCCATGGAAAATACAGTTTTTTTTCATAAATTACATCACTTATTTATTACAAAACCTGTCAAAATAAACTTGTGTGCCTACTGTATTAAACGCGGAATAGGAGACAGAAATTACAATAATATTTACGAAAGGTCACTACTGAATTACAAGTAAAGTATATTGGGAAAAGAGGCACCTTTTTTTCGAAGACAAGGTCATAAACATAAGTCGACCCATATCAATTCCGGGCAAAGTGCTTGAGGTAATTATAACAGAGGAGTTATTTCTTAAACTTCATAGATTAGTTCTAGGACACAGTTTGTTGAGTTAAATGGAGCTAAATCTAAATCTATCGATTGACCTATTTTGTTTTTTTTTGTTTATAGCGGACGCGGGTAAATGTTTTCGTTTTATGACTACTGCTTAGGAAATCGACTGTTTTTAATTATTGACAAAACTAACAAAAACAAAACAACAAAAGTAAAGCATATCAGGGATACTGGAGTAACTATAGATTGAGTTTTGAAATTCATTTTGAAATCATAGTGTAAAAGGCTTGCAGAAAGTTTTATTACAAGGGTTAGCAAAGAATATAAAGATCCCAAGTCGCTGCCAGTGTGATATGGAGTCCCCAATATCATAAGTATGTAAAAAGAATTGAAAGCATTCAAAAAAAGGTTTATTTTTGTCATGAACTTTAGATATAGCCACAATCTAATAGGAGTATCATTATGAAGCAAGCCTTGACTTCTATCATATGTTGAAATTGTCTATTGAGAGAATAATAAGAGATATGTTTTTGCACAATATTGTTAATAACGGACTGTCCAAAACTGTTGGTAAAATTATCCTTTAATGCTAGGGTAGTAATGACTGCTTTATCTATGGGTACTATAAATATACAAATTTAGGAAGCAAAGAAATTACAACAGTTACTTTTTGACTTAGTTTTAGTGAACCTTTGTAAATTGTGACGTTATTTCGTCATGCTAGGGTATGGTCTGTTCATAGATATAAGAAAGTGACCAATTTCTTTTGAGATGATTATTACCTAAGGTTTCGGAATTTAAATTCAGGTAAAATTGTGGTCCGTAATAGAAAATAATTTTATATCTACCTGTGTTTAATATTCTTTGGTTTGGTATACTACTTAGTTTAAGTTTATTAGTAATCATTCTTATTTGGTGTGTAATACAACGTGTGCTGAGTCGTGTGCGAATTATGCAAAATATGTGCGAGTCGAGTGTATCTCAGGAGATGCTCCCGCCCAAATGTAGAAAACACTAATCTATTGAGACTAAGGAAGTTATAAACAATGTTTATTTGACTCTCATTGATCGTGGTGCCAGCAAGCAAGCATCTTTAGAAGAAACGGTCACATTGACGAAAATTCCAACATCAACTGTGTGGAAAATTGTGAATAAACCCATTTCAGCGAGAAAAAAAAAAGAAGCGATGCTTACATGCCGAATCACTTTTTTGCATGCTGGTTCTAAATATGGTTAGATTCCAAATGGACTTTCTCTGTCAGCGAAAATTATTAAAGATTCTTCTCTGGATTACCATAAAGACACCACCGCTGATTTATTTGAAAGTTGGTTTAAAAACAAACTAGTTCCAAACAATCCTCCTAATAGCGTCATTGTAATGGACAATGCAAGTTATCACAGTAGACAGTTGACTAAAACCCATTCCTCATGTGACACAGAAGCAACAATATTATACCAAAAAGCAATTAATTGAGGTTCTACAAAGCTTGAACCTATAAAAGGAATACGTCTGTGATAATTATGCAAAAAATCTAGGGCGATACAGTTTTAAGGCTTCCACCTTACCACTGTATATTTAATCCCATTGAACATGTTTGGCACCAACTGAAATCTGCCATTCGTCGTAACAATGTTTTCCCCGTGTTAACTCCAATGTCCTTAAATTTATAGAAACCAAAGTTTTCAACATCCCTGCACAAAGTTGGGCAAATTCAGCAGAACAATCGTATATCTATCCATATTGCAAATAATATGGAACAAATAATAATTAGAACAGGCGGTGATAGCGATAGTGATACTGATATATTATGTGAATAATTATAAGTAATTTAAGTAGATAATAAAAATAATTTGTAATTTTGTTTTAGATTTTAACATAAATACATACATAAATAAATTTTGTTTAGCATCTTTCCTAACAAAACCCCAAATAATTAAATTCTAAGCAAAATACGGACCTGTTCGGCCATATTTCATTCTTACAGCTTGCCCTGGTCTTTCCTTAATTCGTATCAGTTAGTCACTTTCTTATATCTATGAAGAGACTTTACCTTGTTATTTATAGTAAATAAATAAATAAATATTTTTAAAAAATATTACCTCAAAATCATATCTTATCCAGTCCAGTTTTCATGGAAAATTTTCACGAAAGCCTAAACACTATACCTTTAGGAATTAGGTCAAAAGTAAAAAAAAAAAGAAAGTTAAATAAACAATTTCGATTCAGAACGAGCGCCTACGTCACGCGGAAGATCTCGCGGCGCTCGAGGCGGACCTGGCGCGCCTGCGTGACGAGATGTCGCACCAGCTCCAAGAGTACCAGGATCTCATGGACATCAAGGTGTCGCTCGATCTCGAGATCGCCGCCTACCGCAAGTTGCTCGAGTCGGAGGAGGCGCGGCTGAACATCACGCCCGGTGGTAAGCGACCTCCCTCCGGCGCGCACGCGTGCGCAACCCATAACTCGATCCATTTCAAGGTGAACGCGAGGTGTCGCACAGCAGCAGCACGCGCAGCTCGTCGCAGCGGCGCACTCCCGTCCGCTTGGGTGCGAAACGCAAGCGCACACTGCTCGACGAGAGCCAAGAGTCGAGCGTGGCCGATTATAGCGTGACCAGTTCGTCGAAGGGCGACATCGAGGTGTCGGAGGCCGATCCGGAGGGCAAATTCGTCAAACTGCACAACAAAAGCGGGCAGGAAATTTCACTCGGCGGGTGGCACATCATCAGGCAGGCTGGCGACAACGAGACCAAGTACAAGTTTATCAGGTCCACGAAGATCGAGGGCAAGGGCACCGTGACCGTGTGGAGTTCCGACTTGAACAGGGAACACGAACCGCCTCACAATCTCGTCATGAAGGGCCAGAAGTGGGTGGTCGGCGACAACATGACCACCACCGTGTTCAATTCGGACGGAGAGGAGGTCGCTGTGTCCGAGAGGTGAGTGGGCGGGGGAAGACGGACACCGGGTCTTACCAGCTCAAAATGTTATGTTACTTTTAAAAAATATTTAAAGGGAAATTGAGAGTGATGGTACAATGATTATTGATTTCTAGAACAAATTTTCTGCTTTCGGGTACCCAAACATGATTATGTAACTTGGTATAAATAAAATATTTTCCTGAGAGGTGCTACTTCACCTATATCAAAAAAAATGGCAGTTACAATAAAATTATAATGAAAAAGTTCTCAATTCTCAATTTTTGACGTAACAATTAAATATTTTAATAGAGGCGAAATCGGCAAAATTATGATAGAAATGTTAACCGTTAAACACCTAAAGTTTTAAATCTGGTAATGTCATTGGAATTTTAAAAAAAGGTCGCATTAAACAAAAACGTTTGTTCTCCTTGAAAGGCGTTTACGAAATATCAATAAATCATCCAATATTTTTTTAAGCTCTTTGAAGGGCAGGTGTTGGAAATGAAAACTAACAGCTTAAACTATGAACCATAAAACGTTTTGCTTTTTTGGTGTGGGTGGATATTTCATGAAATGAACATTGTAGTCAGTCCCATTTTTATAAAAGTAGATTCTATACAGATCCCAAGGGATTTAATTTTTTTACATTTAGTTAAAATTCAGAGTGCCTTTTTTATTAATTTATTTTAATATTTCGTGGGTGATGTAGGGTGAAGAGGCAGCTCTCCAGTTCGCATCTGAGGCACCGAGAGATGGCGGGCGGGTACCTAGGCCACGAGGAGTTGCATCATCAGCAGGGCGACCCCCAAGGCGACGAAAAATGTCGGCTGATGTGATGCGACCCCGGGAGGTAAAGGGTGGGGGCATAATTTCCGGTAGTTCGCCTCTCTGGCGAATTCGACCTTATCTTTTTTTTTTAAATTTGGGCGGGGGGGCTCGAGAAGGGTGCGTTTGGCGAGAAGCATTTATAAGCGTTCGCGCGGTGTGCGGAAGTACGGGGGGGGGGGATCTTTTTTCTACTTCCTACTGTGCGATAGTTGTAAGGAATTTAGGTTTAGTTCTTTGCAAACGCAAAAAAGGACGCAAAGTTTATTAACGCAACTTTTTTTTATATATATTTTTATTTTATATAGATGTGTATACGGTTTCGGGTCGGGTACGTTTGAACTACTCGCCCGGGGTTAAACGTCGGTTTATGCACGCAATTAAAAACAGGAATCAAAATCGAATGCGCGTTTTTGTTTTCGGAAAAAAATTTTTTTTTTCCGAAAACAAAAAAGTTTAGAGATTGTCATTTTAATTTTCGATTTTTATTTTTATTCTCGTTTTCATTTCCATTTGCGTGTATAAACAAACGTTTTAATGGGGGTTCAAAATCTGTGTATCGGGGTGCGGACGACCGCGTCACGAAAATCCGTTGTTCGAGTTTTCCAGTTTAGGTTGGTAAATTTAAGTTACTTTTTCCTCAGTGAACTACTTTTTCATTGTGTTCAATAAAGTCGGAAACCGAAAAATAGTTTAGATTATTGTTTTCATTGTGCCTTAATTGTGCGTTCTGCGTGTTTTATTTAGAATTAGCGAGAGTTCTGAAGGAACAATTAAAACGTAGCTCATAGTACATATAACCCTCTTTTTTCTCTAAAAATAGTATTTTACGATGTCTTTGAATAAAAAATTGATGATCGCCGCAATCTTAAGTCGTAAATAAAAATATATTTTCAACAGTGGGATGTGTGATTATTTCCACGGTGTTTCAGTCCGGTGACGTCGGCTAGTCAAGGGCACCCGCGATTCGCTAAAAACTTCAGGGAAATAAATTTCAGGAAAATCCTGGCGGAAAAACAGATAGGTCAGCCTGAGCGTTTCAATTTTATTCTGAATATTTTCAGAAATATGTTTTCTTATTGCGAGTTACGTTAAAACTGTTGTTTTGATTTTTTTTCACTTGGTTTCCTCTAAAAATCTCAAAAGTTGTAAATTCTAAAAATATATATAGAATATCCCTATGTATATTTTAGTTTTATATAGTTAGACTTTTCAAACAAAGTTGGTTTTCACTCTTCTTTTAGAAAAAGTCGTTACTTCAGCGCATTTCTGCTTATAAACTATATTAACATTATTCGATGAATCCCAAGAAAGGTTGAATTAAAAAATCGTGCATCTAGCTTGAAATATTTTATCAAAAAAATTGCGTTAGGATAAATGAATTTTTTTTCGCCAATTTTTTGTATTTATTCTTTCTTCCATTCAATATTATTTAGTATTTTCAGAAATCAAAACTTTAGAAATTTTAAATAATAACAAGAAATATATTTAAATTTTAGTACAGATTATTTTATTAAGAAAAGCAGCAGAAGTAGCGCAAAATAATCAAAAATTTTAGATTTATTTTTAAATGATTTGGACCTACTAGTTGAGCTAACAAATAGATGTTCAAAAAAATTATATCGTGAAGCAGCTAGAAAGTGTGTTGAGTTATATACATTTCGATCTCTAAAAAATAGTTGTTTGTACTACTTATAATTCAAATCCTTTGTAAATTATTAAAAAATTGAAGAGTTCAATAAGTTTTCTGAGATAATAATAATTGACAATTGTCATTAACTAGAATTACAAATACCTTAAACGCATGGATGTATAAAAAACGATTCAAATTTTTGCTTTGAGGGGTTATATATCTCTACTAATAAAAAATCCCAACTTCTTAAATTTAATTTAAATTAAATATACGAACCTTGCCATTGAGAATTCATTATCATAATCAAATTATATTTTTGTAACAAATACGAGTACAATATTAAAAATGGTAAAATGGATTATCGATATGACATTACAATATTATCCAGCCGCGGTAAATATGATGGAGAAATTTTTATTTTTGTCACATTGCAGAAACCGACTTTGCGCCGGTATGCGCGCGAAATACAAATTTTTAGTTAAAAGAATGGTCGCTACAGTTAGTGGGCTGTGATTTCGACGTCAACGCAGTGTTATTCGGTAACAGGTGATTGCGTGGGCTCTTAGCGTTTTGTTGTTGTTATTGCACAAAAATTTGCGCAAAGTAAAGTTAGTTTAACTGACGCTGGATGAACCGCTTGCATTTTTCGCTGTTCGCCGTCTATCGAGGAGGTAAGTTAGTTGGAGAACTGATAGGATGCAATTTGTTTTTGTTTTGTTTATTTAAATTCTCCAATGGTGGATTCACACAAGCATCATCCATTAACACTAATTTAGCAATAATTTAACATTAATATTAAGAAAATGACATTTAGTGCCCAATGATTTCTTTATGGTAAATAATTTAATTTTCGGTTTCTTTTAAATAAAATAGAAAATAATAAAAAAATTCTCTTTCAGTTGTTCACGATAGATTTTGGGGTTGTTCAAAAAGTTGAATTCGAAACGTAACAAAGCTGGCTTTCGTGACCCGCATGGCTATATCTCATTTCGCATTATGAAAAGATAAAACTTTTTAGTGGAGTTGCACTAAAGAACCATTTAACTTTTTTTCTCTGCTACCTGCTGTATATTTTGAATTAGTATTAGTGTTCAAGATTCTTGTGTATCCACCATATACATATGTTCAATATGTATTTGCGAACTGCACTGGGTTTGTGTAGCACATAACTGCAAAAGAGCTTCTTGAAATCCTTGAAACAATACATTTTATCAATTTTAGCCTATATAATTTTTTATGTTACTGCAAAAAACAAAGTCTTTGTATTCTATACCTTTGGTATATAAAATTAAAATTTTCCAAGTGGAGTAGTAAACTCATGAGAAAAGAAACTTTGTTCCTCTTCACACTAATTTAATGTAAAATCCTATTATATAAAGTGTACAGCTAAGGCCTTAAACAATGTCTGGAGTATTGCGAGGCTAATATATTCTGACTTCAACTTAAAAAGAATTGGTTCATATAAGCAAAGGGAAAAGTCTCAATGTTTATTCTTCATAGGGAATGTCCGAGTTTTACTGGAACTGTAACTTAATCTTCAAAAAGTAAGCCAATTAATCCAAAGTAACTTTATTTTCTTTTTTTATACAAAAATCACTGTGTTCTATGTACATATATCACTTAATTACAATATGTTCACATAATTTACAAGACACTCATTGTTAAATTAACGTCTAACTTAAGGAATAGAGAAGAAACACTCTGAAAGAAATAAAACAACTCACATCACATATTAGAAACCCGCTGATCCACAACACAATCTTAATAATTCTGAATGCAAAAAATTCAGTCACAAAATAATATATATATTATGTACTTATAAAATACAAAATGGCAAATTCAAACAGAATGATTTCGACCAAATCAAAAAGGTTTCTCAACGCCATTTTTTAATACCTTTGGTATGATATTGGATGACTGCGGGTGCGGGGAGCGCGACAACGGGCGACTTGATTTCGGTTAAAAAAAAAAATCAAAAACAAATGCAGAAACTTTTTTGATTGGTCAAACGATAGATATTAAACGAAAGAAGTGTATTATTTGGTTTATACAAGGTAGACAATTTTGTGGTTCGCTTAGCCTAGGGTATGTACAAGTCCTGAAATCAAAGAAAAATAAATTGTGACGTCATCCAAAAAAAAAAACTTCGCTTGTTTTGGGACAATATGAAACTATATGGGCATTAGATAAGATAGGGGCCGTAGATAACATAAAACCTCATTTTATGCAGAATAATTTTACATATGAAACTTCACTTCGGACGATTTTTTTTTTCTAAACAGAGATCTCCACGCACTGAACTCGAATTTTTCTTAAAAATTTAATGGGATCTGAGCATATTTTGACAAAATACTGACGCTGAATACTGTTAACTCGTAACTTTTCATTGCTTGGAACCGAGTTTTGACATGCGCGTGCACATATCAATATTGTTTCTCAATAGTTTCCATGCTGATTTAAGCAGTGAATGTATTAAATGCAAACTCTCTATATATCTAGTAGATTATATATTTAAAAACGAAAGACCAAAGAATGGCAACTTACTTGTATTAATCAGTGTAAACGATATACTCTGGGTCCGTGACTTCAATTTGTACAAAAGGCGGCTGCATCATTTGGACGTTGTTGGACGGCCTGCTCTGCACATTATTTCTAGATCTAAACAATTTTGGTATTAATATACGGTGGCTGGTTTGAATATGAAGCTTTCAAAAAGTATTCAATTTTTGGATTTCTGGAGGCCTGCTCAAGGTTACATTTTGAAAACCACAACCACCAGTGCTAAAAGAATTAAGGTGCTTTTTAATGGATCTTTTTTTAGCAGCTGTCCTATGCTACCTTCCTCTATATGAAGTTATAGGCACTTCCTTCATTGCTTACTGGCCACATAATATTTTGACAATTTTGTTAACAATTGTGGTAATTAAATATAAATTCCAATAATTATAACAGAAAACCTAACACCATTTTTTAGGCGTTTTGTTCACTTTAATTTTATTTGGAAATTTATTTTCCACCTTGTTAAGGGATCTAACCCAAAATCGTTCAATATTGATCTTCCAAATTCGTCCAACTTACTTTGCTTTGGCGTGAGTTAAGATGTGACTCTTGAGATTCGTTGACTGGGCAAATTTCTTGTTGCACCCGTCAAATGGACATACGTAGGGCCTGTCGCCCGTGTGTATCCTGACGTGAGTTCTCAAGTTAAAGTCAAGGCTAAACCTCTTCCCACAGCCTTCGAAGGTACACTGGAAAGGCTTCTCGCCCGTGTGGACTAGCTGGTGTCGTTTCAATTTGCTTGATTCGACAAAGGCTTTGCCGCACTCCGCGCACACGTGAACCCTTGGTCCGTGAGTGTGCAAGTGTTTCCTCATTGCCGAATTGTCCCGGAACATTTTATTGCAACCTTTATGCGGACACGCTGTAAAAAAACGAGTGATAATGTGTTAGTTTAATTTTTAACGGTATATATTTACCGATGGTCCGTTCCGACATATCTTGGTTTGGTCTTCTCACCCTTGGGCTTTTTAATCCTGGCCTGGCGAATTCGGCTAGCTGCTTCGGATCCGACAGATCCAAACCGGGTATACCGTCCGCAGGTATCTTTTTACCAGTCATGTACTCCGTATAATCCGGGTCTGGCTCAGGGTTTGAGCCTTCGTCTAAAATTGGGGAGCAGAAAGTTACTGGATAGAAACGGTTCATAGTCGATAACGCTTCTTTAAACCTGTGTAGGCGAATATGTTTATAACCTCAACCGTTTATCAGTTTAAACAACAGATAATTTGAATTATAAAAATCAGAATAGCCAACAATGGAAAAACAAACTTGTTTTTCTGTCTGTGTCAAGCTGTAAAGCAGTTCGGGCGCGAAAATTTGAAAATTATCGAACCGCAGCGCCGCCTGGAAAGAATTGTACATACTAAATTCAAATCTAAAAATAAACTATTTTTTTAAGGCAATTTTCGGTTATATTATGACGGAACGCCTTTGGCAGACGAAAAGAAACGTACGCGACGTTATAAACGTGTCCCTATTGCCTCAATATCTCATTTCTCACGAATTAGAAATGAAAAATTCGCATTCCTAATTTGAATTTGATGCGCTAATATGGCCGACCGTGTGTCAAACCTCCATTGCAAAACGATCGGCCATTTAAAACATGGCAGATTCTTTAGTGATGGCCGCTGAAAACCAAAACAATGTCACAGTGTTCGCCAATTTTTACCGAAATTTGATTGTTTTTAAACTATCCGGTAGTCGGCAAGTTAATTTAAGCAGTGTTTATTGTGACCCGATTGACCTTGGCGGACAAAATCAATCAAACAACGCAGGTAAAGGAAAGCTGGACAAAATTTTGCCGGTGTCTTTGCGCTAACATCAGAATTACCTACCGTCGCTGGCTCCCGAGGCCCACATAGTTACGGAAAATTCTCCTTCCATCGTTTTGATCTGCACTTGTTTTTGTTCCCATTTTCTGGGTTTGGTTTCTACGTGCATGTCGCTTAGCAAGAGTTCGTTTTCGCGACGTGCCAGAATCCGATTTTTCGCGTGCTTCCTTTTCCTCGAGGGCCCCGCCGACGCTTCGACGTATAAATCGGACGAGTCCGGCACCGGGACGTCGTACAGATTTAAAGGGTCCCCCGAGTCGTCTATAATTTCCTCCTGGGTTTCCAAAATTAATTCTCTACCCTCTAAAGATTGCATAGACATCATAGGTTCCCCGCACTCTACGATTGTTTCCACCGTATCACTCATGTCCACCGGTATCGTCTCTATTTCCACGCATTCTTGGATGTCCGGTTGAATTTCCACCTCGCACATAATGTTTTGATGGTCCGCCATAATTTTTTTTGTTTATAAAAGATGGTCGAACAAATATGGCCACTCGAAAATCACAATGGCGGCCGTTCACTAACTAATGGTCGCGGCGCGGACCAACGAAAGTAACGACAGATGTTTTTCGAGTTTCGACGTCGAGAGGACTGACGTACATGATCGATCGTCTTTGTCGTTTACGGAATGCGCGAAGCACGTATGTCGGCACTCGATCACCTGGAATTGTTTAGCTTGAAAGTATAGCACTAAGCGGGTGATTTAAATTTCGCGTTAAATTTAATGATCTTATTTTAAAATTTGTTATTAAATATAAAAATAAAACCAACCCCAAGTTGTCGAAACAATTGTCATGTCATAATATATAATTTCGTGAAAATCTGAACTTTTAGTTCTTATTTATTTTGATAAATGCATTTTTATCAAGTAAAACCTCAGTTCAATTACTGTAAAGCTTGTGAATTGCGATTATTTTGTATGTGATTTTAATTTGATTTAATTACAAATTTGAATTATACAAATTTCAAAAATAATGATAAAAAAAGCTTTTAAGTGACACTTATTTTTTAACATCATGTTAAAACAATTAATAAATCTTAGTATTTGAAAGGTATAATGCAAACAAAATGAAAATATAAATTAGCGAGTAAATTTTACAGTCGAATATTCGCTTCTCCATGGCAAACTTGGTTTTGAAAAGGAAACAGTATACCGACGTCAACCAATTTTGAAATTTCTGTTATTAAAATTGAGCCATAAATAAACATCGTACAGGAGTAATGCTTAAGCGAGGCGCTCGTTATATTTTGAACGCCCTGTATTCGATAGTATAGTTTGGTTTTCTGTAGTTCTGAATAACAATTCGTTGACACTTTATTTTTAAAGAAATCCTCTAATAGCTCTTCTCGATATTTGACATAAAAAAATTGTCACAGTTAGCCATGACTTCTGGTTTATGTAATAAGAAATATAAAGTTTTAGTGCGTTTTTGAGAAATCTATTCAACAAAAAAAATATATCAAAGTCAAACCATAATCAAAAATTTTACAATGATGTACAGCCTTATGCAGGGCGCAAAAGATATTTCATATATATTTTAAAAACCCTAATAGTACTTCTCTCTCTTTTGTTAAATAGTCTCACTTGGCCATGACTTTAATTTTAAGCAATAAGCAAAACAAGGTTTTAATACATTGTTTAGAGAGCTATCAAAAAAAAAAAACAATCGAACCATAAAGAAAGATTTTACAAGGGCGTACACTTCTTAAGTGGCATCAAAATTGAAATTTTAATCACCCTTTAGTACTGTTCGGATAAAGTTAAATTCAATTGTTTTTTGTGGTTGTGATCTAAATATTTGTGGCAGACCTAGATTTGGAATTGTCAAAATTTCAAAAATATGATGAGGTTTGAATGTTTTTGTTACTCATTTAATTTTGTTTTTAATTTTCTTTACGCTAGCGGAACCCTTATGTTTTTTTGTGGTTGTAATGTAAATATTTGTGACGTACCGAGATTTTGAATTGTCAAAATTTTGAAGAAAGAGATTCCGATATTTTTGTGACACAAGTTTATTTTTAATTTTCAGTTTTTCTTTCTCGCTGGTCACTTACAGTTTCAGATTTTTCCCTTATTTTTACTTACTTATTTTGTTTTTTTTTTTGTTATTCTTTATATTTGTTTTATTATTGTGTACTTCAAAATAAATCATCAAAACTCAACCGAAATAAAACTTCCGTTAATACTGTATGACATTATATTTAGCTGTTTTTTATTTTTTTTCCGATATACTGAAATGAAGAGTAGTATTTTAGTTTCCGCGTGTTACCAACGAGCGCCTCCGCCCCCCGCGACGGCGCACGCGCAAAACGAACGGAAATAACGCTATACCAATAACATTTTCTACGCCTTTATGGATCAATGGTCGTTCGGATGGCGAATTTAAAAATAAACAAAAAATGGCGGAGGAGCGGGAGGAGAACTGACTTTACTTTTGCGTTTGTAGTCCTGCCAAAACGACCGGTATACTCGTTTAATTCGAAAATTGATCCATAATAACACGCGTCCCTCTCTCATCTCTCGCTTTGGCTCTCTCTCGTTCAACACTCTTGCTGCTTGGAAGTCTGACTGTTTCGGAAACCGGGCGGGCTCGATATTTGCGCGTTCAAATCGTTGCCGTACCAGAGCGTAGGATGCGCGAACGAATTGAAATTCGACGGTTGCAGCTGCGCGTATGCCGAAAACGCCGACGTTGAGTCGTACGACCTTTGCTGCTGCTGCTGCTGTGGACCCGACTGATCTCTGAGCGGTGGCGCCATCTGGTAATTGCGACTGGACGCAGACAGGATCGCCGGGTCTAATACTTTCCAATCGTTGCACGTGTTGTTGGCCAAACCTAAAACGCGCGAGACGGCGGTCCCGTTACTTGACAGAAGAAATATGACGATATTTGACAAAACCTTTTAAGGAACTACCAGCTCTAGAAGAGCAAAACTTTCATTCGTCATTTAACAAAATGTTATTGCAAGTTCACGCCATACCGCACGAAATATATGTTACCAAAATATAAGGTTTTCGAAATTACTTTTGTACTATAATCTGTTTTTTTTTTAAGTTTAAGTTTTACAAAAATAACTTCAATAACTTTTATAACACCTAATTAAATAAATATACATTTTTTAAATCTCATAACCAAAAATTTATTGTAATCTAATAAAAACTTTAAGTGGCATCCTGACTCCTCGCGTTTTTCTAGACATTACGGCTTTTGGCGTTATTTAACTAAATGTTTTATTGGGGTTCAACAACAAAGTAGATACTCTGAATATGGATAATAACAATTTAAAAAAAAAATAAAAATGAAGAAAAACACATGTTTACAATAAATTTTCCAGGCACATATTCTTTTCTTGAAAATATTGCAAATTCAGGACAATGTTTACGGGGTTAAGGATTTTCACATTACTTGCTATGGTTGGAAGCGTGTTGTATATTTCCTTTGATGTAACCCATAAAAAGAGAAAGTGTTAAGTGTGGCGATCTGAGGGGTCAATTTTGAAACCCATGTTTTGGAAAACAATACACCTATTTACAAAACTAGAATTTAAAAATTGTGATGATAATCTAGTATTGTTGTTCTACATTACAAAAAAAAAACATATTGCGAAATGATACAAAACTGTCAGCCTTAAACAAATCCCATAAACAAGGAGACCCAATAAAGCTGTTATTTAAAAAATGAGAATAATTTCGAGTATTCCACAAAACCAATAATAACACTAGCAAATGCTATAAGAATACTCTTGGTGTCGTTGCTAATGTAATCGTCATCTTTCGTGAATAGGACAGCATAAAACCATTGGAAAGTACATTCCCTGGCAACTTTGAAAATATTGTTTTCATTTTAAATTAATGGAGTTAAAGTCACTTAAAGTTGTTTTTCGATTAGGATAAATTTTTGGGCACTCTGTATAAAATGAGAAATTTTTAAAATTGGGATATAAGATATCTATTGTTCCTGCAAAATTTACCAAAACCAACCAAAAAATAAAGACTCTATTAAAACACAAACTCAGAATCCAAAAAAAAGAGTGTTTCATTTATTTTTTCAAAGAAATTTCCACAAGGCCTACTGTGGTATATCAAAATTCTGTTTTAAAATGGAACTCCCTGTATATTACAGCATTTTTGGATTTTTTAAAAATAAATTCGTATATAACGTTTATGATATCTAATTAAATATTATTTTAAAAATAATATTTTAAATCTCAATTATATATAATTAACACAGGGTACAACTGACGCAGAAGAAATCGAGAATATTAATAAATAATATGGTTTCTTTCATACTTTTGGGACAACCCATATAGTAAGAAAGTATGAAAGTAATTTTAAAAAGGTACCGTAATGTGACTTCACTTACCCCAAAAGTAAAACTTTTTCAAAATCTTATATTTTACTCGCAATATATTCCGTGTTTTTGACTCTTTAAAAAAAGGCTTTAATTGCCAATTATGCCTTAACTACCGTCAAAATTGTTGCCCCACCAAACATTACCGTTGGCGCATCATCTAAGCTACAAACTCACTTTTTTGTTGCTGCAGTGGCGTGCCGCTAAAACTGGTAGGCCAACTAGTCGAGTTGCCTATTTGTTGTTGACTACTTGACATATTCAGATAGGGTAATATTTTGCTACCTAAAAAGAACGACGAAGAAGGGGGGGGGGGTTAAAAGTGGTCGCTAACACACACGTTCTACTGACCGAACGAGTTCATGTGGGAGGAGGACTGTTGCTGGTGGACGAAACCGGGCGGCGGCGGCGGCATGTGGCTTCCGTTTTGATTGTATACTATCCCGTTTATTTGATTGCTGTGACCTGAAATTGAAGAATATCGAGTACTATCAAAAATAATTATATATTTATAATAATTTCTTTGGTCTCCACCATACCTTAATTGAACAAAGCCTGAGGAACAAAACCACAATAATCAACGCTGGTTCATGGATCACATTTAAATAGTTCACTTCCTAATAAACTTTGCGAATAAAAGTTCATTTCGTAATGACATGGAGCTTTTTTTAAAGTCCCTTACCTGAACTATTATGCGATTTGTGGTTCTGCTCGCTGGCCATCATTTCGGCTAATGCTTTCTGCGTCTCCTGGAACGGGTCGAAGTCCAGCTCCGCTTCGGAGTTTCGCGAGTTAAGCTGGTGGTGGTGGTGATGGTGTTGTTGAGGCGCAGGCGCGGTTTGATGCGTTTTCTTCGCGAACAGACTGTGTATGCCGCCCAGTCCTCCGTTCAGCATTGACGACTCCCTGTTGAGGTAAGCGCCCAGCCCGTTTTGGTATGCCCCCTGAGAAGACAGTTATAGAAAATAGAGGGCAGTGAATTTGCGGAAAGAGCAGATTCGCAAATCTTTTGGAGTACTCAAAACGTTAACGCGCAATTTTACCGTGTGAGAATCGCCGTAGTTCTGCTTCAGACCGAGATTCATCAGTTGCTCTTCAATGTGCTTCTGCTGGAGTAGGAGTCCCTGGTGGTAGGAGCCAATGCCGTTGAAACCGTTTTGGAATGGCGGCTGCTCCTATGTAACCGGTAAATTATAAGTTGTGAACTAACTTATTCATTAATTATTAGTTATTAAGTTAGTCGTCAAATTGCATTGCCATTCTGCGCAGGAGACGAAAGAACCCTATATTGTTGACTCAAAACCTACACCAGAGCACCAGATAATAACAAAGACAAGATAGACAAAATGTTCGTTTGGCTTTAGAACATAGGCTAAAACAGATTCCATCTACACTTTTACATTTTCTTTCACAACAGTTTTAGCGGATGGATAATATTTAGGATCTAATCATTTACTGAGGTATAACTATCCACATTACATATTACAAGGCCCTTTACAGTAATGTAATGTCGGTCAGGAGTGTTACATTAAACTAGTTCCCATCTACATAAAGGGGAATCCTTATTTCTATTATTGAATGTACGATTTTTCAAGAAGAGCATACGCGATTTTTGTTTCACAGGATAACATTAATTAAACACTAATTTTAATAATACACTGGTCAAAAAGTTTTACCTTTGGCAAGTGTTACTTTGCAGCAACTTTTTAAATTTTAAATGCATTAATAGTATATTATGCAACAAGTGCGGTAAACGGCATTGGACTCACGAGTTTATTTGACACGAGCGGAACGAGTTTTTAATAAACGAGTGAGTTAAAAAGTTTACCGAACGTGTTGCCTACTATACTTTTTCTACGACCGTTAATTTTTGGGTACATTTTCGCAAAACAACACGAATACATTCACTGGCATGACCGTCAGAATTGACAAACGTCAAAATTAAAAGCGTGGGAAATATCTCCGAAAACATCCGAATGCTCCCAAATCCGTGCGGTAAAATCCCGGAAATGTCCGAAGCGGCTCGGATTCATGGGAAACGAAACTGACGAGGTAAAGTGACGCTTCCCGCACGCTAGATCGGTGTGTAATTAGGTATTTTACAGACGGGAGTAGAAAAAAGCATTTTTAGATTCTATGACCAAAAGAAGTATATGTTTCAATAATGTTTACCTTTTTTTAAATAATTTAAATTTATTAAATTAAATTTTAGTTTAAATAATTTAAAGTTTGTCAAATTGTCATATAATTTTAATTTCTCAAATACATAAGAAATATTTAAAGTACATAAGCGAAATTTACAGCAAAGAGTAACTACAAAGACTTTCCATCTCACACAGGATGGCTAAAAGTTTATCCTGATCTAATAACAAATTCAAGTGGCTATAACTTGATTATTTCAAATGCAACACCATCAGCGAATATATATTCCATTTACAATCGTTACGGGGTGTCATATAACTAACTCTTCAGATATTCGCAGGATACTTCGAATTATGGTTTTTGGTGTTACTTAAATAAATGTTTTATTGTTCTTAGCAAAGCTGTATTTTAAAGAAACTTCCACGGGCTACTGTAATATTTATGGATTTCTTCTGCGTCGGTTGTTGATAAAAGTCCACCTTGCTGACCTAACTAACCAACTTGCTTAGTTCCTGGTTAGAGTTGGAATGATTTCTTTTAGGAAAACTAGAGAAGCCAATAAACTAATTTGATAGAATTATCCAAGGATTAAAACTCAGATGAAAATAATAATAAAAGATAATATCAATATGCCGTTCTTATTAAATTATGGGTCATTATATAACTTTTATTTAGAAAACGTGAAATGGCGCCAAAAATCATGATTTGGCGTATTCTGCAAAAACGCAAAACAAAGTTCTTAAACGTTGTTATTACATTAGGATGAACTTTTTACCACCCTGCATAAGATAAGAAGTTTCTTATAATTGAGATATAAAATATGGTCAAATTATTTTATAAATCTTAAGATTTCGATATTCAAAATGAAGTAACATAAAAAAATAAATTTCGTTTCGAACAACGCCAAATTATACGTGATTTAGATTAGAACCAGTAATTTTTATAGGGATATCAAATTTAATACTAAAATTAAACAGGAATTCTGTTAATTGTAGGTAGTAAATTCATAGGGTAGGTAGGTGAAATGCAGAACATAGAGTTTTTCACTACGACTTTGGGTATCATACACGCAAAAAGTATAACCGAACGAGGTAAAATTGATTTAATATTTTATAGCAGCTGACAAAGATGGCATTACACCATTACACCATTCTCTTCAGAGAATGGTGTATTCGTTTTAAGGAAGGGACAACACAATCATGAACACTTGGAGGACCAAATACAAGACAGGAATTTTAAGAGTTGCAAGCATCAAAAAGTAAAATTTGTTTTTTATTGAATGGAACTTAATTCTATTCTAACCTTGTTCGCGTTAGTCTTGTGAAAGTCGCTCATAAACTTCAGCATGCTGTGGTCGAGGCCGTTCGAGGCGGTGTGCGTCGCGTGGTGCGGCTGCGCGGGTTCCGTCGCCCTCGCGCTGAACCCGTTCAATTTGCCTACGCCGAGACCGTCGCCGGCGCTAGTTTTGTTCGCTAACGCGTCCATCAGGTTCTCCTGCATCTTCGATATCTCGTAGAAGCCGCCGTAACTGTCGATGCCTGCTCGAAAGAGGCGTTTTCCTTTGAAGCGCAAGCCGTATGGGTAGGGAGCCACGTACCCTTGCCGAACTCGCTGTCCTGTCCGCCCAACGGGCCGAAACCGCCAAACGCTGACAATTTGCTAACGTCCCGTTGTTGTAACTTATGCTGCTGCTGCTGGGAGTGGTCGTGGTCCCTGTTTTGGTGGCCCACGAAACCGAACGCCGCCGCCCAGTCTTCCGTAGTGCGGATGGCGGGCAAACTGTCTGTGAGCATCTGCGGATAGCCCAAAAACACAATAATACGGTAGTGTTCAAATTTAGAACAGCTGTCGACTCTCGATAGGAAAGTTAACCAAATAAACTCTTCCCAACGAGGTAGTTTTTGTGAAAAGGCGTGACGCAGATTCATCGATGCTAAACACATTAAACAAGTCACGTCACATTCTACCGCTGAACTGCTTTATCTATATTGGTTGCGGATTTCTAGGTCGGGAATGTGGTTGTTTTTTTATCATATGTTATATTTTCCATGAAATTTTGAAAATTAGTCTCATTTCAGCCAAAACACCTTTCAGGTAGGACTTTTGCCATTTTTGGTTAATAATATGTTCAGTATTTGATGTTTCCAGGAATTTATGAAAAGAGGCGACTGAATTTTTGTGTTTATGCTATGGTGCTTATTTATCTATCAAGAGGGGTATTGGAGATGATGCTTTTGATTATGAATTGTGATATTTATTATAATCTACCTAACCGTATATACTATTTACCAAACTTCTGAATTTCTACTGCGTCGGTTATTGTTGAGTCGAACTTGCTAACCTTTTGCCAATCATCCTGTTGCCTTCTTCAGGTCTCAACCGAAACCGACTCACATTCTACAGTGTACGCGCTTATATATTGTTTCAGATGGGCGGAGCTAAAGGAGGGGCACGAACATTGTCCCGGATTTTTTTGGTAGAAGAATTGATTACCGAATAAAATTTCCGGCTTCGTGATTGTGTTCGGAAACTGCTGATGAGTTTGTCACAGTTTTAAGGCTCTTTCATGTTTTTTGAGCCTAGTTGATATTTTTCGTCCGGTCTCTCCAATGCATTCTTTGCCACATATGCATGAAATACTGTAAACTCCTTTTTCTTATAACGGTCAAATTTTTGGACAAACGTCGGGAACAGCAATGGGTTCTTCATTATCACCAGTCATCGCCAATATACACCCTAACATACCGTTTACCATTGAATTAGAAATTAATAATAACCTCCCATTCTTAGATATTCTTGGGTCATTGCGTTTACAGAATTAAAACACCATATCTATATTCTTCTCTCTAATTATTTTTGTATTAAGCGTTCCATCACAAAGTGCACTTCACCAGAACCTTCCAATAGCAATGAGTCCGAAAGTAATCCCACACTTATCACCATTATCCTTTCATTTACAATACAACACGATCCTAACCGCGACTCAGGTCTTTACCTGTCACCAAGATGGGAATCAAGTCATCTGAGACGATGTTTAATGCCCTTCAATTAGCTCCGCCCCCTCAAACTATATATAGGCAGGTGCAGAGTAAAATCGGAGCCAGTTTCAAGAAGCCAACATGGTGGTTGGCCCCTCCTTTAGCTCCGCCCATCACAGACCATCCGCCCAGCACATACAGAGTAGAATTTGAGCCAGTTTTGGTTGAGCCCTGAAGAAGCGAACAGGATGATTGGCAAAATGTTAGCAAGGTCGACTCAACAACAACCGATGCAAGAGGAATCCAGAACTTTCGTAAAGAGTTTTACAGTAGCCTGCAGAAGTTTCTTTGAAAAACTAACCCCATATAAATAAATAAATAAATAAATAAATCTAACCTGTGTACCGCCTTTACTGCCTCGTTCGCTATGCCTCTCCTCCTCCGCCCCGCGTTCCGCCTTATCACTAATAGCGTCGCTCGTGGCCATCAAAGACGCGTGAAGTTTGTGGAACGCGTCGCTGCTGGAAAAGAACGACGTGTTGTCGTCAGAGGGCGCCGACAGTGTCGCTATCGCCTCGACCGCCGCCGCGGCCCCTACTGCTGACACCGTGAAGGGAGGGCTCTGGTGACGAGGTGGCGACGACGACGGCGTCGCTTCCGAGGACGGACCCGACGACGTGTCTGGCTCGGCGACGTCTTTTACTGCAACAATAACGAAGTATAAGCGAATCGTTTCTCCGTAGATTCCACCAAAAACTTCATTTTCTCTCTCAAAAAAAAAAGCTACCTTCTATTTTTACGCTTTGGTTACCGGGGGGCCCAGTTTGAGGTTTGTTCTCCCCGTTTTTGCCCGCGTTCGCGTCCCTCTTCTCTTTCCGGCCCTCTTTCGTTTTCCCCTTTCTGCCCTTTTCCTTTTCCTGGTGCGGACACGACGGGTCTTTATTCGACGAGCCGTTGCCGCCGTTACTCTGAGACATAAGTAGAATAACGTTTCTGAAACTATGATCTGACAATGAGCTACAATTTGTTTATACCCGCCATTGCTCTGCCCGCGATAGACTAAATATTTATCTTTTTCTTTTTTTTTTGTATTTAACATCAAGTTGGGTTAACGAATATATTACGGATTAAATTCCAAGAAGTTCTACTTACACTTATTTTTTTTGTTGCGCCTAGGTATCTAAAAACCGGTATCACCATCATCATCCGTCTTATTTTTAGAGGCAAATTATTATATAATGCAGGTCCCAACTATTTAAAATTATTTGTAAAAAATGAATTTAAAGTGACTTTATTTAGATCGATATAGCAATAGACTATATAGCGAGCGAATGCGAATTTTTTCCCTACAAAGATCTGTTGGACGTAAATTATGTTTTTTTGTAAATATGTTTAGAGAATCTAATTGGAAAAACAAATTATATCGACAGTCTTGCGGCGCGCTTAAAGCCTATATACCGAGATTCAGGATACTGCAAACATAACATTTTGTGGCATGCGTGTGGTCGATTGCATGACTCTGCAGAATGATTTGGAGATTATTGATTCTTGATGTTTCTAATAACCTACCCCGAAATACAGATAAATGTTTCGCAATGAAATTTTCAAACCACAACTGATACTCTTAACTTTTGATTACCATCTGAATAACGTATTATAATTTTAAAGACCTGGGTGTAACATTTGATACAAAACTCTAATTCGGAAATCACGCTTGTTGAAATTGAAAACGTATAGAGAAATTTCTTCGTGTAAATGGTTTCCGGCCAGGGAACTGTCACAGAGTGCTTTTTTACTAATGTTTAAGGTTTCAGTTTTTATATAAACTTTGCAATTCGTTAGTGGATTGCCCTGAGTTGCTGAGCCAGATGAACTTTCATGTTCCTTCAAGGGCGTCACCTGTATTTCACCTAGTAACTCCGAGAACTATTTTTTTTTATCAAGGGTCCTCTCTATCACTTGATGAAATTATTGAATGCCATCTGTAATGATATTGACGTTTTTTGTCTTAGTCGCTCACAATCTACCACATGAAATACTATAATGGATTGTATGATTCACTATTACTTTGCTGGAGGGAATATAGTTCAATTCTTATTATAGTTATAGTTTATAGTTCTTAAGATGAAATTGTCTTCTAAATGAATGTTATTCTGTTACGCAATAAAGATTATTATTATTATAAGGCGATTTTGGCGCGAATATAATGGATTGTATGATTCACTATTACTTTGCTGAAGCGAATATAGTTCAATTCTTATAATTCTTATAGTTTATAGTTCTTAAGATGAAATTGTCTTCTAATTGAATGTTAATCTGTTATGCAATAAAGATATTATTATTATTATTATTATTATAAGGGGATTTCGGCGCGAATATAATGGACTGTATGATTCATTATTACTTTGCTGGAGTGAATATAGTTCAATTCTTATTATAGTTATAGTTTATAGTTTTTAAGATGAAATTGTCTTCTAAATGAATGTTAATCTGTTACGCAATAAAGATTATTATTATTATAAGGCGATTTCGGTGCGAATATGATGGATTGTATGATTCACTATTACTTTGCTGAAGCGAATATAGTTCAATTCTTATTATAGTTATAGTTTATAGTTCTTAAGATGAAATTGTCTTCTAATTGAATGTTAATCTGTTATGCAATAAAGATTATTATTATTATAAGGGGATTTCGGCGCGAATATAATGGACTGTATGATTCATTATTACTTTGCTGGAGTGAATATAGTTCAATTCTTATTATAGTTATAGTTTATAGTTCTTAAGATGAAATTGTCTTCTAATTGAATGTTAATCTGTTATGCAATAAAGATTATTATTATTATTATTATTATTATAAGGCGATTTCGGCGCGAATATAATGGACTGTATGATTCATTATTACTTTGCTGGAGTGAATATAGTTCAATTCTTATTATAGTTATAGTTTATAGTTTTTAAGATGAAATTGTCTTCTAAATGAATGTTAATCTGTTACGCAATAAATATTATTATTATTATAAGGCGATTTCGGCGCGAATATAATGGATTGTATGATTCATTATTACTTTGCTGGAGTGAATATAGTTCAATTCTTATTATAGTTATAGTTTATAGTTCTTAAGATGAAATTGAACGAATGATGAATGATGAATTAAATGAATGAATGTTAATCTGTTACGCAATAAAGATTATTATTATTATTATTATTATTATTATAAGGCGATTTCGGCGCGAATTTACTTACCCTTACTTGGTTTACTAAATAATCCTAAATAATCTGACGTCATTGACAGTCGCTAATAGAAAGCGCATGAAAATAAAAAGTTACGCAAAGTTGATAAACATAACCATATTACTCTTTTCGCGTTGTGCAGTAAGCCACTATGTATGTATTGTTCTTAATATTCGCATTAACCTCCACCTCATCGTATCATTCTCCGAACAACGTTCCATTCGCAGTTCTTACCGTCGCCGCCCCATCCTTCTGTCCCTTGTGCGTTGCAGCTCCGTTCACTTGGTGGCCGTTCTTCGTTTCCGCGGGGGCGGCGGTCGCGTTCCCACCTCCCGTCGTAGCTGCTGCCCCACCGCTGCCCGCGTGTTTCGACCGCAGCTGCAGCTCGTCATGCAGTTTCTTCTCGTACTCCTGGTGCTTGCCGGAGTGCATCTGCTCTTTAGTAAAACTCGCCTCGGGGTCTCCTTAAATGAACACAACCGAGCGGACTATTAAGGGGCACAGCACCACATACCATGTATGGGGGGGAGGGGACTGACGAGTTATACAGGGTGTCCCGTAATTGAACGTCGACAATTTAACAACACGTTCTACGCCCTAACGTGGAGATACAAATTGCGATAAACTAGAGAGCAATACCTTTTCGCATTTAAAATACGAGATGTTACTGACGACGGTTCACTGTAAATATTTTCAGAACCTGTAAAGATGATTAACTAAAATGGGACGCAGTGACTAAACCTTTTATAATCCATTGAAACTACTGAAACTCAATATCCGACCTTTAATTTTATATGTTACGGCGTAGAATGTGGTTAAAATATTGTCATCTAATTTAAGGACGCCCTGTATATACATAATAAGATTCGAACTTTACCGTTGACACTACTGGACCACCTCATTGAATGTATCATAATGTATTTATTTGAATTTGTAATCAATCAATCAATCACTTTGATTAAAGACATTTAATTAATCCTTTATTACTCTCCCTTATAATATGGGATAACTTCAGTACAGTGTCCGCTTGCTTTTGTACTGTGTTAGCATTGACCCACACACAAAAAAAAATTAAATGCTATTTTAGAAAAGTTTTGTGCTGTTAAGTGTTCACTTTTTATCTCGAAATAGAGGTCCTACAAAAAATTCCAAGAAATCCCAAGACATATTTATAGTCCTGGCGATACTCATTTTTTTCGTCAAAAATATCTTATTTAACGTTTAGCTTGAAATCGCCTCTCAAACTTCGAGTATAAATAAATCAGATTTCAAATTGCTAAAATGAACATTTACGTTGGAATTTGGCAGACATTGTGCAAGATTAAAACTAAGCTGGAAGTAGAATAATTAGGGATCTATGTTAAAACTACTTAAATTTTACTGGACCACTGTTGGAAAATGCGTCAAATTCGCGGTCAAACCAAGAATTAGCGTTTTATGGTAGCCCAAAAGGCAACGGTATAATTTGAACTATTATAGGTGGTGTTGCTCTCAACTCACCATATTCGTGCAGGTACATGCAGTCGGGCTTCGGGCACGGCTGATTTTTCATGAAATGAGAACAATACTTTGTCGTACCTAAACTGGACTTAATCACCCTATTGTCTATCGTTACGTTGTTGACAGCCTGTATAGCTCGCAAGGCATCGTCACTCTTCATATAAGTTACATAGGCACCTGAAGTATCCGTCCAATAGAACAGTTTTGTCTAGATGCACTGACAATGGTTCTCAAAGGTAACAAACCACAATTTAAATACCCTTTTTAATTGTGGGTTATTAAACCTACTCCACTCCCAAAGATTAATACAGCGGGATAAACATTACACAGAAGTGATTAATATTTTTTGGTGGAATATTATGGGCTCAAACTAATTCCACCACTTACATTTTAGTTTGATTTCTAAAGAATTAAATATATTTCTATGCAACAATTTACGTAGGTTCACCAATTCATTACTTGCAGAATTCTTTCTGTGTGATATTTATTATGAATATCTATCAACATGCAAAAGTAGAGCAATGAAAGAAATACCCAGGAAAATGTACAAAAATCAACAATTTAATTTGACAACATTGATGTGGGATTCAACTCTCTAGTGGTGAGTGGACTATTGTAGGCTATAAGTTACTAAACAAATCAATAAATCAACTCAACTGCTTTACTTTTACCGCATGGTGTATTTTCAAATTTTTTTATCCCCACATCAAACGACAAAACAAAAACCCACTTACTTGCACTGGGACCCTGCGAACCCGCGTATGAAGTTGACTGATTTATCACTACCTTATGGATTTTCCCAAATTTGCCGAAATATTCGTGCCGTTTTAAAATTTCCGCCTCAGCAAGCCTGGGCGGCAAACCAACAACAAATACCTGTAACAATAACATCGAAATGTACCACATGTATCACTACCTTCCCGGACACCTACCAGATTCCTCTGGACCACCCTGACGCTTGCCAAATGCTTACGGCTCTCAGTCAACTTCGCTTTGCGCTGCTGATCTCGCTGCCTTTTTTCCGCTTTTAGCTTCGCCACCTCCTCCTGAGACAAAGGAATAAAATCGGCCGGATTTTCGGAATAGGCCTTGCGACACGCGGGACACAGACCGCCGTTCTCGTCCAGCCTGATACGGTGCCAGCAGAAGCGACAGATCTAAAAATGACATTAAAAATTAACCCATTTTATTTTATTTAAATGGTTATCGTTTCATTGGACAAAACCTGATATCCACATGTGCAGGGGAAGAAATTTAGATCATCCACTTCAAGCGGTTCCATACAGAGAGGACATTCCACTTGTTCTTCACCACTTTGATTCAAAACAGACATCTCTGATGCGGTTCCGCTTCTCTTCAAATAACTCTTGCCTAAAAAACGGAGGTCATTATAATCGAATCGCTTTAAAAATTAGTATAATAGGTCGACAGATAATTATGCATCACCTAATTTCCTAGAACCTTTGTTACTAGGACCGGAAGCTAACGTAAACTTGCGTGATAACAAACGCAACGTTATCCTACGAGAACCAAAAATATTTGTGTAAAAAACGAGATACCTATTTTTTGAGCAACAATATTAACAGAAAATTCGATAAATTGTCAAAGGAATTCCAACATCTGTCAAACTTCTAAGTTCATAAAAATTTATCAATTCGGGTAAAAATTTTGGTAACGCAATCCCGCAAATTTGCCCGAATCCCCGAGGACGATGCCAATTTTTTTTTTTTTAATGACCCGTCTTTGTTGGCGTAAAATCAACCAAGAACTTTCGTACGAAATTTATGCAACAACTTTACGACTTTGTCCAGATTGAAAAAACTGAATTGTATATCCTAACTGAGTGTGTTTACTGCTTTTACTTACGCGTGTTTATTACGGCTTCGAGCAAATTGACAAAAACCCACAAAAATCCGAAAGGACGATTGTAATATTCTTATATTTACTTACTTTGAATTTTCGATTTAGACAGTTACCAATATGGCGACGTTGATATAAAATCTTTGCGCAGTGTGAGACGCAGTGCGCTTGTTCTAACTTCATTCAGATTCCATTTATCAGCTGATTCATTTCAACGACGTACGTCATCTATACTCGCCAGTCTCTAACCACGCGAAAATCGTCCCGTCTCCTTGGGACGTACGTCGCGAACAGTAATCCGGTGAGAAACGTGCCGAGTACCTTTCCGAATCGATCTAACCCAAAGCCACGTTTACACAATCGAAATCTGCAAAGTTTATTTACCATTTTTAAAAATAGACATTACTTTCTAATTCGACTCAAAATGACCATGTATGAGGCGTTTCGACATTAATTATGCAGTTTTGCAATTTTCCCTTCCAGTGTTTACGTGCGCGGGGCGCGGGTTACTCAACGATCGTGTTATATTTATTTTAAATGATCCCGCCTGCTGTTGAATTGGTGAACGTAAATTGCAAAAAGGTCAAAGCATAAAAAATCAGCAAGGATGTTGTTTTGATAGTTTTTATTGCGTATCACTCGTAAAAAGAAAACACAAAAGGAAAACGACGGGTGTTTTTTACGATTTCGATGTTGACGTTTTCAAGTCGATCTCGTCGTCGCTCATATCTGTAACAAAACCCAACGTAAATAGGGAAATAAGCCAAATCAGTAACGTACACAGCGCATAATTTTAAGCACTAAACAATAATTATTACATGTTTTGAGTCATAACAACCAATGTACGTCAGCACAGACTTTAAAAATACCCAACTCACAGGACCGGACCCGCTCGCCGCCGTTTTGCCAGGACCGTAACACCAATATATAGTTCTTGGCGGAAATTGTTTAACCCCAAAATAAGTATCGTACAAAAAAATGTGTTCTAAAATTTTCGAGTGACCAGAATTAAGTCACTGTAAATATTTAACTCATGTAATATGTTTTTGTTAAAAAAAAAATTCTACTCCCATCTGTAAAACACCCAATACGAAACAGTTTGTTTTTATTTCTTTAATGCATTTGTTTATGTTTAGAAATAACGTACGTCATAAATAATTCAAGGTGTGTGAAGGTGTGTCAAGGCAATGAACGCGCGGGAATGATCGTGACGTCATACCGCAGTTTTTCGATCGATAAGGCGACATGTTATAGTGTTATGCTCAGGTCACAGGCCGAGAATTATATTATTTACGTTTATTTTTGACTTGTGTGAAGTTTGTTTGTATTTAATCGACGTCAGTTTGTATTTGTGCTTAGTGTGCTTTACATAATAATGGAAGCAACACAAAAATATTACAAATCGTGCCATCATGTTTCAGTACAACCCGTAAAACGTCAGATAAACTTTTTATCGTCTACCAGAAAATTAAAGAAGACGTTTTTTGTTAACATTATCTTCGGGTGTCACTTTAGCCTTAACCGTGCAAAACATTTTTAATTCTTAGAACTTGCACCTATCCTATTGCAATCTCTATATAAAACAAAGAACAATTTAAATTATCAATGCCAATATACTTTAAAATCAGTATTTAGGTTTCCACTAGTTTAAAAAAATCCTTTTTGTTTTTTTTATTGAATAATTTAAATTTTATTGGATATACCATTTGAATTTTAGAAACTAGAAAATTTTAAACTGATTATATTATATTTGTTTAAAACTAGTGGCTAAATTTTCTATGAACATACCTATTAGCTTTGACACCGTGGACCTCAGCAAAAGAAAAACTTTCCTCGTGTTTTGTATGTAAGATGTCGCCATAAACGTATCCACTAAAGCTAAATTATCAGATTGAATTTTAAAAAAATCGGTTCGGTGATTTTCAAAACTTTCTTTTTGATACTTAACACAAGATAACAAAAGCAAGCGACAGGATCAAGACTAATATTAAAATTAAATTATCCAATACGAACGCATTGTCGTTCTCTAATGGCTTCTTGACGTCATAACCGGTCCCAGCCAATGACGCGTTTCAAAGAGGATTTAAATTTTACAATTCTTGATTCCTTGGTTCCTGTAATAGTTTACTTAGTTAACTTATTTATATTTTTCAAATCAAAATTTTGTTCAAGTTCCCTATTATACCTATATCGGCCTAGCGTGCGAAAAGTGTCAGTTTACCACGTTAGTTTCATTTGCAATAACTAACGGTCGTAGAAAAAGTTTAGTATGCAACACGTTCGGTAAAATTTTTAAGTCACTCGTTTATTAAACACTCGCTCCGCTCGTGCCAAATAAACTGATCACTCAAATGCCGTTTACCAGACTACATAATATACTATTACCATACTTGTTGCATAACTTTTTGATTGTTGTTGTTGTTACCAAAGCACTTATTGAGATTGTTATTGTTTATCTTCAACCTAATATTTAAATGTGACGTCATAAGTTAGGTACCGAAATAAGTCTATTTATCGCTTCTGTCGATATTTATTCTGTGGTTCGGCCAGTCGCATGTCAAAGTAATCGAGTTTTAAACACTACCGGATGACGTCGATGACCCGAAATCGTAACCAAATATGCGAGGGGTGTTTTCGTCAGTTTCCCGATAACGGGCGTAGTTGCCGCTCATGCTCGAATGGCACGCCATCATGTGAAAATCTCTGCAATTACGTAATGTAGCCTGTTTGCTGACACTCCGTGGAATTAACAATAATTACTGATAAACAGCGTCCCGCGTTCCACTGACTCGTTCGTCGTCTCGCTTGCTCGCATTCTCTGCCTCAACTAAAACGATATAACATTGTTTTTGCACCTCTTATGAAATTGCACCCTTATGTCACTTTATTGGTTATTAACGGCTTATAACATAATTTTTCTGCACGTCCTTTATTTGTTGAAGTTACGTTAAAAAGTTGCCTGGGATTGTTTCAATATTTAAAAGATAAAATTGTTTTTGGTAATGGATAATGTGTTTGATGAAGTTTTAAGATGCAAAAAAGCACTTGGCTTGGATCAATCTCCCGATAGGGCTTCAGGAGTACCTCTTTTTAATTTAGAAATAATATTATATTTCACAAATTAGGATTAAAAAGGTAGGTAGTAGTTATCACCAAAAGTCACTTTCCAATATTTTGAGTAGGAAAATGTAAAAGAAACCTATAATGTCTGCAACAAAATTTACCTTACAAATCACTGACTCCAATATGTAATGATCATAGAAACGACTTCCTTGGAACGATAAAATAAGATGTTGTCGATGCATTAGATGTATTTTAGAAGAAAAACAAGAAATACACCAGTCAAATAAAAATCTTTGAAAGTTGACAGTACAAGTACAATGAAATAAAAGCAAATCTTTATTTTTTATTCCTTTTTTCGAAACTTATCCTGTTACTATTGCCGTTGCAAACAAGAGAAAACGTTATTTGTCATCAAATAAGGGATAAAGTAAAACAACGCCGAAACAAGAGGTGCCAAAAGTCGCTTTTAAAAAATACATCGCAATGTGTTGCGCATTTGACGGGCGGCAACGCCCATCTCGCTCTAATCTGTCTTACTGCGTTCGTTAATGTGCGAGCGCGAGTCGCTTGTAGTCGTGTCGTTTTCTTTAGCCGCGTTGTCACTCGTTTTCCTGAAATGTTAGAAATCACACGTCAAGGATTATGTTACCGTAACGGAAACACCTTGTCCCGCTACTGGGTTCCAAGTCGTTACGACGACCCACGGAGTCGTAGTTGGCCTGTAGAAAATCGCGCTGCAGAGGGAGTTAAGTTCCGTTGGTAATCCCGCCAGTGTACGTATGTAACAGACAGGGTCGTGAAATACGGAAGGGTCAGTTGGCGCACCCGTAATATATTTGTATCCTTCGGACTGTTTAGCTATTTCTGGGACCATTTTTTGAATTTTTGGTGTTGTTAGTGTATAAAGTGTTGTGTTATGCTAGAAAGTATTAAAGTATTGAAAATCTTATTGTATACGACACAAAACTGGCATGACCACTAAAATAACATTTTTATTAGGTTCTGTTTAGTTGTAAAAATATTATCTTCAGTACATTTGAAGCCAGTAGTACGGTTATAATCGTTTTAGCTGAAATTGCATGTAAATGCCTGACAAAACGGCGTGTTTATTTTTGTGCAGTCTAACCTTTATATTATGACTAGTTTCGTCGGTATTATCACCCTCATTTTATTTGGTCCATTGTTCTCGCGAATTTATTTTGCGATGGTGGCGCTAGTGACAGCAAACAAACATGGCAATACGGAAGTATTGTATAATGTTTACGTTGAAACTGAACTGAAACTTTGGTCGGTCATTCTACCTGTACAAGCGTAAACATTATTCGTAGCTCTGTTAACATTTTTTGTAGTATGTGCGGAAAATGACGTACGAACAATATCTTTCGATGAAATTTTGTAGAAGGTAATGTAACATGTTATTTTAATTGCGTCTACTGCAAAGATAACTCAAAAGACGTTTTTGTATTGTGCGTTCAAACTAGCAAAATTAAAAGCAATCCCTATGAAATTAATGGCCAGTCAACTAGTGTGGAAGGCAAGTATCCATAAATCGCGTTCAACAGTTCAACACAGCATTTTGTGTTGTGTATGGATTTGAAATTAATAAGTAAACTTTGGTTTGAAGAAAATCGCTAAATGCTAGTCGTGTTGTCATATATTCAATCGTTAATTTGCTGATATTTTTTAATTCTCTTTTAACGATTTAAACGTTTTAGTTTTCGACAAATTATTTCTCTTCAGGTTTTCTGTATTTAATTCTTATTCGCCGCCAAAACCGTATTTTTAATATACAAAATACCCAATAAAAATGGTCATTTTGGAGTAGGGAGGAGACTTAATTTCTATAATATATGTTAACACGACCTACTACAGAGTCAGGGAATGTTTACTGTGTAGTAAGCAAAAAGCAATGGAAACAATATCTTAGGAAAGACCACACAAAACGTAAATCATGGATAACGAACGAAATTCTGGAGCTTATGGAACAAAAGAAAAGAAAGAAGGATGAACATATAGAATATATCAAAAAATATCGATATCAAAATAACCAATATGCGGACTCATCAATTTTACACATTTAATGAAATTTCCGGTAATAGGAAAAAAATCGGGAAGCGTTTGGCAACGCGTCATCTGGCGAACACAATTCAGGATTTTCCATCTATTACATACGTAAACTGAGCAGTATTACCGATTACAGCTGTCGTTTCCCCGTCGAGTCGTTAAAATCGCGTAAAGCCATATCGAGTAGTGTTACGCGAATCGCTATACCTGTTTTAACGGGGGACCCGAACTAAAACCAAACCGAATTGACATACGTCATCGCGTGAATATCGCGGCCAACCTCGACGCTGTCGTCGACTTGTCTAGCGTTCTGTTGGGGCACTGCACCGTACGCTCGGTTTGATCCCACGGGGCCGCGCACCTTTTATTCTTTACTCTCTCGTCGTCGGTAGTCGTCGCATCCTCGGAGTCGCGTCGCGCGAACGTTATCTTCCTGAAACCGCCTCTCTTTTTGTCCAACGTAGAGTGTTCCGACATTTCGGCTATCGACGGGAGCACCTTCATTGAGTGCCGGGTTTCGATTATTGCGGGGCCGTCGTCTGGGGGACACACGCAGGGAGAACTTTGGGACGTTCGTTTGTCCCGTTTCGGCGGCCGCGACGACGATTTGTACTTGCCTAGAACGACGATCGTTTTTGACAGCCCGCGATGATCCGGTTGATAAAAGTGAGGTTATGCGTGACGATTATTTAGTTCCATTAAGTGCACGAATTTTTGTTTTGTATAGTTTTGTTTGTTGCAGTGTCCATATTCTAAGTTTGCAGCGTGAAATGCCCAAAGGATTTTTAACGGAATACTGAGCGAACGAGGAAGCTGTCACAACGCCAAATAAAAATACCTTTAAAGAATAACACTTTTTGTTTTATATTGTCGATGATAATAATAGTAACAGAATACCTCCCGAACTCCATGAGACCGAGGGCAGCGCATAGTACAAAATTTAAAAGCCCGAAAATCCAGACCTGACGGCACGTGGGCGGAAACATTCAAAAAAACACTAGGCTTTATTGTAAACCCTCTAACTCATATTCTAAATTATTGTATTAATAAAGGGATATTGCAAAAAAAAAATACAAAAGGCGACAATTGTATAAATTATTAAAAAAATAAAATAAATATTAAAAAATAGACACTGACACTGTCAGAAAAAATCTATAAATCATTAGATACAAATCCTAAATCACTCTGTATTTATTTAGATATTATTAAGAAAGCATTCGATAAGTGAATATGAAGTTCCACAGGGAACTGTATTGGGTCTTTGTTTTGTACATTAATGGTATGTTTCGTGTAAACTTAAAGGGGAATATTTCGAGTTTTGCAGATGAATCCTCGATTTTCTATACTCAGGCATCATGGGCTGTGGTTCATAAACAAAAGTGTACAATTACCTTCCCTATAAAGAGCTAACTTTAAACTTCCTGCCAAATTTCACAAAACTTCGAATCGAGACTACACTGAATGAGTTTATCGATTAGTTTCCCCCAATTATATTAAATACCTCGATATCTACATGGACATGCACCTGACTTGGGAATATAACACTGATAAACTTATTAAAAAATTGAGATCCCTTCTCCCAATATTCAAAAATGCCAGCGAATTTCGTGATATAAAACACCTAAAAATGCTGTAGTGCATTAGTTGAACCACATCCCACATATGGTCTCTTGGGGTGGGCTGATTTGACTAATAACTACTGCCGGAAAATTTAAATTACCCAAAAGTGGATTCTTAAAGTGATCCTACAGAAGAACTCTATCAAATGGCAAAGATCTTAGATGGTAGTCAATTATTTTTTGTCCAAATTACGAATTATTATTACAAACGCAACGACAGCTTACCTCTATTCGAGCACGATAGTTCGACACGATCTCAATGGCAAAAACTGCGAGTAACAAGGCGAGAAAAGATGCCTTTCTTACCTATTAACAAAAATTATTGCCATGGTACCTGATGCGATTCAAAATTATAGACTCCTACAATGAATTTAAAACGAAAATAAAAGAATGGGTTATCCCAGCAGCCGAGACTTTATATCCACCAACAAATAGATTTCAAAAATTCTATTATTACAACTCATTAAGTTTTTAGTTAAGATCCATATAGTTTGTGTTGATTTTTGCAAAAATTTTATGTATTTATTTTTTGATTTAAGTATGTTGTTCAGGTCACAAAGAAATATTCATCTGCTAATATTTGGTGAGCTTTTTCCTTGCTTGTTTATGTGTCTCCACTTATTTCATGCTTTTTTTTTTTTTTCATTTCTGCAATGTACAAATTTTTGCGATCAGAAGTGTTACCTTTTTTCTTCGTTTTGCCGTTGTCAAACTCGCTTGAGGACGTATAGCCAACGGTCGACTTCTCGCTTACGGAGGCGCAACATTTGCAAGTCGCTTCGGTCGATTTGCTAAATACATGTTAGAAATTCCATTAGGATCCATACAGGGTGCTAAAGATTTTGCAACCCAAAATTTTGTCAAAAATATATTAATTTTTTACGATAATGTGCTTCATTTTATCTAGATAACGTTTTAATTGGCTGTAACTTATTTGTTTTTATGTAGATGTATTTAAAACAATGATATATTTTAGTCCACTTGTTTTTGTCAAATCGGCAAAAATTGGAAATTTTTATATAACTTCAAAGAGTGCCCTGATTGAAATAAAAAAATGTTTATGTTTGACTTCTAAGTATTATGATTATTGTTCAGGTCATTATTGTTAAAATGGTTTTTCGGGAATTTAGCATCTGTGAAAGAAGTGATATGCTTCAAGTATACTTTAGAATAATAAAAGTGAAACTGCAGCTCGTCGTCAGTATATCAGACTTCAAAACAGATATTCGGAAAAGACATTTGCAGAAAACGGTAACGTATTAAATGCTAAAAAGGTATGCTGGAATCATAATGTTTTAAATGAAGTAAATAAATATTAGGATTGTATGAAGCACATCCCGTTTGCCCTATAACTAGAGTATACGAAGAGACAGATATTTCTCGGGGATAAGTCCACTCAGTTGAAAGAATATAAATATAACGCATTTAAATTTCGTACAACTCGAAAACTAAGTGCAGAACAGTGTCAAAGGAGGATGCAGTTTTTTTTCGATTCTTTTAATAGACATAATGAGAACAATAATTTTTTGAAAATCATTTTATGGAGGGTTGTAATAGACAAAATTATATTATATTATATTATATTATATTAGTTTTTCAAAAATCCTACGTAATAAAAACCCAGGTGTACCAATCAAATAATGTATGGTATGGTGTCATAGATGAGCATACTTTGGGTCCGAGATTTATAGATCAGAAGTTAACTGGTGATCATTATTTGCAACTCTTAGAGCACCTAAAGAAGATTTACCCCTAAATATATCGGCGCTGATTATATGGCAGCAAAAGTGTGCCCCTCCTCACAGTGTTGTACGAGTTAGCAATTTTCTTAACATGGAATATCCCCCGAGGAGGTTGGATAGGGAACGGCGGAACTATGGATTGGCCGGCCAACAGCCCCGACTTAACTTTAACAGATTTTTTTCTATTGGAGGCCCATAAAAAATCACGTGTACAGAACTGCTTGAAATAATGTAGTGGAACTTCGGCAAATCAGTTAAGACACAATTAGAGTATGAGAATTTTTTATTTTAGTTTGTCTTGTCATTTTTAGTGTTTTTGTTCTACTTGAATTTGTAAATAATTATTGTTGTTTCAGTCAGTCAAGGCACTCTTTGAGGTTATATAAAAATTTCCTATTTTTGCCGATTTGTCAAAAACGAGTGGACTAAAATATAAAGTGTGTTACACCATTGTAATCGGAATAAACACATGTACAATATACAGGGTTTTACGTTAAAAAATATATGATGTAGGCTTATATATCAGCAAATCGATAGTGTTTTGTTTTATATGTCATTTGGAAAAAAACTTGGCTACTAACCCTATATTTTGTCTTTTCGTTTACCTTGATATCTCTAAAAACAAAGCCAATTAAAATGTTAAATTGAACGCATGGTACACGTGAAACCTAAATACCTAAATCCCAGTTACCTTTTCGCTGAAGTCTTGCTCCATATGGACGACCACCTGGACGATGACAATGTACTCGCGCTGTCAGACCGTTTTGCCTTTTCTTCTTTATCTGGTTTTTTTCTACCTATAAACGTTACCCTATAAACTCAAACTTCGACAGTTTTTATTAAGCCTGACGTACCGTTACCCTTCATCCGAAGACAAACAAAGCACGATCCAATAATAAACCAAGCCATGATAACAATAAGAATGGCGGCCAGGACCATCGTAGTCCTCTTGCTACTCTCACCTACGGTCGGTACAGCGCCCACCTCCTCCTCACCCTTGTCGACGTCGCAAGATTTTATTTCCCCCACTTTCGCGCCTACCACACATTACATTATTTACGCTAGAGATTTCAATCCATTCGAATGGCTACCCATCGCTTTCAAAGTCGCCTCTACACGAAGCAGACCGCCAAACGCGGAATAAAACTTATCGTCCCTTAATTTCGGCAGAGCTTCCGTATCTATCCAAGCGTACAAATTGTTCTGAAACTTTTCCACCATACTCGGTTTGGCATTCTTTTCCGCCAAGCACTTGGACGCGACGAGGTAATACTTCATAAGCAAGTAAGCGGATCGTTTCGACTCAATGTTTCTCAAAGCGAACCTGTTTGAGCACGTAAATAAGGGGTACGCCAACGAGTACCGAACAGGTACTTATTTTTGACTTTTCGCATTTACATACGTTATTACGTAAAGGTTAAAAAATATTGCTTGTAAAAATTTTTCCATTAAGAATTTTTGACAGTTTTTGTTGTCCAGACCAGCCAGCCACCCACATAAAACAAAGACATCCATGTTTCGCGACGAATTCGATATATTTATGCTTCGTTTTTTTCTTATTTTTTTTTTGTTTTAAAATTCGGAGACTTGCGAGTCTCGTCTCCAGTTGGTAAGGATCAAAAAGTCTCTGTTTTGTCAACATATTTCACAAGTTGTCGACGCAGTATAGACGTGTGTGCTGACAAAAGTAAGAGACCAGTAAATCGGTGCAAAATTACAAAAATTTAATTCTGATTTGTTGCACTACTACTAGTGTCCTTGCGAAAAACGGGAACACGGAAAACACTTATGGGACCCTAAAAATAAAAGTTACAAAAATCGTTACAAGTTGATGCATTGAAAGATGTATTTAGCAACCAGCAACCCAGTGAATGATGTTGAAAAGAAAATGTGAAATAAAAACAGCCAGTCTACGAGAGAAAGGCCGATAAACAATGAAGAAATCGGAGACAGGTCAACATTTCACTTCGAAATGGTTTGGATATGAACTGCAAGCCAAAAATAAGCCTTAAATGAGCCTGCAAGCTGAATTTTCAAGAGGCAAATTTTTTTACGTTTGACGTTTTTTGATACGTTTCAAAGGTTGCCAAAACTGACGATTAGCAATAAATCTTCGTTTTTAGAATTTTCTTCTGATTCATGCAACAGAATTTTGTTGAAATATTTGTCTTTGTGCTTTGGATAGTTTATTTGGATAAACTTTGTCACAATTTCGTGGTGTCTTTGTCCCAACACGCGTTTACTCTTTGTCTGTTTGTGCTGAACAAATCTTATAAGTTAAAAGAGAAAATAAAAAATAAGTGCTTGTTCGGTTGCAGCTGTGAAGGTACAATATTTAGCAAGCACTTTACGAGACCTCTTAAATGGAACAACTATGGCCGTAGGTCGGTATTTTGCGTCGAAGAATGGTAGAGGGAAATAGATCCCTTTTTCTCCCGACACCGAGCGTTTGGCCGACGATTTCAGGGGCTCATACTCATAATATAGTAGCTTGGAGCAGTAGCTATCGTTGCCCAGCTTTTTAGGGAGTTCTACGTCGAACTGTATTACCGGGACATCGACTGGTTTTTCTACCAAAGAAAAATTATACAATTTATACTGCCAAACGTAAATGTTTCATAAATACTGGGAGTCACAGCTTTGCTCCAACCTTGTCCATTGGTCTTCAGAAACCACTTCACTTCCTCATAGAACTGTATAAGCTTTTCTATAAATACGTAATCTATAATACCAGCGTAGAACCCGCGCTTCGCTAACGGCAGAACTGCGTGATGCATGTACCCGCCTGTATATGTGAATAAAATATTCAGATTCTAGTAGCTGTCGCTCCCCCGTAATATATCCTTTCCCGTTTTTGACAATTGACAAATCTAAGTAAGTAAATTTGAAACTTACCTAGCAAATCAGTCACCGCGAGTAGCATGATGTGCTTTTTCCGTCCGGTACTCAAACTTCTTACTGTTTCTATAACAGTTTTAAAATATTCAATTAAATCCTCCACATCATTATTGCATTTTAGCGACAGGGTCCTCGGATCGGGTACTACATCCTCCAACACCATTCTTGAAAAAAGAGTTGATACAATGCAACACAAGAAATAAGTTTGCTTTCACCTTGCTGTTAAAATGGCTAACTCATCTTGAGACCAACATTGCTTGTCAATATCAGTTGGATTAAACAAGACAGTTCCGGTTCCTGCTGTGCGAATTTTAGCAACTTTGCTAACCTTAGGCTGCTGATGACAATCTGGAGCTTTTGTACAAAATACATTAAGGAACTGTATAAAAATTAATGGTAAAACTGACATTACAGTTCAGGAGTGACAGAGGAGTCCTTGTCACTGTCACAGAGGCGGAAATAAAGAAAAACAAATGTAATAGATCTTATATATTACTAATATTCTACTAATGGACTACAGGGTTTAAAGGTTCGGCCTTAATACTAGCTAAATTCAGTCTGTTATCGATTTCTTCGTCGATCAGTCCTATGATTGCCCTGCAAAATTTGAAGTAATCTCGCAATATTCATTCAAAAGATAACTTACACGTTGTCCCCACGAATTATGTGGAGTCCCAGCATTACCTGCTCTATACCAGAAGTGGTTGAATAAACTCTTTCGTGAGATTCATCCAAAATGATATTAATAGTCTGATCAAAACCTTTTAATGTTCCCTATAAATAATAGCAGTTCCTAATGCGTCTAAGTATCATCATTGTGTCACTTACGATAAAATTCCTTCCGTCGGATGTTATAATGGAGACAGTATCTAAAAAAGATTAAGGGACAATTTCTGAATTTCTAGAAGTTTGGTAATGTATTATTTAAAATTTAAAGGATACGATTAACGAAACTGTCCAGACCAGATGCCATTATTTACTTTTTAAAGGTCTCTATTACAAAAAAATATTAACTAAAAACTAAACCAGTCGAACGAGGTTAGAGTTAGATAGTTTTCTTTTTTATGCCCTTTTAATATACCAAAAATAGTGAGCCACATAGCAAAAAACATTGCTTCTGAGTTCGAAGAAGATAGGAAGACGATTTCTGTTCCAACCTGTAATATAATTGGCGGGAAATGAAAATTAATTTCAGAAAACACAAAACACACTGTTAGAAAACCAGATGGATTTATTACAGGATCCCGAAATCAAAAAAACTTATGAAAAATGTAAATATAAAGTTAAATTGTGGGAACACGAATTTACGAAAACATTTAAAAGGGTGCCTTCGAAGGTATTTTTTGCATGGATTAAATTTTACACCTACACTCACGTAAATTTTAGTTGGACATCAGGGAAGCGCCAGTAGAAGTCCGCCACGCTTACAGAAAATACTTCCAGTTAAAAACTAGCGCCCTGGAGCAAAGTTTTATGGATATAGATGGTTTCGACGAGGAAGTCGGTCAAATCCAAAACTTTCAAGGAAACGAAGTCGAAACTGTTAGTGTCGGACCATTAACAGAGCTACCGCGCGCTAGCAACGAGGTAAGTCCTGAACCGTTATCAAACAATGATACAAAATCGAAGTCGCCAGAAGTGTGGGGCCCCCACCTAAACAGAACTCCTTCCGGTAGAGAGAATGAGAAAGAACACGTGGTTACCAACAAAGTGACGCAGACCATTAAATCAAAGTTGTTTTGCGGGGCCAAGTTTAACAAACGCAATCCGCGGAAATCCCTGTCGTTTTCGCAGAAAAATAAGAGCGAGGATAATGTCGACGTCGCGCCGTTTTTTTCGCAACCTGACAATTTGCCGTCTGCCGAATCGGACATCGGCTCGTTCTGTGATTCCTCCCAATACAGGGTTTTGCAAAATAAATCCCAAATGTCGAATTCCCGACCTGTAAATATTGCTGGTTTCATAGATACAAAAATAAATAACCCCACGAGAACGGTCGACACGGGATGGCTGCAGAGAGTCGTTCAGAACTCTAGAATAAGTATGGACAATCCGGAACTTAAAGCGGTTCCTTCAAAAGTCGATTACGACAGCGACGATATTGTAGAGGATTCGGACGATGACGAGGTCTCACGGAAACAGCCCATCCTGCATGTAGCTAAAAAAATTAAACTCTCTTGCGATACAGTGGCCAGCTTAACATTAACAAATGATCCGCCGGCCGTGGCTGGAGAGGAGAAAGAGGAAAGTCGTATAGAAAAAGTTGCAAACGATATAAGCGAAAGAAAGGAAAAATTCGACTTGACATCGAAAAAACAGCACCCGAGGGGTGAGAAGAAACCGAGATCCCGAAAGAAAACGAAGAATTCGGAAGTGAATACAAGTTCAACTCCGCGCAAATCGAGCAGGCAAAACAAGGTCAAGATCAGCCTAGAGGAAACGCCAGGCATCAGCGACGAAGAAGATCCATTCCATTCGGATAATGACGAAAGAGACCCTGAATTCACCGTGGGTGGTACATCAAAGAGGAAGACGTTTGGACATTTTCAGCATCTGGTGGAAGAAGACACGAGCGGAAGGAGCGCTAAAAAGAGCAGTAAATCAGCGCCTAGAAACAAAGAGGCGGAGCCTCAACATGAAGACCGTTACGAACTAGAGTATTGCGTCAAACCGCGAGTAGTAGCCCCCAGGTCTTCAAACTTTATTCAACTATTGAAGAAGACTAGACCGGCGAAAGATAAAGTGGATCGTTCATCGTCACTAGTAAAAAGCAAAAGGCAGCAACTAAAAGAGAAGCTGGAGAAAAAGATGGAGTCGGGACATTTGAACGACAACTTCGTGACGATCAATTTACGCAAAAAAGTTTTCGCCAGGGGCAAATCGGGCGTAAACTACACCAAATACAAAAAGGCGCAGTGGAAGAAAAAGAAGAAGGCGCTTTACGGGCCAGACATGGACATGGGAGGCTGTGACGGCGGAAAACTCGTTTGCTTCAGTTGCGGACAGGAAGGACATTTTGCAGCGAGGTGTAAGAACGGTAAAGGGGACGGTCTGTTACCGGCCGATGCGGCGGACGAAGAGTGCCCGGTGCCCACGCTGGAAGAAGCGTCGAAAATGGCTTTGGATAGTGCGTTGAGCGTTAGGGTACCTAAATTGGCGCTGAAAAATAAAACGGGCGTCAAAGACGGCGAGGTGGAGGAGGAGGAGGGGGACGAGGATGGGTTTTCGGACGACGTCGACTCTGAATTGTTGGCGGAGGTTTTAAAATTGGAAGAACACGTGAGGCGGCTCGACGTTCAAACTTATGTCGACGAGACCAAACTTGTCAAACCTTATTACGAATTAAGTTGCGACGATTCGATTATAGGTAAGAGCGATGACATTGTATCCCGAGGAGAGCGACAAGTGATAAATCAAATGATTTAAAAACTTTTCCCCTTTGACTGGTGGTTACTGATGGAAGTGCTTCAATAAAACTTTACTTAAAGGAATGGTGAAGATGTCTTTATTTTACTATAAAACCATTTCAAGACACCACTGTAAATGTTTATCGGATGGTCTATGAGATTATTTCATGTTTACTGTAAAATAGATCAAGGTGCTCGAGGTGTTGCTGCAAAGCATCTTATAAGATATACTTGAAGAACAAACCTTAAGAAACCATAATTTAATGACAACCTGACCATTTTAGAATGTGCTATGAAACACAATGTATACTTAAGAAACACTTTAAAAGCACGTCAGTACCGTTATGAGCGTATTTCAGCAAAGTTACATTAAAAGCAACCAGAAAGGTCCTCTAGTCCTTTCATAATATGGATTCGCCTTGCGCTGCTCTAAGCATTTCTTAAGGTTTCATTGAAAGCTAAAATGGTACAGAACTCCAGAATGAGCGCTTGTCGTGGCTCCCTTGGATACGTTACGGGCATAGTGGGTAATTAGCAATGTTAGCAATAATTGTATTGATTGGTTGGGCAGTGTGGCTAAATGGGAAATATTGTCCACAGTGCCTGGGCAATGCTAGCAATGCCCGATTTTCCACACTGCTCCCAACATATAATTATTGAGTGGTCAAGTGCCGTTCTACGAAGCGGGTCAAAAACGATCTCTTCCAGATACACCGCCGGAAGTGTTTGACGCTTTAAAAAAATTTGGCCATTCCGCGTTTCGCGACGGACAGGAGCTGGCGGTAATGCGCATTCTCTCTGGAAAGTCGACTCTGGTCACTCTGAGTACAGGGTCGGGCAAAAGCTTGTGTTATCAGCTGCCCGCTTATTTGTACGCGCAAAGGGAACCCTGCATTTCCCTGATTATATCACCACTTGTTTCGCTCATGGAGGACCAAGTTACGGGTTTGTAATTTTTGTTAAACCCTTTTGAGTCAGAAGTCGAACAACAAAATTAATTCTTTTTATAAAATAAACCAGGATTCCTCCTGGGTCGGTTTGTGCTGAGGCGAACTTTCTGACGTTTCCCCAATCATCCTGTTGGATTCTTCAGAGCTTGACTGAAACTGGCTCGCATTTTACTCTGTACCTGCTTTTATATTGTTTGAGGGGGCGGAGCTAAGGAGCTAAATGAGGGGCATAGACACCGTCTCGGATGACTGATTCCCATATTGGAGACAGGTAGAGACCTGAGTCGCGGTTAGGTTGCTTATAGATTTCTGAAGACTTGGATTTTTCGTTGGTAGAAGAATTGATTACATGCAAGAATTTTAGTTTTATCGAATAACATTTTATGACCGGTTTCGTGATTTGTGTTCGGCAACTACTGACGAGTTTATTTGTCTTAGTCTTAAGGCTCTTTCATGTTCTTTGAGCCTAGTTGATATTTTACGTCCAGTCTCTCCAATGTATTCTTTGCCGCATATGCTTGGAATGCTGTAAACTCCTGGCATCTCACATGGAATTTTGTCTTTGACGGATCGAAGATGTTGAGAGATTTTTGAACAAGTGGTAAGTCTAGTTTTGACGTCATATGGAAATCAATCATCGGAGACGCTGTTTATCTCCCTCATTTAGCTCCGCCCCCCTCAAACAATAAAAAGCAGGTACATAGTAAAATGCGACCCAGTCTCAGTCAAGCTCTGAAGAAGCCAACAGGATGATTGGCGAAACGTTAGCTAGTTCGACTCAACAAAAACCGACTCAGGAGGAATCCAGAAGTTTTATAAAAAAGTGTTACAGTAGCCTGTGGCAGTTTCTTTGAAAAATTGAAAAAACGAATTGTTCTTTTAATCTGCCCTGTATTACATTCGAATAGTAAATAAAAGGTGGTTTAAAGATTGGTGCGTACAAGTTTATTGCGTGCATCTTTTTTCTTTTTTTTTTTATTATCACCACAGCAACATTTTTTAGTGAGTTTTTGAAAGACACATCTCAATCGTTTATACATAAGTCTGAAATAGCCACTTTGTACGTAAATAAATATATTTTCTAAGTGTACGCCCTGTAGGAATACCAAAGATTTTAAAGGCGGCCTGTTTGCATACCAACCAGACCAGTACACAGAGGCAAAAAATCACCGAGGCCCTGTGGACGAAAAAACTCGACGTTCTCCTAATCTCCCCGGAGGCTATTGTTGCGGGAGAGAAACAGACCGGTAAATTCGCGGCCTCTTGCTATTCCTCCTACCCCTCTCAAACCATTTTTTCACAGGGTTCGGCTCGTTGTTCAGGAAACTTCCACCAATAGCGTTCGCCTGTATAGACGAGGTGCACTGCATCTCGCAGTGGTCACATAACTTCCGTCCGAGTTACCTAATGGTATGCCGCGTCCTCAAGGAGAGTTTGGGCGTGAAAACCATCTTGGGTCTGACGGCCACCGCTACCAGGGCCACTTGCGAGAACATCATTCAGCTGTTGGACATCCGGGACGGTTTCCGGGGCATCATAAGCGACACCCCGTTGCCCGACAACCTCTGCCTGACGGTGTCGAAGGATCCGAACCGTGACCAGTCGCTACTGAAGCTGTTGCAGTCGGAGAGATTCAAGAGCTGCAAGAGTGTCATTGTTTACTGCACTCGGAGGGATGAGTGCGAGAGAATAGCGTCCTTTTTGCGCACGACTTTTAAGGACGACGATTTGGCCGTCGCAGCTAAGAAGAGGAAGAGGCTGAGCGCGCAGGCGGAGCCCTATCATGCGGGCATGTCGGCTTCAAAGCGCAGGTCCGTTCAGAATGCGTTCATGAGTGGAGAGTTGCGGATAGTCGTCGCCACTGTGGCGTTCGGGATGGGCATCAACAAGGCTGACATAAGGGCGGTGATTCACTTCAACATGCCCAACAGCTTCGAGAGCTACGTGCAGGAAGTGGGGCGCGCGGGCAGAGACGGTCTGCCCGCCCACTGTCACGTGTTTTTGGATTCCCAGGCGAGTTGTTTTTAGGTTTCTACTTTCAACTCTATTCGGATTATTCACTTCGTTCGTCAATTATAATGGTCAAAAACTAAAGGTGGTAGCAAAAATATCCGGTTCAAAATAGAGAAAAAACATTACGTGAAAACTTTAATTTTGATAGATAAGAAAAATCAAAAGAATGAAATCGAAAAAAAAAACAAAATAAAATTTGAAATATGCGGTATGTAAGGGTGACTCTTTTGCTATGTTTTTCGAGTATCATTTTTACCAAATAAGATTTTTTTTAAATGTATTTTACTAAATTAGATGACATCAATGTGTCTGTATCTTTGTTACTTTTGAATGTTTCTTCTATATTGTCGACAAAAATTTATATGAAAAAAACTAGGAAATTTTTACTGGGCTACTTATTCACGAAATTTTTGCTACTAAATTCATATCCAGCCAAAAACGGCAATAATATTAATGAAAGACCGAATCCCTTTAAGGTTTTCAACAGAAAACTTATTTACCTATTTAGACAAAGTCCCTTGTTCAACAACTTGTAGCTGTGGCCACTATTATATGACGCTTTTACGTTATATGCGAAATAATCAGATTTTAGAAACTTAGTTTTAGAAGCTTTCTTGTTGGTTTCTTTTTGTCGCGTTTGTGCGCTCTGCGTGTGTATGGCTTCATCGCGCCGTATATTTATCTCCCTTCGTTTTGACCGTTTTCCTTAACATACGCTTCGCGCAGGGGCGGGACGAGAACGAGCTGCGTAGACACATTCACGCTAACTCGATCGACCGTCACGTCATACGTAAACTGCTTAGCAAAATCTTCGTGCCCTGCGCGTGCGCGGGCACGTGTCCCAAGCACGAGGTAGCGTTCTCTATCGAAGAAACCATCCGTGCCCTCGACATCCCCGAGGAGAACGTCGCCACGCTCCTGTGCTATCTCGAGCTCCACGAAAAGAAATATGTCGAAGTGTTGAGTCCCGCCTACACCCGGTGTCGGATAGTTTCTTACGCGGGCCCGAATCAGCTGACGCGCGCTTCCAAAGATTGTCCTCCTCTCGCTATGGCTCTCGCGATGTACAAGGGAAAAAATAACGAGGACAACATCGTAGAGTTTCCGGTGGTGGAGGTAGCATCCGCCATCGGATGGGACAGCGGCATTTGCAAGCACAAATTGAAAAATTTGGAGTGGACTGCGGAGAACAACGCGCCGAAACGGTCCTGCCTGAACGTGCAATTTTCTAATCTGGGTTTCCGACTGTTGGCGCCCGGAAATTTACCGGAGAAAGATCTCGATGAGGCTTTGGACAGCTTGTACACGAAGGTAAAATTTATATATCTCTTCTTTCGACAGTACGAGAATATTGCATTTTCCTGGGTGTTATTGTTGCAAAACAATATTTCTTCAAATAAATTTGAATTTTATAAAACGTGCTATACATTTTTGAACAGTGTAAAATTCTTATTAGAATTTTACGATGTGTGTAAAATTCCTATTAGAATTTTAAGCTGTTGTGTGTAAAATTCCCATTTATACAGTTGTACGTCTCTGTCTGGCATCATTTACATTTAAGACTTTCATTAAATTACATTAAACATTTGATGTTGGTGTATTAAGCCTTTGGTCCCATTCTTAGCGACTATTTTTTTTCGTTATTGCAAACCTCGCTTTTTGTTCTATTCGAATGTTCAGCGGTTTTTTAGTTATGCATTCCCATTAGTCTTGAGGATTTTTTTGTTCTTATAAGAAATAGTCAATACTCGTCCGACTTTTATTATATTTTGACGAAAACATTTGTTACTAGACATTTCCCATATCATAGTCGGAAAAGCTGTTTGCCAAAATGATATGTTTAATTCCAATTTGAGTGCTACATTTCTCACCGTATATTTAAAGAAGATGTGCAGTGTTTTTTCTGTTTCTGTTTTCTGACACATTAGACTTTAGACTAAGACCATTGTCAACTAATGCAACACGTTTCAACAGTCATCATTTTCATTTTTGTTACATTCAATTTGGACCAAGCAGGTGATCAAGCAGGAGGGGATGGCATTGAAGCAATTGACAGCGATACACGACACCCTAGTCGAGGTAGCTCGGGAAACTCATTCGGTCTTGGATCCGTCTAAGGACGAGCGGCTCAAGTCAAAAATCCGGGAATATTTTAATTCGACCGATCCTCTGAAAAGTATCAGTGAGGTGAAACCGAGAATAGTCAAGAAGGAGCAGCTGGTCAACGATATCCACGCGATGGTTTCAATGTATAGGGATAATCAGTTCACGGGCCGGGTGATAGCGCGGATATTTCACGGTATACAGAGCCCCAACTACCCGGCAGTGATTTGGGGGCGGTGCAAATTCTGGCGCAGCCATATAGGAGAAGACTTCCACGAGATTTGCCGTATAGCGTCGCAAGAAATTATTCGGATGCGATAATATAGTTTGTTAGAATTGAAATAAATTTTTATATATTTTAATACAATTTTTTCAAGAGTTCGGTTTCTCCTGCGTTTTGCTAGTGAGACCTTTTCAAGCATAATTAAATATACGAGGTCAGTCCAAAAAAATATTGGATCCAATTTTGTTTTTTTACTAGTGCATTCAAGACATCAGTTTTATTAAACATTATCGCGGGCCTATTTGAGCGTTTCCGGTACTTAAGTCATGGGTTAGGAGTGATCTGCGAGCGATTTCGATAGATTTTAGTCGTGTTGACGTTTTTCAATTGTGACGATCACGTCACAGATTGTGTGCGCTTCAATGCCTTTTTTAGAGGTAGAGAGATATAAAAGCTTTTTGACATTTTGTTCATTCATAATTAAAAATATTTTTTATTTTCTCAACCTTTACTTACTCTTTAGCATGTTTACTTTTTTGGCGTTATTTACTGAGGTCTTATAAGCCCCTTGCTTAGAATCATTGAGATTTAACTCAGTTTTTCTGTATTTGGTACAAAAATGTTGCTTGTATATTATTTCCTTTCTAAGATAGTTCTTCCTTCTCATTTTTTTGTTTGACATTTTGACTTTAAAGGTCATTATTTAAGTTCTATAACTCCTTTACTTAGAATTATGGGAATGTATTTTGCTTTGTTAATGTTTTCCTTATGAAGCACAGAACATGTTCCATGCAGTATATATTCCCCTTTCTGCTGCTTTTATGCACTGTAGTTTTCTTTTTATTTTTTGTCATTTTAATCATCTTTTAATGGTCTAGATGCGTTATTTATTTTAAGGAAATATAGAGGGTGCACTTTCCACCCGCAGAGTGTCCAATTCCAACCGAATTACAAATTTATTTCTCAAAACAAAATCATTACAGTACTATAAAAACGCGAAGCTGACCGCGGATCACAGGTGTTAAATGCATTTCTTTCTCAGTAAGTGAAGACAACACCGTTTTGTAAATGCAAAAATCAAGTAGTATCCTTGGGGTAACATAAAATGAGGAAAAGATTCAATAATTACATGGCCCGAGCCTCTAAGGGAACTGAAACCTTGTTCAAAATGAAAGGCTCACACTTGTCATACTCTGATATTATAACCGACATATCCAGATCAGCGTCGAGTACTAACGTCGGAGCAGGACACTCCCACAACGTTTTCCGGTATAACCACTGTTCGTGGATTTCGTGCAATGATTTGACATAGTCGAAGCTTATGGTTTCTTCTTCTGATCGATTGCGTTTTAATATCCGCTCATAGGCGGTTTCCGGTGAGGTCCTCAAATAAACCACGAGATCTACGTCTACGTCGGCGTTGTGTAAAACCCAACGGAACCATTTGTCGATCACCGCCGCTGAGGGTTTGGGAAGTAATCCATCCCTCGCAAGTTTCTCGACAAAGCAATATCTGGCACTAAAGATCGACCGTTCCATGAGTTTCACCGGCAAATGCGTGCGTTTCTGGTGATTCTGAAGCATCGTCAACTGGACGTAAGATTGAAACGTAAAACTCCATTTGACAGGATTTTCATACATTAAACCCTTAGATAAAAGAAAAACGGTTACGCAACATCAAAAACGTATCCAGAACTCACCAATAAGTTGTGGCCGTTACAATTCCTCCACAAATTGACTGGTTCCGTAAGAACCATTACGTCCTTGTGTTTGCTGAAGTGGTTCAGAAAAGACGTTTTTCCGCTGCCGATGTTTCCCTCTACGACGACAGTGAACGGTCGCGTTAAACGCGCCGCTGTGGAGACGATTTTTTCCATACTTTCCGTGTCCGAATTAAACATTAACGAATAAATATATAATTTTTTTTTAAAACGAAAAAGCGCCAAATGGATGCAGGTTACATTCATGGATCATGGAATGCTGGATTTGGTAGTATATTTTAATTCATTTTGGCATGATAAAAAATATTGGGCAAAACTACTAGTATCATTCGGCCATTTCCGAAATCTGAATAATTTTTTTGACATTTTTGTTAAATCGTTGTTTTTTGCCTTTATTGGGCGTCATTGATTTGTACTGTCATGTGAGAAAAAGTTTTATTACAATGAGGCGTCAAGCAACTTTAACTTTATCCGTTATATTTTATTGAGTGACTGCCTGCACCCTGATATCACATCCAACGTTTTTTACAAGAAATGTTTAGGATTATTCTAGTTGCGCAATTATTTCGTCCACCGCCTCCACAAAACTAGGAAATACTTTGGTAGGTGGTACCGGGATTTTAGTTTCGTCAGCTTGCCTATATTTTCCAGTTTGAACCAGATAGCCTTGCAAACCTGCATCCATGGCACCTTTTATGTCATCTGTTACATCCTATAAGTATAATTCTGCCTTATTAAACCAAAGCTATATGAAAGTGGAGACTCACATCTCCTATCATTACAGCATGTTCTGGTGGTACTGCTCCCAAAGCAGAGAGGAAGAAAAGTTTACTTGGTTTACCTACAAGTCGGGCTGTACACTGAGCTGAATATTCCAAGCCCTTTACAAAACAGCCAGGCCCTAAGGACAACCCATCCGACGTTTTGTAATATTTACCGGCGTGAATACCGATCAATTGAGCTCCATTCAACAAAGTCCGGAAGGCTGTATTTAATTTATCATAAAAAAACTCTGATGGAGCTAGACCAATTACAACTGCATTAGGAGATTCGTTGGAGGGGCATGCCAACCCTTCAAAGTCTTCAAGGGCATCGGAGGAAAGCAGGAAGAGAGGTTTGAGCTGTTCAGTTTCAATCAAATGCCTTGCAGCCACTAAGGAACTAATAATACTATCCTTATCAATTTCAAATCCCAAATTTGAGAGTCTGTTATGCAAAATCCTTTTACTCTCTTTGGTTGTGTTTGTAACAAATTTTACGGTAAGATTCTTTCGCAGAAGTCTGCAATAAAATTGCCGTCAGTGCCCTTTACACAATTATGAAAGACTGCGACCCACTTTTGTAATGCTTCCACACAACCAGGAATTGCGTGGTTCTCTATATGCAAGGTACCGCTTAAATCAATTAATACAGCGCGAATCATTACTGTTAAAATCGTATGAAATATATTAAACTTTGGTTTGGCTATGGTTATCCTCTTCTTCTTTAATAGAATCGTTATCTCACCATTTCTACCAATTGTATCTGCTTTTATATTTTTGACGTTGTAATATTAATCTTTGCATTTGGTTTTTACTCAACGAAAGTTTCGAACTTTTATCTGTGTTTGACGTTATCCACTTGGCATAAAAATTTACGTTGTTTCAATGTTGACGTATCACTATTTATTTGACAACGAAATAAATGAAAAGTCGAACGCGGCGAAACTGATGCAGTTCCAAAAATGAAACTAGAACTGAACAACAAACATCGACATTGTTCTACCTTTGACAACCATTACACGTAAATGTACTATTAAAATAACTTAGTAATCCTGGCGTTACACCCTGTAACACATTGTGATAAGTAAACCAAAAATAATCTCGAAATGGCAAGAATAAGGTGGTTCACGCGTACGTCTCGCATAGTAGCGTTGTGCAGTTTCGCAAATTTCATCAACAGCGCGGACAGGGTTATCATGCCCATCGCAATCGTCCCTATGGTCAAAGTGTTCGGATGGAGCATGCACTTGCAAGGGTGGATACTTTCAGCGTTCGCATGCGGCTATTTCACTAGCCAGATATTAGGTACAGAAGTCTCCTACTGAATTTTATTAAGTGTTATTTTCCCATGCATTTCAGGTAGTTTTTGGGCATCCAAGCTGGGAGCAAAAAACGTTTTGATATGTAGCGTATTATTGTGGAGCGTCGCAACTTTCATAACCCCTTTTTTGGCTCACAGCGCAACGGCCCTCATCATGTGCCGTATCGGGCTCGGTTTCGCTGAAGGCTTAGGTGGGGATCTAAATTATATTATATCATAAATTTTATAACCGCGTTTACTGCATCGCGATTTTTTTTAGGACTGCCAACTATTTTTCACTTGTTCGCTCACAGCATTCCTGTGGAGGAAAGATCTCGGGCGTTCTCCTACCTCTTGGCATCGGGTTCCGTGGGTCAAACCTTTGCGTCCATATTGTGTCCTCACCTCGACTGGGAAGCCTGTTTCTATTGGTTCGGTTCGTTGGGTTTCATGTGGGTGATTTTGTGGTACTGTTTCTATCCTCGCGACGCGTTTGGCGGGGACGAAACCATACCGCTGCACATGCCCAAAGTGATATCGCACAGTATTCGCTGGGCGGATTTTATACTGAGCAAACCGCTGTGGGCGATATACGCCGCGCATTTCGCAATGAACTGGTCCTCTTACATCATAATGAACTGGTTACCGACTTACATGAGTACCTATTTGGGTGCCAACTCTCATAGTTTAAGTCTCACGGCGGTACCCTACATTGTCAACTCGATATTTGGTATCGTTAGCGGCCACGTGGCTGACGGACTGTTGCTGAACAAAAGTTGGTCAGTTTTAAACGTCAGACGGCTAATGACGTGCGTGGGTTTGGTCGGCCCCGCCCTATTTCTTGCAATATTCGGTGTGGTCGACCATCTCGCGTTTGCGCTGGTACTCGTGAGCATCTCGATGGGACTGTCCGCTTGCAATTCCGCCGGCCACTTAAGTAATCACGTCGATGTGGCGCCAAATCACGCGGGTACCACTTTCGCGATCAGCAACACGATAGCCACGATACCGGGGATATTGTGCGGCCACGTGACCGCTAGTCTGGTCACGATGTCCGACGGCAAATGGCTGGGGGTGTTTTTAGGCGCGACCCTGTGCAATTTGGTGGGCGCGTTCGTGTACTTTACCAACAGCGTCGCCACCCAAGTGTTGTAAATAAAGTGACTTTTTCATGTATAAAATGGTGTATATTTATATAGAGAAATGAAATTAAAAGATGATGTTTCAAATGGTTGGTATTTTTATTGCATCTTAAAGTAGAGAACTAAAAAAATTAAGGCTCCCTGCTATAAACACCGAAGTTTTCTAAACGTGACTTTGAATTTTAATATGATTAAGAAAACGGTTTCAAAGTAGGTTAATTCAAACCGCAAAATTCGTAAAAGGGTTTACATTTTACGTATGTGATTCACGATTTTCTGTCACAAGTTTTGGTAATCAAAATTTTCTTTAAAATGTCTTGAGGGTCTACTCTAACTACGCCACTCAAAACTCAACGTATTTGACGTGAAAAATTACGAATTTACCCTCAACGTAAAACGAGTTTGACAATTAGAACAGTTTCATATTATAATAACCGTAGTAGATTTGATATGTTATTAAAAAATGTTTCAATGATACATACCTTTTCCAATTGAATTGAATTATTTAAGAGGATCACTTGCGGGGTCTAAATAAATAATAAGTACAGATCCATTTCTTTTAAATTTTTCGTTTCAATAAACTCAGTTAATTAAAAAAAATTTATTCTGGAATAAATTATAAACTAGCCTACCACTGAAACATCTAAATAGTAAACGTTTTTAAGCGCTCTACACTGCATCTTGTCATTGTAAAAAATATTTTAATGGACATCTTCAAAAAGGACAGCAATTATCTCATTGTAGTAAGTGGCATTTTGTATTTTGTTTGGCATACAAAACAATTTGTTCCAAAACCACAGCCGGCGCGGTGTCAACATAGGTATTAAGTTTTTGAGCAAAACCAAATAACTTCACCATTGGGTTGATATTTAGGGTAACATGATGGGCTTCAAATATTTGAAGCAAAAAAACTTAATACATAGTCCCTTGGATTAAAAATTATGATGCGCTGGCCGACGCAAAAAAAGTGGCCGATCGCGCGATTTACTTTTTAGGCCAACAGTTGTCGGATTTCATTATTTTCCGCCGATTCTAAGTAAGATTTTCCATCAGGCGCGACTCCATCTTTTTTGGCACCGTTTTCGATGAGCAACTTCACACAGTCTTTGTGACCCTCCCAAATCGCCGCCAGGATTGGTGTAATACCATGTTTGTCTTTTGACTAAAATAATCTTTGGTTTAAAGCATAATAACTTACGTTGTTCGCAAACTTACGTTCACATCTGCTCCTAAGGAAATGAGATATTCTATGACTGCCGCGTGACCGTAATCTGCGGCGTATAAAATGAGCGGACGGCCCCCAAACTCTTGGTTAACATCGACAGCCTAGGGATGAAAAATGACTCATCACTGATAAATGGCAAACAACAGCGCACGTACCAGTTTTTCGATTATGTCTTTCACTTGTTCTAAATCACCATTCTTTATTGCCCACGCAATATCACCGCTCATTGTGAAGAACTATATACACGTACTTTTAATTGCAAAAATCTTTATCTGCTGTGACAGTCAATGTCACGGGGGTTTTGGTCTATGGCAGATCGCAGAGCACAGATCCAAAATTCTTTATATCTTCTTCTTATGATGCATGAGTACGGCGGTTGATAAATTAGTAAACATTACCATTTCAGTTTTTTTTTGTGACGCGAAGATCAACCGACAATCTTCGAAACGATGCCGTCGATACGATTTTCATGTCGTTGGTAGAAGGTTAAATAAAAAAAACACATGTCGAAACATGTTTTATTTGCTCTAAAAATTAAACACCACACCAAGAACACGTTGCCAATAAATTGAAAACGTACATTTCGGTAAAAATTAATAATTTTTTTATAAGATTAAAATTATTAGGCAAATAACCAGGCAAACATCATTTTAATTCGTCTACATTATTCACCCTATTACGTTTATGTCATCATGCGCTTTATTTATAGTTAAATTCTTATCTAAAAAATCACAGACAGTTACTTATTTCGACATCGAATAACAAATATTCTTACACTAAGATTTCCCACCAGACATCAATTGTTTGAGTATTTCTGTATTACAAAAATATTAATTGATAATTGACATAAAATTATTAAAATATGTAGCGTTTTAAACATCATAACCACGGCCATTCACTTTACAAATATTTGTACAAAATTCGATTTTGCTTAATTACAATTTTACAAAACTGAAATACAATAATGAAGACGATAACTAGTTACCTAAAAACGTATTTCCCCCTTATTTTTATTTCATAAAGAACAGTCTTTAACAACACAACTGTATCGTTGTGTTCTTCGATGGGCAAGAGGCCTGAACTAAAAAATGTGTCAAAGCCGACTCGATTTTTTTTAACAAATTTTGTTGAAAAGTAATTCGTTGATACTACCTGTCTTTACACTGGAGTCGACCTCTTCCAGCTGTTCTTGCTTGTGGTAAGGCTGCTCTGTGTACCCTGTTGCGGGGAGGGGAAGTTACCAATATTTTTCTGTCGCAAGTTTTATTGTACATGCGTTACATAATGATAAAGAATTCCGAAACCGTAGAAATTTCATTACCCTATTCGTGAGGCCGCGCTTGGTGCTGCCGCTTAGCGGGAACATACCGAAACTCAAACTGAATCCGGATTCTGAAGCCGACTGGGGCATGTTTTCCGGTTTGCTCTTGTGTACGCAGGAGTTGACCAACTTCCTCAACTGCGAAATATCACAACGTGTAAAGTGCATTCAATACGTAAGATCACGCAACAAATACCTGTTTTTTAAATACGGTTGTCATCAGCGTATATAGCACCGGATTCAACGCCGAATTAATTGGCAAAATAAAAATGGCCAGCCAAGCATACAATTTTTCCGGAATGGGCACACCTACAAAGTGCTTTTTTAGGTTAACTCACAATTAAAATCTTTTTAAGTTCGAAACTTGTAGTTTTTTTTTATTTGGCACTGTAATTCAGGCAATTTGGCTAGCTTACAAATATTAGTATATATAATTCAAAAATTCCAAAAAGGATGCCTTTTTAAAGAAAGCGTCTGGACTATTCCATCATCCTCCCGGTTGATTAACATACTCATAGAGTGAAACAAACTTCTAAATAATTAGTCATGAAATGACGACTGATTCATCTAGCGGTTCCAGCGATTATCTCATACGGGATATCCGATCCCATCTGGCCTGGATACCAGCGTGAATATAACACATCCGGAAGCCGAGCAATACACCAGACAAATCCATAGACATTCACACAAAACTTATAGGTTATGGTAACCGACGGAAAAACTGTAAAATCACAACTGTGCGAGATACAGTAAAGTATTCATATGGGCGAACGATCCTGGTGATCCGCCTCGACCGACGTTAAAAATATTCGCATTGGAGCGGAAATCCACCATTCTAATCGACAAACCTCTTACCGGCAAGTGCCACTAGTTTTACTACGATAACGGGGACCCAACAGAGGCAATCAGTTAAAACGATTATGCCGAAACGTTGAGCGACTTTGTCTCGATCTCGGCTCTGTCTCGTCGACCGGCAGGCGACGCCGCTGGCACGGATTTCTTGAATCATACGCAGGTAGGCGTACGATATGAACACCAGCGCCATCGCGTTGACCATGATAAACATCACCGCCGAATATTCCCAGCCCTGCCGATTATTCACAAATTGTCAAAAAAAATCAAAAATAGGTTGATAATTATATGCCATATTTAAATTTATGTCTCATTTCTATCCAGAATGAACATATAGCTATCAGATAATATAGTGGCCCTTATAAAAATTGATGCGCCGTAGGCGCTATTGACATTTTTGTAGAAAAGGGAATGATATTCAGCGCATGCGTCAACAATTCACCCACTAACTATTTACTCCCGAAACGTTTAACGAGATCTACGCAGATTTTGAGGAAGTATTGCCGTATATTCCGCACACAAACTTAATGACGATTGGTCAACAACTATGTTGGCAAGATTTTAAATCTTATGCGCATGTCGGATGGACCATTTAAAATTTTTGTTTATAGTTGTTTATGTCCCAGAAAAAACACCGCAATTTCAGCATATGTTATCAATTCTCCATTATATGTGTGTTTTTTTAAATTGGGCAACTCTGTACAATTTCGTCATTTGACATTTAAAATTTGTTCTTTCAAGTGGGTGATATTTAGTCTATGTATGGATCGACGCCGCACACTCATTTTCCGTCACTTACCTTCGCGTACGGTTCGTGGATATGCAGAGAAAGACACACGCCGTTGTTGCCGTAAAATTCGTCGCCGAAGTAGGCCCTGGCGAAGCCGCCGATCGGAAAGATCGCGATCAACACGGCCACAGACCACAGAGCCAGCAGTGTCAAGGCGGCTGCGCGCGGTGACGGTTGTTTGCGCGCCAGTGGCTGCGTGACGGAAATGAACCGGTCCCACGTGACGAGCGCGAGTATCAGGACGGACGATTCGCACGAGAGGGTGCTCAAAAAACCTGGAAATAAGCTCGCGGTTCCGCCGTTTTCATTTTGTAGTTCCCACGACTAACCGCATATATTGCACACGTAACTGTGACGCCACAGGTACTGGTAACGTAGGTAGACGCCTCGGTAATTCGTATCTGCAGACGCTATAATGAATAAGTACACTCCCATCAGCAAGTCGGACAATGCGAGGTTCCTGAGGTAGAGGGAATGCACTACGTTGTTGGCTGGTGCGAACATCCGACCGAGCAGTACCAGCAGATTGCCCGCGAGGCCTACCGCGCCTATTACCCATACGCTGCAAAGGTACAAGCAGTAACTTCCAGCACAGAGGCTGGTAGTAATGTACTTCGCGCATTTGAGAGAGATAATATTAAAAATGTTTGTTTCTACACATTTAATTTCTCTTGTCATTTATATACAATGGTAATCAACTTGAATCACCATTAATTTGATCAATCCATAAAATAAAGGAAAGTGTTTACGCACTATTCATACTTTTTAAAAATTCTGCATCCTGTAAAATTCGCCTGACAGGATTTTCGTTTAATTTTGTTAAGTTTGCTTGTGTGTTTGTTTGTCCGGCTTAAAATATCGCATAGCGACCACAGTTGAATGGCCAAAGGATACAAAAACCCTTTTTTACATCAGAATTTAACGGAGCAAAACGTTTACTCGGTCTCAGGCTAGGAGTGCAGATTCACTTATTAAATTATAGGATGTGAATCACATAAGACCCTGTATTAGAGAAAATATCAATCAATATCAATGGCCACTTTAATCTGGGCCATTCGCCCAAGTTTACAAGTTGCCAATTTAGAGAAACGCAAATTTTAATTGATAATGGGTTGTATTAGCCGACAAGTAATGCAAATAAAACTTTATATTATTAAAGAGGCGTGCCGTGGACAACATAATTACGACGATAGCGTGAGCTTTGTCAGACCGATCGTCTTTCGAGGGTCCATTTAAATCCCCCACCACTAATTATCCGCTTTTCCCGGGGGGTTTACGTCGAACAATGGGGCTCGCGTTATCATAATTCACGGTTGAAATTACCTTTGATGGTCGAGATAATGCCTAGGATACTACAGCTTTATTATTAAAGCTCTGGCCCAAACACACACACTTGCCTGCCAGTTAAGATAAAACTAATTGAATATAAAGCCCGCAAGACAAACTGACAGTTTTACGTTTGTTACGGTATCGGGCCTTCCGAGGTTAGTTCGGTCAGGACGACCAATGAACCTCAATTCGGTCAAGTTCTGTCAAGAAAAATTTATTTTTATATACAATTCTCGATGTTATAAGCCCATTTCTTCATTTACTAAGTATTTCATTTATAAATAATTCGAAATGTAGCATCTGGTTTGCTTGGTTAGTTAGTTTTGGTTTGGTCGAATTGAAGAACTGTCAGCGGCCATGTTGCTTTTGAAAGGAGAGCGCATGCGCACATTAAATAGTCTCCTCAACTTTTGTAAAATTGTAAAAAAAACTGTAACTGCCTGTTTATATAATGTAACTTAAAATCAACTCAATGGAGTTAGTTAGACCAAATTGAGTTTGTCCAAAATTATGTACAATGGGGTAAAAAAGACAACAACATATACATTTCTCTTTGTCAAAAATTCGAGGTACAAACACGCAGGTGATAACGTTCTATGCGTATATTGCTGTATCTTTCAGATCCACAATATAATGGTCACCACTGACAACGACTACTCGAAATTTAATATTACTTTTACAAATATAGTAGCAAAAAGAAAGACGTGGTCCACAAAATAATTGGAACTTCACGTTGCCTCGGATGCTACTACGTTTTAGGGAGACTCCTACTCCATACCAAACAGTGTATATTATAATAGACTCGTAATACATTTCTATGTCGAAATTGGAGGTCAGGTATTCAAAATATTATGTTATTGATTTAAAATACATTGAGTGCGGCAACTGACAATTCTATCGTCTATCCTTTTAAATTAATATCTGGTGTTTCCAGTAGAATGTTATCGCAAAAACAACTGATAGGTTTAAAATGAAGTGTGGTCAATGATACGTGTTGGTTGACATTAAGCGACGACTAATATTCAGTCAGAAGACAAATACCGGTACAAAGGGGCGAGAAAGCAATTTGCCCAAAACCTGTCAACTGACCCGCAAAACTTAATATTTATTGCCCGTCTACCGGATTCCTCCGGGGCTGATTCCAATTAAAATGCGCCCACGCAATGTGGCCGAAATAATCACCGTTAGTATTTTAGCCCCCTGGGGAAAATCGTCAATCATATTGGAGCAACTAGGGAGGAACAGCGAACGACGCGACGGTGCTTACCAAGTCCTCAAGATGATGTTGTCGAGCAAATGCTCGTGGCTGGAGATGCCGTCCCCGTGGGGCTGACAGACCCTGACGTGGGCAGCGAATGAACACATCTCGAAACGGTCGAAGTATCTGAGACCACAGAAATATTTCTTTTAATTAATGAGTGAGGAACGCGACGTATGAGCATTGTGCTTGATTGTGGCGAGCTAGAGTTGCAGTTTGCTCGCTGTTGAGCCGGTTTTTACTAGATTTATGTAGGATGTAGTCCGCGATGGGTTTCCTAGGGCACAATGGGAAACGCGAGATTATTTGGAAGAAATAAAAAAGGAAGAAATTTGGCTGTCTTTTTTTACATCTCATCTTTAGGCTCCTATTAAAAAAGCTAGCAGAAAAGTGATGACGAAAGTTTCGATTTCATTCGATGCCTAACGCAGGACCAGGATATAACTTGTATTTTTTGTATTTTAGTATCTTCTTGTAAAAGTAGGTAAAATTTCTTAACGAAACAATATAACAAATAATTAATAATACCCAATAAGTTCTTGACAATTTGCTTGTAAAGAAAAATAAATGTTTTTTCAGGGACTAGCTACTTTTTACTTTTTATAAAAATTATTTCTTATTTTGTTCGCATAAGCAACAGAACAAATGAATGTGAAAAATTACGTTCTTGACATTTTTCATGAGAATTATGTTCTAAAATTTACGTAAAAATGCATCTTTTTTAGATCTGATACTGCTCCATAGATGGCGCTAAGAAAATTACGCGGCGTTGTCATAAGGTCGGTTTTTAAACTCTTTGTTAAAATGTCATGCTGGAGACGTCAATTAAGTAAACTACCAGTAAGCGTTAACAAACAGTTTCTTAACAAATGCTTAGGGAGTTATTGGTGGATACTGGCATTAAAAATCAACGCGTTGAACGGACCTTCCCTATTTTTTTTTTCATAGTTACCTTATAAATTTATTATCAGCATGAGTCTGGCTCTCTATATCTCTAATGACTATATGGTTCATAATAATGTGAATCCAATATGTTCTGTTGTACATTTTTTACCGATTACAATCTCTCTCGTACGGACTTCAGACGGATCATTGTTATGTTTACTAAGCAGGTCCGTTCTTTAATGTTCGTTATTTTTCAAGATATATTACGTTTCATTGGTTTCTGTTAGTAGCGACGACGATAGTAAAGGCACCGGAAGAAACTAGTTTTATTCAAAAAAAAAAACAAAATTCTTAGGAAAATTTCCTCCTAAATTCCGTTTGTATGAAGAAAATTTCAACAAATAAATACCATAATAAGACAGAAAGATTATAAATTGTTTACTTTACTTTACTATACACATAAGCTAACTGCTTTTTCTAACGTAACGTTTTACAAAAGTATTATATTTTTTATAGTTTTTTATGTTACTTTTATTTATTATTTGGCTTCTGTTTCAATCGTGTGACGGGTTATTTGGAAGAACGAATTTTACGCTCTAAATAAAACGAAGAATACATTTTTGGAACATGTATTATAAAAAATTAGAAAAAATAAACCACAAAACTCCTAATTTGGGAAAAACACGGAATAGAAGTTCCTTTCTTCAAATAAAAAGTTATGCTTCATTTTTGTTGTTAACCGCATAATCTGCACCGTTTCCTTTTCTCTTCCTTATGTGGAAAACGGGTTACCTTTCATTTTCGTTTTGGAGTTTCTTCTGGCAAAAGTTTTCTGATTATCTCTACTCTGTATGGTACGACGTCTGTAACCTAAGTAATGATAATGGTAAAGTAGCGTTCTATCTGGAATACTCGAGGCGCTTAGCATGGAGGGGCGGAAGGGGTAGAAGTGATCCGCTTTCAATACGGCTTTGAACTCGCTCAAGTTATTAGGATGTGTAGGCAGAATTTTTTGTAAAACACTTTTTTCCATTGTGACAGGAGATTAGTGACATCAATTTCGAGCAACGGTGTTCGGAATTAAATACAGTGCAACGGAAACTCTTGATAAACTTTGGCAGGTCGACGTTGAGAGCGTCTTGTTTAAAGCCCAGATTTTTCGATGCTTTAAGGCATAATCACAAAGGAGAGAGTCTACTGAAGATGACCATGAAGCCAAATGAATTCAAATTAGGTTCCACAAAACCTTTGCCTAGACCAAAAGGACATTGGATCCATTTTCTGATGAGGAGTCATGGCCGTTGCAGTACCATCCAGAAACCAAGCGCTAGATCAAGAGGAAGTCGAAGATCTGTTTTGTTTTTTCTATATCCACGGAAGCGTCCACAAAGAGTTTCCACTTCATTGCTAAACGTTCAACCAATACTTCTACCGGGAGGCTCTTTACAAACTTTGAAGAAAAAAGTTGAGTTTTTGGGCGAGAAAAAAAAACATTCCTGTAGCTTCTCGTTCTCCGTATTCACCTGACTTGACATTTTTTTCTTCAGTTGAAAACATTAAAACGGCTGACCAGCTGAAACATATTCCAGTATCAGAGATCCAGATCTGCTATGAGGAGCGGAGGAACCGTCTCCCGCGCTATATCTCTTTGGAAGTAATTTTGAGGATGACAATTTAAAATTGTAATTCCTTACTGCTTAATCGATGGAGTTCGTATATAGGACATTTCCAAGAGATTCGATTCCAGGTCACGAAAAATATTATTCAGTTATAGGGTTATAGTTGGATATAAAGCTCCTCCTACTGTAGGCAGTTTATCGATGCCGTTTCAGTCAGGGATAAGTTTTGCATTGTTCTTTGTTTTCGTTTGGACGAAAAGAAAAAAGTTGATTTTAAAAAAAAAGACCTTATTTAATAAAATCATAGCTCTCCACTCGACATGAAAAATAAAAAATAAGTTCTAAAAATAAGACTAAAACTAAAAAAAAAAAATAAAATAAAATAAAAGATGAAAAAAGTTCACCGTTTTTAGCTGAGCAATTCTTGTCGCACATTGGCCAGTGGTTCAGCAGTAAAATTGCTAATAGCATTTGTAATTTTATTACGCAGTTTCTCTCAATAATTTGCACGATCGTGTGTGTGCCTTTAAATAGTGCTAGTGACGTAACCCCAAAGAAAAAAATCAATTGGTGCTAGATCTGGTTATCTAGGTGGCCATTTCATTATTCCCTGCATACTTATTGTACGATTAGGAAACGTGGCATCTTAATGGTAAATTTGTTTGTATTTCAATTCCTATCAATAAAAAAGGGCCAAAGGTATGGTTTCTTAAAATACCAGCCCTTACGTTGACTTTTTCTGGATACTAAGTCCAATTTTGGTTAGCTCGTTCGATCATTTCTCCACAGAATGCCATGCTCTGCTGGTAAAATCGCCTGCGTGGTCTGTAACTCATAACACTTGTATCCTTTTCTCTTCGAAATATTCTGCACTGTTCTTGGTTCTGCCTCAAGTTCCCGGGAAATTTGAATACTATCTCACGGAAAGTTTAAATATGTTAAAGTACTAACTTCCAACTCTCGACGTTCTCTGGTCATTTATATGGACGTGAAATAACACAAATCTGACATTAATTTATCGGGGTGTACTAACGCAGAATAACGAATTAATAATTTGAACCATATCTACGGCCGAATATACTACCATTTAAAGAAAAAAACAAGACGATTTCTATTTTTTCTTTTTAACATTCCAAGAGCCTTAATAATATTTTTCGTGACATATTAACGTGTTTCTTGCTGTAGAAAAATAATATGTTATATTGTGAACAATTGCGGTTTTTGTTTTCTCTTTTTGAAGTCACTTCCATCATGTCCGATTTATGTTAAAGACAACAAGCCAACATCGTGCCATGTTAACACTCATATCTAATGTCGATACTCGAAAATTGTGTGTCCTTTTGAAATGAATTTTTGGCGAATATTCGTTTTTAGCGGCGTCGAAACCTCCCGCCCTCCCACTGACCACTCGTGACGCCGCAATACGTCGCAGCCGACTCATAAACGGATTTTGCATACACATGGCTTTCCGCATTCTCGAACAAAGTAATTTAACGCAGAATTCGGAAATATTACGTGAAAACTTATACATTTTCATTTTCTACGGCGAGCGAAAATATGCGGGGACCGACAGCTCAACGGGGGTCGGGAGGGTGGGACGTACGATTTTAATTAGCTTGCACCTTTCGACGCGGCACGTATCGAGAGTGGAGGGGGGGGGGTTAATTTTTCTAACGCTTTTCCGAAGTATACAGGGTTATTCGCGGTGAATGTTCTATTAAACGTTTATGGAGAATGAGTTACGGTAAAAACCTGAAACGTTTGGCAATGCGATGTTGCCAAATATCATCAATGAAAAAAACGTGTACATTATTATTTATTTATTATTTTTATGTAACATATACTATACCATCTTGAACCTTTTCGGAGATAAAAAATACTTTTTAAGAAATTCAGCACCAAGCACCAAATTTTTTTTCGCGACCCGTACAGCTAAACACTTGAATTTCCCCATTACATTGCTTTATTATAATATAATATGAGAATTAACTTATGGCATACAGATATAAAAATATATGTTACGTGGGAATTTTAACTGAATCACCCCAAAACCAAAATATTGCAATTAAATCGAAATAAAGTAACCACATTTCATCTGGTTAGCAGGCTTTGGCCGGCCATGATGACGTTTACTGTAAAAAAATAACTGACATGTCGGATTTCTCATTTTATTGCATCTGCATTGCAAGATGGCACATAATTATGCAAACGCAGATATTTGGAAATTGTTTTACATTTATGGTGAGTGGCAAAGAATTGATACAATATCGGCATTTGTGACCAACGTGTGACAAAAAATATAAAATAACTGAAGCAATTTTTCGAAATCTACGAAGAAGACAACTTCCAAAACCTAAGAGGAAAATAAACCAACGACTTTGCATATTTCTATTCCGATGCTAATAATACATTACATTGTACTACTACTCGCGATGCACCATTACGCGTCGAGTTTTGTTAGATGATAAAAGAATTATTTGGACGGACGAGTCAACATTTTCACTGGAGGGTATTTTTCTAATAGAAGGAATAATCCTTTTTTGTCATCAGAAAATACAAAATTTCTACAAGAAAAGCGATATATATATATATATATATATATATATATATATATATATATATATATATATATATATATATATATATATATATGATGACACTATATTCTGGGATATCATCCGTTCGCTCGTTGAACTCCGACTGGAATCCTGCATCCGACTGGTTTAGCCATAAGAAACAAACAAACAACATCTGCTTTGTTTCAGCACCAACATCAGACAGGCCATAAAATTGATTTCGGGACTTGCAAACAAATAGCTAATATTCCTGATTTTAGGACTAGGATTATACGAGAGGCCATCGAAATAGAAAAGTCTGGACACCTCAATACGAGACACGACGCTCTGCATTTACGATCTACGATCGGGCGAAATTAACAACGCGACAATTCGGGGGGCGGAGCCACCTCCCCCCACGCACAAGCAGCACCGTTACCATCTCCGGCGCAGAGTATAAATACCGCATGCACCGCCGATAACCTCCCAGTGTTCGAAGTGTTTTCGGAGCGCGAGCATTGAAGATGCCAAGTGAGATTTTGGCGAAACGTCTGCAGGATTCCAGTCGGAGTTCAACGAGCGAACGGATGAGATCCCGGAATATAGTGTCATCACATTTTTCCATCCGTGAATCAATACGTATATATATATATATATATATATATATATATATATATATATATATATATATATATATATATATATATATATATATATATATATATATATATATATATATATATATATATCGGTTTATTTGTTGCCAAATCTATTAAAAAGTATTTTTTATCTCAGAAAATGTTTAAGAGAGTACATTTTACATAAAAAAGTTCCAGAATGTTTCACAGAATCTAAAAATGTAATGACATACAGGATGTTTCATTTCAAAAACGAATGTTGATATACGTTACGAGTAGATCTGGCAACACCGCAGTCGTTCTCCATAAACGTCTAATAGGACGCTCACCGTGAATAACCCTGTATACCGTAAGTAATTAAATTTCTTTTCACTAGTTCGGACAACGCGCGGTCGAAAGTAACGCAGCCGCCCTCACCCCGTCGCGATGTAATTAGTATCGCGTTAAATCGATAAACTATCAGCCGCCGGATGTGATAATAATACTTAAGGGCCGCCGTGGCGGGCCCCAAAAGCAAACAACGTGCGACTCGACAGGTGAGACATCTCCCTACGAACGTAATTATTTTTTGACAGCCCCTCGTAACGCGTGAAAGCTCCGAGGCGAGCCAGACGCGGCAAAACGATTAATTGGGTCGGATACGACTGCCTAAACTTTCATTGGGACACCCTGTATACAGGGTGTACATTACTTCATGTTTTATTAAAACCACTGTCGAAATACGACAAACATACAGCGCGTTTCGAAGTACACGCCGCCCGATTTTGTTGAAACTCGGTAACATCATGATCAACGGATAAATTTGCTTCAACTAGATACAAAGACGTATACTAACTAATATTATTGTCATTGAGATGTAAGCTACTGACCATTTTGCAATTTTTATTACATTCGATACGCCACTAAAAATTAAACTTTTTTTACTCGTTCTCAAGCGAAGAAATAAAACTTATGAAAAGCTTCAAAACATTTTCTATGAACAATAATTTTATGGACTCCTTCTTTTTATATATTTATACTTATTTTTATATAATCTTTAAACGCCCCATATCTTGGAAACTAACATCAGTTTAAAATGATTCGAAACGTAATGGGAAGACGTAAGCTTAAAAAAAACCTAAAGACATCAAAATGTGTTGAAATGAAGCCAAAGTTCTATTACTTGCAAAAAAAAAATTGTCTAGAGTAAAGCGCCTTATTTTATTAATTGAACTGAGGTGGCTTTTACTTGATGAAAATCCATTTAACACAAATAAATTAGAACAAAAAATGTCCGGATTTGAGCAGTTAGTTATGATTTTATGACATCTGTTTCGACAGCACCGTGCCTTTATCATATACATAATATGAAATATTCCGACACCTATATATACAATCGGGTAATAATAGATTCTTAATTACAGGTATAGAGTGTAAATTTAAATTTAACAAGAATTGGTCATTAAGAAATGGATTCGAATATCTCATTTTATTAATCTCCACAGCTAGCAATAAATTTAGTTGTTTGCTCTTTGTTTCATTAAGGAAAATATCAAAATTATCATCAAACTTGTGTATTTCTGAATTTAAGTGAATGACATAGAGTCCGAACTTTTATTTTTATACGCTCTTTTATATTCGTTAATAGATATTTCATTTCAACGCTTTAGTTTTATTGTTTTTTAAAAAAATTCCAACGGTGTCTTCAGTTTTAAAAGCAATCTTAAGACTAAATTTAGATAGATGTTCCTAATTTCTCTTGCTAGGTTCTCGTATGCATTTTATTGTTTTATAACTTTAGGGTTCGGTATTTAATATGGGAGTTATTTGAAACTGTTTTTTAGTTATCTTGTCTATTAAAGAGGGTTTGTAACTATTGTTAAATGCTATTTGTTTTATAAAATTTAATTCTTTTTCAAAAATTTCTGTGGAAGGTGGTATAATAAGTAGTCTGCGGATCAAAGAATAAAAGCAGCCATTTTGTGTTTGTGTGATGGTGATTTGAGTTATTATGAGTCACTGTGTCCGTGTGTGAGGGTTTATGGTAATTTGTTCTGTAATTTGGTTACATTTAAGTACAGAACGTTATTTACTTCCGTCTCTATTGTAAATTTTATACGATTATGTATGGAGTTTTCCGTATTGTCTATTATGCGTCAATCGGCTAGGCAAATGAAACTAGAATTGAGGAATTTAATGTCTTTTTGATAACTTATCTGGGTTTAAAGGGAACATGATATTCTAAATTTTTTATTAATTTTGTTGAAAGTTTAGCTGATGGTTCTGTTACAAAAGAAACGATAGTGTAACGATGTGTGTGTGTGTGTAATTTAATTAAATAATATAATTTTGGAGGTTGTTTTTGGTATAAGTGGGATCATATTGTGTACTTTGATATATGTCTGCTTTAAGAAACTGTTTGGTTTTTGAAATGTCGAGAATATTGAGGATGGATAGCCATGACTGTCATATTGTGATATTTTTTAATTGATAAAGGCACGGTGTTGTTGAAACAGCTACCATAAAGTAATAACTAACTGTGAAAATCTGAACGTTTTGTGTTCTAATTTAATTGTGCCTTATTTTATTGTTTATTTATTATTATTAAACTTCAGGTTCAAATGATTTAAAACGCAATGCAACGTTCAATGGTATGCCAACAATTTTTTCTTGGTTTTTTTAATGTAATAAATAGATAGATAGATAGATACCATGTATAAATATTATGTCCTACCTCTCCCTTCTTAGACCTCGTTTTTTAAATACTATCATGCTATAGTTTTTATTAGACTAAAATATTGATGAACACGTACGTTCCGACAAGTACAAACTTACATGTTGTGCAAGTTTTTCAGCGGTGCCAACACGGCCTTGTCCACCGATCTGAACCGGTTTCTTTCCAGTTTCCTGAAACACGAGAGACATCGTGTCAGATGCCCCGCGACAGCACACGCGGGGTATTTCAAAATCGAATTACTTTCGACTTACAACGAAGTTAACCGTGGCACGTCTTGAAACGCTCCAGCTTCGATCGAATCGATCACGTTGTCGTTGAGAGTTCTGAAATCCGAATCCGAATTAATTTTCGACGAGGCATTCGGCCGCGATATTTTCCTAGTGGCAACAATCGCGCCGCTATAATCGAAACTAACCAAAACCCACCGAAACTAAGATCAACGATTACGTTTTCGACGGTACTGGGCAAAAGTGCTCCTTGTTCAGAAAACCAATGGTTATGATGGTTATTATGGTTATAATAACTCGTGTACTTGACAAATACAGAATTATTTGCGTACTTAGCAAGTATACGAGCTTTGCTAATTGCGATGGCAAGCACGGAGCTCACGTGACTTGTATAGGGTGGGCCGTTTCTCTAGATATTAATTTTAATTAAATTTAATTAAGATATTGCCAACCTTTAATTTATTCTAATTTTGTATATACAGGGCGTTTAAGTTTTCGCGAGTCTCAACTTTGTTATTTTAAATGGATCACCTATTATATTATTTATTTTTTAATTCTATGCAAACAACCTTACATAAAATTGCCTTAATTTTTAATGCTAAATATGATAAGGTTATAAAAATAGGTAGTTTCCATTAAAAAAAAGGTTTTTTTCATTTAATTTTGAATCTTACCCTGTATTAATATATATCGAATTTTCTTATGAAATCCGTTGTTCGAGTTCTTTGTTTACAACAAAACTTACTTAAGGGAAACGATAAATGCTTCCGTATGAAGAAATTGGCCAATATTTTACGTCTTGCAAACGTCATGTTTCGCACAAAAAATTGAAAATGTCAAAAAACTCTTAAACTTAGGTATAGGACATTATACACGCAACATGAATACATAGAATTAAAAATAAAGAATATAATAGGTGTTCTATTTAAAATAAGAAAGTTGTTCTGCGCCCACGAAAAATTAAACACCCTGTATATACAATATTAAAATAAATTGAAGGGCTATAATACCTCAATTAACTTTTGTATTTAACTTTGGATTCCATCCCCTGCCGTTTCTGATATTAAAAACTCCGCTTATTTAATTCAATTAAAACAAAAAGAAAAAGGGCAGAAGAAAATGGTGGATGGTGTCATTCATCAGTTCATTTATAGCACACTGGACTGATATGTTATCTTGTATTCTTTTCCACGCATCATTGACGGCATCAAGATTTTTATGGTCTTTATGTTTCGCCATCCAAATGACAGGCTCATTTCCCATCAAATCACGAAACACAATGTCATTTGTCCACTCAAATTCAAACTCAAACCGTCTGCACGCTTCTGCTAGGTCTTGGAAGCAATAAAACGCATTTTGTATAAAAGGAGCCGACTCAAGTACTTTACTGCTTTCTTATATGTCTAGATTCATAGAATTACCCAAGATAAACCACATTACAATGTTTCCCCAGTAAAAGCAAAAAGTTTTTGTTTGTGTTTTGTTTTGTATTTTATTTTTGCCCAAGAGCGTTTCAACAGAAAATTTTCCTCCTCCTCCTTTTATCGGATGCTGAAAATATTATATTCTAACTTATTTTATGTTACTTGCTTTGCTCATGGTATTAAAAGGGTGGAGAATACTTATCTTATGCAGACCAGTTTCCATTGGTAAATGATTTAATTAGTCAAGTAAAAAAAGTATTTCTAAAAGCACCTGTTATAAAAAAAATTGTCCAAACATTTCATTACTACCACAACCAGTAATAACTCGCTACGTTAACAGCTGCTATATTTTATGCCGAGAAATCTGAATTAGTTAAAAAATTTAATATTCAAACATATTATTCTTTTGTACCTACAGCACTCGCGAAATTGTTTCTATGACAGATTGAGTGGGCTTTAATAAATCAATTTTAGGTAGACTACAAAAAAGTTTCAGGTACCTAAGTAAAAAATATTTGAGAAGTTTTGATAGGCAATTTCATTAATCTTGAAAGAGAAATGGGTTTGTATAAATTTAAAACGCACTTAATTCCATTTGTTTACAGATAAAAGACGCAATTTTCTTTTGGGAAATTTTCAAAAACAAATGTTTTTATAACTGCGAAGGATAGTCTGTTAAGAATTGTATATTATGCAAGTTGCTATTATTAATTGTATTATTTTTTTATAATCGCAAATAATACTTTGTCACTCGAAGATGTTTATGTTTTAGATTTTTTGTTTTGCAATTTGCTATGTAAGTATCAATGTGTGTATCTGTGAATAACAACTTTTATTACTAGTTTGTTTATGAAGAAAGTCTGTGGGATAGGTAAAAAAATATAGGATTTTTGAATAACAAGTTTAATTATAAAGCAATGGTTCGGGCTTTATTTACAAGAGAGCACATTAGTTAGTTAGTAAAGTGATATCGTTGCATTTAATTTTTTTGAAAAAAATAAATTTTATTTATTGCAATGCTGGAAAACACTGTAGCGCAGACGCAAGCAATGGAAATCAATCCGCCCAGGCCAGCGTTGATGGAACAAGAAGAGACCTTTTCAACGACTCCGAGTTTGACCAAATGCATTCTGAAGTTATTGACATTTATTTCCGAAAATGTTCGAACACCTCCACCACTTGCCTTTAAGAGATAGCTGTACAGTATCTATCTATTTTAGCTATCTGTAATATAAGATCATTGCGGAATTTTAGTCAGGGATTTATGTTATGTTATGTTACTATCCTATATTCGCTAAAATTTTTAATGCTGTGAAATTATTAAAACTTTTAATGGGCAAATAAGATGATAAGAAATTATGACTTGTTTTTTTTCAATAACGATATTAAATTGCAACTTTGTTAAGGCCTGACGATCGAGTTAGTTAGTTATAAGCCATTTTAAAGAAGTTTGGAGAAATTCTGTCCGGATCCGCTCAATTTTATTGTCGGCCAGCAAGCTGTGTGCAATCAAACAAAAAAAAGAGGCTTTGTTGTCATTTTTACCCACTTACTATCTTACTTGATTAATTCCTTTATGCCCGAGTGAAGGGAAATAAATGACGCTTTAATGATAATGTAATTAAATCATACGATACCGCCTTAGTTCAACGCATTAGTATTTGCCGTTAATCCCTAGTGTTCACCACCGAAAAGTGACATTGGCATGAAAGTACTCGTTGGGTCACTTCGTAGCATACCTAATTGTTACATATTGTTGATTATTCAGTCGCGCGCAATGTTGCCACTAGTTTCGCTGATTACCGACAATTTAAAAATTGCTATACTTACAGTCCTTCTAGGTTCGTCAGGTTCTTGAAAGTTCCATTGCTGATGTGCTCAAGGCGGTTGTTGGAAATGTATCTGGAACAAAAACGATCCGGTTTCCAATAGATTGAAGGGTATGGTCTGTTCATAGATATAAGAAAGTGAGCAATTGCTTTTGAATGGGATTATCCAAGGGTGGTCATTAACATGCAATGCAACAAGATTATTACCTAAAGTTTCGGAATATAAATTCAGGTAAAATTGTGGTCCGTAATAGAAAATAATTTTATACCTACCTGCGTTTAATATTTTTTGGTTTGGTATACTACTTAGTTTAAGTTTACTAGTAATTATTCTTATTTCGTGTGTAATACAGCGCGTGTTGAATAGTGTGTGAATTATGCAAAATATGTGCAAGTCTAGTGTATCTCAGGAGATGCTCAAACCCAAATGTAGAAAACACTATTCTATTGAGACTAAGAAGGTTATAAACAATATTTATTTGGCTCTCATTGAACATGGTGTCAGCAAGCAAGCATCTTTACAAGAAACTGACATTTTCTCGAGTGTAGATGAAAGTGATCAAGATATAATACGGCGTAAAATTTACCAGTTATACGAGGAACAAAGCGTGCCTACATTGGATATCATAATTAGGAAGCTTGAAAAAGATGAAACCGGTGTTAAATGTGGCAGAACTACCTTATGGAAGTGTTTGGGGTTTTAGGTTTTAGATTAAAAAAAATTGACAAAAGGCAAGATTTAATGGAATCTTCTAGAATTCGGAAATGGCGATGATTTATTATATTATGATACCCCAGAAAAGGGTTGGGTTGACTCAACCGATAAGTGTAAAACAAACGCGCCATCAAAAAGAGGTAAAAGAATAACTATTTTGCATGCTGACTCTAAAGATGGTTGGATTCCAAATGGACTTTCTCTATCTGCGAAAAATATTAAAGATTCTTCTCTGGAATACCATGAAGACACTACCGCTGATTTATTTGAAAGTTGGTTTAAGAACAAACTAGTTCCAAACATTCCTCCTAATAGCGTCATTGTAATAGATAATGCAAGTTATCACAGTAGACAGTTGACTAAGATCCCTTCCTTATGTGACACAAAAGCAACAATCCAAAACTGCATTTGTAATAACGACATTTATTTTCACGAAGATTATACCAAAGAGCAATTAATTGAGGTTCTACAAAAGGAATACGTCTGTGATAATTACGCAAAAAATCTAATATACAACAATTACAGTTTTAAGGCTTCCTCCACCTTACCACTCTATATTTATATTTTTTCCCGTGTTAACTTCAATGTTCTCAAATTTATAGAAACCGAAGTTTTTAACATCCCTCCACAAAGTTGGGCAAATTCTGTTAAACATATAGAAAAAGCACATAGCACATAGAACAAATAATAATTAGAACAGGCGATGATAGCGATAGTGATACTGATATATTATGTGAATAATTTTAAGTGATTTAAGTAGGTAATAAAAATAATTTGTAATCTTATTTTATATTTAAACATAAATATATACACAAACAAATAAATATTGTTTAGTATCTTTCCTAACAAAACTCCAAATAATTAAATTCCAAGCAAAGTACGGACCTGTTCGGCCATATTTCATTCTTACAGCCTGCCCGGGTCTTCCCTTAATTCGTATCAGTTAGTCACTTTCTTATATCTATGAACAGACTTTAATTACAAAGAAAAGATTGTTAATTTACCAATTGTATGTTGTGAAAGTTTCTATTATCTGAACGTATCAATGGTATTGTTCAATTGTTAATTGTATTTTATATTGCAGCATTTCAAGGAATTCTACAGACATTCTACAAAACGCGCATTCACGTACAAGATCTGACGTTCTGCATACACATAAACGTCCGTCTAGGGACAAATTAAAATAATCATTTTGAGAGACATAAGCTTTTAGCTGCACTTGGCAACTGCGCTCGTCACCGCCCACGCGCACAATCCGACTCGTCTATTATCCACATATTGTGGTAGTAATAATATAAATTTTTTTACGCTATTTTGTGAGAGTTGAGTGAGACCGAGATATGCCTTTTTCTTCTGCCTCGATTCTGCAAAGTTCCCGTGTTCGTGCGTTGGTAGGCGTTAATCAGAGCCAATTTTAAGGCCCTTGTTCCGGATTCCATCCGGTGAAATGGAATACTCGGGATCTCCATTTGCTCGCTCACTGATTGCAAATTCAGGACGAACACTAGCGCGTTGCCTCGAAGTCAATTTATTTTGCAGATATACCCCTAAATTGGGGTGTGTAACGGTTTCCGCTCCCGATATGTATATTTTTATCACGATGCGGTGGTAAATAAACTTCGCAAGTTCCCTTTTAAAACACGAAGAACAAATCCAAGTCCGCAATCGAACAACGTATCCCAATATGCGTCTTTCATGCTCGAAGATTGGCCAGTCAAGTTTCCTACGTCCTGGCGCTGTTTTTCCTGGAATCTTCTTTTCTTTTCTTTCACATAATGTGGCCCAGGTATTGAAGGTTGCGGCATTTCACTATTTCCATGAAGGTTTTCATTCTCCGTTACACTTCTTCATTAGTACATTCATTAGTTGGGACATGGTTTCCTGTTTTAACCGAGTACACACAGGAGCCTTTTCTTTACTTCCAGTGAGAGATTGTGGCTCGTGAATACTTGACCCACAGCAATTGTGGCCTTTCCACCGCATCTCTTAAGAATTGTCCCACAATTCATTAATTATATTGTGAGACTATTTCGATTCTTGTTTGGTTTATGTCCATTGATGTCTTTCTTACTTAAGTTTAGTTTTACCGGTGTTTATATCAAATTCATATTGTTTACTTGTCTCTATAACTTTGCTTTTATAAGCCTTAGCCATAATAAAGCCAAGGAATATATTTTTTTTATTTTTTGTAATAGAGTTAAACAACGGACTTGCGCTGATGGCTATGACAAGATGTCCTTCGTGATGTAAGATAACTTTTAGTAGAAACTAACCATTAATAAAATTTAAATTGTTAAAATTGTTTTTATATTTGAAATAAACCTTGCACTGTGTTTCCCAAACTATAAAATAATATTTAATGTATTGATGCAAATTATGTACGACTGCAGCCACCAATATGAATATTCTCATGCCGACCCTGTGCTCATTTGTCGCGGGTTCAGGTTGAAGATGTGATCTACACAAGTAACAAGAATGGCACTTCGATGCCGAGCCACCCTTAACTTTTATTTTACAGACGATTTTAACGTTTTAAAACGGGTTTCCAGAGCTTTCGTAAAATGCAATTCATTTTATCGGATTATCCCATTTGGCGGATTTTGAGCGCGGCCGAGGAGGAATTGGATTTTCCCGTCTCGTAGTTTAAATCTTAACCTGTGTAATTCGAGGTACTTTTTCCTGCTGTTTTGCTGCCTATTACCGTTCGTTACCAAAAATGAGATATTGCGAGAGGAAATGATTTCCCTTGTCGGTTGAAGGCTTAAAATCCTATTTCCAACTCGAGTGCGAACGCGCTTAATCGACTAATTCGGTAAAATCAAAAAATAAAGAATCGTTGAAAAGGCCGGCATGTAGCCAACGCCGAAAAGAAGAAGAAACTCGATTTAACCAAAGGCAGAATGTTATTGCCTATTTTTTTGTTTAGTCTTATTTTTTCGTAATGTACTGTGTAATTTGTCTCTTGAAAGCTTGCTTTAAGGTAGACTTGGTTAGGTTAAATGAGAGCCCTCTAAATTCAATATATATGCGACAAGCGCGACAAAAATTACAACTAAAAGCTAAGTAGTTTTAATTATCCTTTTTAAAATATAACCTAAAATTTCTGCAAACTGTAAACTCACAACAAAAAATCTGAGCGAATTTTTCTGCCCTTTAAATGTCTAGTGTAATTTTTACTTATTGCCGTACGTTACGAATATGCGAAAACGTTAAGCCAAGCACTTAACTAGTCGCCAAACGTCCCTAATTTCTTCGTGCCCGTTATCTCATTTAGACGGGCGGGCAGTTGCAGTTAAAAAGATATCACACACATAACCATAAACGTGAAATACACGGGAACGCGAATTTGAAGAGGGCGAGTGTTTTCTCGTTCAATTTTCCGGAAATGGGGTGGTCTTTAGAGCGAATTGCGGAACAGTTATGCAACAGATCGGCGGATCGCACTTCTGAGCTCTGAGAACTTTGTAAGACAAATTGAATAGTTATACTATTTACAAAATATCTGGATGAGTCGGTTGTTGTTGAATCGACCTTGGCAACGTTTCGCCAATCATCCTGTTGCCTTATGCGGAGCTTAATTGAAACTGGCTCCCATTTTACTCTGTACCTGCTTATGTATTGTTTGAGAAGGCCGAACTAAATGAAGGGGGGGGGGCATAAACATCGTCTCGGATGACTGATTCCCATATTGGGAATCGAAGATGTTGAGAGATTTTTAGACAAGTAATAAATCTGGTTTTGACGTTATATTTCAGACTCTTCTGTCTCTACATTTTGACATTTTGAAATTGCTTCCATCTTGTCCCGAGTTCGTTACCCTTTCAAACATTATTCACGACAAAGTTTTAAACCTTCGTTTATCTTCTACCCAAAATCACATTCATAAATTTGAAAAACTAACGTCAACACTAGTGAAACCATCAAATTCTTATCAGCGACCACTGACATGCCTTCTTGTAGTAGTAGAAATGTCTTTTTCCCTAGTAGAGTTACGAGAATAACCTCGCAAAATTCTATTAAACTGGATTTTCGTTTGCACTTTTTTGCTAGAATGTAATAACCACTGTCTATCATTTCTTATACATTAAGAATGCATAATCAACTGGTCGTATAAAAATAGTGCGGTGCAGGGTGGGGGGGTGAATTTTCAAAAAAATTTCAATTTTTTTAATTTTTTTTGTTGTCTACACCGTACTGCTATTAAATCCACCAAACCACGCTTTTCAATATTTGCTTTTATATGGGAGTCTAACGAATAAACGCTTGCTCTGAAAACTCATTTTTATGTTATCGTTTACCTCGCTGTAACTTGAAAACTATTTGTTTTATCAAAAAAGTGTTTTCTATAAACGATATGCATTAATGATCAACGAATCCGTTATTTTTTTAAAAACCCCAATCTGATATACAGTTTTTTTTTTAAATTAGCAAAATGTGAAACCATGTCGTGAATATCACGGCCGCCAGCGAAGCTGCGAGCAAGGGTCAGATTTGCGAGGACGGTCAGACAATACACCACTTTGCGGTTCCGACGTGCGCTTGTAGACCCGCTTTCGCAGCGAGGACGATTTTATGTATTGTTTGTCTGCGTTTTAAGTGTCAAAATAGTTTGAGGAAGTGAAGTAGTTTTTAATGTTACTAAAATATATTTATTTTTGGGCGAGAATGATAAATAATAACGCATTAGTTATAATTTTCATTCAAATGGTCGATATAAATTTACATAATAATGGATATTAAAAGGTATCAGTTCTAATAGCGAATTTGAATCTATCTATATATATATATATATATATATATATATATATATATATATATATATATATATATATATATATATATACATATATATATATATATATATATATATATATATATATATATATATATATATATATATATATATATATATATATATATATATATATATATATATATATATATATATATATATATATATATATATATATATATATATATATATATATATATATATATATATATATATATATATATATATATATGCCTTTTACTTCATTCTGAAGTAAGATGGCTATCTTTTATCTAGCCGATATCTCAGAAAAACTAAATATATTAAATAAGCAACTTCAAGGACCAAATAAAACACTTGCCCAAGCAAAGGCAAAGATATTTGGTTTCATTACCAATATAACGTTATATCAGAAACATATTAACAATAAAAATATTGAACAGTTTCATTGCCTCAAAAAATGTGAAGTAACTGATACCGCTTTACTTGTTGTCAATCCCCTGATTTAAAAGAAAGATTTTCCGATTTAAGGCAAAATGATTTCCTAACAATATTAGTGGATTTATCTGACATATCAAATATGCAGTATCAAGAAGAACTCGCGGAAATGCAGTAAACATTTTATTTAATATAAAATGAGCGATGTTGCTTTAACTGAATACCCAGATGCAACCAAAAATACATGGCAACTTTTACTACCGTTTCCATCTTCATATTTGGCCGAGTGTGGATTTAGTGTTGTAAATAATTTACTCATAAAAAAGAAATCGACCGGATATAAGACAACGTGGAGACTTGAGATTAAGGCTAATTTGAAGCCTAATATAAAATCTCTGTGCAGCAAGCATCAAGCGCAAGGATCGCACTAAATTAATATAGTAAATCTGCATTAAATTAAATTATTATATTTACTGTTTTTGGATAGCAATGTTTTAATGTTAAAAATTAGGTATGGGGGCATAAAAAATTTAGAAATGTTACAGTGGGGCATGGCGCAAAAAAGGTTGGAGAACACTGGTATAGGGTATTGTAATAAAAGAATAAGAAAGTAAGTTGGTTTGAAATAATACTTTCCTACGGCTTAACCGTTAAATAAGCAACCGAGCGGTTAACCAGATTTTGGAAATCTGATCATGTCTCTCTCGGCGTGAATAGACAAATGCGGGCATATCAAAATATCTTCATATCAAAAGTTGACAACAAATAGCGACCAGAAAATTACTATATCCTATTGGGCTTGGTTCATAGCAGAACCAATTTTTTAAATTATAATGGACATTAAGTACCTCCCCCTCCCAACCCCTTGAATTATTTTTCGCAGAACCGCTAATAAGGAAAGGCACTTAAAAACTTGGCGATAAAATTCCCGGTTAAGTATAGGTTTATCGTTAAATTGTACTGTAAAAGACGGCACATTGTTAGGTACGATACTCCGAACGAGTATGGTTTTTCCGATTGCTACGATTCTGGTGGTGCTGTCGCTTTTGAAAACGGGTGAGAGCCACATTTAAGTTTAAGAAAGTTTATTATAGTCTATTTCCATCCAGAGCCATTATTTTTTGTCATGATAAAATAGAATCAACGCTTTCTCAGTCTGTCCAACCGAAAGACCTATTCTCGAATAAACAGGGAGAGGCCAAGGCCAATCAGTGCGTCGGAAGTTCTGTCTAAATGCTGAATTTTCAATTTTTTCCGTTTGTGTCTTGATTTGATGCCACTGTTATACATGGCACTGGTGTACGGTTACCATAAAATAATTAAATGACAACTTTAAATTCAAAAAAATCAATGCCTACCTTTAGTCGTTCTACCCTTAGAGCTAATTTTCTTGTTTGTTCAATAAAAGTTTGGTAAAATGTTGCCAAATTGGTTTAGTCAACTGAAAATGTTTTCTGATATGATGATAGGAATAATTCCTCACTGGCAACACTGCCTGAAATATCAAAATAATACAATATGTCATTAGGAATTGTGCGCTCCCAATAGAAACACGGCCATTTTCTTTTGAATTTTCTGTTCTACCGCTGTCAAGATTAATAAGTTATAAGTATACTAACCACTGGTATCGCAAAAGGGTGTAAGACGGGTGGAACTTATGAATAAAAAATATTTTTTAATAACTTCCTATTCGACGGGAAATTTTATTTTTCAAGAATTTAATATAAGGTTGTTCGGAAAGTCATTTCGTTTTTTCCCGCCAGAGGACTTAATTACGTTTTTTCGAAACCAACTTCACACTTAAGCCGCATAATCATTATATGTCTTGAGAGCTGATATTGCAAGGCTTGTGTGTGGAAAAGTTCTATTAATTCTACGCAGTAGTTTTTAGTTGGTGCCCTTTTAAATATGGAGAGCAATAAGCAGCATTTTCGTCATATTTTACTTTTTTACTTCAGAAAAGGTAAAAATGATGTGTATGGAGAAGGCGTGTTAACAGTACGCCAGTGCCAGAACTGGTTTGCAAAATTTCGATCCGGCAATTTTGATGTCGAAGATGCACCACGGTCTGGAAGGTCGGTCGAAGCTGACAAAGATGCGATAAAGGCATTAGTTGATGCAAATCGGCGAATAACCACACGAGAGATCGGTGAGAGATTAAATTTGTCGAATTCGACTGTTTATGGCCATTTGAAAGGCATGGGCTTAACCTCGAAGCTCGATGTGTGGGTGCCTCATGTCCTTACGGAGCGAAATTTGTGTCGTCGCGTTGACGTGTGTGATTCGCTCCTCAAACGTCAAGAAAATGATCCATTTTTGAAGCGGATTATTACTGGGGACGAAAAATGGGTTGTATACAACAATGTTAAACGCAAGAGGTCATGGAGCAGAAAAGATGAACCGGCTCAAAGCGTGTCAAAAGCCAACATTCACCAAAAAAAGGTGATGCTCTCCGTTTGGTGGGATGTCAAAGGAATCGTTTTTTTTGAGCTTTTGCCGGACAATACAACGATTAGTTCAGAAGTTTATTGTCATCAACTGGACAAATTCAATGATTCACTTAAAGAGAAGAGGCCCGAATTAATCAACAGGAAGGGTGTAGTGTTCCACCAGGATAATGCGAGACCTCACACAAGTTTGGTCACTCGCCAAAAACTTTTACAGCTTGAATGGGACGTACTGCAACATCCACCATATTCTCCAGATCTGGCGCCTTCCGACTATTATTTGTTCCGGTCCCTACAAAATTTTTTGGATGGCAAAACCTTTACCTCAAATGAAGATGTCAAAAACCACCTGAACCAGTTTTTTGCCAGCAAGGACCAAAACATTTACGAGAGGGGAATTATGTTACTGCCAGAAAGATGGCGAAAGATGGCAAAAGGTGTGGGACCAGAATGGCCAATATATAATTTAATAAAATATTTATTCATTATACGAAAACTGTCTTTCATGTTCCCCAAAAAAAAACGAAATGACTTTCCGAACAACCCAATAAAATATTTTCGCTTTAGGAAGATCGGATAACGTATACACTCATAAAGCGTTTGCAATTAGAAATGCCGTTTTTCAGAAATTGGAAGCGCCTTAGTTTCCGCGAAAAATTAATTTCTTTTTCAATAGTAGTATAAGTTATTACAAATTGAGAACGAAAAATTTTAATAGGTAATTTACGATGTTTAGTGTTTTGGTTTGCGCAGGGTACTTTTTGACGTGTTTCGACTGTGACGGCGGTCCACAATCGTATTGCGGTCAGTTGCTACCTCCCGGAATGGACGTATCGTGTAGCCAACGATCCACCCAATGCTACGAAGCTTTTATTATGTACCAAAGTAAGGAAGCGCACGTAATGTTTACTGATTGAGTTACTAATTGGCATTCCTACTAACAAGTCTCGGTAAACACGCGCCCCGTACAATGTTTCGCCACCGAGATTTTAAGATTTTCATTGGAACTCGAAAACCCATATTCCTGAGATCTGGGAAATGAAACAGGAAGAAAACGTTCTATATTATTATATGATTTTTAGCCTATTCCAAGATACCTAGTGTTTAAGCTAGTAAAACGAATACAAGAAAAGTTAGAGTCAAACAAAAAAGCTGGTGATTTCGTATATAAAAGAAATCCTTAAATATAAAAAGTTGTTGAGAAGGAAGTTTTGTTAGTCTAAATTGCTGAATAAAGTTTCTGTCTAAAAGTATGTATCTTTCAATCTCAATCTGCTTCAGGGCTTCCTCAAAATCGACGACAATTTCGTTAAGGTAGTCCCTTATTATTTCGATTTTTTGCTAGATAATAATTTAGTAGTAAAAATATCAAAGGCTAGTAGGTTATAATGTTGCCTTTTTTTCCATTTCTGTCATTCATGACTAATAGAATTGATTTATCCCTGGGGAATAAAAATGTTCCTGTTTTTTAAATAGAAATTTATCAAAAACAAGGCATTTTTGCAAAATTTAAGAGTAGGAAAACTTTATTTAAGTATTGAACTGAGGTGGCTTTTACTTGATGAAAATCCATTTATCAAAATAAATAAGAACTAAAAGTTCAGATTTTCACGAAATTATATATTCATTTGATAAAGACACGGTGTTGTCGAAACAATTTTCATGTAAGAAAATGTAATTTTTCTGAAAATCTGAACTTTCTTGTAGAGGATATGGAATAATATGTTCCAAATGAGATTTGAATGCTGCAAAATGTTTTTGGCAAGAGTAGTTTACCATTAGGCCACGAAAAAGTTTACACACAGTTAATTTTAAAATAAATTTAAAAAAAATCCAAACTTCTACTTCGTTAAACCTGTTATTAGAATATATTTTTCCGTATTCAAGTGCGCCCAAGGCGAGGTCTTCATGCACATAAAACGATTTTACGAATTTGTTAATATTTTAATGTGTTTAACACGAACTGGGCGCCTTGAAATCCTTAAAATGCCCTTGTGATGGAATGAAACCATAGGATAGGTTTTTCGGTTATCTACTTAGTTTAAATTTTGTTTTTCCTAAGGGCACTCAAATTTATTCTGATTTCTATTTCAGTGAAATAATAGGCAAAGGCGCCTATTGGTTTATTCACGCGTTAATTAAAATATTGCGTTACTTATAGCTAAGTGTATATTTTAATTAGCAGCCATTAGAAAATAGTATATTATGCAACAAGTGCGGTAAACGGCATTTGACTCACGAGTGTTGCATACGACCGTCAGTTTTTGGGTACGTTTTCGCAAAACTAGAATACATTCACTGACATGACTGCCAGAATTGGCAAAGGTCAAAATTCAAAGCGTGGGAAATATCTCCGAAAACATCCGATTGCTCCCAAACCCGTGCGGTAAAATCCCGGACATGTCCGAAGTTGCTCGGATTCGTGAGAAACGAAACTGACGTGGTAAAACGACGCTTCCCGCGTGCTATTTTACAGACGGGAGTAGAAAAAAAGAATTTATCTGATTCTAAAAAAGAGAACTGTTCGTTTTGTAACATTTAAGTTTGGACCAGATACAGATATGAATAATTTCGACAAAAACGTTAAATTTCGAATTATATATATTACTAATTATGTTTGATTCCAAATTCACCTTACAAATTAAAATTATTATACAACCTTCCCTATCTCCTACACGTTATGGTATATCTTCCATAACTATTACTGCTATTGGCAACTATTTAATAAATCAATTTACCCTTAAGTAATCTACAAGTAAGATGTATATGGACTTACGTTTAATTTAGACGGAAAAAAATCTCTATAAGAATTGTTTCCATTGTGTTCATATTTGAAAATCTGATTCAGTGTAAAATCCCTTTAGATCACAAAAAAACGTTGATTTCACGTAGCATGAGATGGCGTTAAAAAATGAGCAGGGTCGTATCTAAAATTTCCAAGAAGAATTAATTAAATGATCACAAAATAAATAAAATTGAAATTCTTTGCCAAAATTAGAAAATGTAATTGGACCTGATTTTTGTTTGTGCAGCAAAGATTGTCGCGGAAATGATAAGTTGTCTTCCAAGACAATTAAAACTTTCAAATGAAGTTTCTTCTTAGTTTTGAAGTATTTACTGTGTTAGGAAATGTATTAGAAAGTATTAGAACGTACGTCGTTTTTATTCACACCTCCCACCGGAGTTCTAATCTAATTGTGTTTAAGATGGAGCGTTGGGAATAGTCGAAAGAAGATGCTTCGAACCGAACGGCAATGCAACGGATTTTTGCGCCTCGTTCAAAAGTAAAACGGGCAGACTCCTCAGCTGTAAGAGTTGCACCGGCGATCATTGCAACGGCCATCAGTTCAACGTCAACTGGTCATTGGAAAGCAATCCTACATATTTCACTTCGAGAAATTTGTATGATTCCCACGCGTATGTTTTTTGAAATTTCTGGCGATCTTAAGTAAAGTCCGAAGTAATTGTTTTGTTTACTTGACTCCTACCAGCGCCCAAAACGCGCTTTTTGACAAACCAAAATGATTACGACGCGGTAATTGACAAAATAGACCAAAACCAACGCTACATTTATTTCAGAATTTCTCCAAAAATATCGCATAAAATGCTAGCCGAGGGGATGAAATAGAGACAGCGATAAGTCAGAGAAGTTTTGGTTAGTCTTAATAAGCTCAAATATGAAAAAAAAAATTCAGCGGACCTAGTCATTTGTCTACCAGCCCGTTTAAACCAAAGTACAAATATTGCTAATTCAATGCAACTGTAGAGTTGTTATTTATTATTTATATTCCATTATTTATATTCCATCTAAGATTTTTGGTCCTTGATAATAATTAATTGAGATAATAATAATAGTAATAATAATAAAGGGCCTTTATTCGGTTTCGAAGGAGATATCTTACAAAAATATATAACTGTGGGGACGATATCCAACATAGCATATAAATTACATTGACATTCATTCAAGATGGTACAATTTGATAGTTACTAGTTTTATGATCGCTCTCTATTATGATAAATGTATTGTTTAAGTTTTTGTTTGAATGAAGTTAGTGAGGCGATTGATCTCAGTTGGAGAGGAAGTTTGTTGTAAGCCTTGATAGCATTGTAGGTGAAACGGCGCTGAAACTATGCTGAAGTATGTTTGGGAACGGTAAACAGCACCCCTATGGTGAGTATTAACCGATTGAATATCTGATCCACGACTAAGTTTGTCAAAAAGATACGTCGGACGTTGGAGAGATATTACTTTTTTAATTAAGACGAATCCTCTAGGCTAGTAGATATGTGATCAAATTTACGAATGTTGTATGAGAATCTGAGACAGACATTCTGAAGACTAACCTTGCCCTTTCGAAGTAGGGCAGGCCAGTAAACTACCGTACGGTATGAAATTGAGGAGAGAATTAAGGAATTGGTAAGTTATAACTTAATTGCTGTGTCCAGAATATCTTTATTAAAGTAGAGAAGCCGAAGCTTGTAAAACGACCCACTATGTAAACAATACATAACACATAGTCGTCCTGTCATCCTGAAAATTGTCCCACATCGCGCATGCGCGTTGTTACTTAGTTTTGCGCATGCGCCATAAAAGTCGGTCCCAGCTGTGTCGTTTCTTTAAGTCGGATTTATCTGGTATAACTTCAACGTGCTATGAATCGTGTTTCTACATCGTATTCGGGTCGAAGTTGCTTAAAAAATCATTTCGCTGTGCAAACACTTCGGTAATAAAGCAATATGGACGGAGCTTTCCGACTGGATAAATCATGGCTCTCAACGAGACCCACAAGCGGTCCGACGAACGTAAACAAAAATAAAATCAAATTAAATTGAAGGGTATCCGTGATAGAAACCAGTGTCGCGCTCTAGCTTTCCGTCATGTACACTGCAGGTTATTCTTGAAAATCGAAGGAATTTCACTATTCAGGGAGATTTTACGGTTTCTATACCCCCAAAAATTCTCTGGAAACCAAAAATTCGTATTCTTGAAGTCGGGGCATAGAAATCAAACAGGACACGACAGGATTTCCACCAATGGACGTCAATAATTTAATCACATCCCCCAGGTATATTATTCTATGATATTGATAGTCAACTGAGCAAAAAAATAGGTAATGTCATTATTATATTTTATTTTCGTTCCCGTTTCGTGGTGTTTGCCATCAACTCTAATAAAATGAATCAAAGAAGGATTAACACAAGTTATTGAACAATTGAAATAACTTAAGGTATGCGGACGACACCGCTATAATTGCGGACAGTCCCGAAGGTCTGCAAAATCTAATAAATAAAATAACAACGGTAAGTGACCGCATGGGGCTACAAATAAATACAAAAACGATTGTAATAAGCCGAACCCGAAGAATACGCGGGACAGTTATATCAAAAGTGCAGAAATTTAGATATTTGGGTTGCTGGATTGGAGAAGATCTAAATCCTGATGTGGCGATAAGAACAAGAATAGAAATGGCCAGAGCAACATTTTTGAGAATGCGAAACTTGCTAAGTGACAAAAGCCTTAACATCCAAATCCGGTATAATTTCGTTAAACGCTATGTGTTTTCTGTGCTATTGTATGGGGTCGAGTCGTGGACGCTAAAGACTAGTACGCTAAACAAATCAGAGGTGTTAGGTTTATCGACGTATGCTGAGAATACGCTGGACTGACCATGTAAATAACGAAGAGGTATTACTAAGGATGAACAAAGAACGGGACCTCATAAACATCATTAAGAAAAGGAAAACGGCCTACCTCGGACAGATCATGAGAGGCAACAAGTATGCATTTGTAAAACTTATAATAGAAGGTAAAATTGTGGGTAGACGAGGGCCGGGGCGGAGACAAGGCTCATGTTTAAAGAACGTGAGGGATTGGACAGGGCTAGACTCCCATACATTGCTGAGGAGTGCGCAAGATCCAAACCAATTTGCCATGATAGTTGCCGATGTTCATTGAATGGAGTTGGTACCTTAAGAAAAGAAGATTCAACCTCCTGCAGAGTCTCCTCTAAACCAACATTGATAATATGTCCTAGTACACAAGTTCGTTAAAGTCCTCCATTATTATTACGATTTTTGGTTAGTTATAGTTATAAATTAATTAAGTAGTAAAAATATCGTGAAAAAGCACAAAAACAAAAAAAAACAAATCTGTATATTATAATCTTGTCTTTTTTCTGATTTCTATCATTTATGACGAATATAATAAAATTTTTGAATGACGCCTTGCCTACAACATTTTTATTTCCTAAAATTCAACAATAATGATCCAGGGTAGAATTGGTTTGCTCCCGAGAAATAGGGAGCACCCCTCATTCCCCCCCTAATGAATATGAAAAAATGCTAGTAATGTTATAAAGAAAGCTAAAAGTGAAACGTCATATTATATCGCATATATTTTTGAAAAGGGTAACTATCCTAAATTTTGTTATTAAAAAGATTGTAAAAATTGTTCTCTTGTAAATTAAAACAAACAAAACGGAGGATATTATAGGTATTATTATAGTCTGGATATCGTTAAACCAGGGCATGAGCAATTAAAGAAGAAGAACCTTAAGTCAAAACCATATAACTGAAAATTGTACTATAATATTTCTGTTATCCGGTACAGTATATGTCGTTCGTTTTATCGTTAAGGTTTCTGGGGATGTCTTGCTTTCAGGGTCATCAGTCAAGCACCCCGAGGCTAAAAAAATGCCGCCCTTAAGAATCGGGACGAGGCGATTTTATAAGGACACTCCGGGTTATTGACACAAAATGGAGAACATCGTTTATTTGTTCCAATTTCGAATCGGGTCGAGTTCGCTTAAAAAGATCGTCGTCAAATTGACCCCCTTTTATTATTACGAGAGCGTCTCGATTTAAAAGGGGTCGAAAATACATTTTATACCGATTTTTAAGAATTATTCATTTCGGTTTTGTATAAACCGAGCAGAAAACGTGAATAAGGGGGGAAATAATGTAAGAAATTGTAAAAAAATTATAGAGTAGCGAGTAGTTCCAAAAGCAGTTCGAAAAATGTTTTGTATGACCTTTAATAATTACTTTTGGAACTATTATTAACAGAACGCACATCAAATGCAAAACAAATATTAATTCGCCATTCATCTGCATTCATTACGGAGAGTTTTATGCCGATTCAATATTCATTAAAAGTTTAGTCACGTATTCATTTTCGCTAATGGTTTATGTAGAAACATATTTTGTGCAAATTTCGTACCTATTGTTTGGGTTATTACGCTTTCCCAAATTTTATTTTTCATGGAATCGTTGACTAGGATATGTAGTTTTACTATGATTTTCATATCGCCCAGAGTTTCAATAAATATTTTCAAAAATACGGATTGTCGAATTTAAAAAGGTTCTAATATAATATAGTTTATATTTTTATAAATCTTTGGGGTTTTGTTAGGAAAGATACTAAACAATATTTATTTATTTGTGTATGTATTTATGTTTAAATCTAAAATAAAATTACAAATTATTTTTATTACCTACTTAAATTACTTATAAATATCATCGCCTGTTCTAATTATTATTTGCAATATGGATAGACGATTGTTCTGCGTTTTGTTAGGAAAGATACTAAACAATATTTATTTATTTATGTTTAAATTTTAAATTTTAAAAATTTAAAGACAGAGAAAGTCCATTTGGAATCCAACCATCTTTAGAGCAAGCATGCAATAGTTATTCTTTTACCGCTTTTTGATGGCGCGTTTGTTTCACACTTATCAGTTGAGTCGACCCAACCCTTTTCCGGGGTATCATAAGTGTCGAATCAGGTTTCATCCAAGTAAATAATTGGCCTTTGTTGTTCTCTGTAAATCCTAATTTTTTCTAGATATTCCAGTCGCCATTTCCGAATTCTAAAAGATTCAATTAAAACTTGCCTTTTGCCAATTTTTTAAAATTAAAAACCAATGTGTTAAATACACTTCCATAAGGTAGTTCTGCCACATTTGACACCGGTTTCATCTTTTTCAAGCCTCCTAATTAAGATATCTAATGTAGACACGCTTTGTTCCTCGTATAACTGCTAAATTTTACGCAGTATTATATCTTGATCACTTTCATCTACACTCGAGAAAATGTCAGCATCGCTTCTTTTTTTCCTCGCTGAAATGGGATTATTCACAATTTTCTATACAGTTCATGTTGGAATGTTCGTCAATGTGGCCATTTCTTCTATAAATGCTTGCTTGCTGACACCACGTTCAATGAGAGCCAAATAAATATTGTTTATAACTTCCTTAGTCTCAATAGAACGGTGTTTTCTACATTTGGGCGGGAGCATCTCCTGAGATACACTCGACTCCCACATATTTTGCATAATTCGCACACTATTCAACACACGCTGTATTACACACGAAATAAGAATAATTACTAATATACTTAAACTAAGTAGTATACCAAACTAAAGAATATTAAACACAGGTAGGTATAAAAATATTTTCTATTATGGACCACAATTTTACCTGAATTCCGAAATTTTAGTTAATAATCTTGTTGGATAATCCCATTAAAAAGCAATTGGTCACTTTCTTATATCGATGAACAGACCATACCTGCATAAAAGCTATAAGCTGCTGTGCGTCAAATCATAGCGAATTCAACTTGGAGACGATAGAGGGTCTTATGGTGTCAGTGACGTCTCTCGAATGTCAAATTTCAATGGAACCAATAGATCGTATTGAAAACTGGAGACATTTTAAAGCCACAGTCGAAAGTTTGAAACCCCAACGGCAAATTCATCAAACTTTATGGTTAATTAATAATTTTTCTTTGTTACGAATCTCATCAACACTCTAATCCCACTTCTGAATTTCCCGACGGCCTTTATATTCTGCCGTATACGCTTGTCAGTCGATAGCGAGCTACTTAAATTCGATTTAGGGGGGAATTTCAATCCGAGAGCAAAAAGAACCGGCAAAATTTAAACCTGCCAAGTTTTTTCTTTCTCTGTTCGTTAACACGGATTGACATAATTTTTGCAATTCATCAATGTCGGTCGAACTTCGACGGAAAATAAGTAGCGCGGTACGTGGGGAAACTACAGACCATCTCGGGAAGTTCATCAAGCGGTTACCATTTTTAAACACGTCACTTGCATATGCTTATTGTTTGTGTAAGCAATTGGTGTTTATAACAGAGACTGGTTTTAAATGCTTGGTGTAAATTCTACAAATTCAATAAACAACAGTACAACATTCTTAATGATTTCACACAATCGGATGAAATAGTGGAGTATCCGAACATTTTATCAAATAAATTAAGATTCTGAACATGACTTGATATGGCAACCGCAAGTGAAATGTTCAAGATTATTTTTAATTCAAATTTAAAAAATACCTAATTTTTTAAAATTACGTATTACGAAACCAACTCCAGTGAAAAGTATATACTATAGACAATATGTAACACTACAACAGCTTACCTTGTTTTGGTCCCTGTAACCCGGTAGCTGCGGTTAAACAGGTAAGCTGATGGAACCAATCCGGGATAGACTTAAAATAAAAGTAATTTAATTATAAATAAGGTAGTTTAAGGTTGCCTCAAAAAATAAAATCATAAGAAATAGAAGGATTGCACGTATTTACTTCTCATCGTGGAAAAGACAGAAGAACCGTCACCATTTTCTAAAATATCATCTGTTTCTAAAGGCATCTGGTCTCTCTCAAATAATAATGCAAAATTTCAATACAATTTTAATCTCAAAAATTCCAGTTTCAGAGTTTGAATTTACTTTCATCAATTTTCGATTCAGTTGGAATACTTTGAGATACTTCATGAAAGCAAAATGGGTGGAGAAAAAATTTTCTGATGTAAATAAAATACAAAAATGAACAATAAACTCACTTCAAGATTTTTAATAAATGCATCAAAATCCTCAGCATTTTTTTAAACAGTTCCTTTTTTGTAACAATCGGAGTGATAACCTTCAAACTGAGTTGAATTTGAGTTAACTCAACGTGAGCGTATTTAAAACCTCATAATCGTCGAAATTACAACTTTAAAGAGCAATGTTTATAATATTTTTCATTAAAATCAATTACTTTTTTTATACACAAAAAACCCTATTTCTTCGTCATGTTCTATTATGGAAAAAAATAAAATATATATGTTCAAAACACTGCTCTGTAATAAATTAATTTATCCTTGTTTTTCCTAAGCGTGAGGAATATGTGCACTCCATGCCTCTGTGCAACCGCAGCACGATGAAGAGAGTAAATACGTGCTGTCTCTCTCTTTCGCTCGCTCCGAATTCTTTAATTTAAAAGTCTTACAACTAGCATCTATGACCAAATTTTTCGAGGCAATCTTATACTACAATATTTATGATTAAATTACTTTTCTTTTAAGACTAGTCCAGATTGGTTGATAAAATAGTGAAACTATTAATATCGACTTACCTGTTTGGCCGAAGCTACCAGGTAATAGAGATCAAAAAAAGGAAGCTACTGTGGTGTTGTATATTGTGTATAGTATATACTTTTCATTAGAGTTAGTTTTATTTTTTTTATATTTAATTTTGAGGTTTCCATATCAAGTCAGGTTCAGAAATTTATTTTATTTGATAAAATGTCATTTTCATCCCGTTGACACTATGGGGAAGATCGATCTTAGCTCTGATCTTACACTAAAACCAAATACATATGAATACTTTTAAATGAGCCAAAAGCATCTTTTTACGTTCTTTTACCATTAAAAAATGGACCTAGAGACAGCGGAGTGACGTAATTATATTAATCTTTATCTAAATCTATCTTACTATTGAGGATAATATTAGTACTTACAAACTCTTCAGGGAGGCCAGATTGGAAAACGCGCCCTCTTCAATCACGGTGATCTTGTTATCTGCCAGCGATATCTGATACACGGGCAGCGGTGGAAACACATCCGTTGGCAGATATTTAATCCGGTTGTTTTGCAGATATCTGTAAACATCGCATTCTCGTTGCCACGCTCTGCCATTTTAAACGCGATAATTGGTTTTTGTTGACGTCACTTACAGTATCGCCAAACTTTGCAGATTGATGAAAACTTTGCCGTCGACTTTCTCGATCTGATTTCCCCTCAGGTCGCTGAAAATAATTAATGACGTAAAAGCGACTGGAAAACGATTATCTGCCGTTATTAAAAAAAAAAAAAACGCGAGTTTCCGAATTTTTGAAGTTAAGTGACCAAACCGACCTCCTTGGCCCTTTTGACTGAAGTACTTACAGTTCGATCAGGTACTTCAAATTGACGAACGCATCTGGATGAATCGAGACGATGGCGTTGTGCATCAAAGACCTAAGATTATAAAATTACCATTGATTCGTAGCCTCAAAGTTTTCCACCACTTACAACGTCATCAGATGGTTTTCTGGTGGGAAAATGTTCGGTGGAATAGTCTTGAGATGGTTGTTGGATAAATGTCTGAAAAGAAGACGGGAAACCGCAAATCCTAAAATTATATTCGAATTCGTAAATATTGTTAGGATGCACAATTTAAAATCATCAGGGCGACAAATAAAACATACATTTTTTAAATTGTTAAACCTTATTTATTTTTTGCAATTTTTTCAACTTTTTGGTTAAAAATGGTACATTTCTAAGAATAATACTTTTTCCAATATTTTAATTTTTCATACTTGCAAAAAAATACGATACCGCCATTACTTTTGAAGGTCACTCTTATTTGACATTAGCGTGAATCAAAAATGATTCGAAAAGGTATATGCAACGGAATCTGAATTAGATGCAACAAGGTGTTCAAAATAAACGAATATATTTAAAACAATTAAAATTAAAAAATATCGATTTTCGCGAAAAAAATATGATCCAATAACTTTAAAATGTTTTATTCCACACCGCACATGGTGGTTTTGCACTTCGACTAACCAGAATGGATTGCCTGTTGAATAATAATGCATGTTATGATGATTAACTACATCATTACTGCGAAAAGTAGCTCCATCGCAAAATATTGTGCTTTTTAGAGGTGCGATTAACGGTAGATTAGGAGGTGCCACATAAGTAGGAAACCAAAGGCGGTTACGACGAACATAACTTCAAAAACGTCCGTGGGGTCTCGGTCCTCCTAGGGGGTGCTCGGTATCCGAAGTGGGGCCGCGATGCTTTTAAGATGTGCTGCGTCTCCAAACACGGCACCCGATGTTTGTGGGACCTGCTATAGGAAGTTGGGACGAACATAATCTCAAAAAACCGTGATGAACTTTTTTTCCTACCGAGGATCGAACCCGGAACCCGTCGTCTATTGTTGAGCGTTGACTTGCGTATTAAATCAAATAAAAACGACAGATCACCCCCTAGAAGGGCCGAAGCCGCACGGACGTTTTTGAGGTTATGTTCGTCGGAACCCCCTTTGGTTATCTACTACCTGCCAAGAAAGTATTTTTCCTCTTCTCCCAACCTTATCCATACTTAGTTTTTCTATTAATTTATTTACACCACAGTAAATTTAATAAATTTATTTACTCAGCTGTCAGGTTAAAATTCCATAATAACATTCTGTCATGGCCAACTAATGTTATAGCAATAGTCAGACAGAAAGAAGGATAAATATTAAAAAAATATTAAAATTAGGTATATGAAATGATTAATAAAAGCTGTCGGTATTTGCATGAAAAATGAATATGCATTTTTATATTTACTATTTTGTGTGTGTATTTTGAACACCCTGTAGCATCTATTTCAATAACGTTAATATCAAATATGAGTGATCTGTCTTCAAAAATAATGGCGCAACTAGTATTTTTTAGCAAAATTAAAATATTGGAAAAATATTAGTTATAGGTATTAACAAAAAAGTTGAAGAATTTCAAAGCGAATTCAAAACAAAACGTGTCACGCATTTTTGAACCATCCCATATGCAATCTTTACAATTTTTGTATTTATTATTTTTTCATATCTTTTGAAACCAGTGAGATAATAAACTTTATTATATTGGTGACCTTGTACATGCAATTTAGAAGAAAGGATGAAACGTTGAGTAATCTGTCACCCTAACCTCACTTTCTATAAGCTAAAGAAGCACCTGAGAACGGTAAACCAGCAGTGATAGTTATTATTGTAATTATTAATATTAATATTATTAATTATTATAACATATAAATCTAGAAACCTTATGCGTCTTTTATATATTATATATTATTTAGACTTGTAGATAGCTAGAAAATGAAATTAAATATTTGCCAACTATTTTGAGGCGCGGTCCATTATATGGCGCCCAGTGAACTCGAACTTGATCAAATATCTCATATAAAATTAAAAATTGAAATATTTTTTTAAGTGTCATATATTTTTATAGGCTCACAACAAGCCTAATGAAATTATTGAAAGACATACGGTTTGTTCTACTAAAAAGAAACAGAAGAAAACTACTGAACCACCGGACCCTACGTGAAAAACCCTATCCAGATCAGTTTTCACCTCTTCGACAAGTTAGCGCATAGTTTTATTTTTATAAAATATCAGCCTTGGGTTACAAAAACGTATTTCAAGGTTTTTTTTTTGAAAAAATACTCTTGAAAAGGACATTTTCTGACCAATAATTTTTTAGAAGGTTGAAAAAGCTTAACTTTTTTCGGAGGTTCATTAATAAGTTATGTTAATTTGGGTATATTGAAACTTTTATTTTTTAGACATAATTTAAAAAATATATTGCTAGATAAAGTAATCAAATAACGAAAACTTCTCATTCTCCCATTTACATATAAATGGGCAAGAGAAAAACACGAAATTTGTATTGTAAACTTTGCCTCATATGTCTCCCATGGTCTCGGTGGATTAAAGAGAAAATATTACTCGAGCAGGTACTTACAAATACCGAAGGCTGCGCAGCAGGAAAAATGCCCCGGGTGTTATTTGGCCGACGTTGCAGTGAACCAGGCTTCTGAAAAATAGAAAATGCCGAGTTTGTACGTCTATGTTCTCTGTGAACGGAAAACGGAGCAATAATATGAAAACTTGCTACGAATAAAGACCTCTCTCGAAAGATATAATATATACATAACCGGGACATATTCCCGGAGTTAAATTTAGCGTTGTTTAATATTTATTAGGTTTTTCTGGCTAGCGAAAAAAAATGCCGTCGCATATTCAGCGAGAAAAATTCAATTTACCCGCCAAATAAAATATTCCGCTTTGTTCCGTCCCTCGTACGTATGCACGAGCGGACGTATAATGAAATCTTAATAATGGAATTTAATAAACATTTTTGCATGTGCGCGCGTCGATTGCAAATTTACAGGGTGCGCGTAAACTTTCGCTTTGCCTTTATCGAAAGGTTTCACTATTCTACCAAAATAGTTCGGTTTTTAGGACCTTTCCTTTGACAATTTGGCTTAGTTTTATTTTTTATATTATGGCGTATGACCTTTCGGCATATATCCGACGTTACAGAAAGAAGACGTAGCATTCAGATTTTAGGGCAAGTGCCTCGGAATAAAAAAAGAAGAAGAAATGACAGCAGTTGGAAAGACTGGGGTTTTAGTTTGCAAGTTCTGTGTTGCTATGCCAAAAATAAATAAAAGTAGGTATTAACTTTTTAGAAATACCATTTTTCTAACATTGATAAATGATACAGATGTGAAAACTCGGAATTTCCTTCCTAATTTAGGAAAAATATTCTGAAAATCCCAAAATTATTGTATAACCTTTTTTGTAACTAACCAAATAATCGATAAAGACTGTTCTATTGTAAATACAGGGTAATTGAGTGCAACCAAGCACTAATTACGACGTTCACTCCAGATAACGAAAATATTTGTCATGTGTTCAAACGGGCGATAATTTACCGTTATGGTATACAAGAGCTCAACTAATGTTTATGCTATATTAACCAAATACCGTTATCGTAATAAGGGAATTATTAAGTGTTATTCTTCCAATGTTATAAATTCCACAGTTCAACGGATGGAAAAATGAAATTTAACTGCCAATTAATTTGTAACTATCAGGTATTTCGGAAAAGTATTTGTTCAGTTCGCCAGAGGCATGGACTAATTTTTATGAAATTTGATAACGCAAGCTATCATTCACCATGCAGAGAGAAGACTCCAACTTTACAAAAGCAAATATTATCTCTCTTTTTTAATCACCAAAAATATTGAATTTAAAAATAATTTCATAATATAAACACGTCGTGGAATATATGGTATTGTGTCAAGACCTCAAAATACTGTTTGAACAACTGGTTGAGGAAGTGACACTAAAGTACTGGCGACAAGTAGAACAGCAAGTAATTAAAGAAGAGGTGAAAATGTGGAATGTTGACTCCAACCAGTAATTCGTTAATGATAACGTCAAGAAGAGATGACAATTCCTGAGATGACGAAAAACATAATGTATTTTTTGTTTAATGTTTAAATAATAATATTGAAGGTTTGTTTATCATTAGTCTAAGATGATGAGGGAATAAATACAGTGTGACGTTGTGGCCAACTAACCAAATAATCAAAATTGCCCGTTTGTACTTCTAAAACAAATTCTACCAACATTACTAAAACTTGTATTACATAATAAAAAAAGATGTTTCAGTCAATACAGAACTGCCTCTTTTCTTTAAATCAGCTTTAAAAGAGCGTACTTAATAAGAAATGTCGGTAAACAGATATGCCCAGTAAACTTCACTCACACTGTACTTTCCAGATGTTTTTTTACATAAAACACTTTGGACAGTCTGCATAGCCCAACAGCATTAAATAGACACCTGCATATATTTACAGTCGCTGGTAATCTACCAATACCATCAGCTGCCATCACTATATCACCCTAAACCACCACGTAAAAACGACGAAACACAAAAATGCTTCAACCGATGAATCACTTTCACAGTTCAAATGTCCATTTGTTTGTAACAAGAGTTTTAAAAAAATAAATTATTTCTTATCAAGTCGAGCCCTAAGGTAGATTTGGGTGCATTAAGAGGTGAAAAAGCAGATTGCGGCAGGGATCTTATCGAAATCGGCAACTATTTGACTCAGTAAGGGGGTTTTACACCGATATTTAATGGTTTATAAATATTTTCTCTACTATAATGCTTAAAGACGCCAATTTTGGATAGTATTTGAAAGATATTGACATGAATATGTAACTTTTTGAATCAAAAATTGATAGTTTAAGCTGATATTTGCAGTTTTGATGCGGTTTTAGGTACGATATGGGTCGGAGAAGCCGATTTTGACTGGAATCTGTTTAAAATGAGAAGGAAAAACCTGCTATTAATCCAAGAAAGTGAATTTTTAAGTAGTTACCTGCAGTTTTAATGTACATTTCAGTCCGTTAAGTCATGAAAATGCCTGTTTTGATTATAATCTACCGTAAATCCAAGGGCTAAAACTAATTTTTTGTCCCAAAAAGAGGGTTTTTTAGTACATACTGCATTTCTAAGGTAGATTTGGGTACAATAGGACGCGAAAAAGCAGATTCTGACTAAGATCTTATCGAAATCGGCAACTATTTGACTCAGAAACGGGGTTTTACATCGATATCTAATAGTTTATAAAGGCTTGCTTTACTCTAATGCCCGAAGACGACAACTCTGACTAGGATTTGAAACATATTGACAACAAAAAGTAACTGTTTGGATGAAAAAATGATAGTTTGAGCGATATCTGCAGTTTTGATGCGGTTTTTGGTTAGATATGTGTCGGAGGAGACGATTTTGACTGGGATCTGTTTGAAAAATTGAAGAAACACCCACTATAAATCCAAGTAAGTGGTTTTTTAAGTAGTTATCTGCAGTTTTAATGTAGATTTGAGTCCGGAAAGTTATAAAAATGTAGGTTTTAACTATAATCTGCTCGAAATCGAGAGGGAAACCAATTATTTGTCCCAAAAAGAGGGTTTTGAAGTACATACCTGCTTTTCTACGTTAAATGTGGGTTTGGTTAGTTTGCCACAACGTCGGACTGTTCCTCATCCCCTTAGACTAAATAATAAACAAACCCACAATGTTAATGATGGTACCTGATATCATGTACAAATATTGTGGAGATAGAACTAGTTGCAAATGTATCAATTTTTATTCTGTTAAAATAAAAGTATTCCTTTTGACGAGCATAATGCCGGAGCGTCTTCGTCAGAACATCTTCAGTGTGGATGGATGGAACAATAGGCAAAACGGCAAAACGGCAAAACCGTGTTACTTCTACCCAGTAAAAAGAAAGAATTTTGCAATGCAATCAATGCTAAACAACAAAAGTGGCTTATGTAGTGCGCAATGCACTATTACCGCAAGTTTTCGAAATAACTATTTTTGCAGATAAAATCCTATATCTGTCGGTCATTGTACTTTCACTTACTTTACTACTAACTTTATAAAAATAAATAAATTATGTGCAATCCCATACTTAAAGATAGTTAAATATTATCTAAAAGGCTTATAATTTTTTATATACGGTTATGTATTAGTAGCAAAATATTCTACCAAAACTTCAGCCTCATACGTTATTTGTACCACACCATCGATTTCTGTTTTATTCGAATGTACGATATACAAGTATCAAATTAATATTTTATACATTCTATCGGATGTCCTAGAAAATATGGGACTCTCTGAAAATTGTTATTTTAGTGAAAATTTCCAAAAAAAAAGCCATTTCCAAAGTTTTTCTGACTTTTGGATAGATCTGGCAAAACTGCGATGGCAAGAATATCTTACAAGTTTTCATGATTACAACCGAAATTTTATAACAATATCTCTCTCAGTTCTCTAGATACTTTTAACAGGCAATCGCGCAATTGTTATTATTCTATGGAGTCGCCTGATCAGAAATTTTTATTAAAAAACCATTTTCCCATTAAACTGTCAGATGACAAATGCCAGATCGATTGCCACGACAAGCATGATTCATTCGATTCATTGACTTAAGCCGTCGATATTAATCTCGACCATTCAATAGCTCTCTCATTTGTATACTGTTTCTGACAAGATATTCTGAGCCATTGTTTGTTCCGACGACACGGACGCACATTTTTTTAAACCACCCCCGCATCCCATGTCCATCATCAATGGAATTTAATATGGCGAGGTCCTTTTTCTGCCTCAGGCAGGGCGTAAAACCCTCCACGACAATATTACGCGAATTCCAGTCGCACGTATGGTAATTTAATACGCGTCTTTGGTTCCTTTTTTTGGTCCCCCAGGCCCTTCGACAACATTTCAAAGCGCGTCAGCACGCATATCGGATAATGGAAACACTTTTTATTTGTCTGGATTCTTTTTTTACGGAATTATCTGCTGGAAGTAACAAAATTTTTGTCACGGAACCTTCGTCCTTGTGCTTAGTAAAAAAGCTATGGTCGATATTGACATATTGAAAATAACAAAGTCATAATTCTCAACATAACCTCTCTTTTTTAAAGGTCGTCTTTTAACTACCACTAATCTTTATTTTTCTTTTTATAAATACGGGTTGTAAGTGAAATGTAAGTAAAGAAGTGCTGCTTGAAAAATTCAAATTTAAATATCGTATGATGTTGAATAAACATTTCAGTATTTTCTAATAAGACTAACGTAAATCTGGTTTAAAATCTATAATTTACGAAAATATTAATAAATCAACAATCTGTGTCAAACAACCTAATTATATTCGACGCTAATTAAAGCAGATCAGATAATATTAATAGCCCTATAACATGAAACTAAAATGAGTCTCAAAAATATATTATTCGCGAATCCCGTGGGACACGGCAGCGGCAGCGAGTGAGGGGCTCAAAAATATTTTATATTCATTCATTCAATTCATTCCACCAAGTTAAATTTTTGTTCGATGAGCGGTCAAATTTGATGCGACAAGTTTCTTCTAAAAAGCCAAAACAACATTCCAGCTTAAAAGTTGATTATTACTAAGTGCTTACAATTTATTTACGTTATCCGGGACGGTCTCCAGGGAATCCCCGCTGAGCACGGTGAAGTTGTTCCCGTGAAAATCCCTGAAAGTGAAGAGATGAAAATAAATGGTCACGTCAAAAGTCGAGCTTTTTTCTCGTCTCTCTCTTTTTCTCTCCATCTCTCTCGTCACGTGACGAAGTGTCTTTTTTCCCGTTTTTTGCGGATTTTGTTTTATGTTTCTTCCTACCTGCTACGCTAGGGAAACTTTATGTTTGACGGAGACATTAATCGTGTTGGTCTACCAGTGAAATTTTAAAAACCGCATTTTTAAATTCGCCAGCGTAATTAGATGGAAGAGAATTATCCAAAATGCCTTAAGGAAAAGGAACAATTTTACTTTGTGGGTATACCGGGTATACTGGGTTTTATTAGAAAAATTCCCTGGCATAAATAAAACTGACATCGTAACATTGAATTTTATTTGGGCACCTAGCACATCATAAAATACGCGGCAGCATTATATTGTAGAAGCCAATTTTTATCTCATATAAAGGACGCGCAAGACGATAAGCTGTAACGTCGAGTAACAGGTGGGTTAAATTATGTTGGGTAGTCCAAATTGTTTCCTTTAAACGGTCGGAAACAATGTGAGGGGCAAATTCAGAAAATCACCTTTTCAAATCCAACGCGATCCTATATAGGGTGGTTCGCGTTAACGAATTTGAAGAACTAATAAATGGAAGCTTTTCAACACTTGTTACAAAACTTCAGTTTCAGCTTCAGTCGGGGTCTGAAGAAGCCAACAGGATGATTGGCGAAACGTCAGCAATTACGACTCAGCAAAAACCGACGCAGGAGGAATCCAGAAGTTTTGTAAAAAGTATTACAGTAGTCTGTGGTAGTTTCTTGGAAAAATTGGGAAGCTTTTCAAATTAATACTTGCTTGCTTTTGTTATCTTGCATTTATTATCGAAAAGAGAGTTTTGGTTAGTCTTACATGCAAAATATCGACAGTTTTTCTTTTGCTGAGATTAGCCACTAGTATTAAATCAATATCATATTGTAATCGGTTTAAATTTTTCTAATCTCCAAAATTCAAATTCAAAAGTGATTTCTTTTAAACTGATTTTAAAGTATATTGTATTGATAACTTATAGTGTTCTTTATATAGATCAGGAAGCCATTCCTATGGAGACCGCAATAGAATGGGTGCAATTTCGAAGAGTCACATATGTTTGCACTGTTAAGGCTAAGGTGGCACCTGAACATAATGTTACCAAAACCAAAAACGACGGCTTTTATTTTCTGGTAGACGAATAAAATCTGGCGTTTTACGGGTTGTACTCAAACAAGATGGCACGATTTGTTATATTGCATTTATGTTGCTTCACTAAGCACCAATACAAAATAGATTAAATACAAACACACCACCTAAAAAAAAACATAAATAATATATATTGGATTTTGAGTTTTGATATTTGGCATGCGTTATTTCAATACATAAACAGTACAAATTTAAAAAATTGTTGTTGAGATATCTTGTATATCCGTATATATTTAACAAATTTTGATATGTCAAAATCTCCTTGGGGAGACGGGGGTGTAGAAGTTAAGATTTCCTTCTACTTATAACAAGAATATAATAATATTTTTCGTAGGCCGTTTGCAAATAAATAAATCAAAAAGGAAACAGAAGTATCTTACAATATGTCGATGAATTCCCGGGGTAGATCCCCAGGGGCCTTGGAGTACTGCAGGTGATGACACAGCAAGTCCCGCGCTCTGCAGAGACAAGCTCCTTTATACGACAGGCCTGAAAGCAAAACAAATTTGGCGAATCCCTAAGGATATTCGGCGAATTTATTCTATATTTACTGTTTCCAAAACAAAACTTTTGGATATATATGTAGGTGTTTAAAATAGTTTAAAGATGCCAAATTCCAAGTTGATAACTTATGAATATTCATTTTAGTGACAAAAAAGGCTAAAACGACTAACATTAATAAAAAAAAAACGAATAGCAGCAAAAATACATCGACTGTTTTGAAACGGCAACGCCGTTAGAAATTTCGCTTCGAAATAGGCATATTTTCCATCCAACCAGCTTAATTAATGACACAAATAGAAATTCTAGATTCGAAATTCGTTCGGACGCGGCAGACAATACAAAGGAAAACGGAAAATTCACACCCCCATTGTTAGTCGACCGACAATGCCCGATCGTTGTGCATAATAGGGTTTTTATTGAAATTTCGATTCCATAATACTAGGCATCGCGAATAACTCTAACAAAAGGCGAGCGAACAATTTTCAATTTGGAAAAGTTTTCAAATATTGCGAAAGCCAATATACTCGAGCAGGGCACACTCTAAATAACCTTACCACACGTTTGATTGAAATCGTCATGTTCCGCTATCGGGTTTTTTCTATACAGGTGGTCGTAGTACTCGTTGTCAAACTTGTCATCTGCAAAAACACCGATCATTTTTTATTTATTTATAACGTTTTTATTGTATTTTTCAACTAAACTTTATTTGATATTACAATGTTAAAACCAAATAAAACTATCCAGCGTGTTAAACTAAAAATCTGTTTTCTTTAAAATAATATGTTCAATAACCGTATTCCAGTTTTATATGTAGCCAGTGAGAGATATACAATACATTTCTTTCTTGAAACGAAGCAAAATACAAAAAAAATTCAAGACACAAAAAGCTGCATTTTTATGTGGGCCAGATATTTTTTATCAAAAATATTCGATAAGCACCCTCATTTAAAGTAAATAAAAAGTTTAAATTTTGAATATTATATCAATTTGTTTGTTTACTTCTACTTTCTGTGATTAATATTACAATTACTAATTTTTTTCATATAGTGTAACTCTTTTTCCTCCCATTTTTTTTTTTGTTAGCAACCTTACTTTTTGGTTTCTCCTAGATTCAATATATTTAATAATTAATAATAATAATTCACGACCTCCACAGCCACCTAGATCGCTTTCCAGGAAACTTAGGTAATTGCAGTAAAGAACAGGACATTGAAATTATGGGAAACCATTATGAAAGAGTATGGGATAGTCAAGTGTACGTCGTACGATTTTTGAAAATGTTTCCTTTTCCTTTAAATTAACGCTTGTGCCAAACCAAGAGAGAAACATTTCTTGCTGCTTACCGCAGTCGAGTTCGTCACTGGCAGAGGGGCAGTCGTTTTGACCGTTGCACTGGTTGTTCTGGGGTACACAAATGGTGTCATTAACGCACTGAAAGTAGCCCACCGGACAAATACCCTTCAGGATGTGTACCAGCGAATCTGAAACCAAAACAATTTTTGAAAAAGCGTATGAGTGCGTACCGTCTGGTTTTTTGTAAATGTCTTTGGCCACACACTTGACTAGGTTTTAAGGCGATATTATCATGCGATCTGGGTCTATTTTTACCAATTAATGCCGAATGAATGGACAACAAACCACAGACTAAAATAATATGAAAAACTTCATTTATATTTATATTGAAAAAATGGCATTTTGTGTTGGTGAAAATATATTATTTTAAAATGCCTGCAAAATAATTATACAGATTCCTTTTTTTTAGAATTTAGAAAACTCGCGATACTGGAAAATTGCAATTTTCCATTGGGCTCATTTGTAATTGTCACGTGCATGTAGAAAACAAATATCTTTTGTTTCATTACAATACAGAATGAAAATGTTACTTTTCTCAAATGTTGATTTGAAAATTATTAAAACATTTATTATTTTACATAAACAGGAAGTATAAACTTTTTTTTTGGCAAAAGCTGGACCAAATTTTAAATCTGGTTCCAGGCGGTTTTGGTTAAACTGTGGCATTATCCTGATAATATACACACAGGGTGTTCTATAATTTATGCGATATAGAGCTTCTTCTTCTTCTTCTTGATATTCCATATCCGTTTTTTTACCGAATGTTAGCAATCATGTTGGCTATCAATACTTTATTTACCCCTGTCCTAAACAGCGTATTAGTTAATTGTCCGAACTACTGTCGTAGGTTTTTCAGCCAAAATGTTCTTGTTCTTCCTGGGCATCGTCTTCCCTCAATCTTGCCCTGAATGATCAAATGATGGATGTTGTATGTTCATGATGTCTAATAACATGGAAAAAGTATGAGAGATTCTTAATCTCGATGTTACCAATGATTTCTTTATTTTTATTCATTCTGTCTATGACTTCTATTCTAGTGACCCGATTCATCCAATTTGTCTTCAATAGGGGCTTGTACGCCCACATTTCAAAAGCTTCCAGCTTTTTCGAGCTAGTCTCTGAGAGAGTCCACCATTCTACTCCACACAACAGGATTGAGAATACGTAACATCGGACCATTCTCATTCTGAGCTCACTTTTAAGTACGTGTCCACACACCACTTTCCTCATACGTATGAACCTTGTTCTTGCTTGTTCAATTCTGGATTTATTTCCAGTGAATGGTCCCAGTTCTCGCTTGATAGTTGTCCCGATATTTAATCTTCTTGACCCTTTCAAGTTTGCTTTTGACGTCATTTAATATAATCTGCCAGTAGAAGGTAATCATCTGCATATCTTAAGTTGTTTATTATTACCCCATTTGGTTTTATTCCTTCTTCGATATTTTCTAAAGCTTCTCGGAATGTTGTCTAGGAGTATAAATTGAAAAGCAACAGTGGCAGAATGCAACCCTGTCTTATCCATCCTTTAATTGAGATGTTTTCAGTCGTATTATTTCCTATTTTCACATTTGTCTTTTGATGCCAGTAGAGGTTGGCAATGATTCTCAAGTCTTTGTTATCATTTTTTCGCGTTGTACTCTGTCAAACGCTTTCTCGAAGTCAATAAAACGCATAAATACATCTCAGTTCATATCTCGACATCTCCCTTGTATCTAGGCCCTTACGGAATCCGAAATGAGTAACTTTGATGTGTTTCTCAATTTTGGCGTAAATTTTTCTATGTATCATTGTTAGAAACAATTTCAAGACATGGTGTGGTGCTCATTGCAATTTTGCTGATTTAGGAATCGAGATAAACGTCAGATGGTATATGTGGTATATCGTATATTAATTAAACGTATGTTAAATTAATGAGAGAGCAAAACTGACAAACCAACATAAAATTTGTTAAAAGCATCCTGCAAGTGAAACTTAATTGTCGAAAAATTAGATACCAAATTAGGAAAACCAGAAAAACAGTAACTATTTAACACCCTACTCCTTCTGGGCTGAAGGATAAGAACTGTTATTCAGTGAAAATTTATATTTTTTCACCAGCAATAAAGCCATTAAATTTTGCTGTATCACTGTGCAATGTTAAAGCACTGCAATTAACATAAAAACCCCGACCCATCAAAGATTGACTTTTAACTACTGAACTACAAACAAAAAAACTCGATCCTTTGTACTTTGCACGTAATTGCCGGTTTCTCCGCCGCAAGCGTGGCAGGCGCGGATTTATGTCAACAAAACGAACGCAATCTAGATGGAAAGTCGAGAACAAATGAGCCAAAAAGTATATAGGCGCTTTCGTTTTAAAATGGTTATTATTCGAAATGAGCAAAAAAAAAATAAAATGGAACACAATTCAGTTGTAATATTAAAATTCTAATATCGCTCTATTTGACTCCATGATGTTATAAACACTTGTTAAAAAATACTTTTTCACCTAATGATTACAATATTGACACAACTACCTTTGTATAGGAGATTTTCGATAAATTGCCTCACAATACTTAATAATTAATCAAAATTTTAAACAAAAAATATTTTGACAAAATTTACTAGGTCGTCCATAGATCGTCAAGACATACACAAAATTAGTTTTTTATAATACGGTGTGTTAAGAATCGAGGGACAAATGGCAAGAATACTTGTTTGCGATGGTCGCTGTATGGTATTCCGGAAAAATTGTCTGGTATTTCGGATGAAATGCTGCCCGGGTGTCAAATCGTGCATTTTGCTTTTAATACGCTCAAATATTGAAAAAAAAAATTCTCGCCATTAATTTTTAACACGAATATTGCTAATCTCATAAATTCTAACCCCAATATATATTTTTCCAGTGTTAGTGTTAACAACATTTCTGCACCAAATCACGTATAAAAAATATGAAAAAAAAAACTGATTCGACCATCAACAATCTTATTATTTTGTCTACTAACACTACAAATGATTCCCGATTTCAACACCGCAAAAGGTTCTTGCTTTTAACAAAATCACTTACCACTCGAGGATTCACCATTTTCGGAAGTGGATAAATAAAATGGTTCTACACACATTATTTAAAAAATCACAATTTTATTTAGGAACGATTCAAGGTGAATAGAATAAAAACTGCCCTCTACTATGTTATTCGGTCAATGTCCATTTGAACTGAGGCTTTTACTTGACGAAAATCCATTACTTACATCCATTACATTACAATTGTTTCGACAACACCGTGTCTTTATCAAATGTAATATTTACAAACTACCTGCCGAAAAATGACATGCAAAATGTAAGTAAAATATCAAAAATGTGTTTTTCTGTGTTTAAGTGTGCAGCATAATTAGAATCTAGACTATTGTTTTTAAACGCTCTTTTATGTTCGTTAATGCGTTTCTTGAAGGATCTAATATAATATAAATTTCGTTTTATTGTTGTTTAAAAATTTACCTTATTTGTTGTTAGTTCTGAAAGCTATTTTTAAACCACATTTTAACAAATGTTTTGAAACTTTTTCACTGAGTTCTCCTATATATGTAATTGTTTTAAATTGTTCGTGTTCTGTATTAGGTTTCGGATAAAGAGTTTGCTGTTGTCTGGGTTTGTTTTTATTAATAATTTTTGTAGCCGTTGTTCAGTGCAATTTGTTTGCTGATATTTGCAATTGTATATATTGATATTTGTTGTAATTTTCTGTTGAGAATGGCGTATTAAGAAGTCTGTGTATAAAAGAGTGAAATTTTGTGTGTATAAAGGTGATTTGAGCTGTTATGTATGACTGTGTCCGTGTGTGAGGTTTATGGTAAATGGAAAAATATATTTTTGTTGTGTTTTTCGTAATAGTTAAGTCTAAATAATAAATGTTATACGATTATGTAATGAGTTAATGTAATTTAAAAAAGAATTCAATTGTCTTTCCATTCCAACAAAGCAAGCAAAGACATCATCCACCTATCTATACCACCATAGAAAACTTTTGCTTAAAGAATGTTCTAGTATGATATTTTCCAAATTATCCATAAAAATCTCGGCTAACAAAGGACTAAGTGGGTTTTCCATAATCAAACCTTCCTTAGAGATGCAAATGTGTCCATTAAATTCAAAATAATTTTGGTCTAAAGATACTGTTAAGCAATCTAATAAATCTTCTTTCACCAATGGGTTAACCTGTTCCCCAGTGAGGGTGAAATCTACTAAATCTATCACATCCATAGGTGGAATACTGGGAAATAAGTTTTGTACAACAAAAGACAATAGTGTTGCGTAAGAAGGGATTTTGATATCTTTAATTTTGTTGATTAATTCAAAAAAAAATTGTATTGTAAATTTTGGTTTAAAATCTGTGTGGAACTTTAAAATATTTACTAATTTTGTTGAGAGTTTAACTGCTGGAGCTGTTACATAAGACACGACTAATGGGCATATCTTGTTTATGTAATTTAACTAAAGAATATAATTTTGGCGGTTGTGGATTCATAATTGTCTTTGTCACTAGTGTGGAGTTATTAATTACTTCCTTGACTTGACTTTGATATAACTCGGTAGGATCGTGTTTGATACATTGGAAAGGGTCTGGTTTAACAAAATTGCTGGTTTTGGAAATATCTTCTGGGAGATCGATAACTATGACTATCTTCCCTTTATCTGCACCTGTAAATATTATATTATTTTCAGAAGCTTTGTTTTTGATAGATTTTACTAGTGACATTTGAGAAATTTCTTGGTGTTTGTTGTTATCTATTAATTGAGAGTTAAATGAGAATCGTTAATGTCCTTAATTGCTAAATCACAATTGACCCCGAGACAGTCTATTTCTCTATTAATGTTCGAGTGTTGTAAGTTAAATTTCAGAAATTCAACTTTATTTTCAAAAAACTTGTTGTAAAATTTGTGGTCGGTATACTTTGTAATAACTGGCTTAGATATTTTTGTATTAGAAATTAATTTGTCTAACTTTAGTTTTTGTCTAAGAAACTTTTTATGAATGCTTCATTAAATCGTTACAGTACGCATTTACAATCTGAGTTAAAACACTGACAAAAACAATTTTATGATAAACCAAACGACATCTCCGTCCTTCGATAGTGGACTCGTCTAGC